TGTTTAACTGGGAGAGGAGATTATTAAGAGCCAATATCATGGCCATTTTCAAATGGCTGAAGGGCTCCATATGATGGAGCAGATCTCTTTTCTTTGCAAAGCAATGGGTTCAAATTACAAGAAAATTGGTTTAGACTAAGTGTCAGGAAGAACTTCCTGATGATGCAAGCTGTTTGGCATAGTGGAGCATATTATCTTGAAAGGTGGTAGGCTTTATTGGAGATTTTTAAAGCAGTGTCTGGGTGGCTACCTATAAGAGATGCTGCAGAAGTAGATTTTCTGCATTGGTAGATGGTTAGACTTCAATGCCCCTTCCAACTCTATGATTCTATGGAGTAGATTACCTTTGATGTCCCTTCCAGTTAAATGACTCTATGAACTGAAGGTGACTAACTTCTGAGTAGGCATGCACAGCGTTGTGCTGCACCGCTGCAGTCCTACCCACATACTTAGCTGAGAATAAGTCTAATGGAGCTGAATGGAACTTAATTCTGAATATATATATATATAATATATAATCTTATATCCAAGATCACTTCCATGCATGCAGGCAGGCACACATGCAATGAGATTAAATGTAATTTTTTGTGTGGAAATATATCTATGCAAATCATGTCAGTGAAAAGTGACCTTCAGGATGCTTTGGTCCTCTGCACCTTAACTGTCTTGAAATGTACACATTACCTTTCAGCTGAGAGACATGTAAGCAAGATTTGAATGAAGATCAATATCTGTGAAAAGGATGAGATATACAGAAAATCTCATCATTCCTATTCCTTTGTCCCGTGACTTGTTTTAACTGTCTTAATACTGTGTTTTAAATTGTTGTAACCCACCCTAGGGCCTAAGGCCAGGTAATAGTAATAACAGTAATAATCGTAATAATAATGACTGAGAATTCTGCACTGTGCAGAGAATACTTCTATTCTAGCACAGAGAAGGCATGAAAGAGGCAAAATCTGATTGTTAAGAAAGTAACTGAAATAAAAATCAGATCGGTGATTATTGATGTGGTTTGGTTGGGAGGAAAAAGAAAGCACCTTACATTGTGTGCAGGATTTGTGGGGAAACCACCTCAGTCTGATGTGGCTGGCAGCTATTGGGAGGCGGTAGAAGAACTGCTCTTCATTTCTGCAGTGGTATTTACTTCTGATGTGCAGTCTGATGTGGCTGGCAGCTATTGGGAGGCGGTAGAAGAACTGCTCTTCATTTCTGCAGTGGTATTTGCTTCTGATGTGCAGCATCGGATCATAACTATTCAGTATAGTGATGTTGAAGGAATATGATGTTCCTCCACACCAAATCTAACAACACAGGTGTCAAAGCTTAGACCACTTTCACATGAAACACATCTGCATCACAAACATATATTGGTTTTATTCCAGCTTAACTAGCATGGTGTTTCTGACAGAATCCTGAAAACTATAGTTGAGGGTGTTGAGACCTCGCCATTAGAGATATGCAGATTGGTTCAGAGTTCCACACTTACTAGAGTTACCTCGACAGAAGTTATAATGAAAACAGAAAATTTAAAAAGCACAGAATGGAAAGAGGTAAAGTACTGGGGCGTGGGGGGGGGGGGCTCATCACTAATGCTGCCCCATAGGAACTGTTCAGTAGGTGGCTCTCACACTGACACAATCCCATGTTGCACAGCACTCTATAACAGCAATGTGTGAACTCCCTGGAGGAAGAAGTGTAATAACAAATATATTAATGTACCAATGTCCCCAGGAAGCTATAGTAAGGTAGCCTCTCTTATACTTCCTGTCTAAGCTTTCCTAGTTCCTTCCCTATAATACCTCACTGCATATCCCTGGAAGCTGAGTCTTTTGACATAGTTCCATCTTTTCTATTTTAAAAATGCATTAAATATATAGAAACAATAAATGTTTATACTGTACATCTTTATCAATTCTTGCTTGGGATGGGCAAATCTGTGACTCTCAGTTTCCCAATCTTAGTTCAGTTCTTTACATTTCCACATTAGTTTGCATTTTTAAAAAGAAGTCATCGTCAAAATTCATCAGCATTTGAGTGTGAATTTCTACTAATGTACACATTTTTGTATGCAATTTCCCATAATACAAATACACCAGCAAAACAATTTCCCATAAATGATGTTATTTTTGCTAACATATACATGTTTACGGTCGCTTTACCCCAGTGTATGCACTTTTGTACACATTACTTGACTGAAGGACTGCACTACAAAATTCAGAGGAGTGTGAATTTCAAAGGATATTTGTGTTTTGGTTCTTGTATTGTTTTGGAAAGTGCAGATTAGAGAGGCTTGCCTTTAAAACCAAACTGAATCAAAATTCCCCGTCACCCCTATTTATGGCCCAACCCAGCACAGGCTTGCTAGTATGTAGTGGTTTTGCTTTCGTTTTGCTGTTTCGTTTTGCTTCAGCCAACGTCTGGTGGCCACCATTTTATTTTCCTCAAATTCCCCCACTGTTGCATGATTCCAGGGCATTCGATGTGTGGGGGAGAATTGGTAGGGCAGGTGTCTCCAAAAAAATGGCAGCAACCAGTTCCCCTTTAGAATGCCCTAGAACATCCTTTCTCCATCTTGGTTCCCACTGGAAGTTTTGGACGACAACTTCCAGTAGCCCCAGCCTGCATGTGCAGCACCACATCGTGGACATTCTAGAAAAAGAACATGGTGGCTGCAAGGAAGCAGCCAATGATATCAGCTGCTACCACTGGAGAAAATCCCCACTGCTGAGTAAGCTATTTGTGTGCATAAATGGGCGACAAAAAACCCTCATGCAGACTCATTCATCACTCATGGCATACGTTTTGAATAGTTTCCATGTTAATTTTTTTCATTCAGAAGGAATGAATGTGCATAACTGCTAGCACTAAAAATTTCTCAGGGCAACACCTGATCCCTCTACCTAATAATAATAATAATTTATTATTTATACCCTGCTCATCTGGCTGGGTTTTCCCAGCCACTCTGGGCAGCTTCCAACAAAACACTAAAATACAATAACCTATTAAACAGTAAAAGCTTCCCTAAACAGGGCTGCCTTTAGATGTCTTCTAAAAGTTTGGTAGTTGTTTTTCTCTTTGACATCTAGTGGGAGGGCGTTCCACAGGGTGGGCGCCACTACCGAGAAAGCCCTCTGCCTGGTTCCCTGTAACTTGGCTTCTCGCAGTGAGGGAACCACCAGAAGGCCCTCGGCGCTGGACCTCAGTGTCCGGGCAGAACGATGGAGGTACCTGATACTTCTTTAGATACACCAGCATGCACTGTAACAAGCAGTGATTTGTGGGTTGGCACAAGCAGGGCACTTGTATTCCCAACACTGAGTGTCGATGCTGCTTACCAAGAGCAGTAGGGGCAAGGCACAGGGGGCTCAGTGTGGCGCAGTGGCAGGAGTGATAGACTGGCTCTGCCATTGCCCCTGCACCAGGAAGAGCTCCCTGTGCCTCACCACCCTCCTTTTGGGTAAGCGGCAGCAATGATTGCCATTAGGAAGCCAGACACGCAAAGCCACCCTACCTGTGCCACCCCACTGATCACTGCTGACTGCAACCATTGAGGTGGACCGAGGAAAGGTTTATCTGTATTGGTCTCAACTGATTTGTAATCAGAAGGAACTATTGTGTGGTGTGAAATGTACCAGGAGAAACGCTTCATTTGATAGCCAATTACATCTTTTCTTTAGTGCACATCATTGCTCTGTCTCTGATCAGGTTCTGCTTATGTATTCAGCTGGTCGCTTCTGTAGCAAGACTGCAATCTCTTTTCAGATGCGAAATTGCTGCTTCTCCTGGAAGATTTGTTTTTCCACTTAGCAGCATTATTCAAGATACAGAGAGTAGGAATTTGATGAACATACTGGAATATACTGAAGAATCTCAGCCAGAAACACTAGGAGTCAGTTTCTCTCACTCACTCATGGTTACTAACAGGTTTTGTATGTTGAAGTTGGAATCCTAAAAGGGATAATTTTCAGTGCAGGAAGGAGATAAAGGCATATAGGAGAAATGTGCCCCCCCCAAAAAATATTTAATGCATTATCTGAGGAAGGAACACAAAAGATCTCAAGGTCTCCTCAAAAGTTTGCATATGTAAAGGCATGACATTACTGGTTTAACACTTCCCATGGAATTATGGGAGCCTGGGAATTGTAGTTCTGTGAAGGAGAACCATTGCTTTTTTCTGGGGGCAGTCGCAGGAGTACGCATACCCCTAAACATTTTGTGAATCTTTGTAATTTTGTCCATTTACTGTATTTATTTTTCCTGATTTGAAATATAAAATTGTGATTTTCTTGAGTCAAAATGAGAGTACCCCTAAACATTTTTTTTAATAATAATAAAAAAGCACTGAGGAGAATTACGATTTTTAACAGATTTCAGTATCCCAAGCTGAAGTGTGGGGAGGGAAACCATGACAGTTGAGGTGGCATAATTCAATATATACTCGCAGTGTAAATAGATAAGGTCTCACTCTTCATGGCTGTCCATTACGATTATGCAAGTTTCCCTCACCATTGTTTGTTAGCTCCCCAGGAATATTTATTGGTGGATGGCCATATAAATTTAATCAATAAATATTCAATAATATTATTCAAATGGTTCATAACAGGGCCTCGCAGACCCAAGGCCTCTTTCCAGGTCTTAATACACAGTATGATAAATGTTAATTACCCATTTACCAAGTTTCTTTCTAAATTCTTGCACAATTTTAGATCACATTTTCTGTCTTTTATCACCCTGGCAGAACAGAATCACAAAAAATGGGTTCATGTTCCTGAATGCGTCCTATAGACAGTTGTCACAAATGACAGCCTGCCTAACTTGGTTATTCTGGAGAGAAGTGCAAATATCACAACATAAACTCATCATGGTTTTCATCTAGAAATGTTATCTATCTGTACCAAGTTGCTAGTTCTTGCCTGGACTGGGCAATAATGTTTGCTGTTGGTTATGAAGCAAGTACCCGATCAGGCTGGTGACAGACTTCCTGTTAACAACACCACAACTCCTTAAATGTAATTTATGCAAACTGGTTGAAAGGCCGGGTTTTGTTCTGATGTCACACTGGGCTACAACAGCTCAAGGGCTATCTCCAGCCTACAGATATGTAGTGAAATCAGGAACTTCAGATACGTCGAAGGGAAGAACTCACCTCCAGACCTTTTGAGGGAAAGTATGAAAACTAATTAGGGTCCTTCCTGTCCTGAGGTCAATCACTGCAAAGGGCCTTCAAGGAGTTCTGTTTTAATTTTAAAAACAGGATCGATGTTTTAATTTTTATTTATTTTTATTTTGTTTGATGTCTTTTCACAAAGCTGGATAATTGAAATTAGAAAATTAGTTCACAAAGAAGTTGACTGAATGTTGCAAACTTGCAAGATGGAAGGATTTTCCCTCATTTCCCCTGTGAGTATATGGCATTAATTCCAGTTTTGTGTCTTTGGCTTTGCCAACAGACTGCAAAACAAAATATGTATGCTTTGTTGTTGAAAAAATGCCGTTCTTTTGTTATTTATAATACTAGAAAGTTTTCTGCTGGCTCGTGGGTGTATAAAATTAGTGATTTGTTATTTAATGAATGGATGGGAAGTTAGCATTTCCCCTCTGCTTTTATCTCTTCTGCCTTTCACTGATATGACCCCATACAGTATTATTGGGGGGGGGGGGCTTGGCTTTGTGGTTGACTGTTTGGTTTTGTGTGATACTGTAGGTATATTGTAATCTATAGTTAAATATAGGTTTTGGTGTTCATACTGTATGGTTTTAGGCAACAAGGGAGAAAACAAAATACAAAGGAAAGAGAGTTGTGTTCTATGCATTTTAGGATTGTCCTCTCTTTTTAGGGACTGTATTTTCTTGTCAGTATCCGGATATTTCAGAGGAATTTCACATCTTTGTTTAGAACTCTTAGCTGTTACATTAAACAGAAGCAAAATCTCTTGAGCTCATCTGGTTTTCCCAACTCCTCCATCTTAAATGAGACAAAGGGGCAAGACTTTCCTGCTTAGGTTGATCAGATGGAATGTTCAGGGGATAAAAACGATTCTCTCTCTTTCCCCTCCTGCAGACTGAAGCATTTATTAATATTTTACTATATGCTTGTTCCAATATTCTTGGTCGTTTTTATTTTTATTTATGTTAATTAGTATCAAATTAATAATTAATTTGGTTGGCATTTATAGTTTTCTAAGCACACAAATGCTGTCTTATATATTTGGAGTAGATTTCATCCGTGCTTGGAAAACTGGCAGGCCAGAAGTCCACTGAAATATGACCCATTGCTAAACATGTTTTCTCAGAAATACGTCTTTCTTGATCAAGTGGGACTTCCTTGTAAAAATATTTAGGTTTGTAGAATTTAAACAAAGGCATATTTAATTTCAAAGGTGCCAATGAATCTTGCTTCACTGTGTAGGAGTACATATTAGGAAAAACAAGATAAGCAAATTTGATTTTTTTCTTATCACCTGACATATGGCTGTGTGGTTGAGTAGGGCAGGCACGTTTTCAGTTGCACTTTAGGATGCAGTGAAAGTAAGTAGAATACTAAATAATTTTGGATGTATCTTCATCACCATCACCATCACCACTGAAAAGTAGTTAGACTATGTAGAATACTAAATCATTTGGCATATAGTTAAATGCATTTGCAAAACCACCCCTTAAAAAGTCAATATGAACTACTTTGCATTATCTCAGGCTACAATTTTTGCACACTTAGAAGGAAGCCTCACTAAAATAAGTGGGCTTAACTTCTGAATAACCATGTGTAGGTTTGCACTGTAAATTACTTTTATTGCAGAAGATTCTACAAGTTAATATATCTCATTGCACTATTTGCCAGGATGGGAATACTCCATGAATACCGAGAGCCAACAAAACATATACCTAATACTCTGTGTTGCTGGTTTACTTGCCTACTTGGTCTTCAGTCTTCAGTCTCTTCCAGGCAACTTTTTTTATCGAGCATTCACCCTGATTTGTTTGGACAAATTTAGCATTGAAGTTATACCGCACCACTGTAGTTGTTTGTAAACTTATTTTATTTAACTTTGCTGTTCATGGAGCATTCATTAAGACTTGCTTGTGCACTGCAATTATTCCACTCTTTTCGGTGCATTTTCCTATCACTTTTCTCATCACAAAAGTTCATGTTTGTTTTTGGTTTGGGTTTTTTAAAAAGCACTACATGCACCATATTTGTGCAGCACCTGATTTAATCATACCCACAAAATAGTGGTAGTTTGGAAGTGGCCTTTGAGTATTTTCACAAAGGATGCTGGGATTGCAATTGTATGTACACTTATTTGGGAGTAGGCTCTATTCTATTCAGTGTTATCAGGTTGCAGTAACTGCTTTGTAATGTGGCATGTGCCGCTTATGAATGGTACACAAAATACGTAGCATGACTTTTGAAAATAAAATGTACATTCTAGTCAACGTAGAGATCTCATGGGCAAATGGACTCCTCCTTTGGAAGGGTTTGATAGAAATTTGATAAATAATAAGTTTTAAAGGTTTAAGCCATTCCTTGCTAAAAAGAAAAAGTTACAGAATGCTGGAAAATTAAATAATGCTTACTCAGTTTAAAAATGCCAAATTGTGGATAGTCACGAGTGCCAATTGTGACACCTTCCCATGGAATGACAATTGCATATTGGGATTTTCCTGATTTAAAGATGATTGGAGGTATATTCTGATGAGAAGTTATCTATAATTCATAATCCCCAGCATCTTGTAGCCTTGCGTGTATTTACCCTAGGTTGGGGTTGCAAATACTTCTGTGTGTGTTTGTGTCCACGTAGGATAAGGCAATATCCTGTTTAACAGGATGTAACCAGAAGCAGTCATGGGGGTATATGATATAACTCTTTCCAGTTAAGTGTTACCAAAGTGGCAGCCCTATGGACACTTACCAGAAAGCAGGGCCAGCTCAAAGCATATCACCACTAGAGGCAGGACAGCAAATTACACTCTCCCCCAAGTCAAAGAAGTTAATAATACAGAAAGTTAAGAACATACAACAAACCTGCTGGATCAGGCCAATGGCCCATCCAGTCCAGCATCATATTCTCACAGTGGAAGCAGCACTCGGCTCACCTGTAATTCCCAGCAACTGGTCTTCAGAGACATAATGCCTCTGACAGTGGAGGTCAAGCATAGGCATTGATCCCCTTATACAGTGGTACCTCTGGTTACGAACTTAATTCGTTCCGGAGGTCCGTTCTTAACCTGAAACCATTCTTACCCTGAGGTACCACTTTAGCTAATGGGGCCTCCCACTGCCGCCGTGCCGCCGCCGCGTGATTTCTGTTCTCATCCTGAGGTAAAGTTCTTAACCTGAGGTACTATTTCTGGGTTAGTGGAGTCTGTAACCCGAAGTGTTTGTAACACGAGGTGTTTGTAACCCGAGGTACTACTGTACTGCATGAATTTTTATAATCCTTTTTTTAAGCCATCCAAAATGGTGGCCATTACTGTCTTCTGGGGGAGCAAGTTCCATAGTAATTGCATGCTATGTGAAGAAGAGCTTTCTTTTATCTGTCGTGAATCGTCCTACATTCAGCATCATTGGGTGTCTATGACTTCTAGTGTTGTGAGAAAGGGAGAAAAAGCTTCTTGACCCACTTTTTCCATGCTATGGGTGGCCAATTTATTTTTCATCTGAGGCAGAGAATTCCACAAGCACCTTTGCCTGGCCATAAAAATGAACATGTCTGAAATCTTAAAAATTGCTATTCTTTCATGATATCCAAAAGGTAGCTGCCCAACTTTGATCTTTGGTAGGTTTAACCCTGCTGGAAAGTAAGTTCCACTGAAGTCACTGTAACTTACTTCTGAGTAAAAATGAATACACTTGGACTGAGAGAGCTGTATGGCTGCCAATACAGGTTTTATGATGTGCCATTACAATTTTTTAGCTCCCTCTAAAGATTAAGCATGTTTCTGTGCACTTCTTTAAATGTATTTTTTGTTGTTGTTGTCATAGGGGTGTTTAAGTGGCTCTATGTGCACATACGTGTAGAAATGTTATGAGAGAATTGTCAGTTTGCATAACTCCTCCTGGGCAGATACATTTTTAGAACCCTAAATATTTGTTGAAACCTATTCACAGATTTGTCCCTGGAAATGGGACGTGGACAACCAATTTCCATGTAGTGCCACTTTGGCTAAAAGTTGGGAAACAAATGTAACCAACAAATAAAACAAAGCATCTGAAAAAGCAAGCTATAGAGCTTGTTTCTGATTTTGCAATAAAACTCCGGTTTTGGTGCTAGTTGAGGGAACAAAAGTCTTTTTCTTTTTATAACCGTTTCAGTCTTTAAAAAAGGGATGCATAAGAGAACGAGGGCAAGGGAAGGCCCATAAATTGTTCTCCACAATCCCTAGGGTATCTTTTTTGACATAGATAAAGTGCTACAGAAAAGGACATTTTGTGGGGGGGGGAGTATGGATTTGACTCTTGCACCTTTAACAATTGAATGACAGGCTATACCTGCTGAAATCCCATCTTTTACACAACTATTAAAAGTGCAGGACCTCTGTCCTCTTTTTCCCCTGGCCACCCTAGTCGCCAATAACACACAGGTGCAAACCCTGCCTTTCCAAATTGTTGCAGCCCCAATAAAATGACAAGCTCCAAGCTTTCTGCCATAGAAATGCAAGGTTAATCCTACAGCCCTAGTGTAAAGCAACCCCATGGTATATGAGGGCAAGAGTGGTTCTGCGTATTCCACTGCCAGGTGGCTGACATAGCTGACAGAACAGATACCCTTGTTGAAGTAGCGTAGATAATATAGTTGACAGGAGTCTTCTGGGGTGGGTTCCTGCCTTTTCCAGGGATATTCCCTATGCTCCCACTTTTATTAGGACATGAATATCTTCATTTCCCCAGGACAGCCCATCTATTTGTCATTAGACCTTACTTGGGTCCTTTGCCACCCCACCTGTCAATGATTAGGGCCAGGCTAAGTAAGTAAGGTGACTGGCCACAAGCCACACATTTTGAGGTACCATTAAATAGCAGTGACTAGTCAATAGGAACATAGGAAGCCACCTTGTACTGAGTTAGTCCACTGGTCCACCTAGCTCACTAGTGGCTACACTGACTGGTAGCACCTCCAGGACTTCGGGAAGGAGTCTTGCCCAGCCCTACCTTGGAGATGATGGGCTGGTAAAGGTAAAGAACCCCTGACAGTTAAGTCCAGTCACGAACGACTCTGGGGTTGCGGCACTCATCTTGCTTTACTGGCCGAGGGAGCGGACGTTTGTCTGCAGACAGTTTTTCTGGGTCATGTGGCCAGCATGACTAAGCCGCCTCTGGCGAAACCAGAGCAGCGCACGGAAATGCCGTTTACCTTCCTGCTGGAGTGGTACCTACTTATCTACTTGCACTTTGACGTGCTTTCGAACTGCTAGGTAGGCAGGATCTGGGACTGAACAACGGGAGCTCACCCCATTGCAGGGATTTGAACCGCCGACCTTTTGATCGACAAGCCCTAGGCTCAGTGGTTCAGACCACAGCGCCACCCGCTGCGCTGGTACATCCTCCTAATTATTTAAGTTTATGTAGTACTATATTTTAACACCATTGTATGTGACATTTGGCTTTCCCCTGTCAGGCACCAAAATGCCTTGGCCAGACTGTGGCTGGGTCACAAACCAGAGTAGTGGCTCAGTGTTAAAAAACAGTACTGCCAGCAAAGCTCCCCAGGCTTCTCCTCATCTGCCTTCTCATTTGCCTTTCACTGTTTAGTTAATAACTTATTTGTTCACTGGGGCTTTTTAAAAAACACCAAGCAGAAGTTGCTCCCCTTGTTCTGCTGCTATTTAAATGTTACTTATATTTTTTTTAAATTTTGCTTCAGTTAATTTTTTATTTTCCTTTATTTTTATTTTATGTATTGTTTTTATTGCAGAGGTTAATGGTTGGTTGCATGTTGCCCTTTGACAACTTCTTGGGAAGATGATTTTGTACCTATCATGCAAATGAAATCTAATTAATGTTTTTGGCTACATGCTTCAACACTGAATCCTACCTTTCCCTGAGAAGATGTTTGGAAGTGCTGCTCATGCAGTCAATATCACAGGCACAAAATCTAAGACTTAGCAGGGAAGAAAGAAATCCAGGACGAATGATAAGAGATGTGCATAATAAATAAATAATATCCAGAAGCCAGGGAGGTTGATATGCTCTGAGAAGGAACATTTAATATGATCTTCTAATCCTTTCTAAAAACCATACAGTTATTTTGTAATTCTTTCCAAGGAAATGAGGTTAGGTCTGTCCGTTAAACCAGCCTCAGCTGTGCATCACGGGGAGTCATGTTGGGTATTTCTGAATCATCTGCCAGAGAAAATTCATATCATAATTTAAAATAGCAAGATTAAAATGTGGTGCATTTATGGAGGAATTTGAATTGGCTGTATCTGGAGATGGACAAATCTCTCAAGTTCAGCTCTCCAGGTTTCTCATTTTTCAGTTTTTGATTCAGTTCTCAACATTTCTGCAATAATGTGTAATTTTAAATTCTTCATGAAAATTCATCAGCAAATCTGAGCGCAAATTTCTCCCAATAAACCTAATTTTGTATGCAATTTTGACTGCAATATACAAATTTGTGCAAGCAATTTCCCCCTAATATAATGCATTTTGTATTCTTCTTTCACTAATATATGCATTTTATGCACACTTTATCCTGGTATATACTTATTAGTTCAGATTTGTTTCCTGGAGAACCTCATTACAAAATCTGAAGACGTGTGAATTTTGAATGGTAGTTGTGTTTTGGTTTGCATATTATTATTATTTTTTAAAATGGTAGGTTCACCTTTAGATGTGAACAGAATCAATTTTCTCCCCAGCTGTATCAGATGTTGCATAAGTCATATATTGTTGCCACTCACTGTCTCCCATAGTTATGATCTTGATTAACATTCAGATTGTGCCCTAAAAAAATCTTCTATATTACAATTTCTCTCAATGCATAACAACTGACCTGCAGACAGATACTCTTTAAAAACATGCAGTCACAAGTTATTGTTGTAGCTATTGGGAGCTAGCTGGGGTTTTTTTTGCCCCGGGTGAAGTCTCCAGAGGGGCACCCTTGAGATTCCCAGCCTGTGTAAGCAAATCTGCATGGGTATGTGTACCAAATTGGGTATCTGACCCGGGTAAAATAAAGCCTAGTTTTGCCCATGCACAACATAATATGGGATTCCTGCCTGATAGTTTAAGGACTACCAACTTAGAATAGTGGTAGAACAACTAATGCCAAAAATAAAGTGAATCTGTACTATAATGATTTATGCACTGATGTGAATCTAGGAGATTTATGCAGCATGCAGTAGAGCTAATTCTGTGGGGAGGGGCTCGGAGCTCCTGAAAACAGGATTGACATCAAAATAATAACTCCATTTGTACATAAGAAAATAGGAGCCTAGGAAGAGACCTTCTGGATCAGACCAAAGGCCTATCTAGTCCAGCATTCAATTCTTGCAATAGTCAACCAGACGTTTACTGTCTCCCTCACATGCCGCTGCAGAATGTACTCATCATGATTAGCAGCCATTGAGAGCCTTTTCCTCCATAAATGTGCCCAACAATCTTTTAAAGCCATCCATCATGGCGACTGTGTCTACAGTCTTGTATTCTTGTAGCTCTGTAATCTGGTATATGAACTTAAAAGGCTCCTTCAGCAACAGCTAGGATGTTCTCACTGAGTAACCTCCCAGCTCGCACTGTCATGGGGTTCCAATATGAACTTTTTACAGAGTCACTTGCATTCCAGTTCATTTTATTGCCAGAATGGTTGCTCGTGCTGTTAATAAGGCTTACGATGAAAGAAAGAAACCTACAAGATGGTTAAGCGTTTCACCTTAACTCTGCTTCTTAACGACAACAGGGTCATATGATTTACTTTACTGTTTGTCACTGCAATGTACTTTATGGGGGAAAATACAAGCAGACCCCACCAAGACTAGAAATATAAGCAAAGAATCTGGGGGGGGGGGGGGTAGAATGCAGGAAGCACAGTTGGTGCAACAGTTCAAAGCAAAAAACCACATCAAGCATTACTTTCTTTTTTTGCATTAGAGAAAGTAAAATCGCATGGACTTTAAAAAACTATTATCACAATAGGATGCCTTCTAGATATATACTTTCTTGTGATCTGAGTAAGAACTGATATTTAGTTTATGGTAGGAGATGGCTGTTGATCTGCAAGGACCAAATACACCATAAATACATATTTGTGTTTAATATGCATATTTTTTTAAATGCAAAAAGCCACTGGCAGGAGCCCGGCAGATAAATGTTTGAGACTGCAGCGTATGTGGAGGGAGTGTTTAATTTTTTCCTGCCCTCTTGTTATTCAGATGAAAACCGATCTTCCAAAACTGCACTTGCATTGGGATGGAAGCTCACATGCTTCTATGTATGCAAGAACCCTGCTGAATCAGACCAAAGGTCCATTTAGTCAAGAATCCTGTTTTCTAACAGTAGTCAAACATACCTCTTGGAACTTGTGGCGGGACTATATTCTATCCCTATGTGTAGGCATAGGAAATGTTGTGGCACTTTGGGGGGAAGAGCCATAGCTGAGTGGCTCTGATTGTGATTTGTATGCAGGAAGTCCCGGGTTCCACCCCTGCCAACTCCAGGTAGTTCTGAGAAAGATTGTTGCCTGAAGACTGGGATAGCTGCCTCCAGTTAAGAGGAGAAGAACCAATGGTCCAATTTGGTATAGGCCAGCTTCCTATATATTGTGAGAATGCCACAGAGCTCAGGTTGCACTCCAGTGTGCTCCTCTTGTGGAGTGTTGCCAACTCTTCTCCAGCCTGGTAACTGGAGCCAAACCCTCCATAAGGTACAGGAAGTTTTGAATGTAGTGTAATATACATAAAAGTGGCACCCAAAGGCTGCCCACCCACCAATGGTTTCAGAGGTATCATTTTCCAGGAGTCTAGATGTTCAGGGTGTGTGAACTCCTGCTGGTTCCTGCCTGTCCACCAGCTGGCACAGATATGGTCCTGTCAGCAAGGCCTTGTGCTGCCTTCGGGGTTTGTTTCCTCAGCTTGTTACAAGGTTGCCCAATGAGAAAACAGACTTTTCCCCAGCACATTTCCTGAGCTCCTAGTGAAGGCGTGAGAAGCCTCCATCTGGATGAGCCCATAGTCCACAAAGAATGGCCACAAGACCAGAGAGAGGAAACAGCAGGCAACTTTCAGATCCCTTTCTGACTTACAGTTCTTTGAAACGCACATAGGCTTTTCTTTTCTTGGCATTATAAACACAAATGTTGAATGGAAAAAACCTAAGTGGTGACTTGCAGGAGGGTTTTCAGGGCAGACTTTTTATCACCTAACCTCTTCAGTTGTACCTATTTGGTTGCCATTGCATCTGCTATCTAACTTCAGTGGTGAGTAGCACGTTCTTAGCATTTATTTGCAGGGGTTTACTGTCACATTCTTAGGCTGAAGGCGCCTCTTCTTGCACAAAAGGAGTGCGTGCTGCTGACCCACACCTGCAAAAACATGTGACTCACCAAGCCAAATACTGCAATGTACTGTGGTCCACCAGGTGTTAAGCAACCTTCCTGCTTACACAGTCTTAGTCAGGCAGCATGCCCAGGTGGTTTCTTGAGCTCCCTGTTGGGTGCTGTGCATGGACTGATTGCCTCTATTCCTCTGGTTTGGTCATGATTTGTACATGCCCACTTTAGTGCCTGTCACTGCAGTCTGACTGAGCCACAGAGCTGTGAATAAAAAGTCCACTTCAAAACTGCAGAAAAATGCTCAGGGCCTTTAAATAACCCCTTTCTCCTAGAGTTACATAGTTACTTTGGACTGGAAGGCTGTAAATTAAGTTTCTGTTTTCGTTCTAAGGCCACATATCATTTTAAAGTCTCAGACTGGTACATCACACTGAAATTACACAGAGAGTGCTAATGAGATCCACTTTTATGATACCCCAGAGGGCTCTTCTGAAAAATACCAGACACAGGTCAGTTGGAAGCTTATAGTTTCAAGGCATGAGCTGCTTTCTCCATGTGCAGAATGGCTTCTTCACAACTGCTGCATACTTAGGAAGTCCAGCTGATCTTTCTATATTGAACAGGTTCTTAGAAGCATCTTGTAGACAAAGTCTAGGAAAGCCATGTCAATGCCAGTGCTTGAGCATGCTGGCTGGGGTGAAAGGGACTGCAGTCAAGCAACTTGGAACACCTCTAGTTGTCCCTTTTATTGTGTGGGGGCGGACCATGTGGATCAGTCCCACCTCCCTGCAGAGGGGAAAGGTCATGGAAAAGTCTAGTTGCACCAGGAAGCGATCTGACCATGGCACTTCTTTGTTATGCTGGAACTTAGTGTCAGATCACCCACGTCCACAGAGGTAAACACCAGATCTAAGGCATGTCCACGGCAATGAGTCAGGCCAAACTTATTCTGGGACAGCCTCATGGAGGCCTTGCTTTCCAGAAAGTCCCGAGCGGCCCCTTGTAAGGTTGTGTTGGCATGGATGTTCTAGAGCATGAGACATCATTCGCTAGGTGTTGTGGATTTAAATTCCTCTATCACATCATTGTAACTAACTGACAAAGCCAATTCTTGTTCAGTGTACAAAACCACGAATGAAGGATGGTCAGGGTAGGGTAGACAACAATGCAAACAAATAAGGACAAGAAAGAGGTAAAGAGGCAAAAAGCTAACAGAGCAACCACAATAAACGGCGTCAAGAAGCCAAAACACGAGATCAGAGGCAGGGCATATCTGGAGGGATGAGGGTGGGATGGCTCCTCCCCCCTGTTTCATGCTATAAAAGCAGCCCCTCACCCACAAACAGTGGCAAGCAAAGCTCAGATGGAGACAGGGCCATCAGACAGACGTAGACAAAGGCAGAACAAAAAGGATGGAAAGAATCTACAGCTGCTGCCTGTGTCTATCTCTGGCCACTTCCAGGGACAGCAGAAGATGCAGATCCATTCCAGCCTTTTTGTTCTGCCTGTGTCTTCTTCCCTGTGAGTCATGCTAGGTGAAGGAGCTGGGTTGTCGCTCCATACTCTGTCCTTCTCATCATGATTACCAGTTGTGTTTTGTTTTTTTAAAAAAACTTTGTCAGATGGTCTAAGGCAGGGGTGCCCAAACTTTTTTCAAAGAGGGCCAGATTTGATGAAATGCACATGCGTGAGGGCCGACCAAAGTTGCTGAGCTTTTTTTAGGCCGCCAAAACAGACTTTGGACATGCCTGGTCTAAGGCCAGGGTGAAAAGGTGTGTTTTCTTCAGATGAAAACTACATAATGAGGATGCCAGACACACTTCTGTGGGGAGCAAATTCTACACCTTAGAGGCTATGACAGAGAATGCCCCCTCCTGGGCTGCTACCCCCCCCCCCAGCTTCTAAGGGCGGTAAAATGATCAAGGCGGGCCCACTCTACCTCCCTGAGCCTCTAAATGCTTATAGTTTCTTATTGATTGACAATTGGGTTGGGGGATGCACATCATGAGATTAAATTCCCCTTCCTACATGATACAGGGAGTTTCAAGAGGGAAGAAAGAGGAAAGAGCACTTTTCCCACCCTCTAGGACTTCCCCTTCCACACTACATAGAAATAAATCAAAAACTCAGATTCAGGGCTGACACTAACAGTCACAAACCTGAGTCCCAAACCCAAAACAGTCTCAAAACAGTTCCAAACCATGGCAGGAGAGGTTTCAGAGCAGGGGTAGGGAAAAAAGTATGCTCCCCCACTCTCTTTTCTAAAACTTTTTTGCCCCTCTGCAAATATCCATCAGTCCTTCAAAGTTGCTGTTCCACGATGACTGGATCTTGTGAGTCTGGGAAGTACATTGATATATTTTGTGGTTCCCCTTTGTGTGCGTTTGCAATATCCTATCATTTTGTTAGCCTTTTATGTTACTGTATCTCCTTTTTAAATTTTTGCTTTTAAATAACTTATTTGGAGTGTCTATTGCTCCCACACAAACATCCTTTTTTCAGCCTTTGTTCATTTGCCTTCTATGGAGAAATCTAGATATTGTGATCATCATCATTTATTTATTTTTATGCTGCCCATCTAACTGGGTTGTCCCAGCCACTCTAGGCAGCTTCCAACAAATTAAACATCAAACACAGTAAAACATCAAACATTAAAAACTTCCCTTACAATCATCACCACCCAACATTTCCTGCATTTTCTGTGAAGTGTGTCAATTATTTTTCCGCACAATACAATTGCAGCACCAGCCTGTCCACTGTGGGCAGGGAAATATACATCTCAGGGCTTCTGTGCCTTTAATTTAATATCTCCTGTTTGCAGGTCTAACCTTGCAATTGCTTCTCCTACAGAGAATTTCTTACAGATAAAGGTAAAGGTAAAGGGGCCCCTGACCATTAGGTCCAGTCGTGACCGACTCTGGGGTTGCGGCACTCATCTTGCTTTATTGGCCAAGAGAGCCGGTGTACAGCTTCTGGGTCATGTGCCCAGCATGACTAGGCCACTTCTGGCGAACCAGAGCAGCACACAGAAACACCGTTTACCTTCCCGCCAAAGCGGTACCTATTTATCTACTTGCACTTTGATGTGCTTTCGAACTGCTAGGTTGGCAGGATTACAGATAGCTTCCTGTAATTACTCCAGAATCCATTCCCAGAGGGGAGGCTTTGAAAACTGCTTTCTTCTCATTCAGTTTTCTCTTTTTGTTTTTCCTCGCAGAAAACAGAACTGCATTGTAAAAAACACACAAAAAGATGACAAGGAAAGCAGTTATAAAGACCTCCCCTCTACATAAGAACAGAAATGACTTTGCTTCAAGTAACAGAGGTCATTCAAGAGCAAATGAGACCCTATTCTTCATTAATCCCACCCAGCCACAATCAATACCAACCATCAATCAATAGGAAACTATAAAACAGGCAGGACCTGCAGGAAACTGTCTTGTTTCAGGCTAGACCCAGACTGGTGAGGATCCACAGCAAGGTGTACAAGCAGTCCAGAGACTGAGTATACAGCAAGCAGTGCATGCAAAATCAAGAGCCAGTTCACAGTCTGGTCACACAGAGGTAGTAGTTCAATCAAGGGCCCATAAACAGCAGGCCAAGCTAAGTGTCCAAGAGGAAGGCACAGGGTTGATGGGAATACAATGTTCCAGCTTACTCAAATGCTGGATCTAGACACATCAAAGAAGCGTTTCAGTTAAACACATTGCAAACTTTGTATGGAAAATCAGGTTAGCAAAAGCAGAACTCTACAGCGGCATCTGGTATCACAGTGTCAGAACACATATAAAGCGCTTTTTCTTTGCCAGTGCAGCTGAATCCCAAGACTTGTACTGAGGCTTTTAAGACAGAGCCCAGCTAAAGCCCAAGTTTTCTGCAGAAAGCCCTCCTTATGAGGAGGGCCCTACTCTTGAGGAGCCTTTTACTCACAAGGAGTCCTTCTCTGCAACTAAGCACTTCTCATTACTGCGAGGACCTTGGTCTGCCTCTTGAGATGCTATTGCTCTTGGGGGATATTCTGTCTCTGCTTCGTAAGAGGAGGCATCTAGTGTGAGCACGACAGGCAATGATATTTGGCTGAATGGAATTTAGAAGTGAGCAAACATAACAGAGGGCTTGGGGGCATGGAGAAAGTCACTGCTGGATAATAAAACTCCATTCAAAGTGTATTGTGGGGCCTCCGTTTTAATTTCAATCTCAATTTCGTAAAAGCAATGCCTCAGCAACATTAAAGAGCTTTAACATGGGTGTAACCAAACTGCTATACAGACACAGTATACACTGTTACTCATTGCATACGTAATACCAAATCTACTTATCTATTATTATTTCTGGTGAGGGCTAAAGCCATAAATTGAAGATTTTTGCTGTATACCCAATGTGGGCATTTGTATGCTATTCTTGTTTTCATAATTTGAAAGCTACAGTGTTTCCAGATCAGTAAAAAATGTCCTTAAAAAAAACTTGTAGCAGGTAAATATAGAAATCAGTTTCATAATATTCACAATATTCCAAGCCTTTCTATAACTATTGAAAAAGGCTACATTTCTGCATTCAGCTTCTAACTTTTAGTTTAGACTAATTTAGCAGCTCTAATAAAATTGCTCAATAAAGAAAGGTTTTCCATTGCCAAGCATCTGAACAGTAATACTGTTGGGTTATTTCAAAATCTTTGTTGAATTCTGAACTAAGTCCATGCCAATTTTGCATGGACAAGATATTGCAATATTTAAAATGGAAAGAGAATTTCAGAAGAGCTAAAATTTTGTGGTAGTTACAAACATAAATCATATTACAAAGACTGTTTGGGAATTGTGTCTTGCTGAGCAGAAAGTCCCAGAAAACACATACTGTGACAATTAGCTGTCTACAGAAGCACCAGGACCAAATTTCAAAATACTCAGAGAAATGCAATGCACTGACAGAAGGATCAAATTTTCAAATGCAGGAAATGAAATGGTTTAATTCATCCATTCTTTTTGATTCTCTGCCATCTCAAAAATGTTTTCCCAAAAGTTGAAAGCCAGTTCGAATCCTATGCTTCTAAGAATGTCCTGTTTCCATGAAGTGAAAGATAACACAAGCTTTTTGCTGTTGTGTTCTATCGGCATAAGAATAAGGAGATCTACAGGTGCTCTGTCAAAACTGGACTGGGACAATCCCCCAATATACTTCCATGGTCTGATTTACTTATTAACCTCCTGCATCTGTAATACCAAACTACTTTTAAATTTTAGCTTGGATTCTGTAATTTCCCTAATGCTGTTACAGCTTGTACTGTTATACCCCTCTGGTTGTGGTGATGATACATCTTCTGCCCCCTACTGTATTTCCCCCTACTAATACCACTCCCTAAAAATTGCTGATGTGCCCCAGCTAAGGCTCTCCACTATTCTAAGATCTAACCACATCGGAGAGAGAATGTTTTAATGCTTTCCAAACACTGCTTCAATACATTCATGTTAATATGTATTGTTCCAGCCGACATACATATCTGCAGTGTTTTGATCTTCCCCAATCCTATCCTTTTTGACTGGCAGTGGACATAATGTTTGTCTTTGAATGCTCATGTCCAACAATTCCTCCCTCTTGCAGCCCTCTGAAGATCTGATATCCTATGAGTCAGACATCTACAGGCAGTCCCATGACAGTTACCAGTATCTGAACAGTGATGCAGATAGTCATGGCGGTAAGTGAGCTGTAAGGCCTCTGGTAAGACTAGAGTGATGGGTTTGGGGACATTTGGAGGAGGAATGCTGTGTCTTGTCTATTAAGCACCTTTTTCAGTAATGATGTTTCATATGCTTTATGCTAGCACTGCCACTGAGTTAAAGCAATTCCAGACCACTTGGATTACATTAAAGAACACAAGTAACTTTCAGGAAGTAGTTAACTGTTGCACCATCATCTCATAGACCAGGTGCAGGGAATCTTTAGTCCTCCAGATGTTGCAAAACTACAACTCTCATCAACCCCAGTTAGCATGTTCAGTGACTAGGATTGATTTGAGTTATAGATCAGCAATGTCTAGGGAGTCAAACGTTTCCTGCTCCAGTCATAGACCATAAGTTATTTTCATTGCAGCTCCCACAACACAATATATTGGTGACAAGGGATTGTTTGCTGTAAAGCAGGCATCCCCAAACTCTTTTTTTTTTTTTAATGATATTTATTAAAGTTTCACAAAAATACAGAAAACAAAGAAAAAAATATAAATTACAGCAAAAAAGTAAAAAGTAAGAAAAAACATACAAAATAAAACAGTTAAAAACACAATAATGTTCCATAACCTATCTTCCTTACTCTTATTTCCCCAGACCTCCTCATACCTCCCTTCTTTGTATTCCAATTCAGTTTGTTGGTTCAGCAAATCCTTACCATTAATCTTTTACCCAATTGTTAACCTTTTTTTTTTATGTCTCTTAAAGCATTATAGCTAAAAACCTCTTAATTTCTATGCAGCATCCTTCTAAAGTTCCTTAATTTTACAATATTTCTGTAAATAGTCCTTAATTTTTTTCCAGTCTTCTTTCACCGACTCTTCTCCCTGGTCTCGGATTCTGCCAGTCATTTCCGCCAATCAGGCATCCCCAAACTCAGCCCTCCAGATGTTTTGGGACTACAACTCCCATCATCCCTAGCTAGCCGGACCAGTGGTCAGGGATGATGGGAATTGTAGTCTGAAAACATCTGGAGGACCGAGTTTGGGGATGCCTGCTGTAAAGGCACCTCTGGAATTGTTAGAACAACATTTTGAAGTCAGACTAAAGCTGCTTACACACAAAATTTTATTCTAGAATCCATGGAGTCCAAATATATTTTTTTTCTAGTCCACACAGTCTAGATCTATTGCAGGCATGGCCAAACTTGGCTCTCCAGCTGTTTTGGGACTACAATTCCCATCATCCCTGACCACTGGTCCTGTTAGTTAGGGATGATGGGATTTGTAGTCCCAAAGCATCTGGAGGGCCAAGTTTGGCCATGCCTGATCTATTGTATATATTTTTGCCCTTGAAAAGCACATACTGAGAAATTATTAAAACTGATTCTGTATTACTCAGCAGTGTATCCATTTGAAAACCACAATAGGGGGCGTATCCACACCTGTCCAATGGCATTGTTGGTAGTTGGTAGATCACAATCACCACTTCCTTCTTTATTCACCTGGGGCATGTTCAGGGAGGAAAAGATGTGGATAATCTAATCAAGGGGAGAATTTTCAAAGGTGTATCAAGAAACCATAACCATCCTTGTAGATGGCAGATCTAGACTCAATCTAGATTGAAAGCAGCATGTTGAGGACGAACAGGAATGATACCAGATTGAGAAAAACTACATTTTTTGTGTGTGCTACAAATGGATTAGTGTGACTGCAGCCTATGTCTGTTAGAAAGGAAGGGAAGTGTCCCCCTCGCCATCTCCACTATGACTAAAATGGCTGCATTAAGCAATATTTGAAGTGAGTAGGCCAGATTCTTGTGACTATTCTCCTGAGTGGCTTTCCTGTTTCCAAGAAGCTAATGAATGCTATTTCTTAGGAAGAAAAAAATTCTTTTAACCATTTAGCCCTATTTGGCATTCCCCTCCACAAAACTGTGACTTTATTGAGAGGGAAAACAGAACTCAATCAACTAGAGTTGACCCCACCATCCTGTTCCTTACTATGTTCCTCCACTCCAATGGAGGACACAATCACATAGAGGATAAGAGAGTGAATAGGCCTAAAGTGGTGCCCAAACATTTGCCATTGCTAGTTCCCTTTACAGAGCCTTCACGAAATTATAGAGACACAACACAATTTTATTTACTGAAGAATCTATATATTGCCTTTCAAAAGAGAGTTTTCTCAAGGTGGCTTGCAATTAATAGAAACATCTAAAACTGATTTCTAAAAATATTTAACTTAAAACAACAGCATATAACACATTCTAATCAGCCAAAAAGCCTTACATTGTTTTAAAACATATAAAAGACATATCAAATCCCATCTCATCATTTCAACTGAATTGAAATAAAAAAGGCATTTCAAACCCACTTAAAAGCGAACAGAGACGAAGCACACATTTCTAAACTGGCAAAAATAGCTAGATAGCCAACCACCTAATATGCAGATTGTTGTTGTATCTAATACTCAGATGGTGGTGGTGGCGGCTAAAATTTCTTGGCCTTGTGAAATAATACAGGTCCTGCCCTTATAGAAGAGAATAGGGAATGGAGCTCTAAATCATGGGCTGTTTCCCCATTCCTGCTAAGGAATAATGCATGTGTCTACAAAAAAGAGCAATGTCTTAATTTAGGTGTTCCTGGACTACAACTCCCATCATCTTTGACCCTGTTGGTCGTACTGGCTAGGGTTGATGGGCATTGGAGTCCAACAGCATCTGGAGGGACGCAAGTTCCCCATCCCTGCCTTAATTGGTTCATCTTTAGCTGTCAGACTAAAACTGTTATCCTGATTGTAAGGAGTCAAGCGTAAGTTAGCAATAAACACCCGGTGTCAGTGAAGTTAACTTTTTATTCAAAGAAGCCAAAACAACACAGGCCTAGTGATCACAGCAACTCTTCTCAGTAGGTATTGCCCCAATGAGGCAGTTGCGAGGACTGAAGGTCCCTGCCTTCCCACAGCTGCCTAAGTCCCCTCCTCTCCAGCATTTTCCCTAAGCAGTCATAAACTGCGACTGTGTACAACCAATCTCTTTTCATTTCTCTGCGTGTTCTAGGACACCAAGGGGAAGAGGAGCTTGTTGAGGCAGGAGGGGGAGACTCTCTGGCTTCTTCAGCAGCTGCCTCATTGCTGCCTCTTGGCCCTCATCCACTTCTGCCTCTGAGCCTGGACTGCTCTCTGCCACAGACTCTTCCTGCTCACTAAACCCTGTTGCCCCTTCAGCTTCTGACACCTCCTCCTTCCAGTCTTCTCCTTCTGACCACTCACCATTGTCCCATGACCAGTCCCCTAGATCTGAGCCTTCTTTCCCTGGGGGTTCCCTTGGGGGTTCCCCAGCTGGTGCCTCCCACCACTCCTTTGTATCCAGTCAGCCCATAAGACTGATGTGTACAGGCACATGAATATATGAACCTTCTTAAGTGCATGGAAAACAAATCCCAAAAAACCTACTGATTTTTGTCACTGGAGTGCTCCCCACCCCACCCCAACCACAGCCAATGGAAAGTATAGAAAAACATTTGATGGGAATTCTCAGACAAACTTAATGTATTCTGCCACCACACATGTGGATTTGTTTTGAGACATTTTACTGTTCTGAGATGCATTTAATTTGGCTTAGGATAGTAAAATGTCCTCAAACACTGTTTGTGTAAAATATTTTGCCCTGCTTAAGAGGCGAGATTTATATACTGCCACTTAGCAAAGCTTCTGAGGGGCTTACCCACACACCCACACACCCCAACTCCAATCTCCTTTGCCCATAACAGCTGCCCTGTTAATTAACACATGGGAGAAACAAGCCACCTGAGCTGTTCTCTTGTCAAATAACTGATATATGCAGAGGAACTAGACTTCTTTGAAGAAAGAGAAAAGAGAAAGGTCCATGCTAATTTGTATTTCTCTCTTTTGTTGTTGTTCTTTCTCTTCCCACTTTCTGTATCCTTCAGTCCCTCCTCTTGGGTTAAATCTTGTTACTACTGTCAATATGAAAATCTGACCAACTTTTGTTTGAAGTTCCAAAGAAGGAAGGAAGTGGGTTACAGAAACACCCCATGTGTAGCAGTCACCTAGAAAGAGGGAGGGGTAGGCCACAAAGAATTTTGCCGATCATACCTGACAACAGTCACATTTTGATTTCGGATTGTTTTGTAAAAATCCTGTGTTAAAGTTTGATGAAATCAAGAGTGAAATATAAGAAATATGGATTATTTATGGGTAGCTAGTAGCTAATATTTAATAAAAGACAGAAACATGTAAAAGTCCTCCCGTATGAATGATTTTCTATGTTGCTGCGGACACACTGTACCTTTAAAGCACATTCAGAACACATCATTTCCCTCAAAGAATTCTGGGCACTGCAGTTTGTTAAGGGTTGCTGGGAATTTTAATTCTCTGAGGGGTAAACTACACTGCCCAGAATTCTTTGAGGGGAAGAATGGGCTTCAAACATACAGTGTGTACACAGCTGAAGTGGGGAGCAAATATACCACCACTCTACTCCATAGGGAGAGATAGGGGAAGTGGGTCTTGTCCTTCCTTTAACCTTTCACTACATTAGACAAACACTTTCCATGTCTCTACAGCAAACAATTCTCTCACATCCTCTTTCATTTCACATGACATTTCTCAGAATGACTCTGGCATTTAAAAGCCACCCAACTCGTATGGATATTTCACTGGAGAACAAACAAACAAAAACATCACCCTTTCCCCACACCATCTTTAGAGCTGGACATAGGAACCAACTCCTAGAGGCCGTAGGGGCTTCAGCCACCACAATAAAATATTTGAGGGAGCTGGGGCCCCCACGAAATTGATGGGCACTGCCATTCAAATAGTGTGTGTGTGTCATGTGATCGATTATGTGGGGCAGGGCTTACCTGGGCCCCCACAATATCTTATTCAAGTTGGCACCCCTGGAGCTAGAAGCGAGGGAAAACAGACAACCACCACCACTGAACATTTGTGAATTGCAAAGAATGTGTAGGAGTGTAAGTGTCATGGCTTAGTAGCAAAACAATTTTCCATGCACAGGGAGTTCCAGATTCAGTCCCTAACATCTCCAGTTGGAAGGATCTCGGGACTGGAGGGCTGGGAAAGAACCATAACTTTCCGTTGGGTTTGGAAATGAATCAGCATTCAGCAAAGATAATAAAGTACTGGCATAACATGTTTCTAACACCCAATCTGTTAGCATGCTCAAGTTTCCAACCAACTCAAATTTCTGTACCATTTTCAAAGGCAATCCAAGTGAATAACTCCAACCAGAAGGTTACAAGGTCATGGCTCACTGAAGCCAGGCTCTCTCTGTCTAGATCAGGGGTAGTCAACCTTTTTATACCTACCACCCACTGATGCATCTTTCTTGATGGTAAAATTTCCTTACTGCCCACCAGTGCTCGATGGAAGGAGGATTCAACTTGTGGCGTAGAACCCCCTACCGCCCACCTAGAATCCTGAAAGGCCCACTAGTGGGCGGTAGGGACCAGGTTGACAACCCCTGGTCTAGATTGGTCTATAATTGGCATACCACCCTAAGCCAATAGAAAGTGTGCTGGGCCTTTTTGTGTCTCTAGGAACCAAGCAGCTCCATACTATGAAACTCCTTCCTTAAACATGAAACCCCCTCTAATATGTTGTACACTACCCAACCAGGCAGACAGATCAACAGTTATGGCACCTATACATTGACTTGGGTTTTGCTATCACCCAATCCATTACCATGGGCAAGAACTGATTTAGCACCCGACCTGAGAGGAATGAAACAGAGAGATAAGTGTCATCCATCTACACAAGACAGTGCATTCCAAATTGCTGGATCAAAACTGAGATCTAGGCACTGAGTGCCTGTCGTGCTGCTCCCTGTACTTGCTTGGGCCTACCAAACAAGGATTGATCCAGTGAAGAGCAATGGTGAGCCCACTGCCTTTTAAATGCCCAACAATGCTCCAGAGTGGCACTTTATCAGGGCACTGTGGGGAATTTTAAGTGGTGAGCAGCTCACAGCTGCCTGCTGATGATTGCAGTGCTGTTGTTCACTGCCAACAGTAAGTCGCACACGCACAAATGACTCATTGCTCTGAGTTTGTGTTTCAAACCTGTTGAGATCTGCAGAAACCTAAATCCTGCCCCAGATAACAAGATCCAGTTCAAATTCCACGTGTTTGTCTGGAAACAAGATCCATGTCGAACGATACTGGAAAGAGTTGTAGCTAGCTCCTTGGTACTGTTCATAAACAGAGAACTGAATGATTTGCTTCTGTGTTTAGCAGGTGAATTGTTTTTATGTCCATCAGACCACTGCTGGGAATATCACCCCCACCACCTGCACCCGGAGTTTGAGACCTTTGGGGACAACCACTTTGCAGAGCTCCAAAGCGTTCAACCACCTCAGTTGCAGCAGCTGTACCGGCATATGGAGATAGAACAGATGCATGTTCTAGATCCTGGGATCCCTGCCACACACTTTGGGATCAACCACAACCATCAGGTACAAGCAGCACCTTGTTACGTACCTCTGTAGAAATGCCTTATCGCTTTTCTTTCTTTTCTTTTCTGAATATCAGGTTTCAATATGAGGGAGAAGAGACCCTGGCAGGAAAAGTTATAGAAAATCTGATCCACAGTAGAAACTGTTGCTGTACAATAAACCATGATACTGACATAGATGAACAGAGATACCAAATGAGGGTTGAGCTAGATGTTGCCTGCAGTAGTTTGTAGCCTTTCCTTGACTTTAACAACAACACAATACAAGCTGTCACTTCAAGAGCCAAATTAAATGCAGCACTTGAAGTTGCATACTTATTTTTTTACTAGAAACAGTAGCCATGAGGACATTAGGACCCAGACTCTAGGGCAGGCATGGCCAAACTTGGCCCTCCAGCTGTTTTGGGACTACAATTCCCATCATCCCTGACCACTGGTCCTGTTAGCTAGGGATGATGGGAGTTGTAGTCCCAAAACAGCTGGAGGGCCAAATTTGGCCATGCCTGCTCTAGGGCATAGAAGTTTTAATAATCCCTTTCTTTCTTGCTGTCGTCCCAAGAATATTTATTAGCTCCAGAAGGGAAGTACCCATTGGCTCCTTATGGGGAAATGACAGGATGGAAGGAGTCGCGTGACATTTATTTTATCCAATCCAAATCCCACACACCGCTAAGCTTACCCCCCCATGCCTTTCCTCCTATCCAGCCTTAGTAGGCCTGCAAAGAGAAGTACAGTGGTACCTCGGGTTACATGTGCTTCAGGTTACATACACTTCAGGTTACAGACTCCGCTAACCCAGAAATAATACCTCAGGTTAAGAACTTTGCTTCAGGATGAGAAGAGAAATCATGCTCCAGCGGCAGCGGGAGGCCCCATTAGTTAAAGTGGTCTTCAGGTTAAGAACAGTTTCAGGTTAAGAACAGACCTCCGGAACGAATTAAGTACGTAACCAGAGGTACCACTGTAGAATGTTTTGCCCAGTGCTTTTTTCCTAAACAAAATGTTTAGGGGTACTCTCATTTTCCTACTCATATTGAAATACTGCCCCTCAATGAGGCCAAACTTAGATTAACAAATGTTGAGGAGTATGCATACGCCTGTGCCCCCCAGGAAAAAAAACCCTGGTTTTGCCTACATGGTGACTCAGAGAGCAGCTGGATTCAGTGGCCACTATTGGTGTAACCAAACTGTTATGGCTACTCTGTTGTAGAGATGGGAATTTCCTTTCCATGGCAGAGAACACCAGCTCACCAAAGAGAGGAAAGGCACTAATATTTTTGGACCGTAAATTGAAATTGATTTAAAAAAGAAAAAAGTGGAGCAGAAACCTTATAAATAAATAATATGAGCACACAAGAAGAGCAGCTAGGCAGGGCAGAGTTAAACATCCTTTCCTTGTGCGATGCAGTCTCAAAGAAAATCCGCCATGCACTCACCTACCTAAAATCCCTCATGACGTAACGTAACCTAACCTAACCTAACCTAACCTAACCACTTCGAGGTTTCCACCACTTTGAGGGTTGTTTTCCTTTTTGCAATCAAGTTGAATATAAATTTTACAAAATATATAGTAAAATAACACGTAGGCCCTCAGAAACTGGCTGTGTGTTTGTGTGTAAATGTTACAAATTAAAACAGAGTTTCTTAACTCCACACTCACTGGATCCTCTTGTGCCTTAAGGCATCGCGCTAACTTTATCTGCACTCCTTCCCACTTGGCATTGCTGGTGAAGGAATACAATTTCATTGCCTCTAAGAGCTTTCATAGGAAAGCAGATCTGCAGTTCTATGTGAGGGAGAATAAAAATGTTACTCATATGGCACAGTGAAACAGTTACATTATCTTGCTGCTACTCAGCCCAGATGTGAAACCCACAATAGCTTTAATTGAAACCTCTTGAAAATTAATATTCCACATGCTATCACCTCAGTAAATGATGCTAAAAGGGAAAAAGAGATGCTGGCTGCATGAGGGGCAAAATTTCATAGGCAACATCGTCTTCCCTCTTGGCAGAGAAATTATTATTATTATTATTATTATTATTATTACACCCTTCATCTGCAGACATATAGAAGCATATATTAGTTTAAATAACTTACAAAAATGCATGAAACTCTCAACTTCCCTTGCCTCTCTACTACACAAACACACACCCCATCTCTAAGGCTGCAGTTTTGTTTAACTATAAGGTGCTCAGTGTGACTCAGTGGATAAGGTCAGTAGTTTTACCCTTGAATATTTGGCAGGAAATGTGCACACACAGTTACCCAATCCCAGCCCTTCCAACCTTACTCATCTCCAGACAATTTGCCAAGTCATTAACCGCTTGCTACTGTGCCCCTGAAGCAACATAATTGCACATTCTTTACTGAGGCATTTCGGAATAACATCAACAGAAAAACATCAGATGTCCAATGCCTGACCTACTGGGCAACCGAAGTCATGGGCAAAGTTCCATTACTTATCTTATCTTTCAAGGTGCCCTTTCTGTCTCTCTTTGTTCCAAACACACTTGTGACATATTTCTTGTACATATGACCAAAGACAAGGATCAGGCATTTGCTTTTATAGACAAATGAAACAGTTCTCTCTCTCTCTCTCTCTGTTTTCCCCAGCGAATACTACTGTGCCTTTTTTGCAGTTAAATGCACCTGTGAGTTGGCACGCCAATCAAAATGACATATTTCTGAACTGCTCATGAGTTGTTTGTAAGAAAGGGCCACATCTACACTAAGAAGAGAGCTCAAAGCATGCTCACAGTGCTACGAGACCCTTTTAGTATTATAATATTTTGTTGGAAGCTGCCCAGAGTTGCTGGAGAAACCCAGCCAGATGGGCGGGGTATTATTATTATTATTATTATTATTATTATTATTATTATTATTATTAGTGTTTGTCTGTATGGATCCTGAGCATGCTAATGAAAAGAAATAACTTAAATGTGATTGACTGAGAGTTCTTTAATTTCCTGTGTCACTCTTGCTGCGACATCCACCTTCTTTACTTGGAGTATTTTCCATTCCCACCACAATCCTTTATCCCCAATCCTTTTTTTGTGTGTGTGCTTCTGACAGGTTACATTTGTGCCTCGTACCGTGTGTGTGTATCCCTCTCACCACCGTAGTTCTGATGACGAAGATCCAGACAGACAGAGTCCACCACTGGAAGTATCAGATGGGGAGACTGATGTTAGGGAACCTGGCCCTGGGATTATAAGTGGAGAAGCAGGTAGGTGTTCAGCGCTAGGGATGCAAATCGCTGTGTACCAGTTCATCTTTTGGCTGCTTTATCACTACTCTAACTTGGTCTGTTGTGGTTCACATTTCATTAAATTTGGAGCATCCCAGCCTGGCATGGTGATTTGCAAAAATAATGTTATTATTTGTTATTCTCTTGACAGTAGCATGTTCCCCTTTTACAAAACGGATATCATTATATTCCTGTATTTTTCACTATTTACAATACTGCTACTGCTATTGATTGCCCATCATCAAGCAGCCGTCCCCTGTCCCCCCAGCAGTTTTACTTTAAGCCTTATTTACTTGGGGTGGGAAACAAATCTAAAGATGTAAAAACATTGCCTGTATGTAAATGACAGAGATCACCAGCAAGACATCCCTGATGGGAATGGGCATTGTAACACAGTAACAAATCTCTATTGACTTCCCTTCCTCACGCAGAAGAAAAGATGGCAAGGCAATTGCTGCAAAATGCAAAGAAAGCAGCATTTTAAACTGACTTATATTTTGGATTATGGCATGTGTGCAGCGGCGGAGCTTCATGCTCCGGCACCGGGGGGGGGGGGCAGAGAGCAGGCTGGGGCGTAGCTGGCGCGCATCCCGGGGGGGTGTGCCACCTGCAGGGGTGTGGTGCCCAGCGTGGGTGGGACCCCACCAGGATCGCGCTGCCAGGGGTGGTGCTCTCCCCCTGCCCTCCTCTTCCTCCGCCAGTGCATGTGTGTGAGTCTGGTACAGAATGTTCACTGATGATGATGAAAGGAAGGAGACAAAGTACACAGATGGGGTAACGTCTCCCTCCACCCAATGAAATGTTGCAGAGGCTGGGTGGGTGGATTTTTCCTTAGCATTTTGCAATAGTGATACTGACATAGCTTTTGTGCAGCAATGTATGAGACGCTCGGAGAAATTCAGAGAATAATCTTTTTTTTTTTTTTAAAGAATGCATATGTGTTTATAAAACTACTCCCATTCAATGTTATTACTTTAACTCGCTGCCCAAACATTCCCACACACAATGATGCAATGCAGAACTATTAAGCAGGGAGACAGGGTAAGAAATACAACAATGAATGTTAATGGCTACCATTGTCACCGCAATAAAATAGAGTTCAATGGGAAATAAACTTCAGCATATCTGAATTGCACATCCAAAACAATGACAATAAAGAGAATAACGTTAGTTTAAGAAATCATTGTTCAATATGGCAAGGTTTTAAGGAAGCAGCATTGTTCATTCCATCAGATTGTGTGTGTGCGTGCGTGTGTGTGTGTGCGTGTGTGTGTGTGTGTGTGTGTGGTATCAATAAAAACAACCAGCTTACCTGGTAAGTGAGTGAACTGCTGCAGAGCTCGTGTCCCTGTTTGATTATTGCAAAATTCCCTACCATCCCTAATCAACACCTTGCCCCATTCTACCTTTCTGTCCTTATTTCCTTCTCTAGCCTGCCAATGGCCATACTTCCCTCTTCCAACTCATCTATATTGAAAACCTCCTGTTTTCTTGAGCGACTCCCTTGCCATCTCTTGCTGCACATGCAAAAAATTCCAGGTTCAAGCCTGGCATCCTTACGTAGGACTTAGACTCCTGTCTGAAACCCTGGAGAGCTGCAGACAGTCATTTTAGACAACACTTCAACAAATTGTCTCATTTGGTATAAAGCAGTTTCTAAGGTCCTCACTAGAGCTGTGTGCAATTTGCCTCTCAAAATTCCCCACCTCATTTGTGAGGAGAGAAATTGGGGGGAATCGTTTAACTGAATTACCTCAGCATGAAGAGAATTTCTCTAATTGTTTCTTGAGGGTGGGGCTCCCCATTCAACAATGGCAGTAATATTGTGCCATTCATTTTTTGTAAGTTTTTGTGTTTGTGCACTGTTGCAAGTGGAATCAGCAGCAACTATGATGGCAGTTTGGCCACCGTTTTGCAGCCTCTTCCAGTGCTCTGAACCTAGCATTGTTCTGGGCTAGGGGTGGGGGATAGCAGCAGCCACAAATATGTGGCCTTTTTTTTCTAAAAGAGGGAATGAGAAGAAGAAAAATCCCAGGAATCTTCTTTAAAAGATGTGAAGTTTTGGCTCCTTTTCAGTCTTCAAACTGCTTACTTTATTTCTTCCTACAGGCAGTAAAAAGAAAATCCGACTGTACCAGTTTCTTCTTGACCTGCTTCGAAGTGGAGATATGAAAGATAGCATCTGGTGGGTGGATAAGGATAAGGGCACTTTCCAGTTCTCTTCCAAGCACAAAGAAGCACTGGCTCACCGCTGGGGCATTCAGAAAGGCAACCGCAAGAAAATGACCTACCAGAAGATGGCACGGGCACTGAGAAACTACGGCAAGACTGGGGAGGTCAAGAAGGTCAAGAAGAAGTTGACCTATCAGTTTAGTGGAGAGGTGATGGGAAGGAGTGGTATGGATAGGAAGCACTATAGTCTTTGAAGGAGAGACCCCGGAATAATGAAAAGCCAGATAATAAAGACACATGAGTTGGACTTAGCAGCAGAGGTTGCCAAACACATCTTTTACTATGCTTCCAAAGCCCTCATCTCTATCTCATTGAGGCGAAATTTCAACAGTGTTTCTGGTACGAATTCCCTTCTTCAGCTTTGAAATTCCTACAGAACCCAAATGCAACAGGTTGGACACCGCAGGGATTTTCTTTTTTTAAGGGAATGTATAGATATATTATTTTCAGAAAATATTTCATTGCGCTGTAATTAAAATTTGCAGCTGACGGAAGTGTTTTGTCCTTCACAGGCAAGTCGCATTTCACCTTCAAAGACTCTGCCTTAGCTTACAGCTTAAAACTAGCATTGATACAGGCTCTGCTATAGTTCTCCATGGCTAGAGAGACGTTTGCAGATCTTGGGAATATCTTACTGTGCAAATATTAATAACGTGTAAATATTTAATAAAATCAGGTTTAAGAAAAGCGTATTCCTGAATTAATCTGTAATGGCTCATGAGTAAGTCTTGCAATCACTGAGTATCTATCCACAACACAGACTTATTATTAATCTGTAATGGTGCATATCTGCAGCCCAGATTTATTATTAATCATTCAAGTATAAAATGGTTAAATTGTAACGTGGAATTATTCATTTACTTAGAACGATATATATGATGATTTCAGGTTTTATTTTCACAGTTTCCTGATATATGATTCATCAGTGGCAATCTTCAGGTTGTTAAAGTGTTGGTTTAACTGTCATATTCTCCCCTTTTCCCCCCTTTAAAAAAACTGTAGAGGAAAAGTGATTCCCAGTAAGAATACCATAGCAGTGAATGATCCATAAGAACACAGGGAGTTGACTTATAGTATACCAAGTCAAAACAGTGGTCCAATACCAGCAGTATTGTGTACACTCTTAAGGGGTTTTCCAGACAAGGCTCCTTCCCTGCACTGTCTGGACTTGGAGATAGCAAGGTTTGTACCTGGGGTTTTCTTTTTGCATGTTCAGACCCAGAAACTTCCTCCCTAAATAAATTCACACTTGACTCAAATTTTGGTTTTGGTTTTTGGCAGAATTTAGGCCACAACTTTATTGATTACAGAAAGTGAGTGGTTGCATAGGCTCTGGTTCGACTAGCTCCCTGCCATGCAGGTAGCGCTGACCCAGGGTTCCAGCATAGGTCAGCCAAGGGTGAACACCTGGATAAGCGGAAAGCCGAGAATGGGCTAACTCTGCCACCCAAATGTCCCCCTGGACTCAGGCACAACCTCTCAGGGGTTGACCAAACCATCGAGTCCCTGGATTCCTTTAGCGGAATACCCTTCACATAGGGATGGCGAGAGCATTCTCCCATCCCTATCACCAGAACCAGAGCCTATCCGCAACCTTACAAGTTGTGACGATTTGCTACGCGGTAGGCGAAACCCAAATGGCAACAGCCAATCAGCCAAGTGAGGAAAATTCCTGCCGTGCCCCTGTCCCAACGACAGACGACACACGACGGCATAGCAAGATCAAGCGCAAAGCCCATAAAAATAGGGAGAGGTGGGCGGGTGTTCCGAATGCATGGTCCGAAAGAGGAAGCTCTAGGTCATGTGCATGGGTATAAATAGGTCCGTCAAACTGTTTGGACTGCGTCCCATTGGCCAGATTGCACCCAGCTACAAGGGACCTACCAATCAGGTGTTGTGGCTGACCACTCGTACCCACCCACAACACAGGGGTTCGGTTGTCCAGATCTCACCGCAACACATGCCCTCTTTAAGGGAGGACCCGATGTGCAGAACATGTGCTACAGATCCAGCCCTCCTCAGGCTGTATACGCTTCACCATTGTACCATGTAAGTATGACAAGCCAGAGCAGCCACAGCAGTAGCAGAGCTGGAGCATCTTTTCCACCTGACCTTATAAGTCTCTGTTTCATGCAAACATCAAGATTTCTATATTGTTTCATTCCAATCTTCCTTTCCGTATATAGGGTGAGAGTTAAGACCTGCGCTCTTTCTCATGCCACTGAGTAATATATTTTGGTAAAGGGGTGCATAAAAATCAATATATTAATAAAAATAACATACAGAAAATGCATTCTATGTGGGAGAAATTGCATGCACAACTGTACATGCAAAAATGTGTTCACCAGGGAGAAATTCACACCAAAATGCTGAATAATTATCATGGTAATTTCTACAAATAAAACATGCAAATTGCTGCAGAAATGTGGAGAACTGAACTGAAGACTGGAAAAATGAGAAACTGGAAGCAAAATTGGTAGGATCTTTCCATCCCTTGTTTTCACTCATTAACATTGTTTCACTGAAAGTAATTGCAATGTAATTTCAGGACTTCACTCACTGCATAGGGGAGGTTGGGCACTGTGACGGGTACCGCAATGTCTGAGTAGAACAAGCAGAAGTTTTATGATAGCACACATTAAAAATAATTGTGGATATAATTTCATTTTCATTTCAAAGATTTCCCCCCTCTTCCTCCTCTTTTCTAAAAATATTACATTTGAGATACTGTAGGTTAGAGTTTCCACCACAGCTGTGAAAGGAAACTCATGCTCTATCCAGCTGCATTTATCAGTCTACATTTGTTTTACACAGCTGCATTTTTCCAGACTGGCAACCGTTCCATCAAAGTTCTGTCACTGTGATCTAGTAGTTCTTTATCCTTTATCCTTCCACTCTCCTATATTCAGGGATTCCTGATTTCTGTGTTCACATTGCTACTTTAGAGCACAGGGAAGTTGTCATCCCACCCCAGCAGTGTTTCACAGCTCTTTCTCTCCCAACTGTTCACATCAGCACGGCCTCATTAGTGTCAGATTTATTTCAGTTTGTGTATAAACCAGGGGGCGTTGATGGGGCAGGGATGACTTTACCCTGTGCAAAGGTGTCCACACCTTGACTAGAGATTAATTAGGAACCTCTTAAGGATTCCAACTGGAGCGAAGCTTGTTTGAGAAACAACACATCAAAAAGTTTACACTTCTGTGAAACAAATGCTAAGGACAAGCAAGACCCCAGCAAAGTGCTTCCTGTGTTCTTAGTGCACTGGTGTCTATTACTTTCACAATTCCCATATCACACATTGGAACAAGCAACCATTAAATGATTATGTTTCAGCCTTATTGAGGAAGACCTTGGGGTTATAATGGATTACATGTTACGTATGAGTCAGCAATATAAACTTCTTCCAAAAAAGGCAAATGCCTTGTTCAGTTGCAGACGTAACACATGCAAGATACAGGAACTGTGACAGAAAGGCTGAAATCTAACCCTGAGGCAAGGACTTCCTTTCACCCTGCTGTTGGTAACGTTAGTTGAGAAGTAACCAGAATGCAATTTGCAAGCCTTTAAGATGGGCATAAACAAATGGAATGAAGTGAGCCCCACTGAATTCCATGAGATTGCTTCCTGGTAAGTATGTACAGGATTGCAGCCTCAACAGTTCTCAGACTTTTGCAAATATAGGAGCCAACTCCTAGGGGCCAAGGGGGCTTCCCCCACAATAAAATATTTGAGGGGGCCGCACCCCCCAAGTTGATGGGCATTGCCATTCAAATGGTGTGTGTGCAGCGCATCATGTGATCGATTGTGTGGGGTGGGGCTTACCTGTCCCCCCATATTTTATTCAAGTTGGCACCCCTGTTTGCAAGTGTTTAACTGCAATTCTTGCAAAAGGTTTGAAGCAAAGCACTGACCTCTGCTGCCTCCCCTTTCCAACAAATCCACAAACTTACCCTTGGGAAGATGACTACAATGGAGGCAGGCACTCCCAGAATCTGCCAGATTCTCTCTTTCTACAAAGGCTTGGAATCTGTGGCAAAAATGATAAAGCTAATATCAGCTTCTAGCCAGGAATTCTGAGACAAGCCCCAGCGCCTGGTAGAAAAAGATGATTTGCTGGGATCCTGGGAGTATTGCTGTAACCCCCACCACCTGGGTAAGTTATTGGTTTAGGGGAAGGGGGAAAGGACTTACAGGATCCATGTAGCACCACGGGATCTGCAGAACCATACTTAAATGCAAAGAATACTGTATAGGATATCTAGCCAAGTCCAACAGACAGCAAGCAATTGCCAACTCTTCTCACCTCTGAGCAGCAGGACTGGGCCCTTCCATCAGTTCCACCTGGCCTGTGAATAATAGCAGGAGGCCCTTGTGCCCTGGGGGTGGTGATATCAACTAGGCTCTGCAAGCTCACCTGCTGCAATGGGAGTGGCAAGAAATTGACAGATTTGAACTAGGCCCCAGAAGATTAAGGCTCAACCCTAAGACCTACTGCTTCTGGTTACTTAACAGTCATTTTCTGGCAAGTTGGGGTCACCATCTTGCCTGGTCTGAGCTCCTGTTGCTTGCCATTTTGGACATGGTAGAGCCCAACTTCGACTCCAAGCATTTTCTCATCTAGCTAATATGCCGTTCCGAAGCAGCTTTGCTCTTTACATGACAGCCTTTTCTCACCTATAGTTCCCTGGAAAGAGTCCTACTCCAGGGGTCTCCACCAAACCAAGTAAGTAGGGTAACCACTACAGACAGAGCCTTTTTGGTAATAGCACTCTATCCCTGGGAGGTTTGTCTGGCACCATCTTCATTGACTTTTCAGGTGAAGTGCTCTCTATTCACGCAGGCCTAGGCCTCCCTGTTTTAAATTGAGTTTTAAACTGTTTTCATCATGTTTCAGTTTCTAAAAAAAAAAAAAATATTATACTCCCCCCCCTTATTTTATACTGTATTTTAAATTAATGTTGTATTCTTTTGCTTTGCGGCAGCTGTTATGTGGCAGCTATATAAATGTAATAAATAAATAAACATCAAAATAATAATAATAATCATAATCATAATAATTTATACCCCACCCTTCCCGGTTCAGAAAACCAGGCTCAGGGCGGATAACAACAAATTTAAAACAATTGATGCAATAGTAATAATTAATAGTAATAATTCCATAAAATTTTACATCACTTTCAAGTGCTCAAAATGCCTCATATGCATTATCTACTTATAATCCTTAACAGCAACAGTGTAAGGTAAATCAGCATTATTAACCCCCCTCCCATTTTTTATTTTTTACTTTTAGGTAGTGGGGTTGAGGCTGGGGATGAGTGGCTTGGAAAAGGCCACTGAGTTCCTGACAGAAACAAGATTTGAGTGGGGAACTATGAGATTCATTAGCTCAGTCTCTTAGCCGTGAGAATATGCCACTATGTGTGGTCAATATCTGGGTGGCAAAAGAAATGTTATCCATTGCACCGAGGCTGATTCTGATGGCTTGAAGCAAACCTTATAAAGTTCAGTGTCCAGTTAATGACCTCAAAACTCCTTACAAAGGGAAATGAGTGAGCTCTGAAAATCAGAGTATGTCTGTGAAGGAACATAAAACTCAGCGCAGACTGGGTAATATGTATTATCATTACAATGCTGCCATCTGGTAGCTAGCAGCACGGTAGCAGTGGGGGCAGGGGGCCCAGAAATCATTCCTTGTCCATTTGTCCTTTGAGCATGAGGACGAGATCTGAGCCAAAGAAATAAATATGTGTTTTAAAACAGAACAGCTGAGAAGTTTATATAAGAGCGACAAATATGATTGGGCTGCTTGCCAGTTCCCAGCCCAATCTTCATAATGGAGGGAGGTGGAGTTAAACTATTTAAGAGGAGTTTGCATTGGCAAGGTAGATATGAAAAAAAAACCTCTAACTCAGTCCTAAACCATGGTTTACAGGTTCACTTTCAAAAGAAGAAACCATATGCTAGGCAAAAATGATGCCTAGTGCCAATGCACAAAGAGAGGAAAACTTTTGCAAGCATGAAAAGTAAACTTAACTTTTGATAAAAGCCTGACTGTAATCTATAAGGTTGATATAAGTTTTTATAATGTGTGGATCATAGATCCCCAACACTCTTGCTGAGTGAAGCCCTGTTATATTCCTCTCCCATGCAAGTCTGTCCAAGCTTTGGGAGTCAACTCTCTTTCAAGTGTGCTGCAAAGTCAGGACGCTGCTGCTGCTCAGGTTTGGGTACCCAAGTCTACCATTTGTCACTGTCGTTCCAAAAACAAAGAAGGCAATTCAGCCCCAACGTTAAGCCTGTTTCTATGCCACTGATTTCAGTGGGAGAGATTTGAGCATTCACTCATCACCTCTCCCATTTAAATGAAGGGGACTTGAAAATGCCTAACTTTGGCTGGATCATGCCCATAGTGGGCACTTCCAGGCTGTCACTATTTTTGGATGTGATTAAGTCACATGCCGGCAAATTCAGGTTGTGCAGTTAAAGTTCCTCTGATCGTCTTCCACATAAAAAACCCATGTACCCCCCTCCAAAGTAATTTTTTTTTTTACTTCTTGCAATGCATGGGGAAATGTACTGGAAAGTGTAGGATAACAATTGCTTGGTGCAACATCATACAACTTCCTTGTAAAGAAATCAGAATGAGTGCTCAACAGCTGATGTTATCTGACCTCCTCACAAGCTTCGTGAAAACAAGTCAGGATGGTGCCCAATAAGCAGCGTCGCCTGGAAGAAACCAGTGTATTTAGAGGTTCAGTGTGCATGGTCACATATAAATATGCAAATTGCATGTGGCAGAGAGGGTGAGGCAAAGAGCATCATGGTGTGCGCTTGGATTTGTCTTCCATCAAATGAGCAGCAGGGCCTGTTCTTGAGTGGTTCACACTCCCTGACGCATGGTACCCAGCTATATTTATCCTGGCTGGAAGAATTCTGTCAAGTGCTCTGTGCTGTTGATAAGGTAGTGGTGGTGACAACAGTTGGGGAACAAGAGGGAGGAGCAGGAGGGGGCATCCCAGTAGTATTTCTTTAGCAGGGGGGCTTGGAAGTCATTCAGTCTCCTTGCAGTCTCACTCAGTCAGCTCCTGGTGAGCCAGCCTTAAGATGCCAGAACCTGTAAAGAAACCAGGTAAGGACTTCAACTAGAGACAGGGAAAAAATGAGCATTGCCTTCCTCTTTGGGAGAGAGACTGCTAGGTGGAGCAGGTTTCCTCATCAGGCAGTGAAACATGATGCCTTAGCAACAACTGTACTGAGGGGGAAACAAACAGGTGGCTTTCTTTTGAAGTAAGCGCATAGAAGCCTAATTCAAGGATAATTAAATTAACTGGGATTAGCTTCATTTAAACAAACACATATCACCACCACACAAACATCTAATCAAGAAGGGCAAAAGTAAAATAGTTTTCATTTCCCAGTTCTTAGGTTCTCCTCATCACCTTCAAGTTGGAGGAAGCAGGGTGTGGTACGTCTCTTGGAAGCTTTCTTTGAGGGGGAGAAAAGTGACTCCCATTGTTGTTATTTTTTCTCCATGACTTTCTTTCAGGCAAATGTAAGTTTACAGCTGAATGAGAAAACGAGGCATTTTTCTCTATAAGATTGGTTCTTGTCTGCCACTCTGAGATCCCTAAATAGTAAATGCATATCTTTCCTCCTTTTTGAAAGGTGGTATAGGGTCAGAATAGATTTTGTCACCAGAAAAGTCACTTTTATATCTTCTCTGAAAGGCTGGGTAGCACAGAGAAAGAAAACAAAATTTATGGTTGTAAATATTCATCATCTTTTAATTGTCTACAACTGCAGCATCTAAATAATTTTGGACTTTGTCCAGTGCTTTTTTTCTGGGGTGATGCAGGGGTAAGCATACCCCTAAACATTTTGTGAATCTAAGTTTGGTCTCATTGAGGGGCAGCATTGAAATATGAGTAGGAAAATGAGAATACCCCTAAACATTTTTTTAAGTAAAAAAAGCACTGACCTTACCTATAAGTATTTAACAACTGCTGTTCTGAAAACAGTATTCATGCACTCTTCTCAAGTTCTGTCCCTGTAATGTAATGACTGGAGAAAGTGGCATTCATTGTTGCATTTGAAATGTTATATATAATTAATTGTTTAATGTTTGCCAGAATATAAAAGCTAGTGAATAAGGCTAGTCTCTTTTTCATTTCCAAGCAGTTGGTAAGCAGAGAAAGTACAGTCACCCAACATCTGATATTTCCCTGATTTAAATTAGTTTTTTTTCCATATAGTGCTTCTGAATATTGCACTTTCTTGTGGGTCATTCTGTCTGTCTAGCTATACACAAATACACACACACATAATACAGTGTTTGCTGTGTTAACAGGTTGTATCCTTTTGCCTTGTTTGCATGTAAGTGTGCTTGAAATATATGATTTGTGTGACTTAAGCTGCCTCACACATGTTTTTAAAAGGTATCTGAAAAAGGCTGTATGCATATACATAAAAGTGTGATGTATAAGTACATATGGGTATGTAAATCTGTTTATTATGAATGGTTTTGTCAGAGGGCTGTGACTTACCATAGTTCTTCACCATGCACACTTGATGGTGGAGAGCTTTGATTGTAATGGTCCTGTTCACACTTTGCAGTAAACTAGAGGTAGCCAATATGGTACCTTCCAGATTTTGTGTACTACACATCCTTGTGTACTACATCATCCTTGAAATGTGTGTGCTGAGAATTTACAGTCGCTTTCATTTCTATTCCCAGGGCTCTTGAAGGAGGAGCTTTTTTTCTTTTCCTTTTGATCCCTCAGATTGCACAAGGACCAAAAAAGCAGAAGCAAACCACATTAAAACTTGTGTGCTGAGAATTTACAGTTGCCTTACTGTATGCTTTTGCACGCTTCCTGGATGGGGTTTGTTTTTTTTAAGACAGTGTGTGCCTGCAAGCTATCTGTGTGCATGCCCAGTTGCAACTTAATCATCATAATTCAATCAACAAATTAGAAGGCAGGGTCAAACACAAAATGTGAACAACTACTGGTGTGAACAGTGAAGACTGAAGCTGTTCCTTATACAGTATGTACATTCAACTTGCAGATAACTTAAACAATAGGGAAATATATCTGGGATCCTAAGGGTATTTAGTCTGCTGTCCTAAAATCTGAATCAATTCCCAGTCTATGGGAACTATGTTATTGCTTCTCTGAGTTTGACCTGTCATGTTATCCCAAGCATTGTGGAACCAAATGCTGAGCCTGTGTTTTGCATGAGTAAGGTCTTCAGTTAAAATGCTCTGTTAGCAAGTGATGAGAAATATGTCTGCCAAGAGCTCTAGAGAACTATTGCCAGTCAGAGCAGATAGTCATAATCCAGATGGAGAAATAGTTGACCTTGGATAAGACATATATCTTCCTGTGTTCCTAATCAACTTCCAAAACCAGATCATTTGGGTGATCAGATGCAGTAGAAGTGCTTCTTTCTGTATCTTCAAATGTTCTAAAAAAGAAGGAAGGTTTTGCAGCTGCACTTCTGCAGGAATGAGACAAGCTGCACCTTTTGAAAATTTTTCTTCTGCATAACCATTGAGGTGCAAGACAAGTCCTGCCATTTGCTATATCATGCTGGCAAAAGGACCAGCTCACTCCAAATTTATAAATTTATATATTTATAAATTATATATATAATTAAATATTATATATATATATATATATATATATAATATATATATATATATATAATATATATATATATATATAATATATATATATATATATATATATATAAAATTTTATATATATATGAACAGCCCTGTTTACGAACTATTCAGTTTATGAACTCTGCAAAACCGGAAGGTAGTGTTCTCCTCAGTCTAAGAGCAGAATCCAAATGATGGAACTTTACCTCAGTCGAAGAGCAGAATCCAAATGGTGGAAGGACACCGGCGGCAGGAGGCCTCATTAGGGAAAGCGCGCCTCAGTTTAAGAATGGTTTTGGTTTAAGAACGGACTTCAGGAACGGATTAAGTTCGTAAACCGAGGCACCACTCGTATGTGTGTTTGTGTGTGTGTGTGTCTCCAGAGAACATGGCTGCATTCTAGTATTTTTGTCCATTGTCCTGTCTTTTCTCAGACCTGATTTGGGGAGAATTTTGTCTCCAAATGCAGTTGGAAACCAGCCTGCCCACTTCAGCCTTGCCACTTGGGGCTTATGCTAGGGCTGGCCCAGGATGTTTTGCCACTGAGAAAATGCCGACCCCCACCTCTACCAGCTGCTCCCCTGCCAATTCTTTCCCTGCCACCAATGATTCTTCCCTGCCCCTTGCCGATAACAACTTTTCCCCACCCCTACCCCCTCCTCCCGCTGCTGATAGCTCTGCCACCACCAACTCCACAGCCTCCCTCCACCCAAAAACGATGAGAAAAAGGAAACTGGGCAGGGAGCTGGTGGTGTTGGTGTCAGTGGCAGTGGGGAGGAGGAAGAAGAGGAAGCGGCAGGTGGCATACCTCTTTATACGAGTTGCTGTTGAGTACAATTGCAAGACTGCTGTTGTGCTCATATCCTTCTTGTGGGCTTTGCATAGACCTCTAGTTGGGCCCTTGTGAGAGCAGGATGCTGGACCAGACAGGTCTCTGAACTGCAGGGCTCTTGTGTTCTCCTGTTGTTATTGATGGTGGTTTACCATCTCTCTCTGGGCTCCCTGATTGTAGTAAGGTTTTGCCACCTCAAGCAAAATACAATATACAATAAAGATAAAGGGACCGCTGACCATTAGGTCCAGTCGTGACCGACTCTGGGGTTGCGGCGCTCATCTCGCTTTATTGGCCGAGGGAGCTGGCGTACAGCTTCCGGGTCATGTGGCCAGCATGACTAAGCCACTTCTGGCAAACCAGAGCAGCGCACGTAAATGCAGTTTACCTTCCCCCCGGAGCGGTACCTATTGATCTACTTGTACTTTGACGTGCTTTCGAACTGCTAGGTTGGCAGGAGCAGGGACCGAGCAACGGGAGCTCACCCCGTCGCGGGGATTCAAACCGCTGACCTTCTGATTGGCAAGTCCTAGGCTCTGTGGTTTAACCCACAGTGCCACCTGCGTCCCTACAATATACAATATCTCCTATCAAATATTACCTCAGTCATGCACACACTATTTTCCAGGCTTCTAGTCTCATCCCTGCACCTCTTTCTGCAATATAGGATAAAAAGACTTATCTAATTGGTTGCAATGATTTCTGAATTAATGAAGTGCTCTGAAATGATTATTATATATTTTGTTAATGTATCTGTTATCTTGGGAACAATTACAGGGTCAAACAGGGAAGCGATAAAATGGATTTTCCAAATATGGAATCATCTTATAAAGTTTTGTGGGAAGAGCAGTGATACGTAACAAAATTTGAACTTTAGGCACTGTGAGTGGGTTTTCAAGAAGAAAACTGCTTTTGATAAGTAAACGAGAGAGAGACTTGCAAACAGCAGTTGTGTTCACGTTTTTCAGAAAAACCTTTGCATTCTCTGTAATAATTTCCAGTGTAGTAGATATGTGAGTTCCATGGCACTTTTAAAGACTATTGCACTAGTTTTAAGCTTTCAGATTCTAGTCTATAAAAGCTTATGCAGTAATACATTTGTTGGCCTTTAACCTGCCGTAAGTCTCTTTGTGCTTTTTAAATTCCTCTTGGAATCTAAGTGAGGCATAATTAGATTCACAGACTGGAATGTTTTACTAGGTTTTCTTTTTGAAGAGCTTGAAGGTTATGTAATTCTTTAGTCATACATTAAGTATTACTTGTTTTTATCTGCAGATTTAGAAGAACTGTAAAAAGGGAGGGGGATATAAATATAATTATTTTGCATTATTGCACCAGTGGCACAACAGATGTACAGAACAATTATATACACAAGGTTATAAAGTAAGGCTGTGTGTGTGTGTGTCCATCTTATTGCTAGCCTTTTACTCATGTTACTGGAATTTACAGCCTCAGCTGCTGAAGGGGAAGAAGAATGTAAGATAGCGAGACTTGACAAGTTGGGATCAAGGGGTAGCTAAGCCTATAAGTGCAGAAAGTGCCTTTGCCTCTTTTCAGCTAAGGAATTTATAGTAACGTTATATAGCTCCAGAGCAAAACACTTAGACAAGTTCCTTCACTGACACATTTGGAGCATTCAAATGTACATGCCAAACTCATGGGCAGTTATTTTGTTGATTGGAGGCAAAAAGGAAGAAAATACTATTATCATTTATTTTCATGTGTGCCATGGCTGTGCTGGAATTAACAGGAAGTAAAACTAAATAAAGGAACATGGATTCTCACATTCAAAAATCTAATCTTTGGAGGGGGGGAATGCCTATATGAGCCTGAGTGAACTAAAGCCCAGAGCTTTGCCGGGGATCATCAAATTAAGAAGGGCTGGAGGGAAACCCCTTTTCAATGGGTGGAGTGGGGACCATGACTCACCTAAAATTTGGGGGGTCAATAATTGGACTACCTTACTTTTTTCTTCTTTAATTCAAGTCTTGGCTAAGGGGAGAGCTAGCAGCCTTGAGTGGGTCCAAGGGCAAAATTATGCAGGACAATCCAGTGACTGTAGTTTTTGGTGAGCCTGGGGCAGAGCCCAGTGAGAAATCACCTAAGGTATGCAGCCCCGGAGCCAATCAGAGGGGGGCCAAAGGGGCATTTGATGCAGGGTTGCAAGCTCAAAGGGGGGGCCTGGAATTAAGGCATGTGTTAATTTGTTGGCTTTTAAGAAGTTCTGGAACTAGTTTTTATGCTCATTGGATGAAATTGTGACACTCGCTCTCAGCTTAGAAATGCAAATTTAAGCAACCAAGAGGTGTGATTTGGTAAAATACACAATTTTCTGGTTAATTGATCCATATTTTGTCATATCCTTAACACTGACTGTGACGTTGCATGAAATCATTTTTTTTCTCAGTAATTAGTATGTTTGCGCAGCTAAGGCTAGATTATCAATTGCGCAATAATTGGAAGTTATCTAAACATTTGATTTAAGATGGTAGCAGTCCAGGGGTTCGGGGACAGCATGGCATAACTGCCATGGAAGAACTGGAGACATCTGAGAAGACACAAATTCTCAGTGTCCTTCTGGCTGGAAGCTGTACTAGTTTACCAGAGTACAACACGAAAGCTTTATAGACAAGACACTTGACTAATCATTTGACAGCAACATGTTGACATGGCTATACTTCAGGAAGAACTATTAAGAATTACCTTAAATGGAATGGGACTGGATATTACAAGATGATTCAGAGAAGGAGATATTAGATATCCAAGTTCAGGGAAGGAGACTATTTTTATTTGTTTGTAAAGCTGTGTCATTTCAACAGAATAGCTGAAGTGATGTATGAGAAGAACAATGTGAGATAACATCATGATGATAGAAAAACATAATGTGTGAATCTTACCTGTGAGTTGCAGTGTGTTTCAACTCTACAGCAGCTTGATTTTTTAAAAAATAGCATATAAATAGAAAACCTCCCTCTTGTGAACAGCCCTGCAGCACAGCAGGGAGTTCCTGACTGCAGCTGAAAAGATGCCATTTAAAAGTTGGAACTTTTACAGGCTGCATTGTTGTCAAGCAGTTAACATATTTACAAAAGCTTTTGAGGCTAATAGGATGAGTGATGATGACTGGGCTTTGACAGAAATATTTCTCTAAATCTTTTTAAACCCAATGCTATGGGGAAAGGAGCCAAATGGTAGATGTTTGTGCTTCCTGGTAATCTTCCAAAATGGCTTGACTCCCAATTGTGCTAGAGAGACTGCGAAAAAGCTCCCTGGTGCATAGCAGCACAGTACCAATCACCACATATGCTTTGATCTCCCTATGATCCTGCACCTCCTTTTTCTGTGTATTAGCATCTGTGATATGTGTAAATTTCTGCATATCATATGAATTTAATGAGTAGTAAAAGAGCTACTTAATATCCATTGGAAGGGGATTTTAAATATTAATATCCATGGTGCAAACACAATGGATCAACTTGTCTGGTGCTTTCACTCAGCCGCACAAATAGAGTTCTGCCTTCTGGGGACTTGTTTTGTATGAGTCTTCCCAGATGTTTAAACAGCAAGAGCACAGGGTAGACTGACAGATGCTGCTAGATTGCAGCTCCAGCACTTTGTCATGCGGGGTGAATGGGAATTGGAGTCTAATAACACTTGTAAGTTCACAGGTTCCCAACCTTGGCTTAGCAAGACACTGATCTTTGACTACTGGGCCAAATGAATGGGTGTGTATCTATCATAGTGCTAGGATTGCCATATGTCCAGAATTTCCCTGGCATATCTGGAATACCGCAGCCTCAAGCAGTGTCTGGGTGGAAATCAGCGAAAAGCCCAGGAAGATCTGGATGTATGGCAGTCCGTGTCGGCAGTGTCGTTTTTGCCAATTTTCCTCAAAAACGCCCAATTTCTTTGTGATTTTGCAATAAAATCTCAACATCTTTGGCCAGAACTAAATAAAGCTCAACAACTTTTCTGTCCGGATTTTCACTTTTTGAAATATGGCAGCAGACAGTGACTCAGGAACAGCCCTGCCATTAGAGAGAAGGTGGCGGTTGCTACAAATGCACTGCACCTTGTCCTCATTTAATATTTTGCTATATCCTGTCCCCAGGGTGATGGCATTGCTATGGAAAAGCAACCACACTCATTATCCCTATTTCAGAGATGTGCCCTATAGTTTCATTTAGTTTACAGCACTCAGTAAACTAGAAACAGAAAATAAGTTTTAGAAAACTTGAAGCTCCAACAGAGGCATCATTGGCCATGCTGTAGATACTAGTGTATTTTGTCCTGCTATTGTCTCTATCTAAACATATGATATAGGATGGGGTTTTTTCAACCACTATAAAGGCCTGCAACATCTCTTTGTAGATGATGGTAGGGCAAAATAAATGTATGGATATTCTGTGCAAAATGTATGGATATTCAAAGGCAGACCTGCTAGTGGATAGAATGGGGAGACCACCTCAGGCAGGTTATTTGGGGTATTATGGAAGAACAGCAAATTTATAATTTATTGTATTTTTATTATCAAAGAGGAGGAGAGGGGCTTGTGGGATTTTCTGCCTCAGGCACGCCATCATGATAACTTAATCAGCCTTGGGTGCTATGCACTTTGATCTGGGAAATGGGGTGTGCAATTGCCTCTCCACCTCAGGGAGAAAATGCCCTTGGCTTTCCCTGTGTCAATCAATCAGTCAGCCATTTATTAAATTGCTTAAAAGCAAAGACCAACACAAAACCGTAAAAGATCCAGTTGCCAGCTAGATAAAAACAAAGGTGTCAGAACAATATACAAATATGTCCTGGGCATAAGTAAGTTCCACTGGAACTTAGAATCAAGTTGTGCATGGTAGCAGGATGAACTTTGGGTTAGCCCTACAGTCAATAAAATTAATATGAAAATGTTAATTTTTAGAAGGAAGTATTTATTTAAAACATTATCTCTTTCATAGACAAACTATTATGGAAAATATAAACCAATTCTCTCAATAGGGCTTTGCCAGGAATTAATAGAGCTGCTCAAGCAAAAAATAAACAGGATTTGTAGAAGCTGGAAACAGTTTAGTGTGAAATAGTGATTTGAACAAATACAAGTTGTGAATGAGGAATTCCACACAAAAATGTGATAAGGTATTGGCAAGCATATGTCAAAATGATGTTAGCAATTAAGCATTTCTGTATTGTGCTTTTATGAGCAGTAAATTTAAAATTGTCAACATTTCTAACTAGACTAAATGAGATGAAATTCCCGCCATATAAAAAAAATCTTAAAAACGCAACAATCCCCCAAAGGAAGATGTTTCATGCCCAAGGTATTCTTCTGATTACTCACAGATTAGTCTTATTCTTTTTGTTAGCCAATACAAAGAGGGGGTGGGGAGGGCAGATCTGCATGCATTTGTCAGCCTTGCTGCGGAAAATAAGCCTTTTCATCTCCTCTTTAGCTTCTGCATTCATCAAGAAGCCAAAGACAACAGATGTCGTCGCAGGAGGTGTTGCTGTTTTTGAAGCAGAGACAGAGAAGACAGGTATCAAGGTGAAGTGGCAGCGAAATGGAATAGAAATCGCTGCAAGTGACAAGTATGTCATCAAGTCAGAGGGGAACAAACACTCACTGACCATCAATAGTGTCGGAAAAGAGGATGATGTGACATATGCTGTCATTGCCGGAAGTTCGAAGGTCAAATTTGAACTCAAAGTCAAAGAACCAGGTAAATGGGGTTCAAGATGGTTCGTGGATGCACACTGCCTCATTGGAGACATTATGATGGAGTGGTTATTTCATCAGGCCTTTCTCAAAAGCGTTTAAGACATAAATTATTGAGCTAATGGTACTCTCCTCACTGGGAAACTACTTTCTTGCTAACTGGATATAATTTGCAAATAAGGCCATTAGTCCAAATGGGATAAATTATAATGCATGGTACCAGGGTTGTGGTTTTGTCTTGGACGTAAACTCAACAGTCAAGCATTGTTTTACGGCCCTGACAATACGTGAATGACCCAGCACTCCACAGCAATCTATATTGGTCTCTCTGCAGTCAAGGGCATGATTGAGACATCAATTTTAAGGGTGAAAGGCATTTCAGTTTTCCCTGAGAAGCAACAAGCAAGAATGCTGCCCCAGTTCACTTGCAGTTTTATGCAGCTAAACCATTCCGGACAACAACCCTAACGGGAACAGGTTTGAGAAAACAATTGTACGATGCACTCTTGTCTGGGTGTCTTGACAGAAACGAGGCAGCTAATCTTTTTTTTCACTTTCATCTTTTCTCTCATTATATTCCTTCAAAGATATAAAGCCTTCTTCAGAAACTGAGTTGCTTATGTTGCCAGTTGCAGGGCTTAACTGTTCTAAAAAGAGTCTACTTTGTTCATTGCAAAGTTCATGTAAGAGCAGGAAAGAAAACCCACAAATAATAATAATCTTGTGCTCTACAGCCACACTTCCCCCACTTTTAGCATCAAGTGCTTTAGCTGCTCTAATATTTCCAAGTTTCTAACTTATATCATTAAAGCCTTCTTAAAATAAAATTTCAAACCCTAAAAAGCAAAAATGTAAGACTAGTTCTATTGACAGATGCATAAATGATGCAATTTTGCATCATTTGCTCAAATTTTGCATCATCTGAGCATGCATTCTGCCCAAAAAGTATGGATTTATTCATTACTGATTTGGATCCTATTGTGCACATACCGTAGGATCATGCATGTAACATGAGACACCATTTAAAATAATACACTATACTTTGCTGAAAAGAACCAGGTTTTCAGCATGTCCCTTATTCATTCTTATTGTGAAACTGAAATAAAACATTTTTATATATAGAATATAACATGGGGCTTTTAATTACTTTTCTTTGATTCCCTTCCTTTCTAGAAAAGGTAGAAGAGACGCCTCCTCCTCCTGAACCTGCTCCTCAACCAGCTGTTTCAGATGCACCTAAAGGAGCAGATACTCCTCAGCCAACTATCTCAAATGAACCTACAGGTGATAACAAAAGTTCAGAAGGTAAACAAGATGTGATGGTAGTAGTCTCTCTCTAGTTGGAATAATGGAATAATGAAAATAATAAAATAATAGGCTCAATGGGAAAAGTAGGAACAGTTAAAAATAGTAACTAGCAAGAGAAGAACAATAATGAACTTGTGAGCTACATCCAGGGCTATTTTTTTGGAAAAAGAGGTGCTGGAACTCACCACGAACACCTCCCTTGTTCTCTTAGAATGGCAATGGCGCCCACCTGAGAGGTGTCAGAACTGAGTTCCAGTGAGTTCCTTCTGGGGAAAAAGCCCTGGCTATATTAAATGTACAAATGGGCACCAGTTCATATATTACTTCGTACATGTGTTGAATAAATGTGTCTTTGTAACAAAGGGAAAAACAAAGACACTTGCAGCACTATATATGTATTACATAATGCAGGCCTGTGCATACACTTCAACTGTCCCTATTTACTGGTCCAAATACATTGTAAATCACACACTGTTTTCCTTCTACAGGTAGGGGCATAGGAAGCCATCTTCTACAAATATAAGAAGGCATTTTCTGTTCTGCCCTGGATTTGCTGCATGCAACTCTGTTTCCATTCCAAAGCCATATAATGGGTCTATCAAACTCATTTGACTAGCAACAGCTAGAGTTTCAGACAGGAGTCTTTCCCAGGCCTGCCTGGAGATGCCAGGGATTGACCCCAGAGCCTTTCAGTTGCAAATAGGGATGATGGAGAATCAGTCCAGCAAATACGATCAGTATTTACTGTTGCTTTCAGTCCTCAAACAATATGTAATCTACTTGCATTGTGTTTTCTTTACATTGAAATGAATGGAGTGCAATAATGTAACAATGACATAATGTATGTTACATAATTTTGTCACAACAGACAGCAAGAAATATAACATAGATTTTGGTAGAAGATGAACTCCAGTGGAATGGAAATACAGTTGCATGCAGCGAATCCATGGCAGAACAGAAGATGCCTTCTTATGTCCCTAATTGCAAAGCATGTGCTCTGGCACTGAGCTGTCACCCCACTCTAACCTGTCAAAACGTTATCGGTACGCACAAATGTGCACTCAAGTTGTCATCTGTGGAATTTTGGCCCCCTTCCCATAGAATTAAAAGCTGTCAGTGCATTGTAGGAAAGGGGACCATTTTGACAAGTCAACATCTCGAGCACAGCTTGACCAATTGTGTTGTTGCACCCCAATCTCTGAACAGTTTGTGATTCCAGGGGTTCCAGGCAGGGACGCAAACTTGCCCCCCACATTTTGGGGGGCGCATTATGTGACATCACATGACACAGCGCATGCTGTCATGTGATTCGTCCCGCCCAGTGGGACATGCTGCGGGGAGGAGGAGCCGGCGCAGGGCTCTGCGCTCTGCCTCCTCACCACGGCATGTGCCAGGGGGTGGGACACATGGAGGGCAGGATTTGTTGAAACAGATTAGAAATAGGCCTGCGAAGTGAGAGTTAATGGAGCAGCTCAAAGGGATAGCTCTATACGTAGAAACATATACTGTGGACAGCTTGGAAGTAGCATGAAATATCCACACTATGATCTGGAACACATGATACAATGTAGTGGGCTGGTCCTAAAGACCGTGTATCTCAGATATCAAAGGCCAGGGTCATTCATTCAGGGTCATGAGCCAGTGTGGTGTAGTGGTTAAGAGCGGTAGTCTCGTAATCTGGTGAACCGGGTTCGCGTCTCTGCTCCTCCACATGCAGCTGCTGGGTGACCTTGGGCTAGTCACACTTCTCTGAAGTCTCTCAGCCCCACTCACCTCACAGAGTGTTTGTTGTGGGGGAGGAAGGGAAAGGAGAATGTTAGTCGCTTTGAGACTCCTTAAAGGGAGCGAAAGGCGGGATATCAAATCCAAACTCTTCTTCTTCATTTGCTTTCCAGTTCTTCCTACAGAAGCCCAGCAAGAGGCACCTGTGGATCCTATTGGTGTCTTTGTGACTCGGCCACAAGATGGAGAAGTGACTGTTGGTAAGTGCATAACCTAGAGCTGGGATGGGTGGAAATGATGCTTCTGCTGGCTGGCTGGCTGTCTCTCTCTCCAGTTGTTACACCTCAGATCACACGTTCACCTTAATATATTTCCTTCTCAAGGTGGGAACATTACATTCACTGCCAAAGTGGCAGGCGAAAGCCTCCTGAAGAAGCCTTCTGTGAAATGGTTCAAGGGGAAGTGGATGGACCTGGGAAGCAAAGTGGGGAAACACCTCCAGCTTCATGAGAATTATGACCGAAATAACAAGGTACAACTCACAGACTGACCCTTCCCTCTTTTTATTTTTAGCATACTTTTTTTGCTGTTTCAAGGCTAAAGAGAATCTTTCCTCTGCTGTAGAAATGCCAGGAGTTGCATACACTAGCTAACCTACATTCCTCTTGTGTCACAAAGTTTATTAAAAGCTATGCTTTCTATTGGACAAAAACTGTGCAGAGTTAAACCGTGAAACTTGCTCACAGGAGACAGTGGTAGCCGTCAACTTGGATGGCTTTAAAAGAAGATTAGATACACTGCCAATCTATATGTTGCAATCGTGAAAGTTTGGTGACTGGAAGGTTTGGAAAAGAAGATGCAGAAGCATTTTCAGTTTGGAGACGTGAGGAGGAAAGAGTGAATGTGTAGGTATTTTATAGATGAGAATGAAGAATCTTTGTTGGGCTTCTCAAAGACACAATAGGAATTCAGTGCTCTTGGCAGGCAGGCAGACACACATGGAATCGTGGAATTACAGAGTTGTCATCTAGTCAACCCCCTGCAATGCAGGAGATCTGAATGCAAAATGTCTTGTGTGAAATGGTCCATTTATTTCTTTTTCTTCTTTTAAGATTTATGTCTTTGAAATGCAAATCATTGAAGCAAAAATGGCTTACGCAGGAGCATACAGATGTGAAGCAGCTACAAAGGACAAGTTTGATAGCTGTAATTTTAGCCTCGTTGTCAATGGTAAGATGACTTTTCATAACGGCAGAGGTGCCTTGCATTGCTGGAGTAGCTATCCCTACTTTCTTCATGGTGGTAATATTTCTGAGATAAGCACTGATTAGAAAAGCTACATAAACTGGGAAGGGGTATCACTGAGGCCACTTGGTAAAAAAGTAAGAATGAGATTTCTGGGTGGGCGAGCGAGAAATGGTACAATTAACTGTAGTTAAAGATTTCCCCCACTTGTCATTTGAGTTGCCAGACATCCCCTGTTGTGGAGATATTTAATATTCAAAGGGTTGCCTTTATTTTAAGCGATACATTTAAGAGCTTCCATGATCCTTCAAACTAGGAATGGTGAATCAGTCTTATTCTGTTCCATTTCACTTTTGAATGCGTCAACATATAAGTCTGTTCCATCCTGTTTCCACATTAAAACTGCACAATTTTTTTTATTTAAATACATATTTCTCAATAATAATAATAATAATAATAATAATAATAATTAATAATTTATTATTTGTACCCCGCCCATCTGGCTGGGTTTCCCCAGCCACTCTGGGCGGCTTCCATAGAAACCAAAAGTACAGTAAAATATCACAGATTAAAAACTTCCCTGAACAGGGCTGCCTTAAGATGTCTTCTAAACATCAGGTAGTTATTTATTGCTTTGACATCTGATGGGAGGGCGTTCCACACTCGCCACTACCGAGAAGGCCCTCTGCCTGGTTCCCTGTAGCTTTGCTTCTCGCAATGAGGGAACCGCCAGAAGGCCCTCGGCGCTGGACCTCAGCGTCCGGGCAGAACGATGGGGGTGGAGACGATCCTTCAGGTATACTCAACACTTAAAAAAGAAAGAAAATATGCATTTTAAAAGAAAACAAATAAATGTTTCCTATCTTTGCAACAGATTTTAAGAAACATAATGATGAATATCATAATGGATTCAGTTAAGAGAACTGTTAAGTATTTGAATATTAACTAGGCTAACCCTTGACAGGGTTTCTGGATGAACTGTCTCTTCTGCAGTCTAATTTAACAAACCTATCTGAAAAATCAAAGTCAAGTCTTGTTAGTGGTTGTGGTTTTTTAATCTTGGCAATCTTAAAACAAGCAAATTGTTTTAAAACAAGCAATCTTAAAAAAAATGGAAATTGGCTGCAAGCAAATTGAATGGAGATGAATTCTATATCTCCATCTAGTCCTGGTCAGTCAAGTCAGCAAAAGTAAAAATATATATATATGTCAGAATATAAACCATGGCTCTATTTAGGTTCAGTTCTAAAGGAGGAAGTGCAAAGAAGGGAAAATGAATTTTACCGCACATAGTGCTTCCCCACACAAGATTTGAAAGAGTAAGTAGGACTGTGCTGGAAGCCTATTTCTCTGACTCCCCTCAAATACAGGAACTTGCAGTATTTTTAGATGACTAGTTTGACCAACAATTTTACTCTAAAGGCATTGTGCAGTTACCACTTTTAACGCATCTCAGTTGCAAAAGTTTCTGTCGCTGATTAAAAGGCAAATGAAATGTGTGCGCTGTTGTTTCAGCACCTTAGTACAAAACCAGAACAATGAGAGCTAGGCTGTGGTCTATTTACCTATTGTGGGGGGGAAATAAAGGCGCTGATGAGAGGGCCATGCATACAGGAAGAATCACATTTAAACAGATCAAATAGGACACAAAAATCACCTCTGGTATGTTTATCATTAGATATGTTTAAAGCATTTGACTATGTGAAACCAAAGCATTTAATTGGAGTGGTTAAAAAAAAGGATTTGGCCCTAAATGTGTCAGAATATTGGAAAATATTTATGGTATTACATCTGTGCAAATATCATAGCCTTTAGGCAAAATAGCAAAAAAAGCAAAATAACTAATACCATCTTTGTATACATCTGTTATAGATGTTCAATTTTGCTCTCAGCACAATTTGAGAAGATGGTGGGAACTGAATTGGGGCTTAGAAATTGAAGAAGAGGCATGGAACAGACTGTGGACAAAAGTGCCATACAAAACCATATTGGCAACCCCCAGAGAAAGAGTTCTTAAAATTGTGTATGGCTGGAATTTAACACCTAGGTTTCTAGCCTATATAAAACCAAACAGTTCCCCAATGTGCTGGAGAGGATGTCCCACTATTGGGGAATATCAACGCATGTGGTAGGAGTGTCCAAAAATTGAAAAAAATCAGGAAAAATGTATTTACAGAAATAAATTTGATTATGGGCAGACAGTCCCCATGACCCCAGGACTGGCTCAACTTGTCATGATATGTTGCAAATTAAAAACAAGGAACTTATATCTGTTAACCACTACAAGAACAATTATTAACCATGGACATATGGTATATTGCAAATTGGCAAACAATATTATTAGAAGAAGTTGCAAGAGGCCAAAAGAAACATGACGATTTTATGCAGTCTGCTATTATACAAATAACCAGGCATATGGTAGAACAGTATCCATAGTTTGCAGCACAGTCTGGCATGCATGAAATACTATATAAAACCAAACCATTCTCCCACGTGTTGGTCGCCAGTCTAAGCAATACATGTCATTATATATCATTTCATATCTGTAACAATTTTGGCAAATATTTATTATTTATTTATTTAATTTTTCATAACATCCTCCATCCGAAGATCTCAGGGCTGTTCACAGCACAAAAATAGAAGATAAAAAACACTAAATGCGCACTAAAAACAAGAACATAAACAAACCAATAACCCACTTCATCCCCTTTGGCACAACTTTGGTAATATATCCTGAAACGTTTATCTGATTGTTTATTTTTTTATTTTTATTTTATGTAATTGTTGCAGGTCATATGCTCTAATGTAAACCAAGATATACCTTAGTGCAGGCATGTCAATCAGTTTAAAAATGAAAATTAATAAAAACTATGTTGCTAAAAGAAGAAAAAGAAGAATGAGAACTAGAACATAAGCAAAATGGGGGTATGATTGCTCAGCTTTTCCCAGTGGGGACAGCTAGAAGAAAAGCAAGGAAAAATCAATGCCAGAACTATAAAAGAGAAAGCCCCCAAGGCTGAAATCTATACACACTCAGCTGTGTAGTCCCATTGCGGTTGTGAGTAGAGTAGACACCTATAGGAAGGTGCTGTGGTGAACACAAAAACATAATTTATTCAGCCTCCAAGTTAATAACCAAAACGAAAGGTATGAACATGTTTTTTGAGGGGAAGATTTTGAGAATGTTTCAGGTGTGGCTGCTGGTGCCTTGGATGCAAATATATTTTCATTACTACCATTTTTCTTTTTGTAATCTATGTTGTTTCAGAGGCACCTGCAACAGGGGAGATGGACTTCCGCTCAGCACTCCGACGAGGGTCAGTATCATCAGAAATGTACCGGTCTAATGTGAGTGAACACTTTGGGGGAAGTAAACATGGTTGCTAATATCAAATATGTCCCACCTCTGTGTAAACACGATCCAATGGTAGTTTTAGACACAGGAAAGTGTTGCACAGAACTGGTGATGCATACATAGTAACCACACATCAAAGTCGTAGAAAACAGGTGAGGATGTGCAACCCATCTGCATCACAAAATGGATATGAAAAATGTGCCCCCATCCAAATCATGCAAGGCTGATAGAGACTCCATTGGCTAGGTCAGGGTAAACAAAATTAGATCAGAATATACTGGAGGATTAGTAGGAGGCTGACAAGGGTTTATGACTCCTCGTTGTTTAGTTCTCCAAGCTGTGACAACAAAAAGACACTTCTTTGCCCTTAAATGGGCTGCTGAAAGAAAGAAAGATTGGGATAACCAGGACTTTTATGTGAAAGGACTGTGAATTCTGTCTCTTTAAATTCCATCCATATGCCTTTAACACCTAGCTCTGCTTAACTGAACTTGGGGTTGTGAGAAATAAGGTTCTGATCCCTTGCTAGCTCAGAGTCACAATCTACTTGGAGACAATTCCCACCACCCAGTTAATTTGAATATTGCCTCGCGATTATTCACAGAATAAAACTTCCTTTGCAAATGTGCTGCTTTTAGAATCCCTAGGTGTTTGTCTGTTGAAGTTGGGAAGATGTTGAGTAAGAAAATGCTGTTGGGACTAAGTGAAGTTGTGCCCAACTGAATTCTGTGTTTTGTGACTCTCTTATTCAGGAGCATGGTGGGAGGAGGGAGACGGATGACTGGAGCTTTCGCCAGGTAGCCACATTTAATCTGGTGTTCAGCCTCGGTCTTCATGATGAACTGTCGCTCAATGGCCACGCTGCCTAAATTTTGTGTGTAAAAACGATCCAAAGGACTTAGTTGATGGGTAGTATAGAAATGGGACACAGGTGGTGTTGTGGTCTAAACCACTGAGCCTCTTGGGCTTGTCGATCAGAAAGTCAGCAGTTCGAATCCCCGCGATGGGATGAGCTCCCATTGCTTGGTCCCAGCTCCTGCCAACCTAGCAGTTCGAAAGTACGCCAAAAAGTGCAAGTAGATGAATAGGTACCACTCCGGCGGGAAGGTAAACGGCGTTTCCGTGCACTGCTCTGGTTTCAGTGTTCTGTTGCGCCAGAAGCGGCTTAGTCATGCTGGCCACATGACCCGGAAAAACTGTCTGTGGACAAAGGCCAGCTCCCTCAGCCTGTAAAGCGAGATGAGCGCCGTAGCCCCAGAGTCGTTTGCGACTGGACTTAACTGTCAGGGGTCCTTTACCTTTAACTTTTATAGAAATTTAACACTGATTAATTAAAATGCTTGTCCTTTGGAACACATGCATACCTTTAATTCCACGAGCTATACTGCTGATTGGAGCCTTAGCATATAGTCCCTGAATTAGTATGGCTATCACAAGCCATGTATTTATTAATTTATCACATTTGTTACTTGCTTTTTACAAAATAAAAAGTCTCAAAGCGACTTAACAAGATAAAATACCACAGATGGAACAATTGGGAGAAGCGGCAGTGGCATCCATGAGAGACAGATTCATTCCTTGAAGAGAGTGTTCTGGACACGTATGCCATGAAATAGTGCTTTCTTAGTGACTGCATGAATGCTTTTTGTATTCACCTATTTCTCTTGAATATGTATGGATTTCACCATTCACATCTTCACCACTACGACCCTGCATTTTGAGAACTGCCACAGAAGCCCTGTTTTCCCCCCAGCAGAGTTCCATTCTTTTTGTGATTCTAGGTTGGTATAAACTAGGATAAGGGCTTTCTTATCAGTTAGCTACAATAATGTAGAATACTGTCCTTGGGAGTAATGTTTGCCTTCATCACTGGCAGCTTTTTGGAAACTGACACTTACCTGTTTCATCTACCCTTTGAGGCTGATAAACTGCTGAATTTCATTCTAGTTCATTTAATTTTTTTAATTAATTTAATTTTTTGGTTTGGGCTATTGTATTATTTTTCACTTTCCCCATAGCAATATATGGATGCCCAAGGCAAGAACAACTCTGGGATAGTTTATATGGGTAAGGTCTGAAACAATAACGGAAGCAAAATACTGTGGTTTTCCTGGACTATAATTTGAGTCAAACAGGCTTCTGTTTCCTCAATTCTTCCTGCTCTCTCCTGTCAACACAGGATGGCCTGTTGTAGGAAGTGTAACATTTTGTGTGGATGTGGTTCACTGCATGCAAGATCTTTCCTATCCTGAAGGATCAGAGAAAACAAGGCCTAACTGCATTTTAGCCTGAACAAAATATGTACATAAGTCACTTTTAGAGAGGTGGTACTCATATAATGTGGGACGCGGGTGGCGCTGTGGGTAAAACCTCAGCGCCTAGGGCTTGCCGATCGCATGGTTGGCGGTTCGAATCCCCGCGGCGGGGTGAGCTCCCGTCTTTCGGTCCCAGCTCCTGCCCACCTAGCAGTTCGAAAGCACCCCTAAGTGCAAGTAGATAAATAGGTACCGCTTTATAGCGGGAAGGTAAACGGCGTTTCCGTGTGCTGCGCTGGTGCTGGCTCGCCAGAGCAGCTTCGTCACGCTGGCCACATGACCCGGAAGTGTCTCCGGACAGCGCTGGCCCCCGGCCTCTTAAGTGAGATGGGCGCACAACCCTAGAGTCGGACACGACTGGCCCGTACGGGCAGGGGTACCTTTACCTTACTCATATAATCACAAAATTCTATGCTACTAATGTTGGATCAGCAGAAGTATATCACTTTTTTGTGTGGGGAGGGGTCTCTTAAAATGCATGTGACACTTATCTGACTTTTATCTTCAGCATGAAGATGCTTTAATCTACATCTTTGTGTGAACTTATTGTTTCTGCTTTTACTGCATTCTGTTTCTGTTCTGTTTATTATTAATGCTACTTGCTATACTGCACAGTGCGGATGGACATGAAGAAGGCAGAGAGTTGGATTTCAGTGCCTTGCTGAGAAAGAGGTGAGCACGCTGCCATCTGTAAAATGATGGTACAAAAGGCTAAAGGTCTAGATTAGCCTTTCTCAGCCTTGGGACCCTAGATGTTGTTGGGCTACAACTCCCATCATTCCTAGCCAGCATGGCCAGCAGTCAGGGACATTGGGAGTGTAGTCCAACAACATCTAGGGACCCAAGTTGAGAGAGGCTGATCTAGAGTAACTGTCTTTGTCATTCTTACATTTGCCTTCACGTGGTTGTACTAGGTCTCTCAAGCCTGTCAGCTGTGGCAATTTGTATGGTCTGTGAAAATTACCTGACTAATGTGAAGAGTCCCTGTTGCTCATTGTGCATGTGCTTAATTATTCATAGAATCATAGAATCATAGAATCATAGAGTTGGAAGAGACCACAAGGGCCATCGAGTCCAACCCCCTGCCAAGCAGGAAACACCATCAGTTTGCGAAGAGAGAAGAAACGGAAGCTTTTTAGGACCAAAAGAAAAGTGATCTCTCTTTTTTTGTGCACAGAGAACAAACAGGAGAAACGTCACTGCATAAACTGTTTTACGGTCTCATGTTGGGAGGAGGAAACAAGTTCCAGAAATTATTGAGCAACTGGTGGGGGTGGAGAGAAAGGAGATGAGACTCATAGTCTGTAACAAAGAATTATCAGCTTTGATTAAGATTTCTTTTTCATTCTGACTCCTTATATATATTTTCATTTTCTTTGTCTCCTCTTCCCTTACTCTTCTTTGTCTGCCTCTCTGTCTCTCTCTCTCTCTGCCTTATAATCTTCCTGTCTGTACTTTGCTGTCCTGTTGTGTCTTCCATCTGGCAACATATCTTGGAATTCTGATGTCTGGAACAGAGAGTAAGATTTTATTTCTTTTTCTGTGTGAACTGCATGGAACAGAGGAAGTTAAAAGGCTATGGGGTTTGCAGAACGTACAAACCTCCCCTTTTTCTTTTCTTTTTGAAAACTTGGAACATCATAGGTTTCCCATGACATTATTTTAAAATCCAGTTAATACAGATGGAAAGCAGTTAGTTTACTTTCATGAATATTCTAATTATCACTTTTGAAGCAATTTTAAAATTAGGACAGGATTTTCATTTATTTTTCTCCCCAAGCTGTAGAAATGCTGTTATCCAGAACTTTGAGTTATCTCAATGCATCTCCCCAGAGTGTTGGCCATGTCATTGCAACCCTGCATAACGTCCAACCTTGTTCCTCTGCCTACTGGATTATGCAGACGTTTCTCAGGTCCCTTAACCAACTGAGGTGCTCCTATTTCCCTACTGAATTCCTCATCAAAGGTGGAAAGAGTTTGCTGACCATGTTTTTGGATTCAATGCAATCCTAAAACATCCCCAATGAAGTAAATTGATTTAAAATAATATTTATCAGTGACATAGCGTCTTCCCTGTGACCAGATCCCATGCTGATCCAGTGGTGTTTTGACTGGATCTTAGTTCAGATGTGCTGATTTAAGAGACGTGTGGTCATAGTATAAGCCAAAGGACCAGAAATTGACGCCAGTTTCTGTTTAATATGAAACTTTGTCTTTCATTTTATTATTTTGATACAGTGGTCATACAGGTCTCGATATTTTAGCATCTCCATCCTATTATTCAAGCATATCTCACCAAGGAATAAATTGGTGTGATTCTAAAATTGATTGAAAAGTTAATTTATTATGTTAAAGTTTCAAATCCTTGTGCTGATAGAACTGCTTACTTAGTAGTACTCACTACGCTGACTATAACTCTATATCCTGAGATTAATAATATGCTGAACAGCGCCTTCCATCTGATAGCACATAATTGACTCACAGTTAGAGAGAGAATCATTTCAAAACTTGGAGGAATTCTACATGACTGGTGTATAGCCTAGTTCTCGTTTATCTAGGACCAAAGAAGAAGTGACACCATTCACACAATTAGTATTATATTATATTAGCAAGTAGTGTGGTCTCAATCCAGACTGAAATGCAGACAGAGGAATAGGGTGGCTTTAACCTTTTGTTCCCTGCATTCCGTCCAATGCAAATAGCAGACCTGGGGGCCCCCTATGCCCTCCCACTTGAGTTCCAAGCTAGATTGGGTGCCCTCTGCCAGCCATTCACCATAAAAAAATATTCATGCAACTGCTAATTCTGTGAACGATGACATGTCTGGTTTGGTCCTTAGAAGTAATCAGCAGGACTTATTTCTGGTTTATTGTGCTTAATTTCCCAGCCTTTGTTAACTAGCCATTACTGTGAATTATTTAATTCAGAAGATGAAGGTTTCCGTTTTAATACTTGCGGCAGCAGAGTATCAGAAGGCTTTCCTGGATTTATATTCCATTCTAGTGGTGTTGCAGGAAATGTGCAGTGTTTCTTCAAAGGATAGAAATGCAAGTAGACAGAGGAAATCCATGATAAAGAACCCCCCTAGGTGCAGGATATGTCCTGCAGTTGTCACAACCATGGATCTCTCACAAGTTAATCAGCAAGTGACGCTGTTCCTGGAGCTCCTGCTGGAAAGGGTAAAACTTTATTCATATTGTTCCAGAGTGTGGACCTCTATTTAATGGCAGAATCGTTTAGATGACATTGACACAGAAGTGCCATAGGCCAGAAAGAGGTTGGGAGGAAAGGGAACAGTTGTCACTCTGCTTTGACATGGGATGGTGAAGGGAGACCTTGAAGGAGGTAACAGCTGAGAGGTCTGAATCAGTCTAAGGTAATAGGATAGGAAAGGCCCATCGCTGGAGTGTATGCAACTATTTTTAACTCTCCCGCATATGTTTAGAACACATTGACAGCTTACTTTGTGTGGAACAGGTTCTGTCTAAAACACCTCAATTGCACCAAGTTCATGGGTAAACTGTGGTGTTCTCACTGCATCTAATACCCCTCCTTCCCAATATAGAGTGACTAGTTGGAGCCAGTGTGGGAAGGCTAGTGTTTCAAAGAAATCCTGTGTTCCAACATAAACCCGTGCTAGTGCAAATTCTTCTTGTGACCCCCAACTCCATATCTCCACTTGTAGCGCAGACAAAGTCAAGTCAGGCACAGGACAATCTGGGTGGACTGTGCAGGTCAAATGTGCTTCGGAGTAGATCTGGTGTACAATCAGCCCATTTATTTGTAAAAGTCATGCAAGCTCTAACTGTTACTAACAGAAAGCGGTGGAAGAATCGGCAGGAGGCTAAAGCTAGTGGTATCTTTTGCTTATTACTTGCCCTGTTAGAGCTTACCAATTGCTCCGTCTTCCGTTCTGTTCCCTTTGTTTGTGTGGCAAGCTGATCTGCATGACATTAGCCCTCTTCATGCTGGCATCATAAATTCTCCATATATACTAATATAATGGACTCTATCTGCCTGATCAGGGGCCCTGCCTTCTGCATGGTTCCCAATCTCATGGACACAGCCTTGATGTATACAAATTGACTCTACATAGGATTTCATACATACCTTCATCTGAACGCATGGAGGTTGGGGGCACAGACAGTGAGTACAGTCTGTTGTCTCCTTCATGCACGAAGAGCCATATAATCACTTGGTATGCCATTAGGATAGATACCCTGAAAAATATCTGCAGTCTATGACTCCCCAAGTGTTTCATTTCTTTCCACCAAAACAAATTGTCAGGGATAGCTGGACAGGAGTTGAAATGGAAATGTCGATCTAGCATTGCAAGCTAGTTAGATTCTTGTTTTAATCAGATTTTCTCTGTCTTTACAAACCAAGTTCACTGATTGTAGGCTGAGCAAAGTCATAAACCCTACTGCATAAATTGTGCTGTGACTGGTCCATTGATGTGCATTATAATTAAAAAAGAAACCTCTTCCTAGGAGCTTCTGCTACATTTATGCTTGTTCTTGGCTATGCGAGACCACTTGAGTAGTACGCTTTCCAAAATCGGAAATGAAAAAATGAAAGACTACATATACATGATATATTCCCATTACCCTAAATGAGGCCTGTTTCCAACAAAGCTGTACCTCACGTGGTCCCTCTAGGTTGGTATAAATGTAGGGCCGTGAACACACTATACCTTTAAAGCAGGCACCCCCAAACTCAGCCCTTCAGATGTTTTGGGACTACAACTCCCTTCATCCCTAGCTAACAGGACCAGTGGTCAGGGGTGATGGGAATTGTAGTCCCAAAACATCTGGAGGGCCGAGTTTAGGGGTGCCTGCTTTAAAGCATATTCTTTTTCTCAAAGAATTCTTGGAACTGTGGTTTACCCCTCACAGAATTACAATTCCCAGCAGCTCTTAATAAACTATGGTGCCTAGAATTCTCTGAGGGTCAAATGCATTTAAATGTCCTTTAGAGGTGTAGTATGTACACAACCTAAGACTTATGTAGAACTGGATTGTTTAATGTGTGCTGTGGCTTCTTTACCATCATTTTTCATTATAGTAAATCCTTAGTCCTTACCAACAAAGGGCTGCCTTCTTCTAGTAATGGCGCTAATGCTAACACATGTTGCCCTCTTTCTTGCTCATGGGGATGCTGCATGCTCATCCAAATGCTTCTCTGCATCGTTCTCAAGTCCAGCAGCTTCTTGCGCTCAGTACAGCGGTAAGCTTTCCATTCCCTCGTCTCTGCTAACTGTTAATCAATCTCTTACATGACTGCTGTTTTTGTTAATAAATATATTCACAAAAAGAATTTAAGCAGATTCATGTGCCTAGAAGATGCCTAAACTGGTAGGTAACCTGTTTAAGTGAATTATCAGCCCAGGGGGTCCAAAGTTGCTGTCTTCCCATCTAGTTTCTTCCATTCTATTGTTTTTAAAATCTGTACAAGGTTGATAAATGCCTAAGCTTCATTTTGAAGAGAAATACACTTTCTACTCACAAGACAGAAAAACCAGTTTATTTATTTATGATACTTATATTCCCCTCCATCATCATTAAACAAATGAGCTCCTATATAATTAAGAATTGTAAGTCAAGGGAGCTTTCTCACTCAAAACTCACACCCTAAAGCCACACAGAAAACTCGCCTGTTGCCTAACATCATGGTCTCCATGACCCCTGTTGCAAGGTAAAGGAGACTGGTATTGTTGTTAAGGAATTGATTTAGGAACTTGAAAATAAGGGTCCGGTCATTGACTCTGACACATTATCTGATCTTCATCAAGGCATTTAGACTTTCTATGCCTTAAGCACCTCACTAACAATGAGTCCCCTAAACTGACAGGTATTTTATTATAAATAGGAATTTATGCAGTAGAGACACAATCTAACAGGCAGGCTATTTGAAGTCCCTTATGAGAAAATGTTCTATACGCCCCTTTTCTACAGAATTGAGGCAAAAACTGAAGCACAGCCAGATGTTGATGTGTGGGAAATCCTCCGGAATGCGCCTGCATCAGAATATGAGAAAATTGCTTTCCAGTATGGTATCACAGATCTGCGAGGTATGTTGAAGCGTCTCAAGCGCATGAAGAAGGAGGAGAAGAAAAGCACAGGTAAGAGAACATGATTGCTTCTCTTCTTTTTTCCTTCATGGCAAAGACCTCTTTTTAGGGGGGAAATACAATGTATGAAGCAGCTTTCAGACTCTTCCATGGGGGGGGGGAATGAAAGACCATTTCACATGTATGTGTCAGTTCCCATGCTTCAATTTACTATCAAGAAAAGAACAGTAGGTTCTAGAGAATTAGAAATGAGGAACTAAGATGAGAAAGGTAGCCATTAAAAGGAAGTATACGAAATTAAGAGATAATAGTGGGTGCTTCTGGCAAGTCTTGTGGAAGAATGCAGCTTCAGCAGAAGAAATGGAATAAGGGAAGAGAGTCATGGTTTACCATAATCCAATAATGATTTGAAGATATTAATTAGCTGAGAACATAGGTAACTCTCATTAAAACACATAAAGCAGAAAGTTGGGAAGTGGACATTATAATTAAGCCTCTGCCCAGTTACTAGGGGTGGGTGAACCTGTCAATGTTGGTTTCTCTCAATTTCTCATTTTTCCAATCTTAAGTTCAGTTCTCCTTATTTCTACATCAGCTTCTGATTGGTTTTTTTAAGTTCTCGTGAAAATTCACCAGCATTTTAGTGCAAATTTTAGTGCAAATATAACATATTTGGGGGGCAATTTTGCATAATAATCATATTTTAGCAAAGCAATTTATCCTAATATACTGCATTTTTGTATGTTATTTTCACCAAAATACACAATTTGTGCATCTTTTACCCTACTTTATGTATTTTTGTACACATCAGTGCCTGGAGAACTGCACTGCAACATTTGGAGAATGTTAATGGGTGGGTTTCAGTTCACATGTTTTTATAGAAAATGTGAATCAAATACATTTGCCTTTATATTTGAACTGAATCAAATTCCTCCCCCATCCCTACCAGTCACTGTTCATTAGCTTTAAACTAAGATAGTACTGTGCTAAATTGTTGTGTGGACAAGCCCTAAAATATAGGAAGATGAAAAGGGTATTACAGGTCTCCTAGTCCATTTTCCCCACTCATAATTACAATGCACAATTAGCAGTATTTGAAGAATCGTAGAATTGTAGAGTTGGAAGAGACCACAAGGGTCATCTAGACCAACCCCCTGCAATGCAGGAATCTTTAGCCCAGTGTAGGGCTTGAACCCATAAACCTGAGATTAAGAGTCTCATGCTCTACTGACTGAGCTAACCCCTGTGGGCAGAGTTTGATTACATAAACTGTTTCTTTCCCAGCCTTTGCCAAGAGACTGGAACCTGCCTACCAGACTGACAAAGGACAAAAGATCAAATTAATGGTGGAACTTGCTAACCCAGATGATGAAGTGAAATGGCTGAAGAATGGGCAAGAGATCCAAGTCAGCGGCGGGTATTTAAAAAAAGCAATAAATACTAATGGGAAAGTGTGGGCTGTGGAAGTTCAAGTCATTATCAGAAGGGGGAGAAGAAGAAAAATAGGGTCTATCAGAAAGAAAAGTGGAGAGAATAATGAAGGGTCAATGTAGTGGAAATAATTGGATGGGAGGATGTTGAATTAATAAGCAGATTTTTAATGACTGTCTGATTTTATTTCCCCCTCTTTCAATCTCTGCACCTGGAACTGAACCCAATCACTGGTCTGTCTCTTAGCAAGTAAGTTCTCATGTCATGCTTTCCCATTTGTGATTCAGTTAATTTGCCTTTCTTTACGATATCCTGGCAAAGTTGTTATACAATAAGCCCATTATCAACATCAGTGTTGTTTGGTCCATAATGTTCCTTTATGCATGTCCCAAGGGATAAATTACTTCTGTTGGAGCTCTGTGTGCCTTCAGGAAGGCAAAGGGAGGAAGGGATAAGGTGCGTCTTCCCACTTAACCACACCAGGATGGGGGCATCTAGTCAAAAACTCTGCTTTATGTCATGATAGAAGACAGGGTGATGAAGATTTAGGAACTCCTTCTCTTTTGATACCTTTGAATTCTCTTTGCATTTCACCAGATACATTTTTGAGGCTCTTGGGAACAAGAGGATTCTGACCATCAACCACTGCTCACTGGCTGATGATGCAGCATATCAGTGTGTGATTGGAGAGGAGAAGACTTTCACAGAACTCTTTGTCAGAGGTAAGCATAATTCATAACCACCATTTTATTGGGATCAGAGAAGGGTCCAGCAAATTGGTCTGTAGCAGATTTTGAGGGGTGTGTAGGGGTAGGAGAGGAAATGGAAGTCCTGTTGTGCCAGTGGAGCCCAACATTTTCATTTGAAGGGACTCAGACACTTAACTGCTTCTTCCCTTCCACCTTCCCATTCTCTTTCTTTTGAGACTTTATTCTGGTTTACGCCAGAATTTTCTACATTTTAGTTTTAAGGGAGGATTTAGGCAGTCTTAGGTTACGAAGAACAGTCAAGTGTGCCAAAGTTCTGATTTATAGCTACAAAGAAATGAAGGGAAATGGTTTATGTAAGAAAGTCAGTTATGTAATTTGGCATCTCTGCCAAATTGGAAAGAACTCTGGGAGTGTAAGGATCTGCTATTCATATAGCTACAGCTGACCATCAGCTGGGAAAGATGGATGAGAGTTCCAAGGGTTTTTGCTTTCCTCTGCATTCCTCTCTCTCTGAAATTAGGTTTCCTCCCCATTTCTAGAGCCTCCTGTCTTGATTACTCATTCTCTGGAAGACCAGGTGGTCATGGTTGGTGAAAGAGTGGAGTTTGAAATTGAAGTGTCAGAAGAAGGGGCTACTGTGAAGTGGTAAGGAGCTGGGAAGTAATGGGGGTTCCTACTTCCTGAATGACTAAGAAACGAGAACAATTGCCCTCCAGAGTCCTAGGGGCTCAAAACTATCACACAAGTGCCCATCACCCCTCTTGCATGAACAAAGAGAGAAGACAGAACAGGCAATAAGCAGAGGAAGGGGTCCCAAGGCCAGAAAGATATTTTAACTGACACTCACATTCCATTTTAAAGATAGGTCTAAAAGCTGCCGTGGTTTTCTAAGAAGATCTACAAGTAGGAAAGAAAACATAACACATTTGAAGTGTGGTGCAAGGATTTATTTATTTGCCTTAAGTTACTTAGTTAAGGGGGTGCTAATGTCTTTGGGTCAGTGGGCACATTTTGAATTTTGAGAAGGGCCCCAGTCACAAAATGGATGCCATTGCGTAACACAAAATGGCTGCCCAAAGCAGAAAAAGACAGATGACCATGAAGTGGAGTGGGCATGCTCTACCCTCAGTGCCCCTTCCTAAATCAATCTGGAAAAGCACTAAAAATCAGCCACACCCATGCTCACTCACCGAGAGAATCTCTTAGCACCAGTTTGGTGTCTGAGAGAAGGACTTGTTGGTTGTGGGACCCAATAAGTAAAATGACTTCCCAAGAGAGGTCTGCTTAGCCTGTTCTGTTTGCTTTTAAGCATGGAGTGAAGATTTGGGGTCTTTTCAGAATCTTGATTTTGTTGAGTATTTTGCAGTTTCCCAGGCTTTTTTTTTTAATACCTAAGATGGGTTTTTTAACTGCTGTTGCTTTGTTGTTTTGTTGGTATTGCTTATATGTAAGCCACCTTGTGCACTCTCATTAAAATACAGGGTTTAAATTCATCACCATTATCTGCATAGCAAGCTAATCTGCACCTTCTTTTATTGTTTTAAAAAAGCTTAAATACAGCTTTTTGTTCATAAAAAAAAATCAAAGCAGTTCACAAGGCACAATACAAAATTCAGTGAAGCAGAAAACAACCATTAAAATCAAGTAAATGTACTGCAGTGGAAACCCCACCCCAACAACCCCCATCATTGCCTTACAACTGATGTGTGGTGCCATGTGGCTGTTCTAATGTGTCAACCAGCCCTTCCTGAGGAAAAGGGCAAGAGGGTCTCCTTGTTACACAAAAGAAGCTGACCAAACTGGCACTTGAGTCTTACTTGAACATTGGCAACGGGACAGTGTCCTCCACTGAACTTGAGGACAGCTTGGAGCCGGGAGCAGGGCAGGTTCTTTGCCCTAGACAGTTCTATTTGCAACACTTGCTCACCTCTCTACATGATAACTGCTTACTGCCTGATCAAACAAATACCGCAATGCATCAAAAGTGGCACCAGAATCTGTCATGGCAGCAGAGTGACATACGCATGCACACACACACACAACACACACACACACACTCTTACAGGGTGCGTGCTGGAGAAAGTGGACAGGGCTGGCTCCCTCTCTGCCTGCTTGCTTAGTCTGTTTTCATTTCTTTTATGAATTTGTTTAGAAAGATTTACAAACCGCTTAACTCACAAAGCTGTGATAAAACGCAGCCAAAACGAAGCCCACAAAACTGTTTAGAACAAATATACATAAGGTAATTGTTAATAAAAACACAGATGGAATCAGTAAAACTTTTGAAACAAGCATAGATAACTAAATTCTGCAGTATATCTGGGTAGGCTTGCTGAAATAAAAATAGTTTTCAACTGACATCTAAAACAATATAGCCTCACAAGTTAGCCAGCGAGTCAGTCCAGGCCATTAACAAGCAAGCATTACTAAATTATTTATTTATTTATTTACCCCACCCATCTGGCTGGATTTCCCCAGCCACTCTGGGCAGCTTCCAACAGAATATTAAAAACACAATAAAACATCAAACATTAAAAACTTCCCTAAACAGGGTTGCCTTCAGATATATTCTAAGAGTCAGATAGTTGTTTATTTCCTTGACATCTGTCGGGAGGGTGTTCCACAGGGCGGGCGCCACTGCCAAGTAGGCCCTCTGCCTGGTTCCCCGTAACCTCATTTCTCGCAGTGAGGGAACCGCCAGAAGGCCCTCAGAGCTGGACCTCAGTGTCTGGGCTGAACAATGGGGGTGGAGATGGTCCTACAACCAAGGTGTGGACCTAGGAGGGCAGAAACAACCAGGGAGAAGCATCTGCTGAGCCCCACTACCCCCTGTCTGTGGCCACTGTCTTACTTTGCCTAATAATAGGGCCAACCCAGAGTGCAAGACCAAAACTGCTAGCTGTTCCTGCAATACTTATAGGATTCATCAAACTTAAGTGTTATCATCTGTTCTTTTTTTGGGGGGGTGGAGATAAACAGGCCCATGCAACTGGTGACTGTGTGTACATTACATGTGTGAAAATGTAGCACAGATGTACATTTGTTGTTTGGTGTTCATATAAGGATGTCTGGAGATATCATACTGTGTGGGGTGTGTGGGTGTATATGGGTATGGGAGTATCTAATCCTTCCCAAAACATATTGCAGCTGCCACTATCTGATCCTGTGGCTCATGGCTGCTCCCTGAAATATAAATACTCATTATAGAGTATTGATAGCTGTGGAATGGGCAGCAGACAAGGGTAGAAGTGCAGCTGTCCCAGCTTTAAATGGAGTCAAAGCCAGAGGAAGAACTCTCAAATTTTCACCAAACCTCTAAAATAGTTCAGGGTCTAACATCATTCTTCATCATTTCAAGAGTACCAGAAATGAATCCTTGTTGGCGTCAAACATGAAATCAACATGGAGAAAATATTTTTCCCTTTCTGAAAAGGAAAATCAAAACCATAAAATTATTACAAGAGTGAATATTCAGTCATATATAATGTTTGTGTGCTATATATTATTGTAACCTGGGACCCTATGTGGAGGGCGAATAATAAATTGAAGAAATAATAATAATAATAATAATAATAATAATAATAATAATAAACAATTAGCCCTATGACTGCTACATTCAAATTTCATCCGCATGGAAGGTTTTTCTTTCCATACCACATATCTTGGAATAAACTTGTGCTGATTTTACATATGAAGAAGCAGGGAGACATCTGGTTTCACTAGAATCACACAGGGAAGCTAAGACAGCATTTTGATGAGCATGCCTGCACAAAAGTACCAAAAAATGTCTCCAATCCTGTCCGCCCAACCTGAGGCTAGATGTGCAGGTTCACAGGTGCATCCACTACTTCTGATAATCCCTCAAAGATCATGGGTAACATACCCATGGACCATGAACTTGTGCTATATGAACAGGAGCCGACTGCCCTGTTGCTGAGCATTACGGCGGGGTGTAACAATATTTCATACCTGTAGGGAGAAGGACGGAGTGGAGCTGACCCGGGAAGAAGCATTCAAATACCGGTTCAAAAAGGATGGAAAAAAGCATTACCTCATCATTAATGAATCCACCAAGGAGGATAATGGGCATTACAAAGCAAAGACTAATGGTGGGGAATCTGTTGCTGAATTGATCGTGCAAGGTGAGATACGACTTATAATACAAAAGGAACTTTTTTATAATGTACGGCGGCTGGTAAACCACTTTGTGGCCGGGAAACGGCCGATAGCTAGATGGCTAATTGTAGGACAGCTAATTGTGCAGGCCTTCAAAGCATATTATGGGGATTGTTAGGCCCATGTGCCGGATGTAATAGATATCCTGATAACAACAGGTGCTTGCTTATCAAGTCCTGTTAAAGTCCCACGTGCTCTGGATGTCTCTTCCTATTTCACCTTTCCCAAAACAGTTCCTTTAGCCTCTTCTTTTTGTAAAAGACACATCCACAGCTTCGGTGCTTGGTTGACCTCTGACCTTCTGGTGTTTGTGTTGCTCCATCCGCAAAATTCGTGATCTCAGAGAAGAAGCTGGAGGTGTACCAAAGTATTGCAGACCTGACGGTGAAGGCAAGGGACCAGGCTGTGTTCAAGTGTGAGGTTTCTGACGAGAATGTGAAAGGCATCTGGCTGAAAAATGGGAAGGAGGTGATTCCAAATGAGCGGACTAAAATCTCTCATATTGGCAGGTAAGTCGTGCTTCAGAAAATTAAGCCAGGGTGCTGTAAGTTGCTTGAGTAACAAGCTGCTAATAGTAATAGAAGTAGCAATAATAAATTGGTGGTGTTAGTAGTAGTACTTTCCTTCGGGTGGAGAGAATATGTGATAAGATGGTATGTGGTGAGAGAGAGCAGTTGTATACAACCCAATATTATATACTAATTTTACTCAGAGGGAGAATGCAACCTTCCCTCTGAATGGTAAGGAGATATCTGGGAATGCCTTTGTATTGTGCTTTGTGGGTGTTTAAATTGACGTGAGGAGTGTGTGTGTATTAGTTTGGAAGAGTTGTACAAAGGGTGTGGTTATGTTACAGTGAATGATTCACGAATCTCTGGGAACAGATCTTTCTCCAGTTTTCAGACAAGCCCCTGTGAAGGCTGACGATTTTTGCATTCCGGTCACTGTGGCATTTGTGGTAATACAATTGCCCATAATGTATACTGGAAATGGCTGCTACTTTATGAAATGCCCTCAAACATATAGTAATATACCTAGAGCTCAACCAAGCCCATTGCAGTCCATAGAAGGATGGATTCTCCTATTCTGTGACATGTATGTGCAGACAGTATGCAAGGTTGTTATAGGGAATGGGAGGTGTGTCTACAGTTCTCAAGTTTTTCTCCTTCAACTTGGCCAAGAAAAGTGAATTCCTTCACTAAGCAGAGCATAGAGGGAGACACAAGTGTGCTGAAGGCACACTCAGACACTTCCTATTCCCTACCATGACCTGTAATGATTCAGCACAGTGTTTGTGTATGGATATCATGGAGGAGGAGTGAACTTAGGCTTTTCGTACGCCTTATAAGGATCTCTTTGAGCACAGGTGCCGCACCTGCAGTTCACGGGATTGAAACACTAGTCAAGTTGATTTGAATGAAGTGACATCTTAATAAAGTTTGTGATATAGGTTCCACACTATTTATACTTATTTATTATAATATAGAATATGCATACGTATATATCCATGTGCCATTCTTTCTTACCTATCCATCTACTCTGGGGATGGGATTTGTCCTGTACAGAGGTGAGTGGACCCAAACAAAGCTTGTATTTTGTATTTTTGCAATATCAGAATCCATAAACTAACCATTGATGATGTAACTCCAGAAGACGAAGCTGATTATTCTTTTATACCCGAAGGATTTGCATATAATCTCTCAGCCCATCTTCGTTTCTTGGGTAAGTGTTCTGGAATCTAATTTCTGTTCTTGGTGGGAATGTTCACTTTGTGTGAAGATGAAACAGGAGATTCCCACTTGGTGATGCCTGAGCTTCAAAGCACCTTAGTACTGCGCATCTCTGTGTGTCCACTGTGGCAGTAAGGGTGAAATAAGGTTATTCTGTACCCTAATAGGGATATCTCCAAACATGGGCATTAGGCCTATGGTGGGCTGGATCAATCCAAATGCTATTATTTAAAATGTCAGCCCACTTTTTGACTGATTTTTTTAATCCCTCTAATTGCCTTATGTAGCACTACAGGAACTCTGTGAATAAATATCTTATACCTTAATAGAGAAAGTTATGAAAAGAATTGTGGTATTGACCAAAGTATGGGAAGGTCAACACTGGATGCCACAATTAAACTAAAATTAAATATATAGAGAAAAGCGCACACAACAATAATGAGTAGCTTCCACTTTCATATAGTTTTGGCTGTGAACCAGCAGAATTAGGTGCAATTAAGCCTATTGATCTCAGTGGAATTTATGTGCACATAACTGTGCATTGGATTATCACCATGGTGTAAAGGTTGTTTCTGAATTTAGTTCATAGAAACAATTCCAGCATTATAAACTGTTGTTTCCTAGAAGCTAATTCTAAAACCCATAAGAGGAAAATCTATCCTTGTTTTGATAATAATAGGCAGGGGCATTCTTCCAGGAGGATATAGCTCAGGGGTCAGCAACCCGCGGCTCCGGAGCCGCATGTGGCTCTTTTACACCTTTGCCGCGGCTCCGGGGCGGATACTAGCGAGGGGAGGAGGCGCATTGTGTGCCCCGACACTCCCCACTGTGGCGGGCGCTGTACTGGCTGTGACGTCGCATGGGGGCGGTGTGTGCGTTAGTCACGCACTGTCCCAACGTCACCTTCCCGCCCGCTTTCAGATCGGAGGGCAGCGGCGCGCATGCAATGGTTTTGCGGCTCCCAGGTTTTTTTTCTTCGGAAACGGGTCCAAGTGGCTCTTTTTGTCTTAAAGGTTGCAGACCCCTGATATAGCTCATCTGCAAGAAAGTCTTACTCCAAGCCAGCAATCTCTTCTGAATAGCTTTGGTACTGTTTTTGGTGTAGAGGACCAGTCTTTGTACAGTCTTCTACTCCAATAAATGGAGAGCCTCAAGTCTGCAGGTGCTCAATGTGTGCATTTACCTTCCCATTATTTTATGGCAAGTCATAGGACAAACAGTACTGTGCTAGCAATTTATTTCAGCGTTTATATGGAAAATCCATTATAGCTTCTGCTCTCATTCATTTTTATAGGTACTGTTCAGTTTCATTCCCATTTGGCAGATATATATGCTCAAAATATAAAGGGTTTTTAATTGTTGATCATTGTGTCATTGGTGCTGCCTAAACTCCCCCGCCCCCAAATAGTACAAACCATATCCATTAACCTCATCTATAGGACTGTTTGAAAGGATGTGGATTCTACTGTTCAGGATAAGCCTTGGTCCACCCACACATTAGGGGCATGTGGAAAAATTTGTCTGTTTTGGTTTCTTTCCATTTCTTATTTTTCCAGTCTTAAATCCTCCACATTTCCACAGCAGTGTGCCCATTTAATAAATCCTCATGAAAATTTAGTAGCATTTTTAGTACAATTTCCCCCCAACACCTTGGTATACAGTTTTGACTCAGATACACATTTTTGCAAGCAATTTTCCCCTAATGTATATTACTTCATGGATTTATACATTTAATGCATTTTTTCCTCCAGTACATTCACCAGACTTTTAGAAGACATCTGAAGGCAGACCTGCTTAGGGAAGCTTTTAATGTTTGGTGCATTACTATATTTTAATATTTTGTTGGAAGCTGCCCAGAGTGGCTGGGGAAGCCCAGCCAGATGGGCGGGGTATAAACAACAACAACAACAACATAGTATTATTATTATTATTATTATTATTATTATTATTATTATTATTATTTGGGTGGAAAGCTGCTCTACAAAATTCAGAGATATGTGAATTTCAAATGATAAAATGTGTTTTGGGTTATGTATAGTTGTGAATTAGTTTCTCATTAAAATATCAAAGAAAGAAAGAAAGAAAGAAAGAAAGAAAGAAAGAAAGAAAGAAAGAATTTATCCCACAGCCCTGTTCTAGACCCTGGCCTGCAGTTTGGACTAGCAGTGACCAGAAAAGGAATAGGCATGATCCTCAAGTATGCTGAGTGTCAAGTGTGTGCAAGTCCACACCTAATACGAAATAAAAAACAAGAAGTGCCTCCATCCAACTGAGCAAATGGAGAAACAGCTGTTCAAATTAAAAATGAAAACTCTTTTTATGAAAGAAACATGAGTCAGATGGAATTCCAGTAGAGGTCTTGAAGCCAATGGTTGGAGAAGGGTGGTGGCTATCTAATGTCTCAAGAATTTCATTGTAAAAAAGGAGAAGGTGCCAGATGGAGAAGCATTAGGACAGATGGTCATGGCTATGGAAATGTGCAGGTCACTTCTGACCATTCCTAAACCTTGCTGTACTGGCAAGTACATGCCTTAGATATAGCATACTGTGCGTCTGCATTGATGCAACACCACAAAGCCTGAAATAGAAATCTGGGCTACCTGAGCCAATGGAAAAGATCTCTTTGAGCAATCAGCATTGTTTCACAAAATGCTTTCTTTCCCATGGAATTTTTTTTTTTTTTTGAAAATAATATTTATTACTTTTCCAACATTTAAACACTACAAAAAAAATTGAACAATACAATACAATACAATACAAAAACACTACATAACACTAACACATTAAACTAACAAAACAAAACAAAAACAGTTTAAAACACATCAAACAATTTCAGTATCTTATCTTTCATTCACTTACTTCAATGACCTCCTCACACCTCCCTTTTTGTATTCCACTTCTATTAATTGTTTCAGCAATTCCTTTCCATCTTCCTCTGCTTTCTATCCTATAATTATCTTAACACATTCTAACCTTATTTTTCCCTTTAATACTCTATTAATCTATTTATACTTAATTCCTTATAACATTTCTACTAAAGCCATATAAGTTCATTCCAACATTTTTTCTAACATTCATTAATTTTACAATATTTCTGTAAATAGTCCTTAAACTTTTTCCAGTCTTCTTCCACCGACTCTTCTCCCTGGTTTCGGATTCTGCCAGTCATTTCCGCCAATTCCATATAGTCCATCAACTTCATCTGCCATTCTTCCCGGGTGGGTAAATCTTGTGTCTTCCAATACTTCACGATAAGTATTCTTGCTGCTGTTGTTGCATACATAAAAAAAGTTCTATCCTTCTTTGGCACCAATTGGCCAACCATGCCCAGGAGAAAGGCCTCTGGTTTCTTCAGTAAGGTATATTTAAATACCTTTTTCATTTCGTTATAAATCATCTCCCAGAATGTCTTAATCCTTGGGCATGTCCACCAAAGGTGAAAGAATGTACCTTCAGTCTCATTACATTTCCAACATTTATTATCGGGCAAATGGTAAATTTTTGCAAGCTTGACTGGTGTCATGTACCACCTATAAATCATTTTCATTAAATTTTCTCTTAGGGCATTACATTCCGTGAATTTCATACCTGTGGTCCATAACTGTTCCCAGTCAGCCATCATTATGTTATGTCCAACATCTTGTGCCCATTTAATCATAGCTGATTTTACCATTTCATCCTGAGTGTTCCATTTCAACAGCAAGTTATACATTCTTGACAAATTCTTGATTTTTGGATCTAACAATTCTGTTTCCAATTTTGATTTTTCCACCTGGAAACCAACTTTTTTGTCCAGATTCTATGCCTCCATTATTTGATAATAATGGAGCCAATCTCGTGCTTTGTTTTTCAATTTTTCAAAGCTCTGCAATTTTATTCTGTCTCCATCTTGTTCCAGAATTTCCCAATATTTCTGCCATTTGGCCTCCATATTGAGTTTTTTCTGTGCCTTCGCTTCCATTGGTAACAACCATCTTGGGGTTTTCTTTTCTAACAAATCCTTATATCTTATCCAAACATTAAACAATGCTTTTCTAACAATATGATTTTTAAACGCTTTGTGTGCTTTTACCTTATCGTACCACAAATATGCATGCCAGCCAAATGCATTATTGAAGCCTTCTAAATCCAACACGTCAGTGCTTTCAAGAAGCAGCCATTCTCTCAGCCAGCAAAAAGCAGCTGATTCATAATAAAGTTTAAGGTCTGTCAGGGCAAATCCACCTCTTTCTTTGGCATCAGCTAATATCTTAAATTTTATTCGAGGCTTCTTGCCCTGCCAAACAATTCTGGAAATATCTTTCTGCCACTTGTCCATCTTATCCAAAATTTTCAATGTTTGAAACAAAAACAACATCCTTGGCAGCACATTCATTTTTATCACAGCAATTCGGCCTAACAATGATAACCTCAAATTTGTCCATATTTCTAAATCCTTTTTCACTTCAATCCAACATTTTTCATAATTATCCTTAAATAAATTCACATTTTTGGCAGTCATGTTAACCCCTAAATATTTCACTTTCTTGACCAATGTTAGTCCTGTCTCCTCCTGAAACTTCTCTCTCTCATTCACAGTTAAGTTTTTCTCTAAAACCTTAGTTTTCATCTTGTTCAACTTAAAACCTGCTACCTGTCCGAATTCTTGAATCAGTTCCAATACCCTTTTAGTACTAGATTCTGGCTCCTGTAAAGTCAATACTAAGTTGTCAGCAAATGCTTTCAGTTTGTACTGTTTAGCTCTCACTTGTATACCTTTAACCTCTTGGTCCTTTCTAATCATATTTAACAAAACCTTAAGGACCGATATAAAGAGCAATGGAGAAATTGGGCAACCTTGTCATGTCTCTTTCTCAATCTTAAACTCTTCTGTCACTACATTGTTCACAATTTTGCCTTTTGTTCTGAATAAATTGCACCTATACCATTTTCAAAACCTTGACCTACCCCATCCCCTGTAGATTCTTCTTCATAAAGCTCCAAGAAATGTTGTCAAAGGCTTTCTCTGCGTCCACCAATATCAAGACAGCCTTAGTATTGATATTCACTTGAAGTTTTTCTAGAATATTAATTATATTCCTCATGTTGTCAGACAAATGTCTGCCCGGGAGAAACCTCGCTTGGTCTTTATGAATTTCTTCTACTAACACCTTTTTTAATCTTTTAGCCAAAATATCTGCAAAAATTTTGTAATCCACATTAAGCAGCGATATGGGGCGGTAGTTCTTGAGCTGTGTCTTTTCAGTCTCTGTTTTCGGTATAAGTGTAATATAAGCTTCCTTCCATGACTCTGGTGCCTTTCTCCCTTCCAATATTTCATTGCAGACTTCCTTCAATGGTTGTATTAACCATTCTTTCAAAGATCTGTAGTATCTTGAAGTCAAACCATCTGGTCCTGGAGATTTACTTAATTGCATGTTCTGGATGGCCCCTTCTACCTCCTGATCCGTTATTTTGTAATTTAACATTAGCTGTTTTTCCTGAGAGATTTTGTGCAATCCATTTATTTTCAAAAATCGATCAATGTCCATTTCTTTCTGCTTCTCCTGTGTATAAAGTTGTTTGAAATACCTCTGGAAACACTTCCTGATCTCCACTGGGTTCTGTATATTCTTTCCTTCCACTTCCAAATTCGTAATAGTATTGAGTTTTTGTCTTTTTATCATTTGCCAGGCCAACAATTTTCCACACTTATTTGCCGATTCAAATGTCTTTTGCCTCATCTGTTTAATCTTCCATTCTATTTCCTGATTCATCAGCTTCATATATTGTACTTGGTATAACTTTATCTCTTTCAGAATCTCCTGCGACTTTGGTTTTGCTCTCAGTTTCTTCTCTCCTTCCTTTATCTTCCCCAGGATTTTATCCTTTTTTTCATTCTGAGTTCTCTTCTTAATTGCATTCTGTTGTATTAGGGATCCTCTCATAACCGCTTTGCTTGCTCTTTTTTCCACTGTAGTATTCATGTTTATCTCGAAATAATCTCTTAGAGTTTTTTGGGCCTTCTTGGTCACCTCTTCATTCCTGAACAAAGTATCGTTCATCCTCCATCTAAAGGAACCAATTGGCATCAATTTCATTTCCATCTTCACCGCATTATGGTCAGAACAAGTTTTGGGGCAAATCTCCACTTTGCTGATCTTCGGAACCAATCCCCTGGTTACCCAGATTTGGTCAATTCTTGTCCATGTCATTTTAGCCTCAGAGAAGAAAGTTCCCTCTCTTCCCAGAGGGTTCTCCATTCTCCAAATGTCAACTAAGTCCATATTTTCAGTCATGTCAAAAAAGGTTTTTGGTAGTCTACCATCTTTGGTGACTACCTGTCTCTGTGCCTTGTCCATATTTGTAGACACCACTCCATTCATATCTCCCATCAATATCATATTATAGTCCATGTAATCCATCAGAGTCTCATGTAGCTTCTTAAAGAACTCCGATTTTCCTTCATTTGGTGCATAAATACCTACAATCAAGAATTTCTCTCCTTGTGATTGAATTTCAATTGCAACAAATCTTCCTTGATCATCTTTGAATATGAATTTCGGTGATAGGCTCTCCTTTGCACAAAGGACCACTCCTCTTTTTTTTAACTTTATCTGATGAAATAAATTCTTGGCCCAGTCTTTTATTACTCAATATCTTCCTGTGTAGCCTTATCACATGTGTTTCTTGTAAACAAATCAAGTCCAAATGTTCTTTTTTCAATAAATGAAAGACTCTCCGCCTTTTTTCTGGAGAATTTAATCCATTCACATTCCAGCTAGAAACCTGCAACGCCATCATGTAATTACGCTGATGTTCCTCCAACTACACCCAATGCTTGCTCTTCTTCTGTTGGTGGTAATGGTGACACGTTCACTGGGAGATCCAATACAAAGGATAATGCTGATTATCAGCATTATCCTTTCCCATGGAAATTTATGACAGTGTGCTAACTCCTGCATACTTGCCTATAAGCTAGTTGATGTGAATTAATTGTCTGAGGGGAAGGGATTGATATAAACTATGACAGATGGTTTGATATATGGAGAATCCAGACTAAGGATAAACATTTGGAGTAGTTAATTTTTTGATCTCTCTCAGCTCCATGGATCTAGGATTCTGTGTTATGCACATTGAACAAATGACATGGTTAAGTTAGCAGCAACAGAAATGCAAATTGGTGAATAAATTAAATTGGGGAGACAAATCTGAGGAGCTTGGATACAGAGAAAGTCAGGAGTGTGTGAGAGTGTTGTTTATAGAAACAGGGTCATACGGGATGATAGAAGAAGGCACAATATCAAGTGAAAGGCTGAATATGAGAGAGGTAGCACTAGCAAAAGAAAAGAAGCCAGAACTGAAGAAGGTAGAATTCTGGATGGTACAACTGCAAATTGCAGTTGGGAAAGTTATATTTTTGAATGCTTCTTTGTATTTTTTTTAAAAAAAGCTTTTAAGGGGCGGGGTAGCCTAGGCCTCTCCTTGCTTATGTATATGGGGAAGCACTCAAAAATATTCCTGTCTGCAGTCCTATGTAAAAAATGTAGCTCAGCTCTTATTTACAGCACAGTTCAGACAAAGTTAAGCACTTTTGTCCTTTTAATTTCAACAGGAGAGCTGAACATGTGCTTAAATTTCTCCCATTGAAATTAAATTAATGTGTCTTCAGTGCTTGACTTTGGTGAGATTGTACCCTCACATAAGAAAATTATTTGTGTTTGGTAAAGATTCATAAGTTAACTCAATAAATAAAGTTAACCCCCTCCACCTATCAGGAACCGGATCCTAGCCTGCTTTGGCCAATGAGGATGCAGGATGGGACTTGGGCTATGCCAGGGGATGGAGCCGGCAGAGTGGGTAGGTTTCCCTCAGATCCCTTGCCCATTTAAGCAGCCCACATCTGGGGCACTAGCTGTTCTCAGTTGGCAGTTGGGCATTGGGGAAATCCTTTATTTTGGATGGAGGGGAGGCTGTAATCTCCGCTTGCCCCTCCAAACACTGGGGTATCCCCTTAAAGGGATCGGGGGGGGGGAGTGCCTGTGGCCGCATGCTGAGGCAGGGCCAGGCCCAAAAGCAAACCCCCAGACAATGGTCCCTGTGTGGGTCACCCTATTTGATGTAAGTCTTAGGAACCTCCACCTGGATTGACCACACATCACTTCCAGCGGGTGAGCCGGAAAAATTTAGATGGCCCCATGTCCAAGCCAAACCTCTTTCATCTGTATTCAATAAAGTTGTGTCCTGTTTTGACCCCAAGCCAGTCTTATTGGTCTCTTATTTATATGGGTTGGAGTATGGGGAACCCGACACCTGGTCCCACAACAAGCATGCAGCTCTGGTGGTGAAAGGCATGTGACAGGATAGTGTATGAACTGTTTCAGCAGATAGAAAATATGAAATCCCAAGTATTGGCAAAGTACAGTCATTTGTTGTCATAAAGGCACCAGAATTTCTAAGATGAATCGCTTTGGGGCAAAAATTAAGGACAACGTTCCTTACATTGTATCCTGATTTTCTTACCTGCTTCTCCTAGTGTTGACAGCTTTACATCATGAGAGGTTATTGTTTATGCATTTTGAAAATGAGCCTATGAATGGTCCATTTTCACATCCAACAGAGGAACTGACTTGGGGGTGCAGTTCTAAAGATATGTTGTTGTTGATTTTACTGTGTTTTATTGTGATTTTATGGCTCTGATGATGGTTTATTATTGATTGATTTAATTTGTGTTAGCCACTCTTCTCCTGAGTGGAGGAAAGGGTGGGATATAAAAATAATAGATTATAAAATAAAAACTTTCAGATACATTTTATCCTTTTTCTTTCTTTTCCAGAGGTTAAGATTGACTTTGTGCCTAGACACGGTAAGGGCAATATGTTCCATTCACAAGTCAATGAAATGGGAGAAAGGCAAAATAAAATTGAATCTTTGAGTAATCCTCAGTAATGCTAGAAAATTCTTCTTTGCCTTTATGCTTTTGCTGCAGAACCTCCCAAAATCCGCCTGGACTGCATGGGCCAGTCTCCTGACACCATAATTGTGGTGGCTGGAAACAAGTTGAGACTTGATGTACCCATATCAGGAGATCCAGTACCCACAGTGATCTGGCAGAAAGTAAACAAGGTAAAAATGTCACCGTGTCCAAGATGGTTCAGCTCAAGCACGTATGTTCTTATTCCTTATTTTATTTCAGAATCAAAGCTGGATTAATAAAATAAAAAGAAATAGTTACTTAAAAAGATATTGACTTTAATGTGTGTTCTAAAATAATATATATATAACATTTACCATTCCAAGTAAGCACTTTAAAAAAAGGCAACCTCAAAATGGTCAAAGCAGCTTCAGTTCTGAGTTTGTTGAGGATAGCAGTCCAAGCAACAAGGTCAAGTCCCCTTGTGATAGTGGATGTGTTCCCACATTTATGTTCATTGCACTTATCTCCCATCTGATGAACACGTGGAAATGCTACTGTTTATGTTTTGATCATTTATCATGGATCATTGCTTCTTGTGACTAATCCAAACAGTTACTCAACAATGGAAGATCAATCTATGAGGGAATGATCATATATATATCCTTCCTTCCTTCCTTCCTTCCTTCCTTCCTTCCTTCCTTTTGAGTCAGGCCATTGATCCATCCCAATGTTTGCTCTCCAGGGTTTCAGACAGGGGTTTCTCCCAGCCCTACCCAGTGAAGTCAGAGATTGAACACGAAGTCTTTTGCATGCAGAGCACAGCCCTTCCTCTGGGGTTTCACTGCGTATAGAAATCTTTAGAATCCCATTTCTTCTTGTGGGACCATTTCCTTTTTTGAAGCATCTTGGCAGCAGTTCTGCTAGACTTTTCCGTATAGAGCTCATCTGAAGAACAAGGATGCTGCGAGCTTCGATTGCTTGTGTGAATTTATAAAATGCAGAAGACTTGCCCTCAATGAGACTTGGAAGGAGATTTAGGACTATAAAGTAAAACACCCAGCATTATGTGTTTGGAAAAACTGCAGGAAGTTCAAAGGAATATTCTGGACCACAGAGTAATGGGAGAAAATGGAATGGAATCTCCTAAGATTCTGAAGGCCCTCTCATTTTTTAACATTTCTATTTGTGTAGTGCAAGGCTGACCTCTTGTGGCACTTATTACCAACTGGGCTTCTCTATCCCTTTGAAATCCTGATGCTGTCAAACAAGGTGTGTGGTCATGGAATGGGGAGAAATGCTCCTTCTGTGGCAGTTGCTTTGAGGGTCCAACCCACCTCCTGAGGGTCTTCCTTCCACAGGCTTTTCCCGCTTGCTTGTTGGCAAGGCCAGACACTTCCAGCTGTCAGCATTTATCTCACCTTGGCCCCCACATTGTTTCAAGTGGACATTATTAGAACTTGCACATGCTTAAGGTGAATAAGAGGAGGGGGTATATGGCAGTTATTTCCCATTCTTTACAGGTCTTTCATGAACTGGGGAACAGTTTTTGACACCACAATTCTTTTCTGCACATCTTCAGAACATGTGGTTTTATTTAAGCCCTAGAACATTTTTGGGGGAATTCTGATATGTGACTTGGCAAACCCACACAGAACCTGCTAGTTCAATGTTTGTTTGTTTATTTATTTATTTAAAATATTGGGCCATTTAAAGGAGATTCTGCATGGTTTAATTCCCTACATCCAACCTTTATTTTCTATTCAGCTTTCTTTAATTATTATTCTTTCTTTTTTAATTTCCTTTCCTTATACAGTGGAACCTCAGTTCTCGGATGTCTCTGCTGATGAACAATTCAGAGCCTGAATGCCAACAGCCCGGAAGTGAATGCTTCCATTTTCAAACGCGCCTCAGAAGTTGAACAGCTTCTAAGGCCCGTTTCTCCATTTTTTCAATGGATTTTGCTGACCGCCCTTTGATCTTCGGTTTTCGAACGTTTCGGAAGTCGAACAGTCTTCTGGAACGGTCTTCTGTTGCTCAAAGGGTCTCAGATACTAATGCCAGGAAAGACCTCCATCTTGAAAAGTTGTGGTTTGTTAGAAGGAAGACTGAGCTGGATAAGCCAATGGCCTGATTCAGTAGATGGTAACTGCATATGGCACTAGGCTTGCTGCTTTTTTAAAACCTGAAGGGAGACTCTTATAGCAATCACTGCAGAGAGAAGTGGAATTAGCTACCCTTCCTTTTGCCATTGTACTTCATGGGGGAGAAATTGTGTATGTCCTTGCTTATATCTCCTAGTTCAGGGCTAGACAACATGGTGCCTTCCAGATGTTTCCCCACTCTTCCTGTGTTTTGTGTCTCTTCCAGAACAACGAGCTAGTGCTGCTAAGTGACCCATCCAAAGATATTACAGGCACAGGTGGAGATTTAAATAACGACAACAAGGCAAGTTCTTTGTTCTTCAACCAGTCGAACAGAGATATCTGGTCCTTAATAAAGAGTCTTGGTGACTCTGTCATGAATTCAGTAATTAACAATGCTGGAGAAAATAGGAAAGCTCATCTCTTGCATAATAAATTGCTATTTTAAAATATTTGTTTAAGGTATTTTCTTGAAATCTGTCTCTCTTTGGACTCAGAGTTTTTGAACTTGAGCAACCCTTCTAAACTTACAGGGCTGCCAGCCAAGCACTATTTATCTGTTCCACAGCTAAATGTGCAGAGATCCTTGTGGAGAGAGGGAGGGAGGGAGGGAGCAGAGAATCATGTGTATACAGCCTGCTGCTATGTGCAAGGATCTGTGGAGTGGCAGTAATCTCACACTGGCATTAGAAGAGTACTAGAGCAGAATCCCTCTGAGCCCTTTCTAAAACTGGGCATAGGGAAACCAAAGAACAAAACCAGAAAGTGTTTCAGAACTCCATCCATCCAAAATCACATTGTGATGACTAGGGAGGGAGTGTCTATAGTCACCCATCCAAATCCAGTGTGGATCAGTTAAGGTCTACTACCAGGAACTATTTGGTCTTCCCAGATCTCTGCTGGTGAGGGAGGAAGTACAAGTGGCTCAATCTGTTCCCAGCGCAGATCAATGACACATACAGTGGTACCTCGGTTTAAGAACAGCCCTGTTTATGAACTATTCGGTTTACTCTGCAAAACCAGAAGTAGTGTCCCAGTTTGCGAACTTTACCTCGGTCTAAGAGCAGAAGCAACATAACAAAACAACCTTTCAACCCATAACTGCTCACAGGTCTTCTCTGATTCTGAAGGCCGAGTCCGTGTAGAGATGTATGAAGACCATTGTGTGTTCACCATTGAAGGAGCTGAGAAGGAAGACGAGGGAGTCTACAGAGTTACGCTTAAGAATCCAGCAGGGGAAGATACAGCTGATATCACCGTCAAAGTGATTGGTAAGCAAGGCAGATGGGCACTTTCTAAAGCCTGGTACAAGTGAGCCAAGTCTTCTCTCTGCCAGCCTAACACGCGGTCACAACCATTGATAGAATAATACATTTTCCAATGGAGCAGGAGACCCTGCAGATGATCTTTCTCCTGCCAATGTCCCTCTGGCCTACTGTGGCAAGTAGGACTCCCAAGTGTGCCACATAGCAGGCAGAGTGAAAGGGAGGAAAACTTGCCATCTGGTAGTATAGTCAATCAAAAGGATTAATGGACAGATTAGCTGATCAGTGCAGCCCTAATAAGTAGTTGTCTTCATTGTCTAAACACAACATGAAGCACAGTGACCTTCTTAAATGGATGTTGCCCTCTCTCTGTGACTTAGGAGGAGAAGAGATATGAGAAAACTGAGTTTTTAGATGAGATTCACTGTCTCTGTCTTTCTCTTGTTTCCTTCATTCCTTCATTCATTAATTGCTTCAGAGATGTGGCTTTGCCCTGTTGACCAAGCAATATATCATACTCGAATTTATCCCAAAATCAGCTGTGCAATTCATGTATTTGTTTTATCAGGAGGCCACACTTTCTTTGAAATGAAAAAGCTACTTAATGTTAGACTCTTTAGATAAAAGTTGCAATGACAAATGCATCAAGACGAAGAATGCTTCCTGCAACGAAGAGGGAGCTTTATGCAGTTTGTTAGAATCATAAATAGGGTTACAGCACATTCATATGGGAACCTCTAAAATGAAGGAGTAAATCTGGTTGTGTGAATAGGGAATACTGAATCGTCAGAAGAGCCCTGCTGGATCGGATCAAAGGTCTGTTTACCATCCACTTCCCCACAGTGGCCAACTGGATGCCTCTAGGAAGCCTATAAGCAGGACTTGCATGCAATAGCCCTTTCCTCTTTGTGTTCCCCAGCAACTGAAGCTGTGTATATGCTATATATTTAAAACATATCACTTCCCCCAAGGAATCCTGGAAACTGTTTTAACCCCCCACAGAACTACCATTCCCAGGACCCTTAAGAAACTACAGTTCCCAGGATTCTTTGTTTAAAGCCATGTGCCTTAAATGTGTGGTGCACATGCATGTAGCCTTATATTGGCAGGCATAACTCTCAAGTTGTGTATAGCTATCATGGCCAGTAGCCATTGATAGCCTCACCCTCTCTGAATTTGTGTTATCCCCTCTTAAACTTGGTGGCTGTTACTACATCTTGTGACAGCAAGTTCCATAGGAATAGATTCTGTGGTGAATTAAACACTAGCAATAGAAATACGGTGTGCATGCATGTTTTGAAGGAAACAGGCAATCTTGTTACCTCTCTTTCTTTCTCCAGATGTACCTGACCCTCCTGAGGCTCCCGAAATCAGTAATGTTGGTGAAGATAACTGTACAGTGCAGTGGCAGCCTCCAAAGTATGATGGAGGACAGCCAGTGCTGGGTAAGAATTGCTATAGTGAAAACATCACCTGAAGGATGATGATAGTAATGATAGTAGTAGTAGTAGTAATTTGTTATTTATACCCCACCCATCTGCCTTGTTTTCCCCAGCCACTCTGGTCAGCTCCCAACAGAATATTAAAAACACAATAAACCATCAAACATTAAAAGCTTCCCTAAACAGGGCTGCCTTCTGATGTCTTCTAAAAGTCAGATAGTTGTTTATTTCCTTGACATCTGATGGGAGGGCGTTCCACAGGGCAGGCGCCACTCCTGAGAAGGCCCTCTGTCTGGTTCCCTGTAACCTCACTTCTCGTAGTGAGGGAACCGCCAAAAGGCCCTCGGAGCTGGACCTCAGTGTCCAGGCTGAACGATGGGGATGGAGACGCTCCTTCAGGTATACTGGGACGAGGCTGTATCAAGAATGAGAAGCATTTTCTGTACATTCCCAGAAATACATTTGTACTGTGAATTATTATATTTTACAATGTAATCATGACACTGTGAAATAGGCAAAAGTTCCTCAATTATCTCTTTGATTTCCCATACATCTAGTTTTTCTGTCATTTTGAGGACAATATGGGCATTGCTGCTATTTCTTGAAAGGGTGGTTTACTAAATACCCCACCAGTGCTGAAAGAAGATTTGTGGGGAGTGAGTCTTGCTTCCTGTGGATCACCTGGAGTGGGAACTGTGTTTTATTTATTCTGTTTAATCAAGTTTTAGCTCGCTTGCTATAAAAACAAACAAACCTTGAATTGGTTTGGAAGAAGAAGAGTCAAAACTCTAACACATGGGTAGGTAAACTAAGGCCCGGGGGCTGGATCCAGCCCAATTGCCTTCTAAATCTGGCCCGCAGACAGTCCAAGAATCAGTGTGTTTTTACATGAATAGAATGTATCCTTTTATTTAAAATAAATTTGAATCTCTGGGTTACTTGTGGGACCTGCCTGGTGTTTTTACATGAGTAGAATTTGTGCTTTAATTTAAAATGCATCTCTGGGTTATTTGTGGGGCATAGAAATTTGTTCATTTCCCCCCAAAAAATATAGTCCAGCCCCCCCCCACAAGGTCTGAGGGACAGTGGACTGGCCCCCTGCTCAAAAAGTTTGCTGACCCCTGCTCTAACACAATTCCTGTCTGCAAATATCTACAGGCAGTAACAAGTAAAATTATTCAGAATATGAACGTGCGTACAACACCAAGCAGTAAGTTTCTAATAAGCATCTGAAATACGCCAAAGTTGGTGCCTCCTGGGTAGCATTCCAGAGGCATCACTGCAATAAAGGTTTGCCTCTGCATTGCTGCTAGATAGCAGTCAGTCCATCATAGCACAACAAACACGGCATCCTCTGATAATGTTGACTGAACACATCTGTACGAGGCAAGGCCCCAGGTATCCAGGCCTGAGTAGTTAAAGGCATATGTTAATAACAATATTTGAAGGCGGCTCAGTTGCAAATAGGCTAATAGGTAGCTTTTGCATCTTTCTCAGGGGTGCTCAAAGTGGAAACCTGGACTACTGATAAGCATGTGCTCCACATAAACGCCTGCCGATTTCTCCCAATTTTAGCTGTTGTTCAGGAAACACACAAAGAGGAAGCTCAGTCCACTTCTACTTCCTCTGGCAGTGCTGCAATGTGCAAAGCTGCTCTCACTCTGGGGCACATTCAATGGAATACCCTTGAACAAGGTCACTAATGGGAATATCAAGTATCAAGATAGAAGGACAAGATGAAACTGTTACCAGAACCAGCTGAAGTTAAAGGACGCACACTGCTGGCATGGTTCAGCCGTTGAAACCACTGCCAAACTTTGGGTGAAATGTTAGCCAAAGCCCCACAAAAGTGCTATTTTACAATGGCTACCTGGTTTTAATGGGATAGGGATCACCAACCCTGTGTCCATGGGCGCAAAGTTGGTGGCCTTCATGTATTTTTGGGGGATTTGGGGGAGAGATGGATTTTTATCTGGGAATAGCAAGTACTTCTTTCACCTGTGGAAAATTTCTCTGCATTTGAGTGTGGATGCTCAAGGTGTGGGGGGGTAGGGAGATATGTGTATGTGGCATGTGGGGGGAGAGGGGGAGATATGGATGTGTGATCTGTATGTGGACGTGGTGAGCTTGTATATGTGGTTTGTGAGAATGAGGGAGAGGTGTATTGTCCAGCTGTTGGTGTGTAAAGTGTATGAAAATATAAAGTGGTGTAGAAATGAAATAATAATTTATAATTAATAAGTGTGTGCAGGGAGAGGCGGGGAATGTGTGATTGGTAATCCCAGTAATAAAATAAAAGCTTTCATTAGATAGTATTCTAAACAAAAGAAGTGAATCAAGAGGTGCTTGTATCAGTTTTTGCATTTGTAAATTCCATAAGGATTTATTATGTACATTCAAGTTCCTCTTTTTCACTTATTATATCATATCAACCAGCGCTATTTTTCTAGAAAAAGAAAACTCACCATGAACACCTCCCTTGTTCTCTTATAATGGCAATAGCACCTGCCTGAGAGGTGCCAGAACTGAGTTCCAGAAAGTTCTGGCTAAAAAAAAAAGCCCTGATCCATAGTAAAAGGTGTTGTTAACATCATCTATAGAAAATGGCTGTAACCCTAAATACGCTTGCTAAGGAGTAAGCCCCATTGAACACAGTGGGATCAGGGGTGGTGAGCATGATAGGGTGGTGCCATAGAGCTTTTCTCCCAGCAGCAGTGTTGCTACCACTTACCAGGACTGTAGGGTCAGGGCAGGCTACTGATGATGTCAGCGCTGTGTGGGCACAGCGAAAGAGTCAGTCCAGCAGTCATGACAGAACACCTGCGCAGGCATGAGTTCACCACTGAGTTTGCCTTACCCTTACCTCATCCAGGTAACTAGCTGTGATGTTGTCAGAAGCGTGGGCCTTCAGCAGCACCCCACCATGCCACTCTCTTCTGAGTGAGATACTTCTAAGTAATAGTGTGTCAAGTTGCACTATACGACGACCACCTGTTATCAAATTCATTCGTAATCTTCAGTTCTGTGTCTTCTTGCTGTAATTAGTCATGGAAATGGCTACCCTTAAATCAAAGTTTGAGTGTGTCCTAGTAGACTGAAACATTCCCCCACTGCTTTCTGTGTGGTTCTATTTTTAATGCCCAAAGCATATCTCTGAGGCAAGTGAACTTCATTGAATTTACTTCTCGGTAAACGTGTATAGAATTGCACTGTTAATTAAGCACTGACCTAATTGGGCTGGTGGCTGATGTCATATATTATTTTAGAAGATGTGCAGGTGAGTGAGCACTTAATAATCTTGTTGACGTTATTAGATCCTGTAATAGATTTGATGCAGTAAATGTAAAAAAAGGTCTGGTACTTGGGCTTGTTGTAGAGTTTGGTCCCTTGAGCCATATTCTTGACAAGTGATGAGTGGCTATTCTAAGTTGTTAGTCCATCTGTGATCATTAGAGTTTCCTTCAGTTCAACTCTCCTTAAGAAGCTAGTCCTTTCCCAGAATCGTTGTAAGGCGGCTAAAATGCCTCAGAGGTATGCGTTTTATACAATGTCGTCAGCATTTCTGAAAAGTGAGATTAACAGTGTTGATTCTCTTTCACAGAATGATATCGTCGCATTTTGACGAACAGCTGAACTTAGCACATTAGGCAGGATAGGAGAGCGATTGTTACTGGGATCCAGAGTGGATCTAAAATAGTCCATACAAGGTTTGAACTGTATCCATTCTAGGGATCAGGCTTTAGTTGGTTACAGGGTACAGTCCTAGGCATGCTTACCTGGGAGTAAGCCTCATGGAAAACAGCGGGACATTTCTGAGTAAACAATTTTAGGATCCAGTTTCATGCCAGTAGATTAAGCAAATAAATCTGAAATGGATTAATAAACCAGAGCAAATGTTAAATCCATAAGGCTGTGAGTTAAAGGCAAAGCTTATTATCTTAAGACAAGCATAGGCAAACTCGGCCCTCCAGATGTTTTGGGACTACAACTCCCATCATCCCTGACCCATCCTGTTAGCTAGGGATGATGGGAGTTGTAGTCCCAAAACATCTGGAGGGCTGAGTTTGCCTATGCCTGTCTTGAGAACTAGTAGGGAACGAAAGAGAAAATATTAAAGACGGTCTTTCCTTCTAACCATGTTACTTTCTCTTTGTTTTCTTATTAAATGATAAGTTATCTTGTTCTTTGTTCATTCAATAAAAACGGCATTAACTTGTATGTTTTGGTAGTATGAAATTGGGGTACACCCAACCTAGCACAAGCATAGAAAAATTCATACGAAAGAATTTTCTACCCCTCTTCCAGTCGTCATCCACCACACCACACCCTGTGCTGTTGCTGAGGATACCCTGATCGACAGAAGATGCTTTTCAGGGATTGCAACAGGGATACAGCAAGGAGAGGGATGGAGAATTCCTTAGTACAAGGCTGGCTTGTGGTCATGTTAGTGTGGATGTAATACCACACACTTAAATGGAATTGATTGTGTAATTACCTAAAGGGCAGGTGATTGAGCAGCAAAATATTCTATAATTTAATGCCTCCCTTAACCTATGTACAGAGGAACTAAATGGGAGAAGCTCTGAAATGTAAATTTGGTAAAACGGAGTCTGCTTTGGGAGTTTCTGTGCAGTAAAAGCAAAATGGCCGTACTTGTGTCTCTTGTAGAACAGGCTCTCTATCCGTGGTGTCTCTTTTCACTTTGTAGGCTACATCTTAGAAAGGAAGAAGAAAAAGAGCTACAGGTGGATGAGGCTGAACTTTGACCTTCTAAAGGACCTGTCATATGAAGCGAAGAGAATGATTGAAGGAGTTGTGTATGAGATGCGAATTTACGCCGTCAACTCGGTTGGTATGTCCCGGCCCAGTGCTGCCTCACAGCCCTTCATGCCAATTGGTGAGTGTCAACACACATTGTGTTACTTCTCAAACATACAAAGGAGATGAAGAGACACATGGGCACACAATTACCTTCTCTTTCTCCACTCAGTAGGGACACAGAGTCCATATTTGTAAGACAGGTGGCTCCTTCTTGATCTGTTTTATCTTTTCTAACCTTTTTCTAAAACCCTCTTCGCAAATGGGAGTAGCAAGGTTCCAATTTCATGAAATTGCTGATGAATTTCTAACTGTTAAAATTAGAGGTGTGAGAGGCAAGCTGGGTCTCGATGAGAGAGGGGAACTAATTGACAGTGACCTCCCATTGCCTCTCAGCTTCCCCCATTCCCTTATGGGTGCAAATATCACCGTATCCCACCCAGTGCTTCATTACTCCCACCCCCTGCGGAGCTGCAAGGATAGCTGATTAAGAAAATATCCATGGAATTATTTTCTATAAATAATCATGATGACCCCACAGTGTTTCTATCAGTCCCTGAACTAAGAGCAAACTGTGGGAGTCTTTGAGGAAGGAAAGAACAATCTGAGCGCCTGAGGTAGAGCAGCAACAGAAATGACTAAAGTGGTGGTTCAGCTCACAGAAGACCATAAGGAAGGGGATGAGTTTTGTGAAGAAAAGAGTGTGCCACTACAAAACCCCAGCGATGGGCCAACAGAGAACGATAAAGAGCAGGAGGAGGCGGTTAATTCTGATCTTCAGCCAAAACTCAACAGTTGGGCTGTGCAGAGCGAAGAAACAAAAGAACCTCTACAGGAATCAAGTGAACTAAAAGGTTCAGGGTTTTCTTGCAATAAGAAATGATATACTTGATTAGAAATAAGGCTCCATCCGACAACTATGGAGATGAGGCACTGGTTTGTAACATGCGTCGTGTGGTAATCCACCCATACTCCTGTGTGTGATGCACATGCTTTTAAAGACTGTTTTGAATGTTTGGCTTTAATTATAGTTTAAGAAGTGAGTAAAATGTTGCAGCAGGATGATGTGGGATGCTAACATTAGGTTCTCCATCTGCTATGTGATATTTATTTATTTTTTAAATGGTGTTATGTGGTAGGGAACATTCTGTATTTTTGAAATATTTAAAATAATGCACACAATGTGTTTAAATACCACAGCTTTCCCTGGCTTATGATAACCACACACATGGCATGGGGGGGGGGATTGCTTCAGGTATTGTTATTTTTTCAAATACACAGAATCTAAATGATTTGAAAATGAACCAAAATGACTGAGTATCTGTCACTGCATGCAGAGACAGGCCCTTTGCAGTCTTTGTGAAATGTTTTGCCAAGGAACAGAACAGCTTGGTTTTGCACAGTGGAATCTGAAGGGTGGAAATGGTACTTCTTAAATTCACAGCATCTTTAGATACAGGGAAACTTTTCAAAAGGGCAATGCTAGTACCAAAAGGGCAAATGCCAATTCTGACCATGTAGGTAATAATCTTGAACTTCTCTAAACTGACCCACTCCCCCAAATGTGAATTTATATAGTTGGTATTTATATAGTTGGTATACTATAATATTTGGATAGTCCTATACTGTATGTAACCCAAATATCTGCTGTACCCTGTCCTACATATTCTGGAATCACAGACACAAAACTCACATAGCGTCTTCACTCTTTCACACATATGCATTTACACAAATTAGGATAGACTCTGGAGTCCCCATGTGTCAGTGGTGGGAAACCTTGGATCTGGAGGTCCAGTGATCCTCCAGGCCTCTCCGTTGGGCCTTTGCAATTCTCCCCAGCCTGCACCCCTCACTGCCCCTGCTTTGCACCCCAAGTGTTTTTGTCTGGATCAAATCCTTAAACTCTTATAATGCCTCTTGTCTGGATGGAGGGTACAGTGGATTGGGTGATTTTCAAAACTGCTGTACTGTATAAATTTATATTTGTTTCTCCACTTATTTTTGCCTCTGGCCTCACCCACCACTGGAAGCAGAGGCAGATTTAGGACAAAGTGAGCAGCATGGTTGCACTAGGTAAGGCGCCTTCTCAAAGCCCAGTAAGCACTTGTCTGGCTTTGGGAAGGAGATGTAATGGCTCTGACAGGGTCCCAGAGTTCTGTCTCCTTCCCAAAGCCAGGCAAGAGCTTACTGGGTTTTGGGAATGAGGAAGGAGGGCTTTAGGACCCTGCTAGAGTTCAGTACCTCCTTCCCAAAGCCCAGCTTAAGCCAACACCGCAAGGGCCGGTGGGAAGGTGTCAAATGGCCTCACACAGGGCAGCATTTTACCAAGGTCCTCAGGTGGAAAAATGTTCCCCTACCAGTGTTCACACATGAACACTCTTCTCCCCGGGCTACTGTGCCTGAGATCAGACAGATGAGCACTGCATATAGGAACTATGGGGTTTTCCACATACCACACATAAGTTATTGTAGATCCATTAGGACTTATGGATCCTACTGGTGTCATACCTGGGGCCCATGCATACTGAATTTCACTGGTCTCATCAATGTGCCCTCGAAGTGAGTTCAAAAACTGAATACTGTATTCCCTGTCTTAGACCGAAAGCTAGCAGGAGATTGGCATTCCCCTAACTTAGCAGAATTCCTACTACCAACTGGTGTGCAGTGATGTGCACTTTTGCTGTGCATCTACTGAATTCAGGACCTATAGCACTAGGACCACAACTGCCTTGTAATGATATTCTTTGTTGGCTGCATAAGGCATCGAGGTCTAGTTAGTGGCCATTTGCTAGTTGTGAGGTACAGAAATATAATAATAATAATAATAATAATAATAATAATAATAATTTTTATTTATATCCCGCCCTACCTAGCCGAAGCCGGGCTCAGGGCGGCTAACAGCAATAAAATAATACAACATAATATGAAGTAAATCACTATCTATAATTAGAGTACATCTAGTTCATTTTTTGCTATTTTGCTTTATTATGAAGTCTTATGCTATTTATTAACCTACAACATTTCTATACCACTTATTTGCATTTCTAGGCAGTGTACACAAAAACAATCCATATCCTTTTGCCAATATTTAATTTTGTCTGGAATGCATTCATCAAGAGCCATTCAAGCAGAAGCTTGGTGTCTCATCCAGTTATAAATTTAGCAGAAAACCTTTGTGTCACAAGAATTTATTCTAGAGAATGATGTTTTCTAATCTCTTGCTAGCGCCGTTTCCCTCCTAAAATCTCACTTTGAAGATCAGTAATTACCACATCATTTGTTTAGCAGCTACGAGTTTGTGACTGCAAGAACTGACTATTGCAATATATGCACTGTGGGAATGTTTAGAAACTGCAATTAGTGCAGAATGCAGTAGCCTTGCTCCTGACAGGAACCAATCACCAATAGCATTGTTTTGTTTTGTTTCTTTGTTTAATGATTTTTAATTGCTCCCACAAGTGGTAAAGTGGTGATACCCCCTGAACTGGATGACTTAAAAAGCCGATGAAGCAAATTAAAGTCCTGCTTTTGGGTTTCCAAAACACCCATATGTATCTGGTTGGCCACTGTGAGATCAGGATGCTGGGCTAGTTGGGCCATTGATCTGATCTCATTGCTCTTCTCATGTTCTTACTCCAGTCTTCAGTGGAAAAATGCTCCCTGACTTCAGGTTTACCATATAAAAGACAGAAATGGGACTGGAAGTGAAAAAGAAAAGGCACCAGTTCTTAGTAAAAATATAGCACCTCCTCACAGTTCCCAAACAGGCCTCAGCAGGTTGCCACAACAGGCTTGTATCCAACCTTCTGTTCCTCACAGGCGTTTGGAATTGATGGCCTTCACAAGGACTTAGGGGCCTAGATTGGCCAAGCTGGTGAAAGCAGCAGTGAGAGGAGATAGCAAAAGCTGAAGTTCTCTTTAATGTCTATAAGTCCTACCCTGTAGACATTGTATTAGCTGCTGAACAGCTTCCAATCCCAATTTAACCTATAAAGCTCTAGGCTGGATATACAGAACATATCTTAAAAGATCAATCACGTATCCCAATATGAGCCTTGCTAGCCTTTGAAGTAAATAAATATTAAATCAACAAATGGGACTTCCGGGTTAGCGCCATCGGCAATGGCGGAGTTCCTCTGACTGAGAGGAACCCGCTCCATGAAAATCGGGTCTTGCTGCCGCGGCGAAGGCGGAGACCCTCTAAAAATCCCAGGCGGAGGAAGCCTGGGAACGTGGGATTCGGCTGACACCAGGAGCACCTCCCCTACTCGCAGGGAAACCCTTTTTCGGGGATCCGAAGCGACGTGGGGTGAGTGGCATGGTGTTTTGAATCAACCGCTACTTTCACAGAGTGAAGCCGCACAGCCATTGCCGGAGAGCGCTGACTTTTTCCTGTGGACAGTTGGACTCTAAATAAGTACCCGTGAGTAGAACGGAAAATTGGATTAAGAAACATTTTAATTTGGCACTGAAGCGGGAAGGCTCTAAACAGGAAGTCCGCCTCCCAGTTTTGTAAATAGATTGAAGCAAAAATTTTGGAAGCTAAAGTCTGGAAAGTCATATAAAAAGGTCTAAATTTCCTTCAGTTATTACCACCAAAACCCCTCTTGGAAGCAGGAGAAAAGAGGGGAATTTTTGACTGTTTAAGCCTGCAGGAGAGAGAGTAAAGAAAGATAAATTTCCACCGTCTCAAACCTGGGAATGGGGTGTCAGAGACAGAAATTTATGGGGAAGTTCATCGACTGTGAATGGAACGTCTTTTGACAGATAGTAAAAAAAGAGAAACAAATTGACTCCAATGTTGCCTCTTGCATTCAAAAGAAACAAAATATTTGAAAAATGAAAGTAATTTTCTTTTGTTGGTCCTGCTTTCAAAAGATGGATACAAATAGAAATTGTCTCCTCTAGAGGGAGCTTGTTAATTTGTTGCTGGAGTCGATCTGGGGATTTCACAGCTGTAAGATTAGGATCGTGAGACCAGACTCTGACCTTGAATAAAAATGTGTTTAGAAGAAGTTTTGGTGCTTGCTTTTTGCAAGACAAGCGCTTTGCTGGAGCAGATGCATGAGAAGATGGATTTGATGACTGTTGCAGTTAAAAACTTTGGACAAACGGCGAATACTCATATAGAAACCATTCAGGAACCAGCCCAGGAACTTGTTTTGACAGGGCAAGCGCAAGTGCAGAAGATAATGGAGGAGGTTGCTGTTGAACCTCAAGTAACACAAATGGAGAGATCCGAGGCCTTGCAGGAGCATAAGCCGCTGTTCTTGAAGTTTGAATCTGGAATGGACCAGGGGGGGTCTGGAGTTGTGAGGGCTCTTAATTTTGGAAGGACTTTGAAACATGCTTTTAAATACTTCCTGGATTACAGTGTTGACTGTGGGGAATGGGACTGTGGGGATTGCGTTGATTTGCTGAGGGGAGATGGAGATATTTTTGGATTGGAGTCCTCCCGAGACCTACCCCCCAATGAGAAAGGAAAGAAATTAAGAAAAAGATCAACAAAAGACAAAGTAAAGGGCAGGTATAAACAAGAAGAAGATCTGCAGAAGGGACATGGAAAAGACTTAAGAGCCTCGGACATAAGATCACCAGGTTGATGGACTAGATGGAATGGACAAGAAGGACTGACAAAACCCGAGACCAGGAAGAAGAGACGTTGGATGAAGATTGGAAAAAAGTTTTTTTAAAAAAAAAATTATTTTGAGAATTACCGTATTTTTCGCTCCATAGGACGCACTTTTTCCCCTCCAAAAATGAAGGGGAAATGTGTGTGCGTCCTATGGAGCGAATGCAGGCTTTCGCTGAAGCCTGGAGAGCGAGAGGCGTCGGTGCGCACCTACACCTCTCGCTCTTCAGGCTCCAGGAAGCTATCTGCAAGCCTTGCGCACCCGGGGGGAGTTCCCCTGGGCACTCAAGGCTTGCGGGCAGCAGCCCGCAGCGCGGAGCACGGGCGCCCTCCGGAGGACGCCCGTGCCGCGGCAGGTGCCGCGGCAAGCCTTGCGCACCCGGGATCTCCCCGGGAGCGCAAGGCTTGCGGGCGGCAGAACTGCAGCGCGGAGCACGGGCGCCCTCGGAGGACGTCCCGTGCTCCGCGCAGGCACCGCAGCCTTGCGCACCCGGGATCTCCCCGGGAGCGCAAGGCTTGCGAGCGGCAGCCTGCAGCGCGGAGCACGGGGCGCCCTCCGGAGGACGCCCCGTGCTCGCGCAGGTGTCCGGCAAGCCTTGCGCACCCGGAGATCTCCCCGGGAGCGCAAGGCTTGCGGGCGGCAGCCTGCAGCGCGGAGCACGGGGCGCCCTCCGGAGGACGCCCCGTGCCTCGCGCAGGTGTCCGGCAAGCCTTGCGCACCCGGGGATCTCCCCGGGAGCGCAAGGCTTGCGGGCGGCAGCCTGCAGCGCGGAGCACGGGCGCCCTCAGAGGACGTCCCGTGCTTCGCGCAGGTGTCTGCAAGCCTTGCGCACCCGGGGATCTCCCCGGGAGCGCAAGGCTTGCGGGCGGCAGCCTGCAGCACGGGGCGCCCGCCGCAGGACGCCCCGTGCTTCGTGCCGGTGTCCGCAAGCCTTGCGCGCCCGGGGGGAGATCCCCCCGGGGCGCGCACGGCTTGCGGGCGGCAGCCTGCAGCGCGGAGCTCGGGGCGCCCTCGGAGGACGTCCCGTGCTTCGCGCAGGTGTCCGCAAGCCTTGCGCTCCCGGGCGGCAGTCTGCTGCGCGGAGCACGGGGCGTCCTCCGGAGGCGCCCCATGCCCGGCGCAGGTGTCGGCAAGCCTTGCGGGCGGCAGCCTGCAGCGCTGGAGCACGGGCGCCCTCCGGAGGACGCCCCGTGCCCGCGCAGGTGTCGGCAAGCCTTGCGCACCCGGGGATCTCCCGGAGCGCAAGGCTTGCGGGCGGCAGCCTGCAGCGCGGAGCACGGGGCGCCCTCGGAGGACGTCCCGTGCTCGCGCAGGTGTCTGCAAGCCTTGCGCACCCGGGATCTCCCCGGGAGCGCAAGGCTGCGGCGGCAGCCTGCAGCGCGGAGCACGGGCGCCCTCCGGAGGACGCCCGTGCTCGCGCTGGTGTCGGCAAGCCTTGCGCGCCAGGGGGGAGATCCCCCCTGGGCGCGCCCGGCTTGCGGGCGGCAACCTGCAGCGCGGAGCACGGGGCGCCCTCGGAGGACGTCCCGTGCTTCGCGCAGGTGTCCGCAAGCCTTGCGCACCGGGGATCTCCCGGGAGCGCAAGGCTTGCGGGCGGCAGTCTGCAGCGCGGAGCACGGGGCGCCCTCCGGAGGACGCCCCGTGCTTCCGCGCAGGTGTCTGCAGCCTGCCGCCCGGCGCGTGGGGTGCCCTGAAGCAGAGCGCCCCTCACGCCCGGGCAGACATCGGCCAGCCCCACAAGCTCGGGGGACAACGGGAGGCGCAGCGCCGCCATCCCACTGTTCCCCGACCTGGTTTTGGGGGAAATAAAGGAAAAAATTTTCCTTTATTTCCCCAAAAGTAGGTGCGTCCTATGGGACGGAGCGTCCTATGGAACGAAAAATACGGTAGTGTAAAATTAATGAGTATTAGGAAAAATGTTGGAATGAAACTATTTGGCTTTAGTAGAAATGATATAAGGAGTTATGTACAAATAAGTATTAAGTTTTAAGTTTTAAGGGGGTTTTTTACGGTAAGATAAGGTTAAATAAATTAAGGTAAATTGAATGACAGAATATAGTGAAAGATGGAAAGGATTTGTTGAGTTAATTAAAAGGTTAGATCATTAAGATAAATTATATAACAAAAATTGAGAAAGATGGAAAGAATTTGCTGAAACAATTAATTAAATTAGAATACAGAAAGGGAGGTGTGAGGAGGTTGATGAAATAAGTAAATGAAAGATAAAGATATGGAACATTGGATGTGTGTTTTAATGTTATTGGTTTTTTTTTTGCTGTATTGTTGTATTGTTTCTTATGCTTTTCCTTTTATGTATTGTAATGTATGTTTTGTCAATTTTTTTTGTTGGTTCCTTTTTTTTCTTTTTTCTGTAATTCTTAAACTTTTAATAAATATCATTTAAAAAAAATTAAATCAACAAATGTACAATGCAGGACTATGATCCACATTTTGTGGAAGTCAACAATCAGTTGCAGGGATTCTCTTCACAGGTAGTATTTTTATTCTGACAGGTAATTTGTGGTGATAATCATTTTAACTGGGTATAGATTGTATTGCTTGTTCTATCTTGCGAAGTTTTAAGCATCTGTAAGCCATTTTGATAATTTTAATATGAATGCTACAATATATTATTAGCACTTTAAAAATAACCCAAAGGCTCTGGATTTTCTGTTCTGTTTAGCTCCTCCAAGTGAGCCAACACACTTCACAGTAGAAGACATTTGTGATACTTCTGTTACTTTGAAGTGGAGACCCCCTGAACGAATTGGAGCAGGAGGCTTGGATGGCTACAACATTGAGTACTGTAAAGAAGGATGTGAGTAAGCCCCTGGTGCCTTCGGAATTGTTGTCACATGCACATCATACACTAAAAGCCCAAGGCTTCCCCCAAAGAATCCTGGAAACTGTAACTTAAGGGTTTTGGGAATTGTATTTCTCTGAGAGATAAACTACAGTCCCAGGATTGGTGGGGAGCCCCATATGCTCTAAACATATTTTAAATGCATGGTGTGGATGTCACCACTTTAACAGTCATGGTTTCCCCAAAAGGATTGTGAGGAGTGGAGTCTGTTAAAAAAAACCACGGTGCTTAGGAGAGCCTTACTAAAAAGTTCCCAGGATGAGTCTTAAAGTGGTTTTAAAAGCAGAGCTGCCCATCCATGAGGCAGCTAAAGTGCAAGCAGTGGCGCTACGCTGGCCCCACTGCTTATACCACCAAGAGAGAGGTAAGGTATTCTGGCATGTGGCATTGCCACTTGTCTTCCACACCCCAAGGCAGAGAAGCCGAGCAGCAATATTTTGAGGAGTGTCCCAGCTCCTACCAAGTTCATCAAGAGCCAGGGCATGGTGGCATTGGATGTGGAGGCACAGTGCAGAAGTAGCAGGTGGCAATTCCCGTTTTGCCTCAGGTGGCAAAAAAAGAGCAGGCTGCTGCTGTTTAAGGGTATTGAAGTGGATGGTGTGAGTGATCTAGGTTCTAGGATAATCAGTTTAGCCACCTTTTAACTGAGAAAGGCAGTAGCCTTGGTCAGATAAAGGAGATGGAGGATGGTATTGGTACAGAATGAAAAGCAACGTGCATCTGCCTTCAAACATCTGAGATTAACGGGGACAGAAATATTGTTCTCCAGTAGGGTCAAGCCCCAGAGATTCCCTTTTAAAGGAATTAACGATTACCTATATTTCTGTGATCATCACATTCTTGCATGTCTTTGAAACGTTTTGTGAAGTTGTTGTGTCTTATAGTGCATTGGATGCCATGGGTGCTTTGGCTGTTATTTTGAAAGCTTTAGCTGTGATTCCAAAAGGCTGAATGCCACCATTCTGGAATATATGAAGCAGTGGTGCAAATAGAAAACATGAGTAAAAATGCTTGGTATTGTGCCTTCAGGCATAGTTCTGTAAACCTCTGCTTGAAAAGCTTTGCCTAACAGTAAGTGATCTTGCATTTGCAGCTACAGAATGGATCCCAGCACTTCATGGCCTGATTGAGCGCACCTCTGTCCTGGTTAAAGATTTGGTCACAGGAGACAAACTTAATTTTCGCATCACTGCTGTAAACTTGGCAGGTGCAAGTCAGCCAGCTGTTACAAAAGAGCCAATTACTGTCCGAGAGATCTTGCGTAAGTATCTAGGGAAAGCCAGCACTAGAATCACTGAAATCTCACCACTTGGAGATCTGGGGTATGGATCTGTATTAACCCGCAGAACTTTGGTTCTGATATGCAATAAACCGGTGTCCCTAATTATTAATATAATAATAATAATATTTATACCCCGCCCATCTGGCTGGGCTTCCCCAGCCACTTTGGGCAGCTTCCAAAAAAATATTAAAATACTGTAATACATCAAACATTTAAAGCTTCCCTAAACAGGGCTGCCTTCAGATGTCTTCTAAAAGTCTAGTAGTTGTTGTTCTCTTTGACATCTGGTGGGAGGGCATTCCACAGGGAGGGCACCACCACCGAGAAGGCCCTCTGCCTGGTTCCTTGTAACTTGGCTTCTCGCAGTGAGGGAACCACCAGAAGGCCCTCGGTGCTGGACCTCAGTGTCAGGGTAGAACGATGGGGGTGGAGACGCTCCTTCAGATGCTCTCGGGGGTGGAGACCGAGGCCGTTTAGGGCTTTAAAGGTCAGCACCAACACTTTGAATTGTGCTCAGAAACGTACTGGAAGCCAATGTAGGTCTTTCACACAACTTTTAAAAATTACTTTCTTCTCAGTACAGCTCTCCTTCTCCCTGTGAGGTTACTGGGCATTTATTTCTAATATTTCATGCTTGGTGTGGATTGTTGCTTAGGGGAGTGAGGCCAAACACCCGGCTGTCTGTCTGGTGAACATTCATAATCTTGGTCATTAATCATCACCTTGTCTGTAGCCCAAGAGTACAAGTGGTCTAATTCAGTTGGCTGGAACCCAGAAAGACGGCTCAACTGATATAACTTCTCAATCCTTATTTCTGTCTGGAGTTCTAAAAGACATGACCCGGATTCTATTAACACCAGAATGACCCAGAGCACTATTATTAAACTACAAGCACAGGGCATCCCAAACCCAGAGGGACTTACTTAAAGGCAGGGGGGATTCAGACAGAGTAGCAGAGAACCTCCTTCAGTGAGTCAGAAGCAAACAGACAACTCATTATTATCCCCATTCTCCCAGTTGTGATCATCCTATATGTTGTTGGCCTCCAACTCCCATCATTCCTAGTCAGCATGAGTAGTGGTTGGGGATGATGGGAGTTCAATCTAGAGACCTGCAAATTAGCCACCTTGCTCTAAAACATCAATCACTGGAGACAGCCAACTCTGCAAACCAGAACAAAACGTTGCAGCATCAATTACTCCTGTCCAGTGTTGCAGCCAGCCATGCCCTAGAACACATCCCAGAGTCCCCTGTCATAGGGGTAGGTGATATGTGGTGCTCTGACTAAACCCATGCAGCTGGTAAGGAGGGAAATGTTAACATTGTTATCAACAACCCTCTCCCCACCCTCCTCTCTCTTTCTCTTTTCCCTCTCCTGAAAGAAAAGAGTCAGGGGTGGTGATCATCTCGGCTCCATGTGGCCCACAAGAGATTATGCATGTTAATTGTATGGCTCTTAACGATAATGGCTGCCTACTTCCCTGCTGTATAAAGCGATTCCATCGCTTCTATTTCTCAGATATCATTACAATATTTGCCACTGGTACAAACTCATTTGAAGTCAATAATGTAGAATCGTATTCAGCTACTGAGTATCCCTAGTAGGATCACGACAGCTTTCTTTCAGAATTTATTGGATTTCTACAAACTTTAATTGCTAGCAGGGACCTTCAATTTTTCTGAGACATATGACATATCTAGTAAGTTGGAGAAAAAACCCTGACTTCATAATCCTCTGATCCACAGAGCGTCCCAAAATCTGGTTGCCACGCAATCTCCGACAGACTTTAATGAAGAAAGTGGGCGATACAATCAACATTGTCGTTCCTTTCCAGGTACTCGATTGAATCTGCTATTCAAACTCTTCCCTTCAATCCAGCAATTCCCAGCAGACCACTGTACTTCAGGAGCTCTCCCCCTGCCCCATTCCAGATTTCCTTATTTGTTTAATGGAAGGGTAGCTTTGTGCATCATTAAACACAGAGAGATGCAGTTTCCATTTCAACGAATAAGAAAACAATGTTCACTTCAGAATAGTCTACATGGCTTATATAAACCTGGAGTCCTGTGCTTTCCTAGCTCATTCAATTTGACAGTCATGCGGTTTCAAAACCTATATATCAGTTTTAAGGTCTGTTCAGATAATCAAATGTTGCTCACTTATTATGGAGGATTTAAATGGCTTTTCTTAAAAGTTGTGCTTGAGAGACTAATCACATTTTCCCAGCTCCCAAATGACAATATTTTGACACTAACGAATATGCTGTCTCATCCAACCACACCACACTGTGGAAATGAAGTTTTGACATATTTTCAGGGAGCAAATATAGGTGAGAACTATTAAGTCAACCATGTCACAGACAAGACAGTTATAAAAGGGATCTGATGTCTTTATGTGTGTGTTATTACTATGTGCAAAAGTGTCAAATGAATGATACAGGGAGTGAGCAAAAACGGAATAGTTGAACAAGAGATAATAATTTTCTTCAGGTGAAATAGGGGATTAAGGGCACAAACTACTCAAGAATTCACAGCTGGGCAGTAACCTTTATGTGAACCAACCAAAATGTCAAAGAATAGTGAGCAAGCTTTCAAGTTCTCTAGAACTCTTTATCAGGCTGGATGTTATGCAAAGCAGGAAGTGGTAGAGAAGACAAACAAAGAGCCAGGTCAGTCTGGGTAACTGCTGGCCTTTATGTTTCCAAAAGTGGGGGCTGGCCATTGCTAGGGCAAGCAGAGACCTGCAGCCCCTAGTAGACTAATCCAATCTGGGAACTCCATTCTGAGATTGAGTCTAAATACAGACCTGAAGGCAATAATCAAGCCAATGTTTTCTTTTTTGTTTGTTTCGTCCTCTTTCCCTATCCTACCCTCCTGCTTTGAGTAGCATCCAAGCTGAGGAAGAATACTGAAGAATTCAAAAGCTTGCTCACTATATTGTGACATTTTGGTTGGTCCTACTAAAAGTTTAGTCCAGCTCTGCATTTTGGAATGGACCAACATGACTTCCTTTGCACTTTATGTGCCAAGTACTCAGTAGCTTTGCTTTCCATTTTTTCTTCTGCAGGGAAAACCTAGACCTAAAGTTATCTGGACAAAGGATGGTCAGCCAATAGACTCTAAGGAGGTGGGAATTCGAAACAGCAATACAGACACCATTCTCTTCATCCGAAAGGCTGAGCGCCACCATTCTGGAATATATGAAGTAGAGGTGCAAATAGAAAGCATGATAGATAAGGCTACTATTACCATTCAGATAATGGGTAAGGAACTGTTTGGAGTCTTATGAATGTCCCATTTAAACACAGTCACTTTAATGCAGGGATTTGGTGCAGGTGTATGTACAGCACTTCAAGTACTCACAGGAATGCTCCTGTTCTTATCAAAAAAGGCAAGTGTGGCTGTATGGTGGCTAACAGACTGAGCTACTTCTAAAATTGTCTCTGCCAGGAACCCACTAGATGGCCTCAGGCATCTAAACCTAAATTTCCCCCCTTCCTGATCTGCAGTATGTTGATTTACCTTACAGTAGGAGTGGGGAACTGGATCTGGCCCCTATCTCTCTCCACCAGGCCAAGTTAACAGGTGGGCAGGGTTGCCCACATGGCTTCAAACAAAGCCATAAGGGCAAATACATAGCCCCATGCAAGCATGTTGACCCTATGATCAGATGCTCATTGGGGCTTACAAAGTGCCACACACACTCCAGGTGGACAAAGCAAAAACCAGGGCAGAGAATGAGACTCTACTTTCCATCTGTTTTGTTTGTTTAAACCTCCAGGGTTTAAAGCCAGTTTGAATGAGCAGAGTAGCCTTGGAAAGGGCTTTCAAAGAGCCTGAGTTGCATTTTGAAGTCTCACCAATCAGATTTCTCAGTGCAATATCGTGGGCAGGATGCTGCTTGCCACCCCCCTCCAACCTGCCATCTCTCCCCCTCCCCACCCATATATGGTGTCGGCCAGGTGTGCATAGCCTTGCCAGTCAAATAGTGATGCCTGGCCAGCCTGATTGGACCTGCAGGTCAGGATTACAGTTCATGCATGTGAAGTAATTTGACTACTTGAAAGTGCTGTATACAAATGTCAAGAGATATTTTCTTTTGGACGCACAGAGCAGCTTCTGTCACTGAAATGAATGGGAACACCCACGTGTACACAAAGGGTGACCCCCCCCCCAGTACCAGGACAATGAACGTCTGCGTGCAATGAATTCAACAAAGCTGTGACTGCATGTAGCAACTGACAAAAACATGAACTTTATTATCTCTAGCTACCCCCTCCAATGTGGCCCATTTTTATCCAGCCTTTTTGGCAGCAGGAGGCTTGGCAGCAATAAAATGCACAATACTTCAGAACAAAATTTAAAAGCCACTTACACAATTTATAAAGAGAGAGAGAGCAATGAGTGACGTCACTCAAGCAGCTTAACAGCATCAGTTCAGCTAATTGCCTTTTCTCCTTCAGATCCCATAAAAACCAGCTGGCTATTAAAATTTCTTACAAAGGCTATTCCATGTGTGTGTGTGTAAATCCTGCTTAACATTACTGACGCCACAGCTCGCAGCTGTAATAACCAATGTAAGATTAGCGCTGTGAGTTTCTTTCTGCTGCTCTCTAAGATTTGAACTACATACATAATGTGAAAAAAATTCCATAAGGATGCCAGATTTGGAGGAGAGCCACAGTACAGGGTGAATGGCCCAATCCTTTGCCTGTGCAAAAACATGTTGGGAGCCATGAAATCCACACAACACATGTAGGCTGTTTACACACACCTGCTTATCCTGCATCCAGTACGCTCTTTCTAGTTTGATTTTTTGTGTGATATTAATAATAATATTTTCTAATGTATATAAAATAGTGATAACAGATCTGTATGATTTGGGAGCAGAAAAGATGAAGGCAGAACTGATTCAGTTGCTGTGAAGTGGTGTACATATCATTTGGAAGGCTGAGAACCTGGTCCAACATTCCCAGGGATAACTAGTGAATTACTCACAGAGCATTTGAAGAGTCTGTTAGAGAGCGAACTTTCTTTGACAGGTGTCTTGCTAAGAAGGGATTAATGGATGTAGCCAATAGGCATATGCTGCTGCCTTTTGGATTCAGACATAAATTAAAGCGATGACATGCTGGACTGAATTTCAAGAGAAAGTATTAATTATTCTAAGCTTCCAAACAACCATAGTTACAATAAATGAGAATCTTTGTCAGTTATGGCAACGCTAACAAAAGCTGGCATTCATTTGCAAATTGTTCCAGACATTCCCAAAGTGGAAACAAATAATGGAGCAATATTAATTGGAGATGTCAACCTTAAGTGTCTGTGGAAGGTATGTGTGCATTGAGCTATATAGCAGTCTGCAGGAGTTAGTCTTTATCTTGCCAATATTGTTTTGGGACACTGGCTCAGTTAACAGAACATTTTTGATGTTTGTCTATTACCAATGGCCTTCAGTTAGCAATAGACGATTTAAGTCTTGCTCCTTTTTCTTCCTGAAGATACTGAGTGGTAGATCTTGAATACCTTTTGTATGACTTTCTGTAGACAAGCCTGGCCCTCCTCAGAATGTAAAGATTGTGGATGTGTGGGGATTCAATGTTGCACTGGAATGGAAACCACCCCAGGATGATGGCAATGCTCCAATAACAGGATACACTGTCCAGAAGGCAGACAAAAAAACAATGGTAAGGGTAATAGGCTGAATGAGTGTATGAATCCACCCTAAAGTATGTACAGTGAAACCGTAATACCTTGAGTATTTGAGCCCATTACTCAAAATCATGTCAGCAGGAGAATGGTGGTTTTGGGCAATTGCACTCCATACGAGTGGCTAGCTTGGAGCTGCACAAAATATAGAAGCGGAGCATAATTGAGAAGCCACACTTGGAATATTTATCCATGATAAATTACAAGATTTGTTGTTGTTTAGTAGTCTTAGTCATGTTCGACTCTCCCTGACCCCATGAACCAGAGCATGCCTTGGAAACTTTCTTCTCAAAGCTTCTCCTTTTTATGTCCATGGAGTTTTCTTGGCAAAATACTGGAGTGGTTTGCCAGTTCCTTCTCCAATCACAAGATAGGCAAAAGCAAAAATGTAAGATGTGAGAAACTCCCTCCCTTCCTATTTATGACTTTAACATCTATGACTGGAGGTCTTTTGCACTGCTGAGAAAACACGAACATACTCAGTGGCAGTCACTGGATTTATTAGAAATTATTTCTGACACAGTGGTTGCCAGAATTCTGGGTTGCCAGTCAGGCTGATGGGGAAATCCCGCTGTTTCCACTATCCCCCCAGCTGCACCCCAGTATTTCACCTGCCTGTGTTGTACTTGTTTTGGGGATTCTACATAATGTTCCAAAAATCCAGACTGTGACCTTCATAAGATCTGATTTTCTGACAATGGATCATTTATTTCAGGAATGGTACACGGTTTTTGAGCACTATCGGCGCACTAATTGCGTAGCATCAGATTTGATCATGGGAAACGAGTACTATTTCCGGGTCTTCAGTGAAAATCTGTATGGGTTGAGTGAAAATGCTGCCAACACCAAAAATTCTGCCTACATTAAAAAAACAGGTAACAGAGAGTATCTAAATTGACATTTTCAGGAAGGGGATCTGAAGAACTAAAGCAAATTATACTGGTTGCAAAGCTATCAGGTCTGTTCGATAGATCTATTGCTTTATTGTTTGGCGCCCAGCCACACTTCCCCTGCGGGCCTCTGCAGCTTCTGTTTATGCAGTGTGGCTTGAGAGCGTCGTAAAGCAATTAGCAGAAATTGCACAGCGTCTGTGTGTCAAAAGGGCAGTAAAATCAGTCCAGACGTTTCTTCTATCCTAATATCTCTTTATTGGAAACAAAATAGCGTATTTACAATCCACAACAGCCATCAGTCTGTAGCTGCATCTTCTCTGCCTCCTCTCTCTCTCCCTGCAGCGGCTGAACTGAATGCTTTCGATTTCCACTCAGTTCACAGCATACCAAGCTGTTTACGTCACATCCTGGCTTACTTCCCTTGTAAGCCCGTCCCCTCAAGCATGAGACATAGAAGGTTAACCCTTCACTACACCCAACAAGGTCCTCTGGGCCTTATTGGTAATTTAAAAATAGAGAATTCGTTGGGTCACAGGACTCAATTTGAAACTGATTTTCAAATGAAAATATGTATCTTGTTCCTAAGATTGGCCTTTGACTGGAAAAGTGGCCAGTTTAATAAGATTTCTAGGAAATTAGAAGTGGATTTGGTTAACATCTGTTCTGGGTAAATTGTAGCAAGCATTTTTAAAGATAACATTATCATGCACATTATCAAGTCTTGCTCAGGAAGAATCAACTTGCACATTGTGGCAAAAAAAAATGTTCACATAGTGCATAGTTGAACTGTAGGATTCACTACCATAAGCTTAAAGTTGGTTTTGAAACTACCAACTTAAAGACTGTTTCAATGAACTTAAATGTGCACTGCCTGGAGAGAAAGGCACTGGTCCTGTTATGTTTCTTGTGCAAATAAAGTTCATTTCAGGTGGGGAAAAAGACAGTTAGATAAATTCATAGAGGATAAGGCTATCAATAGCTACTAGTCATGATAGCTATACTCAAGCCCTAAGTTCAGAAGCTTCATGCTTCTGTATACAAGTCATTGGCGAATAAGAGTAGGAAAGAGCTATTGTGCTCAAGGATGATGTGGCATTCAATCAGGGAAGGGGAGATCCATCCCTCCTTCGGGTAGCACCATTAGCTAGTTGTTCCTATGACAACATGGTCAATTCTTTGGTAATGCAGATAGGTTGCTTAAATGACTTGGCCACGGCCATTATCTTAACAAAGGACTTATCCACACTGCCTCTTGTGCTGCTGCTTCTCCTCCAACCCCTCACAGGAAAAACTGCTCTGTAGCACTCATTCAGAGCAAATGGCAATTCAGGGCTTATTCGGATTGAAATTTGCCCCAATTTACAGCTAAGAACTCGTTTTCCGTGGGGAAAGAGTAGGGTAATGGGAAAACTGTTTAGACCTGTGCTTTTAGTCATGAGACAAGTGGACAAGATCCTTGATATGTGTTGAAATAATACAGGTTTATTGGAAGGTAGTTTTCAAAAGCGGTGGTATTTGATGATTAGCACACCATTGTATTTGGTCTTTGACAGCTGACATGGAATGGAACTTTTTGTTCTTAAATTATTTGATAAGTAACATGCAATAACCATTAGTATTTGATAGCTGCCTGCCAAACTCACAGCAATCAGCAAATGCAAACAAGGCTAAAACATTCCAATTCATAATCTGTAATGCAAGGTAGAATTTGGCCTTGAAATTTATCATTCATAAATATAGATGGCAGAATGTCAAAAAATTCCAAAGCTCATTATAGCATGATGTGGGAGGAATGTGTGAAAGCACAATGTGGGAAGAGTAACAGCTAGTTCCGAACCTTCTGCCACGCCAAGGAGACCTTAAACAAGTGTGATTCTGAATGGCTAGAGCCAACAGGGGATAGGAATTGGATGAGACCCTGCCCTATTGATGCTCCAAATGCTAGATGTAAATGGCCAGCATTCATTCCTACAAGGAAAAGGAGAAGAGAGCCAGCATCAAGGAGTAGGACAGGGGAAGTGAGTGCGTGCTGCAGAGAGGTATAAGGTAGGGGGGGGCAGAGGAATTTAGGAGTGGAGAGTGGAGTCTCCTGCCCTCTTGCTTTTTCAGCTAGGAGGGCAGGAGACCTGAAATGAAGGGGGATGCAGTGATAGAAGATGGAAAGGGGAAATGCTCTGGAGCTCCCAACCCATTCATATTAGGTTCTCCTACCCATGTGCTAAATAAAGGCTGCTGCCTCGCTGATATATCAAGAGAGAGAAGTAGAACACCTTAGATGTTCCTTCTCTTAAAAAAAAACCAAAAAACCGAAGGACAGGCAGAAGATATCATCCTGGTTCTTAATATTTCAGTACAATTTCAGCTGCCAGTTTTAAGATTATGTTAAATCATGGGCAAGATTAAAAGAAGTGTGCGTCTGACTTTGTTTCTACCCACCCTAAACTACAGGCACAGATTATAAACCCCCCAACTACAAAGAACATGATTTCTCTGAAGCACCAAAATTCACTCACCCTCTTCCAGATCGCTCCGTGATCTCTGGATACAATGCTACGCTCAGCTGTGCTGTAAGAGGAAGCCCAAAGGTACACACACCTCTCTTCTCAATATGCAGTTAAGTGAGCGAGGGAAACATTGGTACCCTTAGTGAGCAAATAATGCCATTCTTCCAGTTGACTTGGCTGAATAAATTATATGGCTTTTGAAGCGGGGGGGGGGGAGCTTACAGCCAGGTGGACCAGAAATGGGGTGGGTGGGGGTGAGGAGAGCTGCTAAATAGCAGGGAGATCTTGAAAGAGAGCAGGTGAAATACTCTTAACTGCAGCGAGCCTATGTGCTGATATTGCAAGATTTCAGGACCAGAAGTCAGCCTAGACATTAATTAATATTAGCAGCAGCACCTGCTGCTACTATAATCCACCCTTCACTATCAGGTGCCAGGCCAGGTTACAACATTACATGTCTAGGAAGAGCAGAGAGCCTGCACACCTTGTGTGGAGAGCAGCAGGAAAAGAACAGGGGGTGGAATTAGAGTGGACTGCAGGAACAGCACTGATGCATAATACAAAGTGGTTGGATACAGCCAATGAAAAAGTCTTGTGGCATCTGTTGACTGAAGAGGGCTAATAGGAAGAGGACTTTCATGCTGATGGACTCCCCTCCCCTTTCTGAGGCATTGGTGGGCCTGAACCAGCTCCTCAGCAGATCCCCAGGTCTTCTTCAGCTGCACGTTTCAATAATTTTTACTTTGCAAGGTGTTCCTTGGAACAAAGCTGCTCAGATGAAACATTTGTCTCTTACAAGGTTCAAAGAAATGTAGGTATTCCAGTGGTTAAAAATAAAATCTCTCAGTTGGTGGTACCCCTCACCCCATGTTTCGTCTTTGCTTTTCCTATTATCATATACTTAGCCAAAAATCTTCTGGTTCAAAAACAAAGTGGACCTTTCTGGAGATGCCAAATACCGCATGTTTAGTAAGCACGGAGTGTTGACTTTGGAAATCCGGAAGCCCAGCCCATTTGATGGAGGCCTCTACACTTGCAAGGCCGTGAATGAATGCGGTGAAGCTGAAATAGAGTGCCGGCTGGATGTCAGAGGTAATGAGGAGGATGCCACACACTCAGTACTCTAAGCTTAAGCAAAAAAAGTTTCTCCAACATTTGAGAGGTCCCTTTAAACAACAATAGCTAACTAGTGGGGTTCCTTTGGGGTCAAAAGACAGCTTCAATGTTTCTTCCACGACTCGAGTAGGAATGAAGCTGTTTCATAAGAGTGAATGTTGAGCACAACCAATGCAGAGTTGACTGGATTAGATGCTTCCTTGCAGTTTATTAGTCTGTCTTGGAGCCAGGTAGGTATATTACTCATTGTAGAACTTTGCTTACTTAGCTTTTCAGCGTTGTTTCATAGAAGCTTTCCTATGCAAATTGCAATCCACAGAAGAGGGTTGTAGCAACCAGTAACATGCAGAGAACAAAGCTGTGGGCGGTGTTCCCAAAATGTATACGGGGCTATGTCTATTTTCTGTGCAGAACAGGATACATGGATATGTATTGTGTGCATCTTCATTCGCACTAAAGGGTTGAGGAAGACAGTATTCAATTATGCTGACCCCACTCCATTCACATATTATATAGGCCACCTTACCTGTGTCCAGTGACATCCCATACTGCACAAGCAAGTCAACTGCTGGATAAAGATGACTGCCAGGATAAAAAATGATGGGTAGTGGAGTGTACAGTACTTTACCCACACACAAGGTAGAAGGTCTTCCCATATCTGGAGGAGCTGTTGGCTGCCCCCCAGATTACAGAGGCCTAGCTGGCCTCAGCTAGGATACAGCATTTAATGTCACCAGTCCCATGCTGTGGAACCCTCTCCCAGCAGAGATTCAGGATGCACCCTCGTTTTTGACTTTCCATCATCTCTTGAATACCTTTATTCATGAGCATAGCCAGGATTTTTGTTGGGGGAGCAGAACCTCAGATTTGTATTTTTGATTCTGATTCATTTAGGGGGGCAACTGCCCCCCCCCCACTATGCCCATGCCTTTCTTAGCAGGGGTTCAATTAACTATTCACTTTATATATTGTTTTTTAATGGTGTTTTGTATTTTGTTGCTGCAGCCTGCCTTGATATTTTATAATATGGCAGTATAGAAATTCTGCTTATAAGTAAATAAAAACAGAGAGATTGTGCTGTAACAGTTTTACCTAGCTAAATCCAACATTATGAGAAATGAAATTACAGTAGTGAGTGAGCAGCACATTGTGCTCACAGTCCTCTGGATCAGGGACACTCAAGTTAGTAGTCATTGTTAAGAAGAAAATACACTTCGTCTGGTTGCAGCATTGTCAATTAGTATTTCTCTTTTTGCTTTCTGCAGTTCCACAGTAGAATTCTGAACTAATGGCTGTCATCGAGATGTGGAGGCAAGTAATTCTGTAGAAATCAGATGCTTCTGAAGCAGGTGGTTTAGTAGCAAAGGGATGGAGAGTGAGAGAGATAAAAGACCAGACACAAAACCTTCTACTCATTTACAAATTCTGGCTTCTGGCTCCCAGAAACACAAGCTGTACTAACCCTATGCTTCCTATAGGGCTCACTCTCAGGAAAGTTAGAATGTGCCTACAGATGCCATTCAATGAGGTAGAAGACTAGACTGTACTAATTCAGAGTACATGTAAGGCACGTTTTTAATATTCCCCTACACCAAAAAACAAACAAAAGCTACATCTCTCTTCAAACAGAAAATCCATACAGAAGGGACAGGGCCCTGATGTGTTAGCATTCTGCTTACTGGGAGCTTTATATGTGGAATAGTATTCAAGAATGGCATTGCCCACTTGCAGTCAGTAATGGCACCACTCTCTCCACTATTTCATTCTACTTTCCATGTAGACTACGCTTTGCAGTAGTCTAATTTATTAGCTAAATGAAAATGTAGGAGTCATGATATCTATAGTAAAAAAAAGGGGGGAAGTATTCATTCACTGTTGAAACATCATACATGCTTGCTTGCAGCACTAAATCCTTCATTCTGTCTTTCAGGTCATACTGCAAATGGAACATAGCAGAAATGCAGAAAATAAGTGAATAAAAGACAACCTGAGATTATCTAAGTAACTACTCGTCTTTCAGTGTCTCATTTATCAAGTGTGCAATGGGGAAAAGAGAATATATTGTTGCCAAGCAAACCAGGCAAACCTTGCAATACAAAATTCTTAATTCTGCTTAGTTAAAAAATTCTCAACAGCCTGTTGTAGACCATCACATGTGCACATGGAATGCACCAGAACATCCTTCTCCACTAATCCCAAATGGAGGAGCCCTAGCACACACACTTTGTGCACACAGCTTTGAGTTTAGAGAGACACTCTCGTGGATAAGGCAGCACTTTGCAAGGAGCCTCCTCCAGGATAGTCACTTATTCAGCAACAACTGAATACCTGTGGTAGTAGAAGCATCAGCATCCTCAAAAGCACCACACTTAATGTCTGAATTAAAAGACTTAAATAATCAGTACCCTTGATTTCCACTCACAATCCCTTTTTGAGAGTTTCTGGTTGTGTTATGCAGGTTAATTTTTTCTTTGGTAGCATAATATGCCAAACATAATTGTATCATTACCTATTGTTATTCATTTAAGTTAAGCATTATAGTTTAATACAGTGAAACAAATAAAATCCACAGTGGTTTCTTTCTGAAAGTCTCTTGCTTCACTCAAGCTTATATTCTAGAGTTCTTTTCACTAGCTGTCAATGTTTTGATAAAAAAAAATTGGTTTCAATATACAAAACGCAAAACAAGAAAGCGGCAGTCAGAAGTAAAGAGCAACTCTGTGCAACAAAGGATTGAGTTGATCCCTCCCTTGCGCTAAAGGCACAGGAAAAATCTGCACTGTTGCAGTAGCTTATTTTCCTCATTCTAGAACAATGAGAAATAGATTTAGAATGACAAACATTAAAACAAGAGCTTTTGGTGACAGAGGTGTGTATCCTGCTATACCTCATTAGTTTCTACCAGAGTAAATCATAACATTGCAACAAAATGTTTAAGGTTACAATCCAACACAGGCCTCATTAGTAGAATGCTGTTCAATCAGAGCAAGAATTTCCACTTGTACAATAGGACTTCCTGTCCTCCTCCTCCTCTGCTCCAGAGGGTTTGGGGAACCCAACCAAAACAGACTGGGGGGAGTATATGGAGGAGGAGAACATTCCATTGAGCAAGCAGAAATCTTGTGCTGATAAAACATTCACCTTTGTGCTCATATTATACATTATTCTAATTTAGGTCAATAACCCTTCGTGTAAGTTGTACGAATGGTCTTGATTGATTACATTCTGTCAGGGCTGCCTCAGGTCTCAGCTCACAAAAGACCAACGCCAACAACTTCTTATATACAAAAGTGTTTATTGGAGTTCATTGTCTGCTTCACATCCGAGGCGCGCAGCCCCACGTCTGTTACGCTTAGACCGTTGAAGTCCCCTCTGAGTCAGTCCCTCCCCTGCACCAGTTTAAGAGGCTTGCTCTGCTCCACCTCTTTCTCTCTTTCCTTTTCCGCAGGGTCTTCCTGCCCCCTGGGGTTTCGCCCCTCCTGGATTCCCCTGAGGCGGAATCTCCAGATTGCTCTTCCCCCCTCCTGCGGGCTTTGGGACCTGGCTCCTCCTCCGGGCTCCCTGTACTTCCGCGCGCCTCCACATTTGAACGTGGCGCGCGCGCCCCACCTCTCACCTTCCTTTTGCCCGTTACACTACTCCCTTCACTACTACCCGCTCGGTCCGGGAGGGTGGCTTGCTCCGACCTCCCTCCCTTCTCTGCTGCCGGAGCTGCTTCCCCTGATACACTGGAACCTCCATTCCCTTCGCTGCACTCTGGCGGGGAGGCTGGTCCTGACGCCCAGCTGCCACTTTGGGATCCCCTGCTGGCCCCCTGCTCTTGACACGTTCCCCCTGGGGCTCCCCTGGCCTTGACCACCGGTGCCCCCTTCTGGGAATCCTCTGATTCGCTGGAAAGACTCATGGAATCTCTTGAGTCATTGTCATCCTCTTCCTCGCTGTCCTGGGATTCATCCCCATCGCTCTCCATCTCCTGCCTACCCTGTGCCTCTGTCCCTGAACCCCTGACACATTCATATAAAATTTATATTGCAAGACGCCGCCTCCCCAGGGTATCTTTTTGGCGATTATGAAGGAAACAGTTTTTCTTCAGTGTTGTTACATTTTTAACTGTACAAAAAGTTATGGAAAGGAATGCAAATCTACTTATTACTTTAGTATCTAACGTATGATTCCCGCCTCCCCCCCTTTGATTTGTTACTCAGCTCTTCAATGCCAAGGATTCTCAGAGCAATTTAAAATAGAATTTGAAAACATAATAAAAACCAATTGAACAGCACAGCCGCAGCACAAACAGTAAAAGTTAGCATTAAACCAACAAATCTAAAATGCCTGCGAAAATAAAAGGTTTTCCAGGCAAGACTAACTACTCACTACGAGAAGTGAGGTTACAGGGAATCAGGCAGAAGGCCTTCTCAGTAGTGGCACCCGCCCTGTGGAACGCCCTCCCATCAGATGTCAAGGAAATAAACAACTATCTGACTTTCAGAAGACATCTGAAGACAGCCTTGTTTAGCGAAGATTTTAATGGGCGGGGTATAAATAATAAAATTATTATTATTAAGTATTGGGTGGGAATTCCAAAATCTGGGACATCACCACAAAGTAAACCCTATCTAGTCACAACTTGTCTCATTTTTGAGATGGGGATCCGAGTAAGGAAGGACCTCTGAGGCTCCACTGGTGCAACACAGACAGAATCAGCCCCTATTTTATGGGCATTATATATGCCATTAAATAAGTCATGGCACTATGGAATTGGGAGTGTATGTGATACCAACATGGAGACATTGTTACTAGGTAGGTGGGCAAAGCCTATTGCATTAAACAGCCCCTGCAGATGCCTAATGGAAAAGTACAGAAAACTCATCCTTGGCCGTTCTCTTTTGTACCCACACAGCTGTAGGTGTAAACATGTTGCATAACTCAAAGGACCTGTGAGAAACTCCTCTAGGTTTATTTTTTCTCCTCTCCTCTTTGGCTGGTGTTAGTGATGCCTACAAAATGTTGATATACAGAAAACCGCTCTTGGCAGAACTCAAAAGCTTTTTCTCTGCTCGGCACTTAACATGCCATTTTGCTGTGGCCATAGCACAGTGATAAGGCAATCATTTTGCATCTCAGCCAATTCCTGCACCAGTTTTAGCTCACTTTACATGCACAAGCGAAATAGCCATTGGTTAACAACTTCCTTACATGGACACTCTTTAAACAACTGTACAGAGAAGCTGCTGTATTGCCCTAACCAAATGTTGCACTTCTGTTTCTTAAATACATAATCACTTAAACCAAAACAATTGTAAAAAAATGTATTAATTACAACTGATAAAGTTCTATATGGCCTTAGGAACATTTTTAACAAACACAGAAGCCTTTCAATTGTAGAACTGGATAGCTATTTATTTACAGTCATTGTCCTTTGGATGATAGAAGGGAAACTTTGAAGAATACCAGTTCATTCATATTATGTAGATAGATTGGTTAGATAATCTCCAGGATCCATAAAGTATTTGAAATTCCATATAATAATTTTAATAATAATAATTTATGAAGTGGCTTAGTCATGACCTGGAAGCTGTCTGCGGACAAACACTGGCTCCCTCTGCCTATAGAGCGAGATGAGCGCGCAACCCCCGAGTCGACCACAACTGGACCTAATGGTCAGGGGTACCTTTACCTTACTCTGCCCATCTGGCTGGGTTTCCCCAGCCACTCATATATACACAAAGGGCTAAGATTTTTATCGAGGGGACATTTAGCTGCTCTACTCAACTGTGAACAGAAAAAATCAGGGCTGTTGAACAGTTATAAAAACAAGATGCAAAGTTTATATTACATGGAGGATAAGGAATGGGCTCTCTTCTCCTCCCCAGTCTAAATCTTTTCCCCACTCCAAGCCGTTGTTAGTGCCACTAACATAGTCACCAAGCAAGTGAGATAATCCCTTTTATTACAACCCACGAATATTAAAATACAACTTTTGCAAGCTATTGAGCATGAGTAGGCAAACTAAGGCCCGGGAGCTGGATCCAGCCCAATCACCTTCTAAATCTGGCCCACAAACAGTCCAGGAATCAGCCTGTTTTTACATGAGTAGAATGTGTCCTTTTATTTAAAATGCATCTCTGGGTTATTTGTGGGGCATAGGAATTCGTTCATCCCCCCCCAAAAAAAACCCCATAGTCCAGCCCTCCCCCACAAGGTCTGAGGGACAGCGGACAGGCCCCCTGCAGAAAAGTTTGCTGACCCCTGATACTGAGTAACAGAACCTTCCCAGGGTACGAGTATGTTCAGGAAATGGGGTTTCTGAACTTAGATGTGCTCCAGTCTGGCTTAACCTTGGCTGTAGATTATTTTCCCCCACTCCTGAAACTGAAGAAAATACTAACAGACTGAATTCATTATGTTAAGGTCTGGACACTTTTTGAACCACCAAACAGTGCCCTGTACCTATATTTCAATTTAGACTAAACAAATACTACTTTTCAACAGTTAAATGTGCCCAAAGTGGTAATCAACCAGCAACTTGTCATCAAAATGCATAACAATTTGTTACAAAACGTATCAATAAACTCAAATAAGACAACAATTCAAAAAACACAGGACAAGGTCAACATTATGGTGAAATAGTCTAGACATGCAATTAGTAGGAGGGCTGTCCACTTGCCTCTAACCCAGGAGTTGGAGCTGCACAGTTCTACCCAATATTTATCATCTATACAGGAACCAAAGGGTGTTTCTTGTGGTATCAGTGCTCCTCTGGCATGCAGTGTTTTTTTGTCCATCCGTCCCCATCATTCACATGACTTTGTTGGCATAAAAAATGCCAGCCCATATTTTCCCTATTTAATCTGAATTTTCCAGGGAAAATTTGTAATCAATGACCTGTTTGCAGATTAAAGCCCAGCCTGGAAGCACCCTTTATCTCCTGAATCAAGCCTTTAAACTGGTAATGCCCTCCTCTCCTTTTCAAATGTGAGAACAAGGAAATGACAATACAGTGGTGCCCCGCAAGACGAACGCCTCGCAAGACGGAAACCCGCTAGACGAAAGGGTTTTCCGGTTTGGAGGCGCTTCATAAGCGAATTTCCTATGGGCTTGCTTCGCAAGACGAAAGCCCATAGGAAATCTCCGGGGACCTCTTTTAAATGCTAGCGGTGAGGAGCAAAGCCTTCCCCCCTCCGGCCTTCAGAAGAGGTCCAGGAAGGCTGGCGGGGGCCGAAGGCTTTGCTCCCCACCGCCAGCATTTTAAAAGCAGTCCGGGATAGCAGGGAAGCGCTTCCCGCTATCCCGGATGGCTTTTGAAGGCAGGAGAGGTCCGCGAAGCCTGGGCGCGCTGATCTCAGCGCGCGCAGGCTTCGGCATGCCGGCAACCCGCCGCCACCAGCGGCAGCGCTGCCGCTGCCCGCGGAGAGGTCCGCGACGCCTGGGCGCGCTGATCTCAGCGCGCGCAGGCTTCGGCATGCCGGCAACTCTCCGCAAGCAGCGGCAGCGCTGCCGCTGCTCGCGGAGAGGTCCGCGAAGCCTGGGCGCGCTGATCTCAGCGCGCGCAGGCTTCGGCATGCCGGCAACTCTCCGCAAGCAGCGGCAGCGCTGCCGCTGCTCGCGGAGAGGTCCGCGAAGCCTGGGCGCGCTGATCTCAGCGCGCGCAGGCTTCGGCATGCCGGCAACTCTCCGCAAGCAGCGGCAGTGCTGCCGCTGCTTGCGGAGAGGTCCGCGAAGCCTTGGCTGGACAGCTTTTGAAGGCAGGTGGGGGGACAAGACTTCGCCCCCGCCAGCCTTCAGAAGAGGTCCAGGACCTCTTCTGAAGGCTGGCGGGGGCAAAGTCTTTGTCCCCCTGCCTGCCTTCCCAGGAGCTTTAAATTGCCCCGGACAGCGGAGAAGTCCTCCGCTGTCCCGGGGCAATTTTAAATGCCGCCCGCCAGCATTTTAAGATCGCCCCGGACAGCGGAGAAGCCCTCCGCTGTCCCGGGGTTTTTTAAAATGCTGGGGTGGGTGGGAAGAAAAGCCCTTGTCCCCCCAGCCTTCAGAAGAGGTCGGGGGACAGACTGTCCCCGGACCTGGTCTGAAGTCGGTTTCCCTAGGAACGCATTAATTGATTTTCAATGCATTCCTATGGGAAACCGTGCATCGCAAGACGAAAAACTCGCAAGAAGAAAAAACTTGCGGAACGAATTAATTTCGTCTTGCGAGGCACCACTGTATTATTTAGAGGCTTTGTTTTGAATGCCACAATTCTGAGGTCTGTAATGTTCCTGGACCAAGAGTGTATTGCTTTTACACGATTCTGTTTTCAAAATACATCACAGTTTCAAGTCACACAAAGGCTCTGAAGCAAAGTATAATAGAATGTGTGTATTTATTTTTAAATAGCTCTCACACATTATCCTGAACACACTCCCCCCCCCCTTATGGTTTGTATATTTTTTTGAAATGGAACCAATCTTCCATTACTGCTTTATCCCTGCAGCCTTGGTGTAAATTGAAACCCTGGTTAGATGGTTTGACTGTAATTGGATTAAGGCTAAAATCCTAATCCTTCTCAGAAAATATCACACTGCCCCCATCTGCTACTTTCTACCAGCATAAGACTTTTTAAAAAGTCTGCAGACAAGAAGGGCCAGGCTAATGCTGTACCTTGCACAGAAGCATCTCTCATTCATCCTTTTTGCTTTTACTTTTCTTGAACACTCAGCCTGAGGAAGAGTTTTGTTGCCAAAACTCATAAGTCAGTTCTAGCAGGCATAATCTCACTTGATTTGCAACACCAACATGGACTCCATATTATGTTTCTTAGAGGAAACCCAGATGCATTTAAGCCCTACTGATATAGTTGAAGTGCCACTCAAAGCAGAGACATCTATTTTAGGACAGCAATGCAGTCGAGTAAGTGGATCCCATTTCTGAAGACCATACATTGTGTGACATAAGGAGCACATCCTAAAATGACTTGAAGTGGTGAAAGATTGAAAGTGCTAACTATTGCAGCCTCCATCTGTTATCCCTGAGCTTGAATTGGCATGCTCAAGCAAAGAGGCGGACAATAGAGAAAGTCTTAAAATAACCCTTACTTAAGATACTCAGCCAGCAAATAACCAACAAACCTTACTGAGAATAATGTACTTCAGGAAGGGTAGGGAGGGAAACAGAGACAACTAGTGTCCAAGAAAGTAAACTAAGCCAGGCTTAATAAAAGACAGAAAATGTAACAGTCTAAAGAAAAAGAGCAAGCCAGAAAGCAGCTTTCCTTTCCTATGATCAAACACAACCAGAGATTCACAACAATACAATTCAGAACATGGCCATAAGTTTTAAGTACTGTCCTCCTTTGTGGGTACCCTGTTTTGAAGAGAATGGGATAGAATCCAGATAAAATATGGAGGATTTGCAGCCTAGTTGCTGCTAGAACATCCATTCCAAAATCCCAGAAGACCTAGATTGACATATTCTGTATAATTTTCAGATAAAAGAGCAACACTTCAGGGAAAATAGTATTATTATTTTTTTAGAAGGTCAAACTAACAAACTGCTAGTACTGTGCTATTTAATTCACAACAGACCAAAACTGGAATCTGAAACAAAATTCTGCTTCATAGCTATCTCAAGTTTTATTTTAAGAAAAATGAAGCTTGCAACCTTCAGTTATAGATAAAAAAATGTTTGAAAGTATGTAGACAGAGTTAACTCCAAAGCAGGAGCAATATCTCAACTTCCTACAGAGACTCTCTTTATGTATGCTATGGTTTTTATTCCCTGAATCCATCTTTACAATTCATGGGTGAAGCCAGCAGGGGAGGCATCAGTAAAACTCTGTAAAAATCAATACAAATCTGAAGTTCTCTCTCTCTCTCTCTGAAGCTCCCAAACTGCCAATGGAATACATAATACAAACTGTTACAGAAAATTAAAAATTATACAAAATTATGTTGAGAGTATCATATGGAATGTACGCAGGTATAAAATATTTGCCAGCTTTGCCTATATTGTTAGCTATTGAATTAACAATGAAATCATTTCATATGACTGATTTCTCTCAAGCCTACTTATTCTTCTCACTTGTGCAAGGAGAGTGCTCTTTTGGCTAGATAATGAGATCTATTAGTATATAAACATATAGGGCCCCTCAGTCACATGTTTTGGCTTTATTTGAAACTTAAATCACTAAATTTTAAACAGTAAGCAAAACTAAAGCAGTTCAAACCACGAGAGTCAAGGTGGTTTAATGGTAGTTTATTTTCACATTCACACAACTGTACACTTTTCTATAAATAGATGTGGGGCTGAATATGTACATCTTCCCTCCCTCCCTGGCAACTCATTCATAATACACAGTCCATTCAACCACCACACAGACCAAGCTGAATGGAACAATCCCAATGATTTCTGGAGGCAGATTGCCAATAAATCCTGTGAACTCATATGGTACTCCAATATGAGTCAGAGAAGTCAGTCAGATGTTCTACAGTTTGTTATATACTCCAGATCCTCTCCTTCAAGTACCCTGGGTGCATGTTTGCGTTAGAGTCCAGTACAGTCCATGAAAAAATAAAAGGCATATTAAATATTCATTTTCCAGCTTACTTAGAAATAAAAAAATCAAATGATACTTTACCTGGGAGGGAGGCTTCATTGCACAGTAGCACGGTGTTTGCAAAATTCTTTAATATACATGTACAATTTGACAGAAGCAATGGCTAAAAGGAGACTTGGAATGAGGATATACAGTGCTATGGACAAACATTTGCATCCTCACAACCATTTTATGATTTGATGTGTTTCCAACAATATACAACAGAATTATAGGGTGCTCTAAATACTGAAGCTTCATGTGAGTATGTAATGATTTAACCAATAGCACTGTGTTGATTTTGGTGGTGATGGTGGTGGTGGAGAGTTGCCTTTCTTCACTTAATTCTAGACGTTTACCATGAAGAAGTCTATCACTATGAGCATGTACTACGGAACTGAACTGGAATGTCAGCAAAATGTTAGTCTCCTGTTTAAAAGAATATGTACAGTACATGCACACTGGACTGCATCATCCTTCCTGTGCCTTGATTTCCACCCATTCCTCTGAAGACACAATGACCAGACATGTGTGTAGTTTTGCTTCCACTCTCAAACAACCATGCCTTTCTGTGGAATGGGTTGGAGCAGCTTGCAGACAAAAAAGGGCCGCGTGAAAGGAATTCCATGCTGACAAAGTTAAGTCTGGAGAGCAAGGAACAAAATAATGTACAGTAAAGCACATTAGCAGCAGCAGCAGCAACGGGTGAGTCAGGCAACACTGAGTTGCTTTCATCGCATACATAACAGAAAATATGAAAACAGAGGCTTGATTCTATAAATAAATAAAAAGTCAAACAATGGTATCACTGTAAAATAAAGAGAGCCGAACCTCATGTGAGCAAATCGTCTGGGACAGCTAATTCCAAGAGCATGGCCAGAGCAGACCACACTCAGTTCTAGAAAGGATGCCAAGAAGTGCTGGAGAAGAACAGCTTCAGCACACAAATGAATAGTTAAGTCTGACTTTTGTAAAGGGGACTTGCAGGGCCCTAGATAAACAAACAAGTTTTCATAAGAGATGGTTATGTGAGCTCCAATAACAGCCATAGAAAAGGGAGTATTACAGGCCAATGAATTTCCAGTGGTGGTGTTGATCAGCTGGAGACTGGGCGAGGTGGCTTGCTTTTGCCTTCTGCTTCTTTCCCACGAACTGCAGCCACATAAGAGAAGAGACACAATACCGAGTAGCAGATCTCATGAGCCTAGAAGACATTAGGAAAGACAACAGTGAAGGTTTGAGTAATTAAAGGTCTCCGGACTGTATTTATTGTATACCTTAGAGTTCCTTTACTTCGAGAACAATTATAGAAAGCTCCAATAGATGAGATGTAATGCCTTGAAACTGGTGATTCATCTATCTCATCCACTCATATAAGGCTAAAGAATGCCCACTGTTTCAGTCTCAAATAAATTAAGGCAATAACAGGTGTAAATTTTTCCAGCTGTGGAACCTATCTGCAGTGCCCTTACTTGCATTTAAAATGGAGCACTCAAGTGAGTGGCCCAAGGGCCATATGTGGCCCACAATGCATTTTTCAGCGCCCCCCCCCCCCCCCGGTGCTGCCTTCCCAAAGCCAGGTGAGGCTGGGCTTTGGGAAGGAGGCATGAGGGCTCTGACAGAGTCCTAGAGTCCTCCTTCCTCATTCCCAAATCCTAGTTTGTGCTTTCCCAGCTTTGGGGAGGCAATGTGAGGGCTGTGCCAGGGGGAAGCATCATATTATGACCTTGCTCCCCCCCCCCGCCCCATGCAATAAGGCAGTGTGCAGCCTGAGAGTTCTGTGTCATAGTATTCTTGTGGCCCAATTGATATGAAAAGTTGGACTGCCCTGATTTAAAACATACCTTTGCTCTTCAAGGTTGAATTCTATAAAGACTGGCTCTGCATAAACTGTTTATGCATGGAGCTTATTAAATTCTATGATAGGAAGGACATCTAATTTGGAAGCCCTTTACGAGCGTTCCTGAGGGATCCTGCCTTATGCCACTGAGAAAAGGTTGGTCTGGAAATAGTGGAAGCTCTGCCTCCTAGATGACAGAATTGGATGCCAGACCTTGTCTACTGCCAAAAGGAGGTGCATTCTCAGAAGTCAGACTGCCCTACTGTTACTATGGAGGCAAAGCAAAATCAAGAGATGACTCAGTGCTTAAACGAACAACCATGCAGTGCTTTACAAAAGATAAAGGCAGGAAGGGAGCAGCTTGCTTGAAGCATTATGGAGGGGCAAGGTTGGCATTCCATTCACTGATATGCACATATATCACTTCAGCTGCAAAAATAGTGCATAATTATTATTATTATTATTGTTGTTGTTTTGTTTGTTTGTTTGTGGTAAAAATTGCTTTTGTTTTTTCAGTCTTTCATGTACAAATCTGTAAGATCACAACTGAGTAGGTATGTTGCCCTCCTGAATTTCTTATACCTTTTGTGGTCACTTGTATCATATATAGCTATTAACTGTAAACTCAGTAAAAATATTGGGGGGGGGTGCCGCAAAACTAGGAGGAAGCTGGGTTTGCACTGCAACTGAGGTGCCAGACAAACATCATGTTTCTGTATTAAATCTGTCTTCATCCTGAGTAGATGACTTCACAAAGTGAAAGTACTAATTACACAAGAGTGCAACCATTTTATGTGCCATCCAGACTCTGGCTGGCCGCAAAAGACTTTTATGCAATAAAAAAACAACTCGTTTGAGTTTGCAGCAAAGCATTAGGAGATCTATGGAGGTAACATTTAAAGGAAATGATACCAAAATTCCACCTACAGGTTCAATATTATACACAGAGTGAAAATGGTATGTGGAAGGTCTATTTCTTATTCTAGGTCATAGCCCAAACATATTGTTAACCACTAGACTTTGTCATCTACACAAATATACTTATACAGTGTCTAAATATTTTTTTAATCCTCTGTTAACTGGTAGCATCAAATGTACCCCAACAGGGGGGGGGGACTTTTCTGCCAGTCTTCTATAACTGTCTATTAGATCCCACACACCATTCTTGTGGGTTTATATCCTATACAATGTAGGGTGTTATTGATCCCAATGATTTATTTGCAACTATATTGTTTTACTAAAAAAAAGGTAAAGTTTTCAATGAAGCTGTAGTTTTGTAGATATGCACTTGCTCTCATGCTTAATACAATCTCACAGTTTTTTGTTTTTGTTTTCTCGGGGAAAAGTTGACCTCATTTGGATATAGTCTTTTGTTGTTGTTGGAGGGTCAAATCAAACAGTTTTAAAACTCTTAAGATATCTGATTCAACATACACCTGACAATTATTAAAAAATTTGTTTTCAGATTAATTCAAAAGATCTCAAGTGGTAATCATTAATATAGTTATGTTCTCAGTGATCGTAAGCCAGTACGTGTAGCATCTTAAATACAAGACTTTTAAGTTAATTATACAATTAAATATTCCCATGTTTTATTAGCTCAAACCGCAAATCCTCCTAGTTTCTGGAAAATGGGATGTAAAAGTAAACATTAATTAGTAGTTGTCCCATTTTCTAGATGCTGACTGAGGTCTTTAAAAAATCAATTATTTTATACTTTATAGTTGAAGTAATCAGATAAAATGTAAACCATCAAATTTTGCTGGTCTCTCTCTTACACTTTCTCTATCAGCAAACTTAATTCTGCACAAGCCCTAGTTTGCTTTCTGAAGTTCAACACAACACAAAAATAAGCTGAAACCCATCATCAGAATACACACAAAAACCTGTAGGCTTATACATTCCTTCAGTCCTTATTTTTATTCTCTTCATTTTGAAACTGATCATAACCATACTTCCCCAGAAGCTTCCATTGAAGTGATGTTGTCTAACTTGGAAAATTAGCAAGATGGAGAGCAGTCTGAATGCTGAAATGCCACAAGGTGGACATGATAAGAAAACCTTTGAGAAATAACCAGAAGACATAGCAGATGACTCACCATTGGCGTCTTGTACTTGTGGCTCACCACTTCTTTAGTTTCAGGAACTAAAACCGGACGGGCAAGAGACAAAACAAAGAGTTCAAAAAACGACAAGAAAAATTGAGGGGTATAGTACAATGTTCCCAAAGGCAAGAGGAAAGGAAATGTGCAATGAGCTGCAAGGGGGGAAAAGCACTCAGAATCACAGAATTGTAGAGCTGGAAGGGACTCCAAGGGTCATCTAGTCTCACCCCCTGCGATGTAGGAATCTCAACTAAACAATCTTTTTTTACTAATGCTAAACTTTACACATTCTTTTTTCTTTCTACCATTAAACATTGACCTATACCTGTGCTGGTGCCATTAGTTCTTGCTTTAGATAACGTTCCAAAGGAAGATTTGGCAGGCACCATCTTAAGAGCCTAAATACTTCTGTTCAATCATTTGTCAATGTGCCAGGCTTAGTTTCAGATTTCGCCTGTACATCAGCAACAGCAGATACATATTCCACTCTTATATAAACTAGCAGAAATTTACTTATGGATATTAAAAATTAAATGCCAGGAAGTCCAACTTCTATTCCCTCTGCAATAAGGAAGCAGAAGTAACAACCAAGGAAATACTGCTCTTCTTTTATCACATTCAAATTTACCACATCAAAAGCTTGTGCATTAGAACAATTTCTGATCTGAATAACACAATCAAACAACTACAGGCATCCCTTCAACTTACGCACGATTGACCACATATGCGAGCAGCACTGGGAAATAAATAAATAGACTCAAACCAGGAAATGGCAGGATTGCGCTGGAGAGTCCTCGTAACTCATGAGGAGATTCTTCCCAGAGCTTGAAGAGGACTTCAGTGAGGGCAGAGGAAGCCCCAAAGAGACCAGAGGCACAGCAGGGCTTTGCTTTGGCTGCTCAGCCTCCCCGCCTAGCAACTGACATACAGTGGTGCCCCGCCAGACGAATGCCTCACAAGACGGAAAACCCGCTAGACGAAAGGGTTTTCCGTTTTTGAGTTGCTTCGCAGGACGAATTTCCCTATGGGCTTGCTTCGCAAGACAAAAATGTCTTGCGAGTCTTGAGATTTTTTCGCTCCCCTTTTTTCTAAGCCGCTAATAGCCTTTTAGCAGCTAATCCGCTAAGTCGATAAGCCTTTAATAGCCGCTAAACCGCTAATAGCGCTAATCCGCTAATAGGGTTGCTTCGCAAGACGAAAAAAACCGCTAGACGAAGACACTCGCGGAACGGATTAATTTCGTCTTGCGAGGCACCACTGTACATGGTAGCAAGTCACCACCGCTTTTCTGTGCATCCTCTAGCCTTTAAGTGGCCCCAGAGTTTCAACTCTAGTTTAAGAGAGAGTTATGTGCAGAGAGAGCTTTTTAGAGGCTTTTTAAAGAGTATTCCCCACTTACGTCATTTTTGCTTATGTGCACTGGGGCCCCAGTACGTAACCCAAACGTAAGTGGGGGGACGCTTGTATATTCTAAAGTCAAATGATTATGGAATGATTTTGAATCTTTTCTTTGCAAAACATCTCAGATTTTCTAGGTTAACATAAAACAACTGAAGAAAAGAACCACTCTCCCCACCCACCCCCAAAAGGAATCCATGTATTTATCATGGGGAAAGATAGAGTAAGTATCTTATCATATAAACCCTGATATCACCTATTAAGACAGAATAAATGAATAGGCAATCTATGAACAAATGAATTCAGTATAAATGCTTATGTGGGGAAATAATATAACTCAAACAAACCCTTTCATACACGAGAACAAATGCTATCCAGGAGAAGGTCAATACGAAACGATAAAAAACTAACCAATATTACAATGAGTCATAACTCTGATACAAAACTATGTATCAGCAGCTAGAACACAGGGCATCAACATTTCTGGAAAGTTCTTAGGAAAATCCCACATATTTAACATATGTACATGCCCAAAAGACACTACTTCATGCCACCAGGAACTAGATGAAGAGCAAGGTCTCACTCTAAACTACTTTACTTATTGGTATCAAATAATTCTGGTACCTCTGTATCCCCATAAAAATTATTTAAACAACTAAAACCTGCTATATCATCACAAAAGGAATAAAAAATGATTAACACATTTCTGAGCTTGGAGTTAGTATGATCATTTGAAAGGCAAGTATATTGGACAGAAGAAACTGAAGTCAAGAAGTCTGGACCAAACAGAAGAGGAGTTGCAAAGTTCCTGACCCTTAAGAACTGGTTTTAGGAAGGGGACCGTCATGCTCACTAAATCCCCCTGTTCCCCAACTCAAAAAATGAAAATAGGTTTTTAGGAAGGAATCTGGAAGAGAACCGGGGGGGGGGGGTGTTACAAAGACCAAAAAAAGTTTGGTGGGGGAAGGGGGATAAAACATTACTACTGCATAGTATTAACAAACAAACCAAAAACAAGCTAAAAGGGGGGCATCTGATTTCTGAAGTTTTTACAGTTAGAAGGATGAAAGAAATAAGTACACAAGTGCCATCCTGCTTCCTCTTGCCCTGTGAATAAGAATACAGGTACAAAGTACTAACAAAGGATTGGGACGAGGGGCAACACTTTACCTGCTGGAGAATGAAGGTTTTCATAGCAGCAACAGTGAAGGGGTCACCAAAAAGTTAAGCACAAATACATAGCAGTAACTCAAATCTCAGAGCCAAGGCCTGGTGCTTCCTACTTTCTCTAAGCAATTCCTTCCAGAAACACACTACAACCCAGCTATACGCCCTAAGATCTCATCTCCAACTTCCACATTGTCCTTTGTAAAGTGGTCTGGGATAACATGAGAAACATAAAAACAAAAAAGCTGACAAAACGAAGATCAAGCAATGTAAAGTATAATCAGTGTGACCTATGGAACAACCTTATTACTCATTGGTTAGCTCATTATTTTGGATGGCTATTAAAAACTACAATTCTTCCTATTTGGAGAAAGGAAGAAAATCTGCTTTAGCAATTGTGGATTCCATGTACTACCACTTTCATATGCAGCTGAAAATGTCTTCTGTGAGATAATTATATATTATACACAAGGCTTAAGCCTATTGTCTACAGACATTGAAATTTGGGTTTCAAGGCCTGTCAGACACAAACTGAAACAAAGATGGAGACACTGTGGCTCTTTGCTGGACCATAACTCTTAATAGTCTCTCACCCTTGGCTGCACTTATCAGGTTCTTCCTCGCAGGCCAAAATTGACAGGTGGGCAAAGCTGCCCATCTGCCGATCACCTGATGTCACAAATGATAGCAGGTGACTGGATTTCAATCAGCCAAGTCCCACCCCTACCTGCCCTGCAATTGACATCAGGTGTAGGCCGGGTGGGCATGGTGTGAACAAAGCAGATTGCAGGCCAAATAGGGAAGCCTCATGGGATGCATCTGGCCCATGGACCAGAGGCTTCCCACCCTGTTCTAACTTAGTAAACAATCACATAGCACAGGGATGCCTGATCCAGACCAGGGCCATATCAAAGGAAAGAAGGGATGAACCCTTTCTTTGGACAGGCCAAGACTGCAACAACTTATTTCTTTCCAGGGGAGTTTTTAGATGGGAAGTTTATTGTGGAATTGGTGCTGATCACTAACACAAGTTTTTTAGAGTGTCCTCATGACATTGTCATCAAACCGTCAGCCCATTTTTTAATATTTAATATTTAATACAGGTTTCCCCTTAACCTAGAAAATATACATAAAATTAACCTCTAAATACATCTTCAGTCACTTCTTGTCTGAAAGCTCATTAGCTTTTGGTGGGTGGTTTATTATGTGGTGGCATTTTGGTAGGTAGTCTCTGTCACATCCCTAGTCATTTCACTTGAAGTCCCCAGTACCACTGGAATACTGATTGTTTCATGCTGAAGGCTTGCCTGTTTTGGAGAATCTAGTCTCTCAGTACCTTCACACCATGTAGGGAGATTGCCTTTGAGACTAATTGGAGTACATACACCAGGGTTTTAAAAAATGTTTAATATGGAGGTCTTGCAGAAGACCTCTTTATCATTCTTGCCCAAGTCTTATGGTAAATCTCACTCTTGCACAAGACCTCAGTGCTAAAAATTAAAAATCAAGTGAACAAATGAAAATGAATATGGCCCTCACTACCGCAAAAAAGCACAGTCCTCCATTTTACTCATTGTGAAACTAGATAAATGGCTGGATAAGACTGGTAATATGTGCTCCTGGGATTTTTAATTTTTTTAAAAAAGATATACACATACCTAGGTTCAGAAATACCTGTATACACGTATATTCAGACTAGAAAAAGGAGGTTGGGGAGGGTGGGAGGAGTGGCACAAAACTCAGCTCAAATACATTCTGTCAAGCCCTGCCCAATGTGGTGGATGGCAAGTGGCAGAATAGAATGAACATTGATGACTGCAAATGGAAATGTGTGGCTAATGTGTCAAATGCACAACAAACCAAATCAGATCTGAAGGACCTATTCTGTGGTATAAGGCCACTCTCTGGAAGCACCTAAACAGTACCTTCACAGCAGAAAGCGTCTCCCAAAGTGAAGTGAACTGGAATATTGACCAGCAATTGCTCTGATCAGTCAGTCTGAGTATCAGTTGAGCATTTATGTGAATCCCATGCAATGACCTATGGTGCAGTGCAGATGGCATGGACTGCTTACAAACTGCTATAGAGCTTTGGCGTAACTGACCTGCCGATTTGTACCAGTGTACATACTCTCAAAAGATGTCTTGAAGAACCATCTTCAGAAGATGGAATTCACTTTTACATTACATGCCCCCACATTTCAATGAATTTGAAAAGAAAAATGATTACTGATATATGGAACTTCATAAATTGGAATAAATTTGGAACATCCATAAATATGGAAGTTTAAATTGCCCTGAGTTAAATTCTACACTCACTTCATGTAGCAGAAGTTCTTTACCTAGCTACCCCTTTCCCAGCTCTTCTTTTCCCATCAGAATAAGTTCCTTGTCAAAACAAAACAAATCACTATGCTGAATTTACTCTATTCAACGAAGTTTTCTTAAGCAGCAAAAAAGAAGTTAAGTTGTTAGCCTCATTTCACCTCAGATCAAATACAAATCAAAGAAGTGTAGACATTGTAGTCGGTTGCAGAACATACAACAAGAATCCTCTAACACAGTGAAGTAGCAAATTATTGTGGCCTAAAATTCATCGAAATCAATGCAATGCATCAATATTCTCTGAATGCTACATCCAGTAACAGCCTAACTACTATAGAAAGATAGCCTAGTTTAAAAAAAAACCACACCACAAAGTACACTAATTGCTGGTCCCCATCCCCATCTGCACTGGACAACCTCAGAAAAGTCAGCTATGTCCTGGTGGTCTCTCTCTCTCTCTCTCTCTCTCTCTCTCTCTCCCTCTCTCTGACACCCACCCACACCCACACCCACACATTTCTTCCTGATAGCAACAGGGAGCATTCCTCAGTAACAGGAAAAATATACAAGGCAGTCACACCTTACTCATTCTTGTACTCACATACACTCACCACACACACACAAACCGCAGGTGCACATGCAACTCTCTCTCACGCTCTCTCACACTTCATACCTGCATTTCCCCCTGCCTCTCTGTCCAAGTGCATCTCTCACAGACATGGGTGTCCACAGGAATTTTTCCATTGGGGGAGGCAAAATAAAGCACTGAAAGGATGAAGCAGCCAATTTCTCCCCCAAAATGGGAAGAATAGTGCCTATAAGTTTTGCCTTATATCTCAGGTTCCAAAATTGTTAGAAATGTACTTTAAAAAAGAAAGGAATCTGGGGATTATAGTTCATCCTGGGGACACTAAAAAGGCTTTCGCATATGCCATGGAGATGTATTGTACTCAGACTCTTGGGCAAGTAACTTGTTCTTTTTGACCAGGCAGATCCCCATAGTAGCTGCTTTGTGGTGGTGCCCATAAGAGTTGCTCAAATTCCTAAATATGCCCACAGACCCAAAAGGTTGGTGACTCCAGCTTTAAAATCTTGTTATCTAAGCTTAACAATGCCTCAAGTTCACTCATGTCTTCTTCAGTTCTAATAACCTGTTTAGACACAATTTATGCTGCTTCCTTTGACCTTTCCCTGCGACCCCCCAAAAAAGAAAAAACTATCAAAAAGATACAGTTCTGCCTCATGGAGAGGATCAGAAATTTGAGTTACTGCCATGTGAGTACAAACCTAATATCAAAATAATGTAATTACCAAATTCTTCCAGGACAAAGACTCCTCGCACTGTATTGCACTTTTTAATGTGATTCAGCTCTATGAAAACCTGAAAGAAAAGAGGAGGAAGACACATGATTAGAATAAAGAAGGCAATGTCAAAATAAAACAAGAACAAAAAGCACACCACAGCAGTTATAACTTGGAATGTTGTAGCACATACTACCAGTTCAACTATAGTTTACTACTTAAATAAAAAGAAAGAGAAATTGGAAAATAAAAATCAAAAAATTGCCACAATGCTAGAAATCAAGAAACAACTTAAAAGGCTAAGAAGCTAAGACAGCAGAAGATGGAGTACCTTCCGCTCCTTGCAGGAGGAGAAAGCATGGAAGAGAAACGAAAGAGTTAGTAACTCTTGACATATCCAACATTGCTACCCCCTTCAGGCACTCAACTGAGTTACAGCAAAAAGAAAAACCAACACACTTTGAAATGAAAGAAAAGGAGGGACACAGACTGCTTCCAGATTTGGTCTGTCATTTGTGGTCTTGCCCCATCCCATTAAATGTCTGCCTCTCCATGCATCCTCCTCCAGCACAGAGGGCAGGCAAGAGGTGCCATGCTTCCCACCCAAACCAAGGGTTTTTCTTCTATATTTCCACACGTGATGATGCTCAAGATTTACAGACTGCAGATTACACTAAGTGCTAAAACAAAGGGAGGTTGAGGGGGAAAATGAAGCAGCAGGTTTTCACTTCTCTGACTCAGAAACCCAAGTGTGTGAAAATAAATAAGCTATCTTATTGTAGTAGTCCATTCAACACCCAAAGTAGCTTCTCATACATCCATGCGCATCTTGGAAAGTGCAATCACACTGTTTCATTCAGGACGAGGGGTAATATATGGCCTATGTGGAAAAGTACAGGAGGGAAATCAGAATATCTCTATACTAAGATCTCTCCAAACAATGGCAAAATCCCAGGTGTTTTTCTATTAGCAATATACTTACACTAGCATACATAAAATGTCAATATTATGATATGCCATCCCCAAAGAATGAGAGGATAGTCTGTTTACAGGGATATGATGGGAGAGATAAGTAGGAGACTGCTTTATTAAAGGAAGATAGCCTGCTTTGTTTCTTTAAAAATGCACTTAAAAATCTAGCAATTTCTCATTTAAAAAAGTATAGTACTAAGTCCTAGAAAAGATGCAACATCCCTGAAACAGAAATGCTTCTGGAGGGAAAGATGTTCTCCAACTAACTGAATAACAACATGTTTATTATGTTGCATATTGCTTAACTGACAAAGTCCTTAGAATCAATCATTTATAAAAATAAATAAAAAGCTTACAAGGGATGATTACACCTATCTCTATCCTTTTCTGTTTTACCAGAATCTACAATCTCAGTGTGTACCCAGTGCATGGCTGCAAAAAATAGGTTGTCAGTCTTCGAGCAATAAGTTTCCAAATCTGGACAATACCACAGCAAAGGGCTTGTTATTTGGGCAAAATACAGCAATACCTATCATGCTAGAGTCCATTTGGGTTTACAGTTTCGGGGTGCTTTGGGAATCTACTGCTGCATCTGGGACTACAGATTGCAACAGTGGACAAAATTATAGCCCCAGAGCATGGTTTAAGGATACTGTACATGAATCTGCTACTTCGTTGGCAAATCATTGGGGACCCTGTGTAAGTTATCTTGTTTCCATGATGGCATAAAGGCATGAAAGGTATGTACAATTCAGTTGACACAGTCCCCCAAACAGCTTAAATACACAGAGAAGTGATAATAATAATAATAATAATAATAATAATAATAATAATAATAATAATAAATTTTATTTATATCCCGCCCTCCCCAGCCGAAGCCGGGCTCAGGGTGGCTAACAACACTAAAATAGCGCAACATTATAAAAACATTATAAAAATTAATTAAAATCAAAATTGATGGCAACCATAAACTAAAGTTCTGTAAAGATTGCCAAAGGAGGGAGACAGGCTGCGCCCTGACCAAAGGCCTGGTGGAACAGCTCTGTCTTGCAGGCCCTGCGGAAAGATGTCAAGTCCTGCAGGGCCCTTGTCTCTTGTGACAGAGCGTTCCACCAGGTTGGAGCCGCAGCCAAAAAAGCCCTGGCTCTAGCTGAGACCAGCCTAACCTCTCTGGGGCCTGGGACCTTCAAGATGTTTTTATTTGAAGACCGTAAGTTCCTCTGTGGGGCATACCAGGAGAGGCGGTCCCGTAGGTGAATTAGAATACACTTGAAAATTTATAAAGAATTGACTTGCTTTATTCCAAGGTTCAAATGGCAAGTTATGAGGCAACTATAGGATTCCAAACTCTGTCATTATAACGGGTATAGCCAAGGGGAGGGCAGGGGGGCAGCTGTCCACCTAAATCAATACCAACCAATACAAATTTGAGGTTCTGCCCCATAACAAAAGCCTGCCCCTCCTAACAAAAATCCTGGCTACGCTCATGCATTATAGTGCTTGAACAGGGTGCTAGGGAGATTTGCAAGGGAGAACCAGCATGTAAGATTGAGATGTTAAATCCTTCCACTGCCCCTGTATTATCTCCTGAAAATCCCTGCCTTTCTGTTGTTAACCAATTTTCCCCAGGTCGATTCCAAGACCAGAAGCCAGACCAACCGGGGGAAACAGCTAGTGGAGGGAGGCATTTACAGGGGGAATCAATAGGTGCCAGAAGGTTCACACACGCCACTTCTGCCCACTGATTCTCCTCAAGAAAAGTCCCAATTCATGCAGTCATGTCCCCCTGGCAAACACAGGTTTGGGTAGACACATTTGATGAGATAGCCCAAATGGTTAGAAATTCAAGGAAATCAGGTTTATACACAATGACTTCTGATCACCGCTTTCTGTGCTTCATTAGCTACACTCCCCCCGCCCATGTATTCAAAGTAGCAAATGCTCAATCATCGTTGAAAAGTGAGTATGTAATCCCACAGAGTTATTTCTGCTGAAAAGCATCTTGCTTCTTGAGCAGTGCAAGTGGCTATACTGGAAAGTTAAACAAAAAACCTCCACCTGTATGTATATTTCTCCCCAGCATATGTGAACAGCTTCGCTGAATCTCAGCCTAGGGCTCCTAGGGACACCAATAGAACTTAGAAAAAAACTTAGAAAAACAACAACAGAACACTGCACAAAAGACTGACTGACAAATTTAACTCTCTCCCCATCTCTCTCTCTCTCTCTCTCTCTCTCACACACACACACCCACACACCCACACACACACACCCAACCCTCAAATTGATTCCACAGCATATGCAAAACAAACATGAACACCAAGCAAAAGAAAAACAATGATCAAGAGAAGCAAAAAAGAAAACACATCCAGAGAAAAGAACAGAGTGGCACACAAATCCATTTGTGTTTCCTCTATACCTAGAGATAATGACAGATTCAAAAGGAAATAAATAATTACGTTTGTATCTTTATGAGAAAAATTGTTTCTGTCCGATTTATTGAAAAGCCTCCGCTTTCAACCACAGATGAACAAGGGCACTGCCCTGCCCCTCCCATTTAGGGGGCACAGCCACGTGATGCGTCATGTGACACCACCTGGTGTACACCGGGCAGGGGCAGGACTCATGGAGGGCAGCGATCTTTGCGCTTGCTCGTCCCAGCCCCCACCCGGCTCCTGGGCAGAGGCTGGCCATTGGCAGCCCCCTCAATATTGGGGGGGGCACAGCACCTTTCTAATATTAGGGGGCTGGAGCCCCTTGCGCCCCATATACCTGGCACCCCTGCAGATGAATTACACGTGATGCAGGAGCGGCTACCTTTCTTTTTTAAAAAAGTTTGCTAATGTCAATTTTAGTTTATTTTTCCATACAACAATAGCTGTCATGAATTCACCAAAGTTAAATGGTGAGCAAATTGTTCCATAAGGCTGGGCAGTTATTTTTTAAAATAAAAAACCAGTGTTTTTTGCCACGTCCATACAACATACCTAAGTGTTCCAAGACTAAATATTGTTGGAAATTATTTTGGAAATCCAATGTAAGTGAACCTCACCATCACCTGAATTGCATTTTTTTCTTCAGTTTGAAAGAACAAAATACATCTATAGCATCATTAAGAAGATTGAATGAACAACCCCATATGCTGGTTGCAGAAAAACCAAAGCTCATTTAAAGAATTATTTGGGTTAGGGCCATTATTTTTGTTGGAAATTTGTGAATTCTGCATACTAGTATATAGAGTTAATATTTCATTCGGAGACAGATACTACATAATGTAAATACTAACACTGAGATTCTCTTAACTGTGGAGGAAAATAATTGTCTTTCTCCTTCACCTCCCCAAGGGAAGAGGAAACACGTTTATTGGTGCACTTTAAGAAGCTCCATGCTCAAATACTCTTGTTCAAGGGTTCTTTCCTACCTGACTGTGCATGAATTTCAGGTTAATCCCTTCCAGTGTGACTTGGAGAAGCCCCCCTTCACCAGTTTTCATATCCTGCACTGGGAATTCCCCACCCAGTTCAGGGCCTGCAATGTAAAAGGAAAACAGAAAAAAGGAGGAAAATGCTTCCCAATACAAAGTGATTTACGTACACAGAAAAACATAGGAACCTGCATTTAAAGGAGGATCCCAGAAACAAACCTGTTCCTCAAAACGGTGCCGTAGCACATCTGATTTCTATAGGATGGATAACAATAAGCAATATAGAGATGCAAACTAGATGTCTGCAAAGACTGGGACTTTAGAGAGCATGATATGTTTTGACATTTATGCCTGTTAAATTCTTATGAAGGATAACCAAAGAGCTCTAGCGCCAAGCAGTAGCCTAGCATTTCATTATGTTACTATAATGCATGGGTAGGCAAACTAAGGCCCGGGGGCCAGATCCGGCCCAATCGTCTTCTAAATCCGGCCCGCGGACAGTCCGGGAATCTGTGTGTTTTTACATGAGTAGAATATGCCCTTTAATTTAAAATGCATCTCCGGGTTATTTGTGGGGCCTGCCTGGAGTTTTTACATGAGTAGAATGTGTGCTTTTATATAAAATGCATCTCTGGTTATTTGTGGGGCATAGGAATTCATTCATTTTTTTCCCCAAAATATAGTCTGGCCCCCCAAAAGATCTGAGGGACAGTGGACCAGCCCCCTATTGAAAAAGTTTGCTGACCCCTGCTATAATGTCTCACTGACTCACAAGCCTCACAACACAAGGGCCAATCTGTTGATGTTCCTGCAACTTTGTAGTGTTTTGTTCTGGCCTGATGGGCGACAATCTTTCTGTTATTTTCAGTGTGGACAAATGATGTGCTAATGTTACACTTTAAATTGGGAGTGGTTTTAGTCTGCAGAATCATTTTGGCAATCTTTCTGAGCAGAAAATAAGTGACATTTCCTCCATTTCCTTATAAGCTATCTGCACACCTATGAGTTGTGAACCATATGTGGATTTTTAAAAAAAAATTCTGCAAATGTCTACATGTGTAGCTGTGTACAATTTTGCTACTGGCACTTAAGACTTCTGCAAAGGATCAGGTGTGTATCTTGGAGGTACCAGGAGATTTTGGGTCTTTAGGACATTTGTGGGGCTTGGTGGAAGAGAAGATTCAAGAGCAACCATGTCCTAGTCATCTGGCTGCTAAGCTCAGTATCCCATTATTACCGCAATATCAGGGGAAATAAATAATGTTTATTTCTCCCCTGGCAATTCCTTGGAGGAAAGTCAAATTCTTTCTGGCATCAGCATTTCCAGAGTGAAAAGGAGGGGCAGTATTTTCAGACCCTTTAATATAAAGGACAACACACGCCCAAAAACTCTTTTAGAAAGTTGTGGCACTTGCCAAAGTTCATCTATGGCCATTAAGGCTCTTACCAGGTTTTGTGCTTTGTTGTCTTGCTGCTGCTCGCTCCATACTGTCTTTTACACAATAATATAATTCCCGGCACTACAACAAATTAAAATAAATAAATAAATAGGTTTTCTGAAGATACATAATGGAGATTCATAAAACATAGAGCTAATACAGTGGTGAGAACGTAATAGCGCAAAGAATAATAAAGCATACAAACAAATATTTTTAAGTACATATTAATTATCTGCCACATTTCCTCCAAGCAGCTCAACTTCTTGAAGGAAAGTTGGGATACTATGCATGGGAAATAATAGTAGTATTTTAGACCATACTTTTTAAAATATTTGCTAAAAATAATAAAATACGGTTATTTCAAAATACAGCATTATTTTGAAATACGTTTGGGATGAAAGGATGGGGAACTTAAAAGGCAAGACATTTTTATGATTATTCTGTTTTAATGGCATTTTATGCTTTTTGCATTTGTAAATTTTCTTGAACTGATATCTTATATGAGGCACAATCTATATGTATTTTTATAAACAAACAAACAGTGGTGTTTGATCCACATATATAGCTCTATTTTTTCTTTATTTTATTAAATTTATATCCCATCTTTCTTTAGTCATAGAATCTCATGTCATAACTGTTTCCCTTACAAACAATTTGCAACAGCTGATTCTGAAATTCTCTATATGCATGTGAATGAATGCTATCCAAATGTGTTGTTTTATTAAAACAAAGCACTGTAACTTCCTCATGTTACAGGCAAAAATGTTACATGGGTCTCCAGATCCAAGATGCATCTATCCCATCATAAACCCAAGATTAGGATGTGAGCATTTCAATAGCAATGTTCTACCCACATCTCTCCATTGGAAACTATGCTTAAAATTGCTGTTATGGGTGGAGAGTGGTGCAACTCAAACCATGGAAACAATATCTGGTGACACCACTTAAGAAAAGCTTCTCGCATTGTATGTCAGCTGCTGATCATCTCAGCATCAAAACTCTGCAGCAGATTCAAAGACAGATAAAATATAAATGGTCCAGTAAAATACTAAGTCATTGTAAACAGAATATTGTAGAAAATGTACCTTTTTGGTGTAGAACTTATTCAATTGTGTCTCCTGGCCATTCCTCCTCCAGAGACAAAGAACTTTTGTTTTGGGACAGTATGTCATGTTGATGAGCTTCTCATACCACCAGCGTTCATACACCGTGCCAATGTTACTCCTCAGCACAATGCAATCATCGCATACCTGGAGACGTATATATTATTAGAGAGGAATTGCCATACAACCCAATTAACAGCAATCATTTTGTTAACTTTTAACCTGGTCTCTACCTCCATGAAGAAGATGTCCCCTGTTGTGTCTGTGCCAGCATGTACAACAAATGTTTGCTTCTTGATATGTCTGCTGCCACTGGGTCGGATTGGGAGCTCCCTGCCATTCTAAATAGAAGGAAAAATCCTATTAAAAACCTTCCACTTTAATCTTTACTTCAGCTCCAGCAAGTCAGATCTCACCCATCTCCTGTACAAAAGTAAAATTGGATTAAAACACTGAAAAGCACCAAGTATTTTTTCAGTACTAGGGAGCAGTATTGCAGCAGTGTAATCATAGAATCGTAGAGTTGGAAGAGACCACAATGGCCATGTGGTCCAACCCCCTGTGATGCAGGATTTTTTTGCCCAACATGGGGTTCAAACCCATGAACCTGAGACTAAGAGTTTCATGCTCTACCAACTGAGGTGTCCACAGGATCAAGGATTATTGCGAGGATAAAGTGAAATAACCTAAATGTACATGACTCTCAACTTCTTGAAGGAAAGTTGGGACACAACAATATACAGGTGGCAACCATTTTCTGCGTGTTTGATTGGCACATGACTGCCAATGGACACAGTTTTCAGCCCCGTAAGAGGGAGGAATGGAGCAGGTTTATGGGTTTGTGCATGCTCCACCGATGTGCACAATGACCCAGAACAAGACCCCTGTGCAAATGCGGAGTTGTCCATAACTCTGCACCCAAAGTTTTCAGAGTCAGAGCTGAATCTGGCTAGCTTGCACCCAATTATGTTTTTATACCATACACTTAACACAATGTTAACACACACTTAACACACAATGTTAACACACTTAACACACCGATAAAAAAAATGTAACATGCACATGCAACAACTATGCTTTCTAAAAACATGTGTATGGTGGGGGAGGCACAACAAACAAAACGAACATGGGAAACCCATCAACTAATTTCCCTTTTAGCAACACTATCAGAGAAGTAAAGATGGAATTCAGTGCTGCGCTCTTCCAATTGTTCTGTCTGCACAAACATTGCAGCTTGCCAGGTGGAATGATTCCCCCTCTCCCCCACAGCCGTTCTGAGGGTTCTCACTGAATCTCAGGATATAGCATCTTCAAAAAACCCCAAAGACACCACCTTGGAGAAGCAGCCAGCAACTACAGCAATAAAAAGAGCTGTTTTTTCCCAGAAGCAGCTGGTTCAGTTCCTTACCCAGGCTTGTAACAAAACAACAAGAGATGAAGCTGCTTACCCATTCAGCTACTAAGGAGGAGTTTAGGAAGCAGCAGTTAGTGCCTGCAGTCCAGTAGGAAACTGGCAGACCCCAGCCCAGGCAACAGAGTGAGAAGGCAGCTTGTAGCAAGAATTTCCTTCTACAGCTCTTGAGAGCAACACTATAAAAAGTTCAGAAAGATCTGACCTCTGTGTCTACTGTCTTGAATAAAACAGGTGAGGAGTCCGATTCTCTGTCAAGCAAGGTATTGTTGAGTAAATCTATACCATCCAAAGATCTGGGTCCCACTAGCCCTTGCCATAAAAAGTACATGCAGGAGGCAAGATATCAGAATATTTCTATCTGCAGTATTTTAATCTTGTACACAATTTATGAAATACATTATAGAAGAGGAACATAACTCTTTTCATATTTGTAGCAATCAACACTGCCATCTGAACTGCAGTGAAAGATAATCCTCCTCTCCTATCGAAGGAACAGAGATATAGATACAGAGGTAGTCAAAGACTTACTATATTGGCAATTTTGTCGAGTATTTCATTTATTTCTTGACTATGCACTAGGCCAATGTGAGATTTTCCCATCAAACGGCGCACTTTCTTCCTAATATCATTCTTGGACACCTACACAGCAAAATACAGCATTTGGTTACTGACATCTCCCTAGGCACTTGCATATATATTTATATTCCAGTACATAGTCAAGAACTCATTTGCTGTGTTCCAAAAAGTTTAAACTACCATAGAAACAGGTCAATCAAGAGAAGACACTGTGTAATAACAAGTAACTGCAGAAATCAAGTAACTGGGAAGAAAGAAGTGCTCAAATACATCCCATTGACCTAAAAACAAAGCAAAAACAAAGTATGACATTTCATTATTTCTGCACTTAATATGGGTTTGCTCTTGCGTAGGGGGGTTAAAAAATTTTGGCCACAGGACACCCATATTTCCCCCATACCCTACCACAAGTCTCACAAAAATGTGCAAAAATTAAATTAAAATATGAAAAAATGGCACCTTCAACATAAGCATGTAGGCTATCATATTGTGAAGCAGCGTAGCCAATAAGCGGTCTTCATCATCTTCTAAACGCTTCCGGTCATGTTCTCCTAGAGACAAATACCTACAAAAGGAACACACATGTACTTGAGTCTCTGATGGACTTTTAGCCACTAACTGCAAAGAAAGATGCAAAATGTCCTGCATCCTCTTCCTTCTTTTATCTTTTTTAACAAAATTAAATCTCTCCACAGACCCAGTACCAGATGACCAGAAATTAAACTTAGCCTTAAATTACATTTCCTTTTATAGGCCCAACATTAAAAGACCAGCAAAGGTTCAGGGAGGTCCAAGGTGGTGGGAGGGTTTTTTATTGGTTTGTGGTTTTTGCTCTCGCTTTTATCATGTATTTTGCATTTTTATATTGCATTTTATGTTGATATCCACCCAGAGATGTACGGATGAAGTAAATTTCAACAAATTTACTCAGAATAAAATCACATCCTGAATTCCCAGGAAGTTGTTAAACTAAATAATGCAGAGGGAGAGAAAAAATTGCAGAGAATTTGTAATTTACCTGTCAATCATCTCTTGAGGCCCCTGATCCATTCCCATTCCTTCTCTTTCCAACATCACAGCATCCAGGTAAGCATCTTCCCAGAACTGCATGTGGTCCCACAGGGTTGATCGCTCTTTGCCTAGATAGCAGAGAATAAATTAATCCAGAAGACCAATAATTTTGCAAAAAACAACAACAGGATAAAACCTTTTTCACCACAAGATGTGCCAAGTAATCAACACCACCATCATCATCATCATAGTACCACCACAGCAAAATCAGTTCTGTTAAAAACACAACTGAGATGACAACAAGCCAGGAGATGCAAAGTTCCCTGTCCTAACTCACTGTATATATTGCAAACATTTATGGTCCCATCTTGCTACCTTGCCTAAAGCAGGGCACCAACTTTATTGCGTTCTGTGTTATTGTTTTCCTCTATCAGTATTCACCAAATGAAGAATGCAGGAACAAGAAAAGAACAGTGGAGTGTATAGGAATACATGTGAGAAATCTTTTTAATACACACAGAAAAGCAAAAAGAAGAATTATTACTCATAGAGAAGGTTTCCATGGCAGCATCCTCTAATTGGTCCCAGACAGATCCTTTATCCCTCCCTTTATAGTTCCAAGCAAGCAGCAACATGGCAGCAAAGAGGAGAAATGAGACATATAACAAGACTGAGCAACCTTTCTGGAATAATGAGACTCAGGAGAAAAAGTGCAGTGAAAAATATGCTACACCAGTATAACGTGATCTTTAGCATACTGCATTATGAAACAACTTCCCTGCTCAGGATACCATTTTAAATATACACTTGATTTGACAGCAGGTTAAACCACAGAGCCTAGGACTTGCCGATCAGAAGGTCGGCGGTTCGAATCCCCGTGACGGGGTGAGCTCCCATTGCTCGGTCCGTGCTCCTGCCAACCTAGCAGTTCAAAAGCACGTCAAAGTGCAAGTAGATAAATAGGTACCGCTCCGGCGGGAAGGTAAAAGGCGTTTCCGTGCGCTGCTCTGGTTCGCCAGAAGCGGCTTAGTCATGCTGGCCACATGACCTGGAAGCTGTATGCCAGCTCCCTTAGCCAATAAAGCGAGATGAGCGCCGCAACCCCAGAGTCGGCCACGATTGGACCTAATGGTTAGGGGTCCCTTTACCTTTACCTAATATGATAAATCTGTAGCCCACTGATTGTATGTGGCCCACAGGGTCTTCCAATGCAGCCTTCTGGCCTGAACCCCACCCCCATCCTTGACCACATTTTCTTTGCTGCTGAGCTATAATCTCTTAACAACTAAGCAGGTGGCAGGAGGGAGAAATTCCTGCCACACAGCATAGAAGCATAGGGAGCTCCTTCTTCCCTGCTCCCGAGCTGTAACCAGAACCACCTTGGACTACATGTACCTCATGCTGGAAACTTTGAGGGTGATTGCACCCCCCACAAATCAACAACTTTCCACTGCCACTACCAAATGTCTGGATTTTCACTTCTATTTTAGAGGGGGTTTTTCTTAATTTTGGGTCCAAAAAAATAGGGGTTGTATTATACATGGGGGTGTCTTATACACAGAAAAAATGGTATACTAATGACAAGCACTTCTTATAAAATGTTTTGAAGAAAACCATGAGTTTTTAGCCGATAATTTGTCTATGGTATGTTAGAGAATTCAAAACTCATCTATGGAGGTTTCACTTAATAGATCAGATTGTTGTTCTTTTAATTTCTTTTTGTTTAGAAAATACTACAAAGAAGATCAGCATGTTAAATGCTATTTCACTAAAATGCCTATGCTTTGAACAAATTTGCTTCAAACAAAATAAATGTCAACACGTACCCAGAAGACCCTCATAGAGATAAACTCGTAGGCTTGCATCTTCTGGTGCTCTCCCAGGACTGCTGCATTTATTGTCTTTCATGGTCTGCTTCAAGCTATGAGATTTACCCTTTAAAAAGAAAAATTAAATGCCAGTTTAATCAGGCATGTTCTATTGCTCTATATTATGTATTCGACTACCAAGATTATTCTGCAAGCAATATATATTCCTTGTAAACAGAAAGATAATTCAGAAGGTAAAAAGTGGACAGCAGAAAAAGCTTAAGCCACCTCTCAAATTCAACTCAGTTCAAAGATACTTCATTGTCATGATATGACATTTGAGGCCATTATGATTTCCAAAGGTCTTTAAGAGGTCTATCACTCTAAGCCAATTTACACTTACAAGGTCAGTGTGCTTCCCACATATATAATTGAGTTTGCAGTGCATGCACACCCTGGAATATATATGCTGGCTCAGAATTGCTGGTACTTCTTCACTAAGGATGGACCATTTCTAATGTGATCGCTTTCCATAAACTAATAGGTCTTTTACACTACCCACCATCACTACAATAATTCCTAAGCAAAACCAAAGCATGTTCTTACAAAGATGGTGCTAGTTGCTGAATTTGTCTCAATCTCACTGTCTGACACGGTGCCTCGTGATCCTGTCAGATTTCCACCACTTTCTCCACCAAGGCCATCACCAGCATTGCTGCTCAAATCACTATCTGCTCCTAATGTCTCCCCAGAGCTGTTGCTCACCTGAAGAGGAAAACAAACTGTTTAAATGGTCAGTCCTTTATTCAATATGAGTAGTTACTGTGGAGACAAAGATTTATTCAGAGTGCCATTCCAGAGAAAGCTAAATCTCAGTAATTCCTGCATCCCAACCAAAAGTAAAGGGGCAGGTTTGTGCTAACTCATGTTACATTGGGACCCAGCACAGTATACTTTAGAATGCAAAGTGACTATTTGCAGGGCACTGTTTAATGTTTTAATGCTTTTTTCTTTTTTAGAGCTTCAGTCATTAAAAATAAAAGGCTGGGCCTCAACTTTTAAATTAAGTCAGAGTCAGATTTTTTTAAAGAAAAAGAACACTAATAAATGTCTATTCTTTGGCCCAACAGGACAATTTAAGATAACTGTAGACATTGCCACAATCATTAATTTACAACAACTATTTTCCAAAAACAAATGTCACAATTTAACAATATAAACACAAATAAAATATGTAAGTTTACAAAACAGACCAGTGGATAGGAGCCCCATACCTACCAGAGCATTTTATGTACAATTGGCGGACATGATTAAATGTAAAACTGGAGAAGGATGGAGAGTGTATGCCCTAGAGATGCACTCGGCGCTTGCAATTTACACGGGTGTTGAGTAAGAAAGTGCATGCAAATGATCAAGCCTGAAAAACACCACTAAAATAAAGCACAAACATTCCACTTCAGCCATGCCCTACCACTGTGCTAACTTCAGAGTCTTGGCTGGTGCTTCGGATCATAACAGCAGGTCCCACACTTGCCACAGAATCCAAATCACTCTTCTGAAATCATGAACAAAGAAGAAGAAAAATAATGCACATTAGTCATTACTATTTCTGCTTGGAGACTTGGACCACACATTTTATTTGGGCCCAGACTACTAAGGAACTGCAAATCTCATGCCTCATGTTTCTAGCTTCCCAGAATCAACAACACTGGAACATGTGTTGCTTTCACATACCGAATTTTTTGCCCCGTAGGACGCACCTAGGTTTTTTGGGGGGAAATAAGGGGGGGGAATTATTTACCCCCCAGGTGCGGGGCTGGGGAAGCCCGAGCTTCCCCCAACCCCAGCCCCCAGAACAGGCTACTATCCGCAAGCCGTGGGAGAGCTGCGCGAAGCCACGCGGCTCTCCCACGGCTAGCGGAGCGCTGCACGAAGCCCGAAGCTTGGGGCGTGCTGAGCTCAGCGTGCCCCAAGCTTCTGGGTGCCGGCAAGCTCTCCGCTAGCCGTGGGAGAGCTGCGTCTCCCATGGCTAGCGGACAGCTTCCTGAAGCCTGGAGAGCGAGAGGGGTCGGTGCGCACCGACCCCCCTCGCTCTCCAGGCTTCAGCGAAAGCCTGCATTCACCCCATAGGACGCACACACATTTCCCCTTCATTTTTGGAGGGGGAAAAGTGCGTCCTATAGGGCAAAAAATACGGTAATTATCAATGCTTCCCCAAAGTGAGTAAACACCCCCCCAATGAAAACCAGAATCTATGGACAAGGGCACAAGGAATTCTCACTATTCTACCCCCATGTCAATCTCCTTGAGGCATTTCTCAAATAATAAATAAAATATTCAAGACACTCACATGAGAGCTGGAAGTTAAGCTCAACCCACTATCTGCACTGATTTGGGATTTCTTCTCATCTGTCTCCCCCAGATCATGAGAGTGTTTTTTACCTTCTGACCCTAAAGGGAGGGAAAGTGATATTTCATTACTGTGAACAAGAAAATGAAAGAACCAGAAGGCAAATGATCGCTTTGGTGCATGAGAAGTACCAAGAGGGGGAACCAGAGGATCTTCTCCTGTACTCTTGAAATAGCATCAACCAGAAATATAGCCTGGCTGGTTGCAGCCACCATTCTGTCCAATACATAAATGCACCTGAGAAGCAGACCAACTGCCTTAAACAGTCACCCATTGGAGGAAGGAAAAGGGGAAGAGAGACAAAGCAGGCACCAGACAGATTCCAGTTAATACAAGGCATGCCAAACGGTCGACACATGACTCTGGAAAGCCACTTCCTTATGTCACAGATACAAGATTGCTTTTGTTGCTGTTTGCTTTTTGGAGAGGGGCAGATCTTATTGCTGGACACTTGGTACTTAATCTAATATGCTACCATCCACAGCCGAAGTTATTATTTTTCTCATGTTCACCAAGTGACTCATGGTGTAACCATCCAAACAGTCAGCAATAATCATCTGCATACCAGAAATGAGAGCTTCAAATGGGACATTTTGGGGCAAAATAGCAATATTATACAGTCACTGTAGGGATGTATTACATGGCTCTCCAGAGTTTGTAACAACAAAGGTGAAGCAGTGAGTTTCAGCTGCTACGAAGACATGCATTCATCATCCCACCCTATCCATCAAGAAAACAAATGGTGAAGGGATTTATGCCATGATCATGCAGCTTAATGTTTTTTTACCCTCCCGTGATGAGATGAAAGACAGAAAGAAAATGAATGAAAGGAGAGACAGAATTGAGAAGGGTTTGGAAGCTGTGTGCAATGGAAATAAGGAGGCAGGAGAAGAATACACTGCAGACTACACAGGTCACCATTAAGAGCTCGAAGGGAGAAGAGACTGAATACAACCCTTCTGCCATAGCCATATCTGCCAACCGTTCCTTAACAGGGACACATGACCAGCAGCTGGAGGATTTTATTTTATTTTATTGCAGATCTAGGATGTGTACAAATAATGATGTGTGGCAACTCTATGTACACAATACAGCAATACCTTACATACCACTAAATATGATGAACTAAAAGTTAGGAGTGCAAGTGGGATGTATGATGTCTATCACTAGATACTGCCAACATCAGAAAAAGTGAAACAATGTGCAAGAGAGAAAGAAAAATTATATATATGGTGCGCGTGAAAAAAAGACTATTGGTGTGCATTTTTGAGATGACCATATTATTCATGAAGGTAGAATTGTCAAAAAGATGGGCGGCTTATCCCAAAGGTAGTATATACTAGCTATGGAGTATATTTAAAGAGAGGGTATTATATAGAACATTCCAAAAATCAACTGGCATTTGTTTATAAACCTGACTTTAACATACATTTCCAGACTATGTTAGTACTTAGATGCCTCTAACTATGATGCTAGAAGTAAATAGAAAGTGGAATCATGAAATTCATTGGACTTGTTTTCAGATTCTGTTCACAACCAAGGTACATTAGCAACAGATTCTTTTTTTAAAAAATACCTTTAATCAGTCAAAAGCATGATTTAAAAAGGTGTTATGAAAACACTAACTGGTTAATTTACATATTATTCCAATCAATTTAATAAGCACATAATTTAACTGTGGATTTTTAATCATACTAAAGGTTATGACTGACTGTTATTCACAGTTAAGCACTGTGAATGAATATTCACGGTTCAAGGCACTGCTGGAAACAAAGTTATACATACAGAGAAGGCAATTCCTTCAAGATGACTTATCTGTATGGATTAGCCAAAAATATACCTTTGTCAATCATACTCCTTTGTATTTCAGCTAATTGATCGCACAACAGAGAGAGTTAGTTAAGTGAGGGGGGGGGAAACAAACCTTTAATACTTGGTCAGTCTAAGTCAAAAGTCCATAAAGATGGGAAATGGCTATTTCTTTAAATAAAAAACCCTACACAAAGTTATATTTGACTTGAATGACTACATTTCAAAGATTAAGTGACTAAAAGGGCATAAGGACCATATTCCAGAGAACAGGGAACACTTAAATTTCACAGAAATCAAGGGGAGTTAAAGTTCCATTCTATACAGTGGTGCCCCGCAAGACGAATGCCTCGCAAGACGAAAGGGTTTTGCGTTTTTTGAGTCATTCCGCAAGACGAATTTCCCTATGGGCTTGCTTCGCAAGACGAAACATCTTGCAAATTCTTGCGAGTTTGTTTCCTTTTTCTTAAAGCCGCTAAGCCGTTAATAGCCACTAAGCCGTTAATAGCCGTGCTTCGCAAGACGAAAAAACCGCAAGACGAAGAGACTCGCGGAACGGATTAATTTCGTCTTGCGAGGCACCACTGTACACATTTGTCTGGAAGTAACCCCTATGAGACTAATGCCTGAGTTGATATGCATTGGATTACACCGCACAGCATTCAAATTACACAATTAAATTATTTGACTTCTCAGCAATCACTGGCCCAATTAAAGGTAATTTTGCTGAGGAAGGGTCACTTTTACAGAGTCTAGTTTTAAAACATTCTGCTATCAGAATGAGGCAAAGGCTTCTCCAAGTCTCTTCTACTTCTTCAGTTAAGTATGGAAGTAACGTCTCCACCTAAATACGGAAGTTCTCAAAAAACATGGGCACAGACTTCAGAGATCCCCAGTCTATTAGAATAATTGTCTATTACTTATAAGATGGGATATGGCATAATAAAAACATCCTTGAAAGTTTCCCCACTAGCCTGTCTTTTAAAAGGAGTATTCTTTAAAAGAACCTAGGACCAGCAATGACTAAATCTGGCCAGCTTACTTTATGAAATAAACAGGCGTCTTGGTTACATACTTCTATAATGTGAATTAATATCTTCTCTATACAACCCAACAAACTTTATATTCACAGTATTTAAGTAGTGATACTCCTTTTTGTGTATTCTCAGTGTGTTCTCTAAAGAATTATAAAATAAGATTTCTATAGATGCTATAAAATAAGCTACTACAGTGGACGCTTGGGTTGCGAACGGGATCCATGCGGGAGGCACGTTCACAACCCGCAATGTTCGCAACCCACAATGCCGCGTCTGCGAATGCGCGGATCGTGATTCGGCGCTTCTGCACAAAGTGTGATTTAGCGCTTCTGCGCATGCGCCAAAACCCGGAAGTAACCCATTCCAGTACTTCTGGGTTCGGTGCGCTGCGCAACCCGAAAATGAGCAACCTGAAGCGTCTGTAACCCAAGGTATGACTGTATACATAAGTTCTTAACCCGAGGTATCACTGTATAGTAGAAACAGATAGAAATACTATACAATGTTGCTTCTGTACTTATGTCAGCAATATTTTTTTCAAATATTCAGTAAGTGGCATATTATAGGATAAACTATATGTTACACTAAAGTTAGGATAAACTGTATGTTACACTGCAGAAATTCAACTGCCTCTCCTTCTTTACAAAGAGCCTGTAGGCACTTTGAAGTGGAGGAGAAGGAACATGGGAAGGCTGGTGGGAGAGTTTCAACCCTTCCCCAATAGCCTATTTTCACCTGAAACTGCAGGGAGCAATCTACTATCACTTTCTACTTTATTCAGGTGCTACTGAAAAGGAATCAGATAGATATATCAATATATTTTTAAAAATCACACACCGTATAGTGAAGATACAGTTTGTAAATTTAAGAAGTTGCAATTTAAGAATGTAAGAAAATTTGAGAAGAATGTTGACAAGCTGAAATGTGTGCAGAGGAGGGTGACCAAGATGATCAAGGGTCTGGAAATCAAAGCTTATGAGGAACTGTTGAGGGAGTTGAGTATGTTTAGCCTTGAAAAGAGAAGACTGAGAGAAGATATAATAGCCATCTTCAAATATTTAAAGGACTGTCACACAGAAGCTGGAGCAAGCTTGTTTATGCCTGCTCTGGAGAGTAGAACCTGAACCAATGGGTTCAAGTTAGAAGAAAGAAGATTCCAACTAAACATCAGGGAGAACTTCCCAGCAGTAAGAGATGTTCAACAATGTAACGGTCTCTCTTGTTGGAGGTTTTTAAATAGTGGCTGGATTGGCCATCTCTCATGCATGCTTTAGCTGAGGTTCCTTCACTGCAGGGGTGGGAACAGATGATCCTTAGGGTCACTTCCAAGCCTACAATTCTATGACTCTGTTATTCTAACTATGTGCATTATTAAGCACTATCAGTTTTATGCATTTGACAACAACAACAAAAGCAGAATGTTGAAGTGGGGCTTAGCTGGACATTCCACTCTTTTGTCCCAAGGGTGGGAATCAAAGAACAACAACCTAGAAAACAATACATCATCTCTGTGGATGGAGAACTTCACATTCCATTTCCAGTCAACCACCATTCTTCATATTAATCCCCAAGGTTACTCCCAACCTCATACAAAATAATTAATCATCAAACAATAATTGTGGACCTTTCACATTGGACTTGAACTTTACATTTTATATCTGCTATTGGTTAAGAATTCAGGACAAACATATCTTTACACAGAACACTCCATGATGCACATATTGCAGAAAACGTTGGTTTACCACCAAAGAGGGATTACAATTTCATGGGGGAAAGACTGTCCAAAATTTAATTTATAATTCAGTGGTAAGGAAGGATTTGAAACTTGGCTGGAAGAGACTGTATTTTCCCCCTCTCCTCTCCTGATACAAAAAGGGCTATTCAGTGAACCCCAACACTAGATTTCTTTAAGAAATAGTGACCTCCTTTGTCTGCCCTATGGCTCATGTGGCATGGGTGTTCAATCAAAGGCTTAGAGAGTTGGCAGTTATGGGGAGGCTTGGAGGAGTGTCAAGTTTCTGTCCTTTTATCATATTCTTACTCAGTTTTTCCAAAGCTTTTTGCTTTGACACTTCGTTGTGCTTGTTCCACAATTCTACTCAAGATGCAATGTAAGCAGGAGAGAAAGACAGAAAAAATGTCAGATGTTGATCAGAGGCGGAAATGGAAAATAAAAATAAAAAATAAGCCACCCAATCCTGCAGTACCAAAGCAGAAATTAATGATAACTGGCATGTGAATAATTAATCACATCTTCAGTCAGAACAGGGTAGAGACTTCCATCGCCTTCATTCAAAAGATTTCAAAATTAATACCTATATATAATTAACTGGCTGAGTAGAACAGCTAAGTGAGACTCACCTACCTGATCTCATTTGCCTTCACAGAAATGACAGATTAAAAAGAGACAGTGTCAGGTTCTTTATGTCCAACATTTAAAGTTTCTTATCAGTGGTTACACAAAGAATACAGTATGTATTTTATGTATCAATGCGCCCCAAACCACCAAATATATTTCAATTCAAAGTGTAATAAGGGATAAGAAAAACTATTTCTATAAACACTAAAAAAAACTATGTAAAAAAACAATTAATTTGGGTCTGAATATGCCTGTAATAACCACTGGGCTTCTTCTAGCTTTATGTATGTTAACTATATCAGACTCCAAATCATTTTCATCAGGGCGAAAAGAATAGCAAAAAATGGGGAGGGGATCTAAAAAAGAAATACACACCATTCTGTTCAAATGATATCCTAAATTTTCATCCCTGTGGCAGAAAACTTCAGATAATTCTAGATGCTGGCCCAACGGGCCAGTGGCAGAATCATAATAAGCTTAATGGAAATTCAAGTTGGAAATGCATTACTGTATTTTAATATTTTGTTGGAAGCCACCCAGAGTGGCTGGGAAAGCCCAGCCGGATGGGCGGGGTATAAATAATAAATTATAGGAAGGAAGAAGCTGGGAATGCTACAAAGTAAGAAGCAAACTCAGCTCTTACAAGAGCAGAGAAAGATAAGTGCAGAAAGTTTCTTCTGCTATGGAAACAGGGTATGGGAAAGCACAGATAGAAATGGGAGAGGAAACAGGCTCAGAACACTTCAGAGCAATTCAGGATTTGTCTGCAGTAGGAGAAAGACAGCTAATTATAATTCATCCAGAAAACCTAATCAATTTCCCCATGCTTTATTTGATGCAACAACACCAAATAAACAAACAGCGATAAGCACATTCAAACTGAAAATGAGATTTCTGGAGGCTCCCTCCATTCCCTGGTGCTATTATTTATTAAAGGTATACACACCATGGCTGCCCTTCTTTCCCCATCCATCACAATTCCGCTTGCTCCCTATGCACATTGGTACAGAAGGTTACTGTATCCATCACAGGGAATTCATCTCAAACTATGGGAGGGGAGTCATGCTTCAGAAACCCATCTGACAAATATGTTTGCAATTATATAGTTGTCTTTGCACAATCTCTTGAGACTGGGTAGACTCTTTTTTTCTACATATGCATGGCATTGTCTGCTAGAAACCCTCAAAACTTTATTTCCTTCTGTCCTTTGGATGGTGAGTGAACGTAGCAAAAAGTATTATATTTGTTCTTGTAGGTTTTGCTTTGGTGGAAAATATAAGATTATACATTATACAGAAACACCCACAGCACAAGGGCTAGAATTGAAGATGAATGAACATGAAGTCCAAAGCTGCAATCCTGCACACTTGTACTTGGGAGCAGATCCCCAGAAATCAATGGCATAGTACTGGGCCATTTTCCTCTCAATAGTAATTTGTTTTTGTGGCAACTAGTCCCTGGTGCACACACTCCCAAGAAACTGTTTCCATTACAGACCAGACTATTCTGCCTGTAAGACTATATGAACAATGATTAAAGTTCCCTATGCCAGCATCATATGGCTATCTTCACTAGCCTGGCCATAAAATTCCAAAAAGCATAGAAACACCAGAAATGCTTAGCCAATATTTCTCCAAGCTGTGAGAAGAGCATATATGAATAGTCTTTGCAGTCCGAGTGAGAGTGAAGCACATTACTGCAGCAATGATAAGGCAAATGTTTCAATGGGAAAGATGCAATCAGATTCTAATGCAGTGCACACTTTCCTGCATTCCATATACACATAAATACACACCAATAGAAGCTACAAAATTTTCCTCCTTTAGACTCCTTGTGTCAAACTCCCTCGGCCCTTTCCCTGCAGGGCTTGGGGCCCTTGGCAGGAGCTGGGGTACTGGCAGTTGCACCTTGGGTTTCGGTTCAACCCTCGTGGCTAACATAGGGTCCTTGCCAACCGGAGTGATTGCTCCTTCTGTTGGGCTTCGTTTTCTTTTTTCTGGCTCTTTAAAAGAAAGGAGGAGAGAGAAATCAGCAGCCAAAAAAGAAAAAAAGAAAAACACATACCAGCAATGGTAAAAATAGAAGGATTAAGAAAAAAAAATGGGAGAAGAGTACAGAAGAAAAAGATTGTTCAGATGGCGTTAATCATTTGTTTACAGATAATGAAAAAACAGCTCTCACATTTAGATCTCAAAATCAATGTTCAAAAGCAGTGTTCAAAACACATGGTCTGAAGGCTTTGCACCCAGTACCTCAAAGTACCATTTCTCACACAAGATTGACTGGCTAAAATTTTCTCCAGAAGACTTTCTGCAGGAAAGCCTAAGATCCAGTAAGTAGTACTATACTATGGACTTTAAACAAATTTAATACGGGGCAATATCAAACTACATCTCATAAGGGAATCCCTTTGCTCTGCCCCAGCTTCTGCCAACCTAGCAGTTTGAAAGCATACAAGTGCAAGTAGATAAATAGGTACCGCTGCTGTGGGAAGGTAAACGGTGTTTCCATGTGCTCTGGTTTCCATCACGGTCTTCCGTTGTGCCAGAAGTGGTTTAGTGATGCTGGCCACATGGCCTGCAAAGCTGTCTGTGGACAAATGCCAACTCCCACGGCCTGAAGCGCGATGAGCACCGCACACCATAGTTGCCTTTGACTGGACTTAACTGTCTAGGGGTCCTTTATCTTTACTTTACTAATAATTAACAATAATTCCAGCTCTTTGTCTTTCTAGTTCTCATGGCAAGTTTCAAAACGTAAAGAAAAACCAATTGTTCTGGGGCACAACATGGATACTAGATTTAGATAATACTGCAGACTGCTCATTGCAACCCTCTCACCTCCCACACTCCACCAACAGAATGTACTCTTTTAAATTTCTCAACCTCCAGTAAAATTTGAATGGGTGCCAGAAGCTCCCTGTATATAATGTTTCCTCCCCCACCCCATCATAAGCTTGGTAAGGCAAGACGCTGGGTAACAGGAGCAGGGAATGGTTGGCCCTCCGTATGTTGCTGAATTACAACCCCCAGCAAGCATGGTCAGTGATGATGGGAGCTGTAGTTCTCATCAAGCACAAGCTCTGTATGCAAAATGAAAGTATATTATACACTAAATATCTCAATGCAAAGCATAATATAACACAAAATAATACAGACTCAAAGAATATATGTACAGTCTCATATCACTCTTGCAGATATATATGCAATCTTACGAATTACTATTCAATGTCTCTGAGTTCAAGAGTTCAACTGTAATGTACTGAAGGGAGCTGTAGTTCAGCAATATCTGGAGGGCCAATGGTTCTCCACCCCTACTATTTATATACACACCATGGCCCTTATATACAACTGTATCATCCCCACTGTGCTTAATAAATAAGTGCTATTGGGGCATGGGCCTTTTCCTTAAGAGGCTAAATATTTGCACTTTTTCTCATGGCTGAACTGCTGAAATGAAATTAATTCACACAAACATTTGGATGTGCCAATGAAAACAAAGTAAAGGCATTCTGTACTGGAGTTGACTGAAAATACATTAATCATTTTCTCCATGAAACTATTTGTACTTATAGAATTATAGATGCAATTCAAAATACTTATTCCAGTAAATTTCTTTTACACGGTTCAGTAATTACTCTATTGGTTGTGCCAGAAAGTCAGACTAGCTCAGCTCTACAACAAGTAGGGCATTTCACAGATTTACATTCATTTATTTTATATAATTCATTGGTTTATCCTATTCTCTTACCTTTGTTATAGTAGTGAGTATGAGCTATTTCCAGCAGACCAAAGACACTTGCCATTCCCCCAAGTCCAGCATTTGCATATGACTGCTCAAGGCTTGACACAGTACATTTCAGCAAATCCAACATCCCTTTATAAACCTTGCGGCTGATCTCCTACAATGGAAACATTCATAAGGGTGAGGATGCGTCATTTATTAGGAACCTGTTTCACTTCCACTAAAGTAAGCCATAATTCCATTGCATTCTAATTAATTTTCTGTAGCTTAACTACGCCTCCTTCAGCTTAGGACCATAGGAAGCTGCTTTGTACCAAGTCAGGCCAATAGTTCCTCTAGCTTAGTATTCTCTATGCAACTCACCAATGTTTCAGACACCACACCTCAAGATACCAGAGACTGAACCTGGGACCTTTTGCATACAAACATGTGCTCTACTACAGAGCTATTTCTGTACCTAAAAGAGAATTTATCTTTATAGAATTACCTCTGTTAACTAAATCTGTGCAAATGCTTTTTCAAGTAGGGGGAGGTTCTGACAGCACTTAAGCAAACTGTTGTGAAGCCTCTCTAGAAAAACCATTACTCAATCTCACTCAATCCCACTGATCTCAGTAGCTTTCATCCTGTTTTTAATTTGCCTTTTTTCAGTAAGTTACTTCAGTGTAATCAGTTCTAGGTCTTCTTGGTTTCCCTCAACCCTCCACAGCAGATCTGGGGGTCACACAGGTGCATGGGGAGAAGAGAGAGAAGGAAGTTCCATTACACAGCCGAAAGTCCTTGTGCTAGTAGAACTGTTCGGTTGGATACCCTTCTGATTGTTAGGATCCTTTCTAATCTGGTTTCTGACCTGGTATTTGGAACAAAAATGGCCTTGGTCACTTTGGTAGATGATCTGTACCAAAAGATGGGCATGAGGCATCTGACCCTGTTGATGCTCCTAGCAGCTTTTAGTATTGTCAGCCATGGCAGCCATCTGGGCCACTGAGAGGGGATAGAGTTGGGAGGCACAGCTCTGTAGTGGTTCTGGTCTCCCTCATCACCACCACCCTACCTCTCAAGGGTCTCAGAAGGTCTACTACTTGGCCCCATGACCTTTGGCTTATGGAGTGCTTCAATGGCCCATCTTGTCCTCCATGCTGCTTAACATGTCTGGTTGAAGTCACCCTGAGCTTTTGGCTTGGGTATCATCAGTATCCAGATGACACTAAGCTCTACCTCTTGTCTGCATTTCCTGATCCCAATGAAGCAGTATACTCACTCCCATTAAGGGAGATGAGAATGATATCACCCTGGTCTTTCATCAACTGCCCTGATTATCAACTGGTTTCCAGGCTCATTTCTCTGCCTTGCTCTAAAGCCCTATATGGCATGGTAACAAGTTTGTTTCAGAATTACTTCTTCCCATGTGAACCCAGGAACTCTGCTGCACTTCAAAGGCCCTCTCCACGTTCCCTTCCCATCCTTTGTACAGGCATGAGAGAAATAGGTTTCTCTATTGTGACACGTAGATTTAGAAACAGCTTGCCTAGGGGGATGCACCTTTCCCATTGCAGCATGCTTGCCTTTTGGGAGGTGATGAAGGTATGTTTATTCTAGACACCATTCGTCTAACTGGGTCTCTGATATTCTAAGTACTGGGTTTTTAACTTATTGTTGTTTTGTAATTTATGATTTATTAGTAATGGTTTTACTGTGAGCACTGCAGCAGAAAGACAAAATAAAACCATTTAAAAGAAAAGAGGAACAGAGAACTGACCACATCCTGGACAACATCCTGCCGTGCATCTTCCTCCGATTGGATGGTGCGATTAAGCTTGCTTAATACAAAGACACGGAGCTGCTCACTCTCCAGGAGACGGCGGACTCTCTTCATGTGAAACCAACCAACTCCTTGTCCATCTAGGACATTGTGCACCACCTCTTTCAAGAACTGCTGGTTCTCACTATATTATATGGATACACAAGCAATAGGGGGCATAACCCTCCAGGACACTTCCATAGGTATATTACACTTTACAATAGGAGGATACTGACACAACATAAATCTATCTGTATTTAGCCAAGCTGACTTCAACTCTAACCATAATATGCTAGGTATCCTTGATGCAACCTGCATCAGATCCTGCTATATATCTCTATCACTGACTCAAGTCGAGCAGCTGGAATAACTAGGCTGGGGTAAGAATTGTGGCTATCACACTTCCCCAGCCCTTTCTGCCATGTGGAGCGCCACTGCAGAAAGGAAGAGATGGGGCTGTACCTAGATCTGTGGCTCAGCAAAGCAGAAACAGCCTTTAACTATCATTTTGTGCCAAAGTTTCCTGCTGCCCATCTAAACTAGACTCTTGAAACCTAGCATCACACTGTTGATGTGTTCCATTTGTTATGAATTACAATCCCTATACTTTTCTCAGTAACCATTAATACCTCCTTTTATTTCTGCATTTGGCTGTTTCTTATTTGTGCAAACAGAAGACATTTTGTGAAAGTGGGTTTCCTAGTCTGGCCTCAACATATTGTCCCTCCTACCCTCCCTAAAAAGCAGCTTTCAAGAGTCACAAGATATACTGGAATAGGGTTGGATGTGGTGCAAGATCTACTGGGACAGAAACAGCCAAAACTAAGTGGAGGCAACTTGCATGAACTGATCAATTGTGTAATCCATTACAGTAAGATTTAAAGATAAAGGGTAGGTCACCTTCTTTAATTTTTCTTTTTACAAGCATCACCAGATCTTCTTATACTCAGAGCAGACATGCCCAGGGCATGCCATATAAAGCTCATTTTGCATTGTACAGCAACTCTAAGCAGATGCTTTTACCTGGAATTACTGCTTCGTCCCTGTGGTGAAGGAGACTCCCTTTTCACCGTCGGGCTGTGCTTTATAACAGAAGACTTTTGATCCACAAGTGCTCGTCTATTTCCTGAATAAGAGAGGAAGCAGAACAAGAAAACAGTTACTGAAAAGGATGCCCAAGTCCAAGAACAATACCAAAGAGACACACAAAAGTCAGCTAACACTTAATTAAATGGACATACAAAGAAACTTGGAAAAGCAGCAGCATATTTTGTATTATTGCATCATACATCGGCAGAAAACAGTAATGGGAATGAGACAGAGACAAAAGAGAAGATGGTAACAAGAGCAGAAGATGAAAGGCAGGAGTTTGGCTGCTCTGCATGCATTTCTGCCACAAGAACCATCTTCTGATTAGGCAACATATGGAAAAGCAATGTGTTACGGGAGTGTGACTAGTAGAAATCACATGATACTGGCTTCCAGTGGAAAATTTGCCCAAAAGACAGGCACAAGAATGCTTGCTGGGAGTTGGTATGTCATGCACAGTTCATAATGCAAGGAACCCACCTTCATTGCTTACTGGCCCAGCTTCAGTAATAATCTCCATTATAGTATTTAGCCCAAATACTGGGACACAAAATAAACAATTAGTAGTGCACTGCAAAATCACCACCATTTTTATATTTGATTAGTTACTTGATTAATCCCCTCTCTTTCAAAAACAGCCTTGGATTAATGTTGGGGAACATCTACACTGGGGTGGTCCAGATAAAAGCTTTCCCCATGGCTAAATAGGAATAAACTAAAAGTGGAAGGAAAACTTAAGGAAGAGGTATTAACTAGCCAGTGTAGCAGGGGAGGATTCGTACATTCCCTGTTCTATCAGCCCACCTGTAATTGTGCTTGTTCTTGATTTGGTCCTTGGATCTGTAATAATAGCACTGGGATTAGCACTGCCCTTGTATGCCTTGTGAGTATTAGCTGTGCTCATTCAGTATGGTAGAGAGACTCAAAACAATCATCTCTGTAGAAGCACATTTTGAAACAAATTTCCCAACCCTAATGGCTTCGAAACACAAAATCACAAGCTCTCATTTCTAGTGTAGATGTGTCCTAACCTGATTTAAGGTCACTTGAAGGCTCAAAAGTTACTCTGAACCCCATTCAATTCAGGAATAATGCTTCTATTTTAGGAATTATTAATGTCATCTTTTATTTCACAGGAACTGCAAAAAATAAAGCTTATCTCCCTTCAGAACATGAAGGTAAATAAAACTAAACATTAATGAATAGTTGAAAAGGGTAATGGAACAATGGCAATGAATGAAATGAAAAAATATCATCTACCCGTCTTGTATCTCAAAGAATTCAAACATTAAGAAAATTGATATTTACCTGGCATACACAAATCATTAAATTGTAGAGTTGGAATGGTCCCCCAAGGGTCATCTCACCTAAATATCTACTACCATGCTATCCCCACCACCCAACTAGTATGATACCTGTCAGGTCAGTCAGGTTATAATTTTTTCTTTATATATGAAACTGACTAAATTACTGACAATTTTATCCTATAGAAAATTGGAGATGCCACATGGAACAAGAGTCATCAAGAAATGACAATAAACTGCAGAAGATGAGACACAAAGCATGGAAAGACACGGAAAAACCCATCACTGTTTTCTTCCAATGTGTGCTATCAATAATAGGTTTAGCTAACAGAAGATCTCTGCACAAACAAATATAGGAATATGACCAAATGGAAATATCCCCAGAGACCATGCAGAGTCTTCACCAAACTACTCACAGTCCTTCTGCGTTGGTTTCTGGTTTTTCTACACACACACACACACACACACACCCCTAAGAAAATGTTAACTCTTATCCAAAGCAAAGTCCAATGCAGCAACACAAAACTAACTTTTGGCCTTTATTACTAAAAGGTCAAAGGTCAGCAAACATCATACCAACCTTCATCCACATCCCTTCCCACTTCCAGATTAAAGTAATCTTTACCGATGAAAATGGAGAGGGGGAAGAAATAAATAAAAGCAACTTATTAAAAGCAACTTATTAAAAATAAAGCATTCTTCCAGCTGAGCAACCAAAAAGATTCAATGCAAAATCAAACAATGGTAAATTACAGTTTATCTTTCCTTTAACAACACTTATGACTAAAACCAACTGTAGTACAGATAACCTGGAGTAATTTCTACAGATTCTACTCCATATTTTTCCAGATTTAAGAAGTCTACCTTAGCTAAGTCCTATTGCTCCAAATGAACGGCTTTCAATAATTTTCCTCTTAAGGTAAGTTTTAGCCCTTTAGATAAGGGACAATTTAAAACGTGATAGCCTTTCCCATGAAAGTGTTTCACGTAACTGGTGAAAAGTTGAAAAGTTCCTTGCCAGGTTGGTCTCTCTCTATCTGGGCTGACAGTGTCCATGTGCCAGGAGAGCCAACAGCAGTGATATGCAGCTGTATACATCTGAGGCAACACACACAAACACACTAAGGCTATGCTTGCCACATAGACTGTTGCCAGGGAAAGGGCTTTTCAGCAGCCTCCATGTGGGGTCTGTGAAATTAAATCAGTCCAGAGGATTAAGACTTTGCATTCACTTTATGCAAAATCTCTTTCCACCAAAGTGCATTTCATACAGCCGGTGCATTAAAATAAAGACAGACCAAAAATAATACTCCCTTCCATACTAAAAAGTGTAATTAATAGTCACTTAAAGAATTCTGCTTAAGAAATCTGAAGCATCACCCAAAATGAATTCCTAATTCTAGAATGCCTGGTTTCCCAAAATGATTTTTTTAAGGGTTGGGTGTAATTCTGTGACTGCTTGGCAATCAAAGGGATTCTGAAAGCAGTAAAAGGCAAGGAAAAGTGATTACCTTTCAGGCTAGGAAATGGAGTGTTTTTGTCTCTCCCAGCTTTGGTTGGAAGGGCTAAATTGGACAGACTAAAGCTTGTGCTGTGGTTCTTGTATAGGCTACCTATAACAAAAATAAAATAAATCAAGTGATCTAATCATCCCCTTATCTCATTCAGAAACTCACTGTGCAGTTTACATCTGAACAGCTTTCTGCACTCTGGGATAAACTAGACATGACCTTAAATGCAGCATAAAGGTTTTTAAACATGCAGGTAGCATCAGCTGGTGGGCACTAATGGGGAATTCCCCCAGCCCAAGAAATTCCAGTTTCAGAAGAGGGATTTCATCAGGACCAAAGTAGAAAAGATAGGCCTGACGGGCTGCCCTTCATGGCCCCTTCAGCACTTAATGAGCCCTTCCCAGTGCCTGTCATCACTTGGGTCTTCCAATGGCATTGCTACTGCAGAAGCCAGCATTGTCATCCTCCTTGCACTTTTCCATGGGCATATTCATAGTGGAAGCAGCCCTGTAACAGGCCACAAGTTGGGCAGCTACTTGGCTTCCAGGTCACTATGTACTTTTGGCTATAAAGTAAGCTTTCAAGTGAAGGGCAGGGGAAGTTGCTAGTAGCCTCCTCCTTCCTCTTATGTATGGCACCACAAACACCCAGAGGGAAGGGATGGGCCAGCCTGCCAGCCTCCCCTCCCCTTGTGAAAACAACAACAACAACATCCCCAGCCACCCTGGGCGGCTCCCAACAGAATATTAAAAACACGATAAAACTTCAAACATTAAAAACTTCCCTAAACAGGGCTGCCTTCTAAAAGTCAGATAGTTGTTTATTTCCTTGACATCTGATGGAAGGGCATTCCTCAGGGCAGGCGCCACCACTTTGCAAGAGCTCCAGGTGAAGGCTGTGGCCATAGAAGCATCACTACCAGGTAGGCAAAGGATGGCAGGTACAGGGGTGGAACCAGGGCATGAGTCCCAGTGAGCTTTGCTGGGACATGTGGGTCCCAGCAACTGACAGGTCTGAGGAGGAGGAAGGAGGTTTGATCCCCAAAATTAGTAGCCCCCCATCACCTGATACTGTTTCAATTTCAAAAATCTGCATGTTGCCACATTTAGCATCATGTGTAGTTTCGCCCTCAACAGCAGGCTCTCTCTCTCTATGAGAAATGGAATAGTTCCTTACTTCTGCTACGATTCATGAAGATATTTTTGAAATGAGACAAGGGGAGGAGGAGGCAGAATAAACACTTTACTTGTTTATCCTGTTCCTCTACTTCTCCATTTCGTTTATTCAATGAAATGAATGTATTTAATTCAAAATCTTGACATTCCATCACTTACATTCCACTATCTCATTCTTAAAATGTGCAAGGCAGTTAACATTCAAATCATTTAAAACATCAAATCGACACAGCAGATAAAATTCAGCTTTAAAAAAGACTGGGAACTAACACAATGGTTAGGCAGGATCAAGAGCATGTGAGACCACAGACCTGCTGGAATAAAAATTGTTTTAGGTGATGTCTAAATGTCTCTAGAGAGGCAGCCACCCAGATCACCCCAGCCTGGGTGCTATTGTGGAAAAAATGACAACTGGTAACCAGAGTAGCTCATTCAAGTTTATTGGCCCAAGGCTTTAAGTAACCAGCTCTTTAAACTGGGCTCTGAAACAGACCAGAAGCCAGTTAAATTGATAGAGTAAGAGCTCATCCAGACTTCCTTTGTGCCATATTCCCAGGCAGAGGTTTGCACTTCAAGGCACTGTGTCCAAGCACTCTTTTTTTTTACCCCAGCCTTTTCCCACTCTTTATTGTTGAATTGGAGCAAACGGTAAATCAGAATTGCCATTTGTTCAAATTCGGCATTAAAGAGTGGGTTTTCCTGGGGAAAGCTCTGGAGGGAAAAAAAGTGCTCAGACATGGAGCTTTAAAGTACACACCTGTGATTAGAAAGTGCAGAGCCAAAGGTAAGTGTGGATGAGCCCTCACTCTCCCCCAAAATCTGAGTCATGCCTAAATTTTGTTTGCTGGTTTTTGCACTAGTTGTAGCTTCTGTACATTTTCCCCGGGCAATCCACTTAAGGCACCTTATAATAGTTCAAACTTGATGTAACCAGTGCATACACAACTTCGGCTATTATCTGCCTTCTCCAGGAACATGTACAATTGGTGCACTACCTGATTGTTCAAAGGGAGCAGGACCCAACACAAAACACAGGTGAACCACTATTTTTGAGACAGCAGTACTATTGAACAGGAGAATTAGTAGCCCTATGACAATGTTGCTCACCTGACGTGATTGGAAACAAATGAGGGAAGACCTGAGCTAGCTCTCTCCCTTCCACTACATTCTTATCTCCCGCCCCTCTATTGTTGGTGTTTTGGAGGGCAAATATCTGCAAGCAGGGAACTTTAAGTGCATGGATATCTAGGACAAATACAGTAGGCTGCACACTGCAGTTGTTTGCCATACAAGGAAAACAGTGGGGCTGTGCAAAGTTAACTAGCACATCCCAGCTACAGTGATTCCTCTATTGCATGAGAACACCACCTGAATAGGGTTTGTGCCCTATCTGAATTAATTTCAAAAAGGAGCTAGCAACACAATCCTTGTAGAAAAGAGCACTACATAACTAGGGCCCATCACCAAACATGTCTTGTTGCTAGTTTCTGTCAACCTCACTCACCCCAGTTGGAGAAAGCTCATGGAACAGGTCCCACCAGAAGATCTCAACGCCCAAAGCTGATTCCAAAGCTATGAAGGGCTTAACTTTTCAGGATGTCATGAAATGAGTGTGGGGCTTCTGCTCAATTCCATGGCACTATGTCCTGTGGAATCCAGCAAAGTTCCATCTCCACCCACCCCCTTGCTGTTTAATGTCTATATGAAACCACTGGAACAACTCATCCTGGAATTTAGGGCTCAGTGCCATCAATGTGCTTAAGACACTCAGCTCACCCACTCTCTATTCCATCTGAATCAGGAGAGGCTGTGCAGGACTGGTGCCTAGGGGCAGTGATGGACTCAGTGAGAGCCATTAATCTGAAGGTGAATCATTGTAAGATGGAAGCGCTATAGGTAGGTGGTCCAAGTCCAGGAATTAGGGAGACTCCCCATGAAGGAACAGGCACATAGCATGGGTGTTCTTGATTCAAACCTGCCATTGGAGACACAGGTGGCCTCAGTGATCAACTATGACTGGTTAACCATCTAAAGACGCTGTTTGACCAGGATAGCCTGAAATCAATAATTTATGTACTAATAACCTCACAAATGTAGGGGAGGGATAAGGGAGCAATTTGATTCAATTCACATTTAAAGCTGAAAATATCAAATTTGCACTTTTCAAAACAATATGGGAAACGGTCTTCCCTCAAAATTTGCGCTTATCTGAATTTTGTGAAGCAGTTCTCCAACCAACATTTACAAAAATGCATATATGAAATTGCATAGAAATGACTATATTAGTGAAAATAACATACAAAATGCATCATATTAGGAGAATTTGCTTGCAGAAATGTGGACAGCAATCAAAAGTATATACAAATATGTGTTTATGAGGAGAAATTCAGGCTAAAACCGTGAAGCATTTTCACAGGGGTTTTTTCTTAATTTATTGCAAATTGCTTCAGAAATGTGGGGAAGTGCAGAGAAGATTGGTAAAATGAACAACTGAGAGAACCAAAACTGATAGATTCTTCCATACCTAACCTGAGGTTACCCTTAAAGACAGCCCAGAAGCAGCAGCGACTGAAGAATGTGACAGCAAGGCTGTTAAATAGGGGAAGTAGATGGGATCATTTTACAGCAATCATCAGAGCTCTGCACTGACTGCCTGTGAGCTACTAGGGCAAATTCCAGGTGTTTGTACTGATGTAATAAAGCCCAAATAGCTTGAGGCCAAAGCAAATTGAAAAGCACCTCCCTCATAGGGCCATCTTGGTGGCAGATCCACAACTGACAAACTCCCTCCCCATGGAATTTGTGTTGTTCCCTACATAGTTACTATTTAGACAATAATAAAACATATTTTGCCACTTTTGTCATTTTGGCCATAAATTGGTTCTGAGATTGAACAGTACTGTTATCATGCTGCTTTGTTATACTATTTTCAATTATCCACTGTATTTTTTATGTTGTGCACCACCCTGAGCTCCTTTAGAAGGAAGGGCAAAATGTAAATGAAAATCATCATCATCTTCTTCACACCAGTTCCTGCTATAGCCTTTGCATGTGGTTTATTATACCTGCAAACCTCAGCAATTGTGAAAGCAGAAGCAAAATGTAAATATTAAGGGTCACAGAGGACAGAGCATACTATTAGTACTGAGTAAGCGACTATTAGTACTGATTAGTACACTTCCTTCATTCAATTTGGCACCAAGCACACCAACGTTGCTCTCTGAGCTACCCAGACTAATTTCCAGCTCCCAATTCCAAGGTCTGCTCCCTAGTGCTAACATTTAACCAAACCCAGTCCCTATTCTTCTCTAATAAGCCAAGACTCCTGTTGCTTCCCTTGCTTCTGCTTTTGCAAAAGATGCAAGCAGTAGATGAATGTCATGTATTAAGCAATAGCCAATGACTTTCACAGGGTTGGTGCCTTTGGGTCAAATACTTTATTTCCATTAAGTATTCTTCTTTCTGTGGGTCTCTTCCCCACTTTCTTCCCACCTGCTGTTCAAATTTGCAAATAAGAAACAATTATACATACTGGCAAAGGACATAATGCCCCCAAAACCTTCACTGCTGTTGTTGGATATTGTAGAATTTGGGGAACTGGCATGAGAATCCGATTCCGCATCAGACTCGTTGCCTAGCTTTAAGCTGTTGGGGCGCAGAGGCTGCAGAGGCCTATAAAAGAAAAGACAATGGTGTTACATTGTTGGCATCGTTCTGTATCCTGCAACTCAAAAGATTGTTGGGCCCCATCTCGTATCAGTAACACAAACAGCTGATATGGTGTCAGTTTGGCAATTGCCATGTCAACTGATGCCTATTTTAGAATAGAGCAAGTATGAAAACAAAGGCAACAGAAAAGTGATCTTCTGCAGATTCGAAGTACCACCCATCAACCAGAACAGTAAACATCTTGAAATACTTCCAAGAGAATAATTAAAGGCCTCTTCCCCAAGTAATTATATGTCCCACTCAATACAGGGACTCATCAAAGTGCTGTGGTCCCAAGCTGCTACATATGTGGTTGTGAATACTAGAACTATGTGGTCAAATCATATGACTTTTCCCTCCAAGTTGTCATTGTCTATCCCAGCTGGCTGTCACATGGGGAAAACCCACATAGATCCTTCCTTCATGTGTTCCCCCAAGTGGTGCAGGACTGCACCAGAGAACAGAAGCTTCCTTGATACTGTAGGTCCTGAAATGCTGATGTGTTTAATATATATCCCTCTAGGTCTGAGGGAATACGATAAACACCTAAGAAAATCATTAGAAGATATCTGAACTGCAAGGGGATTTTCTGAGGATAATGCATGGTACTAAGCACAAAGTAACAAGATTAGTAAAATTCCAGTGTGGCCTTCATGGAGTCCTGAATTTAGTGATATCTCACCGATTGCCATTGAGGTTCTGATTGAACTTCGGTGTATAGCTTTCTTCCTGTTCATCCTCTTCTTCCTCTGCTGGGAACCCATACTGTGGTTCAAAGTATGGGTTATCATACTCTCTTTTCTTCACCATTCCATCCACGGAACTCAAACTGTTTGCTGGATTCTCACTATCACGACGTTCAACACTCATTTTGGGAAAACTCGGTTGTAAAGGCAAACTGGGGAGGTGATTTGAAAATCCAGCTACCATCTTCTCCTCCATCTCTGCTGAATCAGCAGACTCCTTTGTAAAACAAACAAAAATCCTATTTGTCTACAAATACATATCCACATAACAGCTGGTGTCAGGCGCAAGAGGGCCCTAAGATTCTGAAGGCCAATTGTTATCTTTATTTCTAACATTGCCTATACTAAATGAGCTTACATCATCTCTCTGCAATTTTGTCTCCCATGTCTAACATTTCACAATTTATTAGACCAGCTGTTTTCTATATAGTAAACTGTATTAATATTAAATGTTCATCCATTTTCTAACACTTCTTAAATTGTCTCAAATATTGTCTCATGATTTCATCACTGCATTAGCTCATCACTACCTCTAAAGAAACATGGCTGCTCACTTGAAAAATTTCATCCTAGGTACAGTGTTGTTCACAGGGCTTCCAGATCTATGTATAATACTTATTTCACATAAAATCCAATAATTATGTATCATAACCAGTCTACTTCCCTGCTCTCATATTTTAATTTTTTTAAGCATTGCTATTGGCTTGGAGAATATGAATATGTGAGCACCTGTCTTTTATTAGTAAGGAATGAACCATATGACTGCTGTTCACCATAGTTTTAAATCAAATGCATAATTGTGACATATCTCAAATACATAATAGTGACATAAATTCACTGTCATCTACTTTTCTCTAGTAACATTGGCCATGTTTTCACATCACGGTAAGTCATAAACCATGGCTTCCCATACATGAGCCAATCATGCCCAGTTTGCTTCTCCCCACAAGAGCTAGGAAGGGGGAAAAGTACAATCCTTGGCTTAGTGTTATGGATCATAGTTTGTTTCCTCCACGTACTAGCAGGGAGAACAAAAGAGCCCAGAGAAGTTCATTCATTGTAAACCAATAACCATGGTTTACTGTGATGTGCATATCAGACCAATAAATATTAAGAACACAAAATGACAAGAGTTTTTTTAATTATTCATTCTCCATGTATCTTCCCAAAAGAAATACAAAGCAGCTACGAAATCCTTTCCATTCCAAAGCTTCAAGGAGCTTTATGCCTCAGTCTATGCCTCAGGCTGATAAGAAGTGGTTCATGAGGGAACAAATGCCCCAAACAAATCCAGCCTTTGATGAAGACCAAAGTAGTAAAACTCCAATCATCTTCAGGGTCCTTCCTATCATTCCTGTATCTCTTGCCTCCCTTACTTATACAATAAGCCCCATTACACACATGATTCACTCCATGGATGACAGTGCTGGGGCTGCTGCTGGCTGTAGTGCTTGAACTTGACCGAGGCTGATTGTTGTCTTGGGAGTTTTCACTATCAGGGGCTTGTTCATCCATATCACCCGAGTACTCCTGGAAGTCATCAAATTCCACTTCACTTGCATCACCCAGAGCTGCATGGGTTAGAGGATCCACATCTGTAAATAGATATTATACACATAAGTTCATAGGGTCAACAAAAATCACAAAGGCCCAGTCTGCATGTAACACTAAGGCAAACCATGGCTTAGCATGTGCTCCTCCCTGATCCTGCTGCCGCCATGCTGCCTAGGCTAAGTGATGGTACGGCTTAACATTACGTCTGAATCTAGGCTCATGGTTCATCTCCTTCAGACAAACCATGAGCAGTAGACCAATACCAAACTTTAGTTACAGGTTGTGGTTTGTCTGGAGCAAGAAAAGCCATGGGCCCAGATAAGGCATAACTCTTTGCCAAACCATGACTTAGCCTACAAAGCAAGGTGGCAGTAGGACGAGTGGTGGGGAGCAGCTGGGAACTTTCATATTTGCTAATTTGCCATTTGAAAACTGGATCAAAATCTAACTCTAAACAGCAAGCTATTCAAAATGTAGCTTTTGCAAGCTATTGCAAAATGTAGCTTTATAATTATTTACTATAGGGATAGCTAACTAATTTTTTTTTGCCTGTGGGCAGCATTCACCCTTGTCCAACTCTCATGGGGCCATATGTCAATGGTGAAAGCGGCCAGATGTGGATGTGGCCACCTACACTCTCATACATATGATTGATCTGATGAGTGCGAAGGGAGCTATTTGCATCCACATTAGGGCAGTGGCCACAGGGCATCCCAGCACTATGTTCTACTTTTTTTGCCACCCTTGCAAAAAACTAGTGGGGCCTGAGTTGGGGGACAGGAAAAAATGCTCGGGGACCACATCATCATGTGCCTGGGTCAGGAGTCAACCACTCCAGCTTTAAAATGTAAAAAATAAAGGGAAGTAGTGTCCAAGTCCATTTACTTGATGAGAAAATATGACATTTACAATGTAAGTACTGACCAGAAACCTCAATAAAACAAAAGCCAGATTTTCTCCAGTATGGCTTTTAAAAAATATTTCTATACTGCCCTTCACACTGCCTGTCACAAAGCTGTTTACAATATAAAAACACAAAAATGCATAACATCATAACAAACAAAAACATTACCACCAGCACCCCACTGTTTAAAAGGCCATAGATTGTAAAATTAGCCAAAAGCCTGGGAGAAGAGGAATGTTTTTGCCTAGTGGCTAAAGATATGTAATGAAGATGCCAGACGAGGCTACTTGAAGAGAGCATACCAAAAGCAGAAAGCCACCACTGAAAAAGCCCATTCTAGCTGCAAATGACATTCTAGTCACAACGCTGCTGGTCTATGACTGTAATAAACTGATTGAAATTCTAGTCACAACTGAAGATCCCTGTCAAGATAAGAAAATGTATATTTAACCAAAAAAAGCAGCCAATCAGCTTTTACCTATACTGTACTGAATACTCTCTTTTACAGTCTTCAAGAGTGAGTAAAACTTTTGGCTGGGTGGCACAAGATGTTAAAAGTAAATATACCTGTTTACTTAAACAAAACATATCTTCCCAAGTCATTCACAATTATCTTAGGTTCTTTCTCTCTCAAAGCAATTAAATCAGACCAAAGCATGCATGTAGAGTTAATTAAATTATCAACTCAAAGTTACTCACTTGGAGTGTCACCATTGATGTCACACTTCATCATTTCACTAACAAAATCACCAAGGGATGAATACGAAGAGCTGGAGTCATCATAATCCACACTGTCACTGCCACTATTTTAAGGGGGAAAGGGTGAGAAAGAATTAGAAGTGGCAAAAAAGGAAAGAAAAATATATAGCAATAGAGAATGAGAACAGACCAGCAATAGAAAGAGAAGCAACTAAATGGAATATTTTATACTACAAGGCTATGGTGGCATAGGTTTTGTTAAATGAACAGCTTCTCTTAAGTAGTAGGTCATCATATATACTGTATAGCTCTGTGTTTGGAAATATAGTTTTTAAAAAGAAAGGGGACAACTTATTTTTACTCTACCAGAAGCATTTTTAAAGGGTGCAGAAGATGGAAGGTTAATAAGGAGGTGTTACGAATAGCATACTGCAGCAACAGAGACTGGCGCCTACCTGTTATATTTTCAACACTAGCCAAAACCCTTTTTCTTCTGCCAGTCTTTTAAAAATGCTTTTCAGAACCTTTAGATTTGGGTTTTATGATACCCTGAACTCCTGACTTGACTGTATTTTTTTTGTCTTGCATTGTTAATGTTTTGTCAGATTATCTGTTAAACTGCTTTGGAAACCAGTGCTGGAAGCAGTATTGAATTTTTTCAGGGAAAAATGGAAAAAAACCCAGAAAGACAAAGGCCACTTAGAACCAGCTACATAAAGTTTCTCTCCCCACTAACCTATCATCAGTAGGTTCAGAATCTGTTTCTCTCTCTATTGGGACACTCAGTGCTTCAGCTAGTTGAGAATTGCTGTCATAGACACGGTAATGAATTGGCTGCAATTGATGAGCATACCACTTTGGCTTATCACCAATCAGAGCAGGGTCAAACATGTCTGTAGAAATAGTAAGAAAAATGAAGTTATTTCCATGATGTCATCCCCCAAAGTCTCAATCAAGTGGGGCTGCAGCTGCCCTACAGAAATTATATTGTAAATGGTAGGCAAAACATCAGTCCACAGAAATATATTTGCTTAATGGGGTTTGAAATTAAACTGAATGTAGAGCTGTCCCTCCATAGAACAGATACATACATAATTTTATTTGTATGCCAACTTTCCACAGTTCAAACCATGCTCAAGGGGGGCTTACAGCATGAAAAAATACATAACTACAACACAACAAAAGTAGTCATGAGCAATAAATAAAACAATAAAAAATACACAACCAAACATAAACCACAACAATTCCACACATCTGAGTTAAGATACAAAAAACAGCAACAGTCCCCAGCCCAAACACACCAGCCCAAGAATCAGTTCAGCAGCCTCAGCTTTTTGTAGCTGGAGTCAGTTAGGGCCCTACCCTTCTAGGTCAGGTGAAAAAAGGCCTGCAAGGCAAGGGGTAAGTCTTCCAGGTCTCACAGCCAAGATGGTCAGATAGGATGCAGGAGACACTATTTCCTGACACTACTTTTGTATTAGAAGATTCAGCATTAATCAAGAGGTAGCAGTAAACACAAGGCCAAGACTTACTGTTGTGGATTCTTTGGAAAGCATAATTAGTTGGGTTGAGTGACCATTCCCCAAAGTATTCCACTGCCTGTGTCTTCGACAATTTATCTGCAAAAGGTGTCTGTTTTGGTCTTGAGGCTAAGAACGAATTGGCCTGAAATGCAACCACTGGCCGGGGGAAGAGGCGAAGTGTGCGAGTATGCATCTGGAATCCTTGTAAAACATTTGGTGAATTGAAGAATCTCACCATGGCAACCCTAAAAAAATCCAAAAGGTTGGTAATATAGTCAACATGACAAGTCTGAAGGACACAGTACATTCACATATCATGAAAAGCAAATTCTACATTTGCTTCTAGTAAGGGAAGGACAGCAGAATAAGTTCACCCATTCATAGCTAATATCAACTGCGGCCTCAAGACAAAATATGCCCTATGGAAATAAAAGAAACACCAGTGCCCCTATTGTGCTGGGACCAAGGACAAATATATTTGGCTTCTATTCTCACTTTCTTTGCAGCAAGCCTAGGGTACAAAGATGATATTGAGTTCAATTATCAACTCTGACGGCAAATAATCTCTTTTACAGTAGTTGAGCCAAACAGCCAAAGCCAATGGAAGGCACTCCACACCACCGAAGTCTCAAGTGGCAGCAGTAATGGAACCAGGAGAAGTCCCAAACTATGATCCCACTTTTTCAGAGGTAGTGTGACCCCTTCTAGAGCAGGCTGGACATTGAAGCTGGATAGAGGAACCATCCACTAACCATATCTCAGTCTTGTTGGATTATGTTTCAACTTCACACAGTTGAAATCTGGCTGGATGAAATCCCGCAAATTGATTGCTCACAAGGCAGAGAGCTTAGAAGCTCCTTTTGCTTTGGGTTTCCCCAACATGGAAAGAACTTTTAAGCTCTCAGACCTGCTAACTGTGCTTTGGAACACTCTTGAGAGATCTCGTGGAAACTCGGATGGTCCCACAAGATGTCACGGGAGCATCTCAGAGCCCAGTAAGCAAGTCTGAGAGCTTAAAAGCTCTCTGCCTTCCTTGAAAAGAAAGACAACCACACAGGTGTGATTCCAAGTGTATATGCATTTTTCCATGTACATGTCATTTCTGGAACGTAACCCCCACAGAAGATTCGATCATACAGTACTACAACCTAACAGTGACTCAGTACATTCACTGTCTCGCCTGCAGAAGATGAAAAGGAGAAATGGAGCTGCTTGTCATCAGCCTAAAGAGGACAATGAGCTATAGAACTCTGTATGAACCTACTCAATGGTTACCTCTACATTTTTTTTCTATTTTAAATTTTCAATTAGAAAACATAGTCAGATTTAACAGAATATGTATCTCAAAACAAAAGACTAGGAATAGCCAACAGGATGCTCTCCAAATGGCGTAAACCACAACTTTCATAATCCATGACCCACTGATCGTGCTGGGCTTGGGCCAATGTTAGTTGTTGTCCAAAATATATCTGGAGGGCATCACACTGGCTGACCCTGTAATGGACTGTGTGGAATCCAGTATATACACAAGAGAATCTCATCCTCTAGTCTTATGCAGCCTAAGCAGTAGAAAATATTGTTAAAAACTGATGGTAGCTCACATAGAGTGTGTTCTAGTTTATAACAATAAATGTTCATGAAAAAGACAATGAAAAAGCATTTGGTTTTTTACCGGAAGGCCACAGCATTTCAGCTAACATTTTCTGCAGGACAGAGCAGCAGACCTTCCAGTGTATTTGGAAATTTAACAAAAATACATTGCTCAGACTCACCGAGTGGCCACATCCACGGAGTCTACATCATTGCCATAGATCAGGGGGTTGAACTCTGTAGAAGGTGTGGACTGCATGTCATTCTGAGGTTTCCCGTAAGCAGTGGGATCTCCTGGCTTTCATGAAACTTCTCTAGGTTAAGAATAGGCTGGGTATTCAAGCTCATGCTAGCCAAAGCCTGAAGGGCAATAGGTCACAAGGGTAATAAATAAGAACGGCATTGTCAAAACTGCTTAAACTCATGGACAAACACAACCCAAGTGAAATGTTCTAGTTCCCAGAATCAAAATACACCTCTTTCAGCAGATCAGTAAACTTTTAAGCACTCTTTGACTAACCTTTGACTGCTCCAAGCAGAGAAAAAGAGAGGACCTTACAACCATTTTACATAACAAATTTAGAATGCTGAATGGTAAATCTAATGACTTATTGGTTGACTGATTTAGTCACTTTATCTTGCCCAAAGCAACCCAAAGCAACTTATAATCCCCCAGGCTAACTAGTATTGGGAGGAGGGCAGGTGAGTAAAACAAGATTTATAAATATATATCCCCCCCCCCCCTAAAATATACTGGAAACTAACATGAGGAAGGTGAAATCCACCCTTTCAGTAGCTCAACTGTATAAAACCAGAGGATGGGTGTGTTAAAAATTAATAAACTGAGGCACTCCACAGAGTACCCCAAACACCAGAGATAAGGCAGATGGTGGCACAAGAAAGGACTTTTTTTCCACCTGTAGTATTCCAGTTGTAAAACACCTTTCCTGAAAGAAGGCACCTGGAGTTCACTTTGTTATCCTGTAGGCACAGGGTTACGCCCCAAGGTATATTAATAATTTCACATTTGTTAAGTACTGGTTGTTTTACAAATTTCCACTGCAGTTTTTTAATGTTTAATGCCATCGTGCATATTTTATTACCGTATTTTTCGCTCCATAGGACGCACTTTTTCCCCTCCAAAAATGAAGGGGAAATGTGTGTGCGTCCTATGGAGCGAATGCAGGCTTCGCTGAAGCCTGGAGAGCGAGAGGCATCGGTGCGCACCGACCCCTCTCGCTCTCCAGGCTTCAGGAAGCATCCGCAAGCCTTGCAAGCCCGGTGGGAGTTCCCGCGGGCTCACAAGGCTTGCAGGCAGCAGCCTGCAGCCCCGGCGAGTGTCCGCAAGCCTTGCGCGCCCGGCAGGAGGTCCCGCCGGCGCGCGCGAGGCTTGGGGCAGCAGCCTGTCGCCGAAGCACGGGAGCCCTCCGGAGGGCTCCCGTGCTTCGGGCGAGTGTCCGCAGCCTTGCGCGCCCGGCAGGAGGTCCCGCCCGGCGCGCAAGGCTTGGGGCTGCAGCTGTCGCCCGAAGCACGGGAGCCCTCCGGAGGGCTCCCGTGCTCGGGCGAGTGTCCGCAAGCCTTGCGCGCCCGGCAGGAGGTCCCGCCCGGCGCGCAAGGCTTGGGGCTGCAGCTGCCGCCCGAGCACGGGAGCCCTCCGGAGGGCTCCCGTGCTTCGGGCGAGTGTCCGCAAGCCTTGCGCGCCGGGCAGGAGGTCCCGCCCGGCGCGCAAGGCTTGGGGCTGCAGCTGTCGCCCGAGCACGGGAGCCCTCCGGAGGGCTCCCGTGCTTCGGGCGAGTGTCCGCAAGCCTTGCGCGCCCGGCAGGAGGTCCCGCCCGGCGCGCAAGGCTTGGGCTGCAGCTGTCGCCGAAGCACGGGGAGCCCTCCGGAGGGCTCCCGTGCTTCGGGCGAGTGTCCGCAAGCCTTGCGCGCCCGGCAGGAGGTCCCGCCCGGCGCGCAAGGCTTGGGGCTGCAGCTGTCGCCGAAGCACGGGAGCCCTCCGGAGGGCTCCCGTGCTTCGGGCGAGTGTCCGCAAGCCTTGCGCGCCCGGCAGGAGGTCCCGCCCGGCGCGCAAGGCTTGGGGCTGCAGCGTCGCCCGAAGCACGGGAGCCCTCCGGAGGGCTCCCGTGCTCGGGCGAGTGTCCTGCAGCCCTGCGCGCCCGGCAGGAGGTCCCGCCCGGCGCGCAAGGCTTGGGGCTGCAGCAGTCGCCGAAGCACGGGAGCCCTCCGGAGGGCTCCCGTGCTTCGGGCGAGGTCCGCAGCCTTGCGCGCCCGGCAGGAGGTCCCGCCCGGCGCGCAAGGCTTGGGGCTGCAGCTGTCGCCGAAGCACGGGGAGCCCTCCGGAGGGCTCCCGTGCTCGGGCGAGTGTCCGCAAGCCTTGCGCGCCCGGCAGGAGGTCCCGCCCGGCGCGCAAGGCTTGGGGCTAGCAGCAGTCGCCGAAGCACGGGAGCCCTCCGGAGGGCTCCCGTGCTCGGGCGAGTGTCCGCAAGCCTTGCGCGCCCGGCAGGAGGTCCCGCCCGGCGCGCAAGGCTTGGGGCTGCAGCATGTCGCCGAAGCACGGGGAGCCCTCCGGAGGGCTCCCCGTGCTGCGGGCGAGTGTCCGCAAGCCTTGCGCGCCCGGCAGGAGGTCCCGCCAAGCGCGCAAGGCTTGGGGCGGCAGCCGCGGGGGGGAGGGGGGGGAATAATTTTTTTTATTCATTTCCCCCCCCCAAAAAACGAGGTGCGTCCTATGGACCGGTGCGTCCTATAGAACGAAAAATACGGTACTTTATTTTTATTTTTAATTGCATTGTAAACCATCCTGTGATAATTTTATTTATTTATTTAAGATATTTGTATGCCACCCTTCATAACAATCCACTCAGTATTATTCTCTGCACTGAGATCCCAACTCCATCAATTTAAAAACTATCTTTTCAATCCAAATAAAGGTGCAGGGTCACTATGCTAGTCAGGGAAGCTCAGATTTCTAGGACACACTGTTTTAAACTCTACAGTCTTCTGCAGCTCACATGGCAAAGCTAGTATTTTCACAGAACTAACAACTCATGGTCTGACAACATCACCCAGAACATGAAGCATATAAGAGTTAAAGTTTTCACTTCTGCATGTAGTACACAATCTCATCAATCTAATTTTGCCTCGTCCTCCACTTCTTAACAGTTGTGGCCATCCTACAAACCTCGTGCCTTTCCCCTCGGCTTGAAAAGTGAGATGAGTGCCACATCCCATAGTTGCCTTTGACTGGACTTAACTATCCAGGGGTCCTTTACCTTACCTGTTTTGTTTTTTTTACCTAATCCTCCCCGTTTTTCTCTATGTCTGCTTCTCTCTCTCAACCTCCTTGTCCTTCTGTAAAGTTCATTTCCCCACCCCCCCAAAGCAAATAAATCAAAACAGGTTAAAAAATAATCCAATGGAAACTTGAGGCAGAAAAGAGTAAAATAAAGACACCTTTTTGTCAGGCGTGAGCAGCTGTTTCTGAGTGATTGCAGTCATGCTAACCAGACACTGGAGGCAAGATGGAAGATCACATGACAACACCAGCGGACAATCAGAGGCAAGACGAACACATGATCACAGAGAGACAGATGGAGAAAAAACTATTACTACTAATACCACAGATGAGAAAGGAAATAAAAAGGGATCATAAACAGTCACAGTTCCTGAGCAAGGCCAGACTGCTTTCACCCCACACATCTGCTTGCATACACTTTTTTTAAACGGACTACTAGCCAGCTGTTTTCAATATAAATATTTATAATGACACTGATCTGAAAGGGCAATAATAAGCCCGTATATATTTGTTAAGTATTTATGCATGCATAATACTGTTGCGCCAATATTTCCCACTACCATAACTATGTTTTGTCACAAGGCAGTCACCTTCACGATGTCACCCACATTTCCTTTGCTTTACCCTGTGGATAGTAAGGTTTTGTGTCATGCATCATAGAATGAAAGGAATGGTTATTATTCTTTTGCTCATTCACTTCACGCTACTCAAATGTGTGGGAGTTTTGCTGAATAGCCCCTAAACTGTGGAGAGAGAAAAGCAAACAGATTCTGAACGAGCGGCTGGGGATTCTACTGTAAGGGTCAATGGCTGTTCACTGCAACAGGTTACATAGGAAATCACAGACGGTTAATTGTGTGGTTCTGCTCTTCTATGGGAGCCAGAAACAGCAGCTTTTGTACTGCTACTCTTAACACTTTACCTTTAAATACTGCATGCAGCATGCAAGGAGGTGTGGGGGAAAGAACAGAAATAAAATCATAAAACCTATTTTGACAGACTCATTCAATCTGACTAAAACCAATAAATAGCTTCACAGGATTAGAGAAAGAGAACAAATATGGGCCTCATAGGCAGCAATATGAAAATGGAGAAAATGATGATTAAGAAAGGGGAAGGCAAGACAACTGAAAGCCCAGAGATTCTAAAGGGTGTATCATGCGGGAAGCAGATTTGTGTGTAGATATTAAGTACTGGTTTAGATGACCATTTTAAATGTAATGATGAAGCATTTTATGTAGTGCACAATATGCCATGAAGCTCTGATATGTATGATTATCTTACAGTACTGCAGGTTTTAAATGGGGATTGATTAAGGATGAGATAAACCATAGCCTACCACAGCTTCAAATACATGAAAATGAGTTAACAATACACAGTAATAACACCTGCTGATTTCAATGTTTCATGACCACACCAAAATGCTCATATGAAAACACACTGGTGGTTTTTTTTCCGGGGAGGGGGGGGTCTCCCAATCCCTCAGAGCCAACTGGGGGAAGCCTTGTTGTGCAAGCAGAGGTCCTTGCACAGAACCAATTAGTTGAATCTCACCCAGGATCGCAAAACATAACGAAGTGACCTGGTTTGGATGTAATACTAAATCATAGTTCAGTGTTAGACTCACATGTTCCCCCTTCTCCTTCTGTCAGGGCTTCAAGGAGTTCAGAAGCTTTCATTTCCATGTTAGATTAATTGCGGCTTACTGTGCCATTCAAACCTGGAGAATGTGTGGCTCATTTTAACTATGATCAGCTGAAACAAGCCAAATTCATACCAGTTTAGGAAGCTGGCTTGTTTCAATTAATTGTAGTTGCAATGAACCATAGTTTAGGGATTGGACAACCCACTAAACTCTGGTGGATCTACAACAGAAGCAGAACCTTCAGTCTTCCGCCTGAAAGACACACCAGAGGAGAGGCCTGAGGCTTGCTTTCATTTTGTGAATCTAAGTTTGGCCTCATTGAGGGGCAGAATTTCAATATAAGTAGGAAAATGAGAGCACCCCTAAACATTTTTTTAGAAAAAAAAGCACTGGTTAAGGCTATTAGCTATTTACAAATCTGATCCAAAGCCTTTCTTACTTTTTTTATCTCTAGAGGCTCCTAGGCATTTTTACGTAAGCTTCTCTAAAGTGGAAACAGAAACAGAGGACAGAAAAGTAAGAAAGGCTTTGGATCAAATTGTAAATAGCATGCCACGAGAAGATTATTGTTCAAGAAAAACAGCTGAAAAATGTAAATGGCAGGTCCTGCAGTTTCACAAGCCAAGTCAAATGAAAAAATAAGTGAACCTAAAAGAATATAGGGAGGCAATTTTTTGTTATTAGGGGAAATTTACAATGTGCTTTGAAAACAAGACTACAACTTCTACTTTGTGCCACTTAAAAGAGAAAGAACTGGGGGGGTCAAAGTGTCTCCTCAAGGGAAAGGATACTTATTGGACCTTTGTTCAATAGTATAATTGGACAGAATCTGCATCTAAACACACACCGGCTTTCCCTAGTCATCCTCTAACCAAGACTGACTGTGTTCCAAAGGAGCCATTGCAAAGATATTTTTTTATTCATGGCACAGAGCTACAGAAGCCCCATTTTGGACAGCATAAGTTCCTGCATTGAATGAAGTATCACTAATGTACCCACTATCAGCTACCTGAAATAACTCTCTTTAACCACATTTCTCCTAATTTAGAAATGTTTCTTCATATAAGTTGAAATAGTCATATTTACATTAGAGAGTCCACTTTGAGTCTGAACTTTAGTAATAAGTTGTCCCATTATGATGCTGCAAACTGTCACAGCATCCTTAGTTATCTAATATACTAGTAGTGGGAATTCTCCCAGCCACATTCACTAGAATCCGTACATACCTGCTTTAAGTGCTTTTTCAATTCTAAAGATTCTGGTTCCGGCAAAACAGGTAATGACTCAGCATTTGTAGGAACAATCACCTGGAATAAAAATTTATAGAGAAAATTGCGTTTACAAAAACTGTTGGAGTGGACAGTCTTTTATGACTTCTTGGAAACAAGACAGAAATAGGGGCAGGAACCTTGAAGTGGATCTAATTTCTCCTATTGCTTATGCATTATTGGCTGTGCTCTAAGATGAATTCAGAACTGTCAAGCAGATGATTTGGTTTTCTAATCTGTCAACAAATTAAAATGTGACCTAATTATGTCACTTTGCTCCTTGGTAACAATTGTTTTAGAAAATATTTCCTTGCCCTTTCAATGGAATAATTTTTTTAAGTGTCAGAAACAATCACCATTTAATTGTAATTTTAAATTGTTCTTTTAAATATTGTTTTAACATAAAAGGCCTATAAATATATTAAACCAATAAACATATTTTGATTTGTTTTGCACATCAAGAAACATTTAACAAAGGCTGTATGGGTGTGGCTATCCAAAATGTGTATTTGCTAAATTATAAACGTGTTTTCAAGCTGTCTCTTAGGATCTTGCATTTCCAATGTAGCCTACATAACACAATATAAAATATATTACAAATCAGTAATCAAACAGTTACAAAGGACAGTGACTTAAAAGCCTAACCAGAACCATTTCTGTAGGTTATTACAAAACAACTTCAAGCAAATCTGCAGTTTAAAAAACGAACAGCTGTTAAAACCCTTTAATACATAAACAAACAAGGCAACATCTATTTTGTGTTAATTAAGAGAAGGAGGTGGGATTAGGAAATAAAATCATAACACCCACACAGTCCCCATCAAGAGGAATTATATATAAATGCTGTTTTATGAATAGGAGTTACCTACCTTATTAGTATCCAGATCAACTAGCCATACATCATCTGGCATTTTAAAGTCTAGTTTGTAAAGAAAGAAGCTGGCTGGGACTCCAATGATATAGGGTGTTGGGGCCAGAAGCAGCTGTAGCAGGCAGAAAATATTAATAAGGAAAAAATCTGAATCCTTACAGCTTTTCTGCTAACAATCCACCCACAAGCACTAAAAGCAAACTACTGGAGAGATGACGACACTTAAAAGCATAAGCAAATGTTGCTACAAGAATTCATTAAACTTTGGGCTCAGTAAATTACTGTGAAAACAATAGATGCTGTAGCATTACTGAGATAAAACAGGTGCATATCTGAATAGTAATCTGGATTGGAGACCACTGTGCATGTAAGAGCAATATATTCACATAAATAAGTATTTTTTAAAAGAATTTATCCAACACTGAGGACAGCAGAAGCTGAGAAAACATCTAAATTTGGGAAGGCCTCCTTGAACAAGTAGAAAATGAGCTTTTCATCAAAGGACCAGATTATAAATGGAAGAAAACTGGTGCTTGAAAAGGCAGCCTATGGTAAAAATGGCAATCAAAATGATACTGTGTTTGGAACAGCACAAAAAAAACTGCAGGGGAAATAAGAAGTTTTGTGGAGAGCAGCAAAAGAAAGTATTTGACAAAATAGGCCTTGCTAAGAAATATGTCCTTTGCAAACATTCTACATTCTTGTAAAAGGCGATAAAAGAATAAGCCTAAAGCTTTAGCAGCAGCAAGTAGTGTTACTGGAAATTGTTTTCCCTGTTTTACAATTATTGGCTCTTACAGGCACTACACTTCTTGAATCACAGGTTTCCTGCAGGAGTAACATGACCCTTCAATCTTCTAAAGTAACTGTGGACCAAACTGCCTATATGGCATCAACAGCTTTGGAAAAAAATATACCATACAACAACAGATATAATATGGAACATCTCAAAATAAAGTTTGCTCTTTTCTACACTGTCTGCCATTTCTATTCCTATCATTAAGCTTCACTGTGATTTGTAGGAGCATCTCAGTAGTTGCCAGGCACATTGAAAAATATGCATTTTAATTTAGACAGGACAAAACCCAGCAAGAATTCGACTGTTCTCCTGATAAAAGGTTTCAGCAGTGTCACAGCAGAACATCCGTCACTGAAACGATTGCATACCTGCTCTGCAGAAGCCATACAGGTAGGAAGGAGTGGAATCACTGGGAACATGTACTCCAGTGGGTAGATCATAGCCACAAATGCCATGACAGACATAGAGAGCGCATTATAGTCCCGGGACTGCAACACCACCTGCAACCAAGGAAACTCTTGTCAATACATCCACACAATTATTATCTCATGATAATAAGCTCTTAGGCTACTTCCAATGGGCCTTCATATGATATGTATTCTAATACTGGAAAAAGTTTTCCCTAATCAAATACTATTTTATGCAGAAGCCTCAGAATCGTTATTGCTTCTGTTAATAGGAAATTGAACATTGTGATAAAAACATACATTTGTCCTTTCACATGGTCTTTGCTAAGTTTCTGTTGAAATGTTGAAGAATAGACATTGCAGCCTCTCCGTCTGAAATGTCTACAAGTATACTGACACATGTCCCTCTCACCTTATGTTCCAGAAGAATGCAGGATAGCACCTGCAAACATGCATCCACACCTAAGAGCTCCAAGGGCAGGTGCAGGGGGAAATCCACCAGAGAGAAGCGGGATGGGTCAGGAAGGGCAAACGTCAAGGCTGGCTGCAATTCATGGGGTAAGACTTCCACGTCCACGCGCTTCTGGCCAGCAACAGGCACAGGTGAGCGAAGCAGCCGGTAAATCCACGCCTCAATTTCACGCAAATCATGTAGCAATGCACTGGATTTCTCCTCCACTAGAAGTGAACCTGTGAAAATCCGCCATATTGTGTCCCTGTGTAAAAGCAACAAGATTAACCCCAAACACATATACTTGGTAGTTCTACTGAGAAACCTGCCAAAATACTCAGGCTGTGTGAATTCTTCCATAAGAAGTCAGACTAGGGAGTATACGCATGTCCTATTATTTTATTTTGTTAACAAAATAGATATACCATTTGACTGTAGTAAAACCTTTAAGCTATTGTACAACGAAGACCTAGGTGAAAAGAAGTATGGCAGAGCCTTAACTGCATCTTGTTGGAAGTATAAAATTCCTTGCAATGTATGGATCTATCTTTGCATTTATGTCACTACTAGAGACTATAGCCCTGCTCAGTTTGCTCGACAATCCCATCTACCCATGCTTGCCAAAGTCGCCCACTCTCTCCCTTACAGAGCTTTGGGCTGCCAAACCCTGCAGTGGATGTCTCTCCACAGCTTTCCTGAACTGCCAACCCACCACTTCTTGTCACACTATAAAACCACCTGTTGCCCACCAAGTAAACTGCAGAATGATGACATTCTTACATTTTTATTATATTATATTATATAGTAAGATAAGAAAGCAATCAAACTCCAAATAAATCAGATGTTTCTTTGACTCCAAACAAGTACCCCAGGAATTGTTATACTGTTGTGCAAGACAGATCAGTCAGGTTGCTAGTCCCCAAAGATATTTAAAGGGTTTTATATAGCAAATAATTCCTCCACTGTATCACACATATAGTCAATCTATAATGTATATTTTTAGAAGGCTCTAGCAGTTTTAACAGCATAAAATGAGGGGCTGTAGAGTTACCGAGAACAGAAATAGTTTTTTTAAAAAGGAATCACAAATTCGCTTTCCTGTGTAGTTTTGTATTAGAATGCTACAACTACATGTACCTAGTTCTCTTTTCATGATATATTTGTGCACAGAACATGAGACAAAGCAACAATGCTCCCAGCAGAGCCTACCAAACCAATTGAAGCTGATCCAACCAAGCAGATGTAAGAGCAGGGGAAGTAGTCACTTTCAAAACCACAAAGTAACTAGAACATAGGGAACAACTACAAAACTGAGCTGATTACAGACATTATTGGTTCAACTTAAGACACAAATGCAAACTGGGAACCTGGTCCACTAAGAGGTATATGACATCCTAGGCTGGCTAAAATATGTAAGCACATAGTACATATCTTCTGCAATGGGTGTCAAGTTTTGGCACACTACCAGAAGTAAGGAAAGCAGTACCACTAAGTTGGGTGTGTGTGGAAAAGGACAGCATGGTATGATACATTCATGCCTGCAGTGACTATTCCTTTGCACTAACTCTGTGGCCTGTGTACAGCCTGCAAGTCCTCTTATGTGCCTTATGAAAAAACACTGATTCTGTGTCTGCTCCCTTTTTCATGGAAAATAAGCACACTTCATCAAACCACAGCAGAAAATGAACTGCATCATCTAGATATGGTATTAAAAGGGACGTTTGCATCCCTTCATGTACCTCTGCACGCCTCGAGGGATCCCAAGCTTCTTGCCCAAGAGTCTCTCGCTGCAGCAGTCCACCAATTTCTTCAGGGTATACAGACATTCACGAAAAGTAGAGAAAAAGGGATAGTGACTAATGATGCAAAGTGAGGTCAGGGTGCTGTTACGAGAACGGTGGGTGCCTTTTGCAGAACGTTTACTACGAGGTGATCGAGTAACATCTGGCGCAGACTCTGTGCTTGGTGGTTGCAGAGAACCACCGCTCTCTGAACTCTCATTACCCCTCTCTTCTTGGGTAGTGGATGTATCCCCAGACTTGGGTGCTTTTTGCCCATCTTGGGAACGATGTCTGCCACTGCCTTCTCCCTTCTCCTTGGGCACACGCTTTTGGAAAGAACGGTAGAAGTTGACGCATATCCCATAGCGAGTGATACCAGAATCTTTATCAGTGAGTGTGAAGACAAAAGAAGTATCATCTCGCAGGCTCATCCGTTTCTGTCGCACACTTAAACATCCCTCTGGCTGGCAGAAGAACACTACATCAGGAGGAAGTGGAAAATCAGTGTGATCTTCTAATGGGTAGCGGCGCAGTAGTTCAGGTGTCTGTGCCACACTATCACTGCTTGGTTGCCTACAAGCAAAGCAAATGCAAAATTACTTGATACTCAAATGCCATACTGGTTACACATTTGAACAGTGGAAATACGAGAGGGCCTATTTCTGTAAGTGGGAGCTGCAAGCACCATGACTCTGAGTTGCAATGTAATTAGGGCAACGAATAGTAAGATCTGCATCAAGAACAAATGAAAGCAAAATTGTGCTTGGCGAGGCTCTGACAGGGTGGCCAAGGTACTCAACCCAATCAAAAAGCAATGTGTGAAGGTAGGGCAGTAGCTGCTTGCACAGCTTGCTGGATGGGAAAGCTGACACCAAGAAGAAAGGACGTTGAGACTAGTGACAAAAGGAGGCCCCTGCCTTCACAAAGAGAGAAGTGGCAATTGTCAGAGGAGCTTGATAACATCTTCTAAAGTGGCAGTTATTATCTGTGTGGTCTGTACACACAGGTGGACATGTTTTCAAACAAGAGCACAACAGTGTTCTGTTTCCCTCTCCTCAATTAGCATTTCTATCTCTCTCTCTCTCTCTCTATACACACACACACACACACACACACACAACCACAAACATACACCTGGCACTTGTGGCCATCCACTACCAAGTGCTGCATGAATGCACCACTGCCTCAGATGCCTCCAATGGATGTTCACTGGTACAGCTGTAGGATGCCCTCTCCCATAGCTACTCCACCTCACTAGGCATCACTGGCCAAAACACAACTCCAGGTATGAGGTGGCTAACCTGTGGGCTGCACCTGGCCACCTAAGGCTTTCTTGTAGTTTCCTAACACCGCCCCCCCTTACAATCTGTCATTAAAACAGTAATTTTAAAATTATTTTAATTTTTTGCTCGTTGCTCCCTTAAGTACCCCCCTGTGATGCCAAAGGGCTTTTGTGCTACCCAAGCCATCTAAAATTCATTACTTAAAATAAAAAGGTCACGCCCAGTTTTGCTTTTTGGCCACACCCACTTTTGCACCCAGAGGGTTGACAATGAGCCTGAAGAAGTTTATGAATATATATGTGACAAGGGTCATTACTGTGTAAATTCCATCTAGGTTGCTACTGTACCTGGCCCCAATAATCACAAGGTAATCAAGTAAGCGAGGACAGCTCCTCTTCTTCTGCACCATTGTCTTTCCTCCTTCACTATGTCATCTCAGTAAATTCTTCCCTCATTGGACCAGCTGGTTTCTGACAGCTGCCTCAGAAAACAGAACGCTCATGGAAATTGCGACATCAACCTACAACAAAAGATATTCAATTCAAGGTCAGACTCACATTCATCAATAACAATGCTCTGATCAGCACTTTCAGTATAAGCAGCATATTTGTCACAGGACAGGCTGTTCAAGCAAAATATCCACACTTCCATGTCTTAGTATGAAATATACTTGTGAAGGGTAAACAACAGGGAAGTCTTGTTCACATAAGACAGCCTCCATGAAATCACTTCAAAAGATTTGGGGTCACTTGCTAGAACCACAGCTGGACAAGGCTTGCACAGGAAATGGGGTTTTGTGAACTGACACCAATACGTGAGTGATGTACATACAACTGTCCCAATTTCCATTGCATTGTGACTGGCACCGTGTGCTACTAACATAGTAGCAGTTGCCTTCACACAACTTAGAATTAACTTGCAGAGTCCACTGTCTCTGAATGGGACTCTGGTTGCTAGTTTAAATGGATCTGGGAGGGAAAGTTTATCATCAATTAATGAGGATGATTATATCTGAAACACCGCTTTTCTCTTACACAAATTAGATCCAATTATTCACTATGTTCAAATTAGGACCTTAAAAATAGGAATTGGTCTAAAGCACAAATTACATGTGACTTTAACTATACTTCTACCCTTGAGTACAGGGTTTTCCTCAAATTGCCGCTGTGAGGGGACTTAACCTGGGTTGGGATCTTAGCAGGTGGGGAGGGCTTTAAGACTTTGCTTCCTGCTATTATCCTGGTCCATATTAGGCCCCATGAGACCATTTTTTGCAATGCAAATTTCAAGTGTGGGCTATCCGAGCATATCTGCCTACATTGCTAGGATAACAACTTTGATGACAATTTTTTAAACTGTATTAACCAAAATCAACCAAGACAAAGACTGTGAAATTATTGTTGAACAAGATAAAAAGAACATATAGAATTGATAACGCAACACAATTCTTAAAATACACAATTCATAACAATTCACAAAGCCATTTACTAATAGCAGTAGCAGCAGTAATCCTTTTATCTAATTGGCTCTCTCCTTCCCTAAAGGCTGCCAAAAACAGTGTATCTTAACCAGTCGCCTAAAGCTATGAAGAGATGAAGCCAGATGCACCTCAGTACAGAGGGAGTTCGACATGCAAAGAGCTACCAATGAAAAGATCGATCTTTGGGCTCCAACACCACATTCAACAGGGCATCATATGCTGATCTCAAAGCATGGACAGATTGATATGGAAGAAGGTGTTCTTGCAGATATCTGGGTGCCAGGAAGTTTAGAGCTTTTAATATCAAAGTGAGCACCTTGAATTTGGCCCTGAAACAATTTGCAACTGCTGCAGCTGTTTCAAGAAATGAATAATATGCTTGCTCCTTCCAGCATTCTTGCTATAGCATTTTGCGCTACCTGCGATTTTCAGGCCACCTTCACGGGCATCTTATAATAGTCAAGCTTAGAGGTTACCAGTGTATGAGTAACCATGGCCAGGCTATCTCTATTCAGCAACTGGAGGAAAAAAAATGTTTTTTACAAGAGTAATAGGCTATATTTTGACAAAATTTGACATCTTTTTGTTGCTATTTTACATTATAAGTGCTTGTGGAGCCTCCATTTTAATTGCACTTCTTGCTAATACAGTAGTGAAAAAGAAATGCCTCAGCTGAAAAACAAAACAGGCTGAGGTGTGGAAGCAATCTTATCTTGGGCACCTGAAATATTATAAATTTTCTACAAAAATAGAAAAGTAAATCTCTATTGTGATACCATCTACAAAGCAACACTTTAGCAAGTCTTGGGGACAGAATGTGTGTGATTTTCAAATAATCACAGTCCACACAGCAATCATAATCATAGCTTATTAGTGCATAATCATACTGCACTTTATTAGTTGGAAGGAGGGAAGATTGTCTGCGTCTCAAGACCAAATGGAATCAGAAGAACCTTGGATCAGCTAGGTACTTTAGATACTCTTGCCAAGTCCAAATGAGATGAAACATGGTTAAATTCTATTTTCATAAAACTTAGCTAAAACCACTTACCCTATAAAGCCTAGATAACACATATACAGTAGTAGTACACAAATATGGGCTGATTAATCTGATTATCCATTTATATAAGCAAATCCTTTTCAGCTCAAGAAGGCTCTCATTTACTGCAAGTCCACTGCAGCAAGTTCCTGAACCCCAGTTCTATCCACAGACACAGTGGTACCTCATGTTACAGACGCTTCAGGTTACAGACTCTGCTAACCCAGAAATAGTACCTAGGGTTAAGAACTTTGCTTCAGGATGAGAACAGAAATTGTGCTCTGGCAACGCAGCGGCAGCGGGAGGCCCCATTAGCTAAATTGGTACCTCAGGTTAAGAGCAGTTTCAGGTTAAGAACAGACCTCCAGAATGAATTAAGTTCTTAACCCAAGGTACCACTGTATACTGCAGCACTGCAGGTGTCAGAAACAAATTTTTTAGAAGGAAAAAAATCATTTTTATTATTGAGTAACAAACACATAAAAGTGACCATTAAAAAACACGGAACAGAGAAAAGTACAAGTCATTACCCAGAACAGCATTTGGCATTCAACATTTATTTCTGGAGAGTGTTACTTCACTCAGGGAGAATATTTATCTTTTCACTTTCATCTCACTACATTCTCATTTCAGTAGCTTCCACTGATACATAAAAAAGCAACTGCTTACTCTTCTGATTTTATATTCTGTGCATTCAGTTGCTTTCATAAACAGCAGAAAACAATATATTCATTCATAGCCTCCATAATTTCAGACAAATAAATTAGGAATACTCTTGCATGCTTATAACAACTTTTTTACACTAAAGAACATGATCTGATGGACAAACCAGATGTGAAATTAACGATGTCATTGCAGTTAACATATCTAGCCATTTAAATTTAAATAGCCACTAGGGGACACCAATCAGGTTCACATTCATGGGAGGAGACTAATCTTTCCCCATGCACCATAGTCACAATTCCAACAGTACTCCCCCTTGCAGTTCCTATTTAAAACTACATATGTTTATTGAAATCATGCAATTAATCTAATGTCTAGTTTTTCTTGAATATCACTGCCTTCTGAAGCAGGAATATTAATTTTTCCTTGCGAAAAAACAAGCAAAAATGTTTAATGGAACATTTAATTTCACAATGGATCTAGCTGTACTTACTATACAATGGCTTCAACTTGCACATTCCGAAACTTTCCTGATATGCAGGTAAGTGAGGGTTGAAGAAAAAGCATTTTGTCTTAGACAAGCAAAAAAGAATATACTTGGCTCAGCTCAAAAGACTTAAAAGCAAAAAGGATGCTGTTTTCATATGGCTCCTGTATAGTGCTCCTGACAGTTATCTATCTATCTATCACATTTTGCACCAGTTGCAACTTCTACATCATCTTCAGGGGCAGCCCCACATACATCATTTTCCAGTAATCTAACAGAGAGGTTACAGAGCACATACTACTATGGCCAAATTATCCCTGTCCAAGAAGGGCTATTGCTGGCAGTAAAAATACTTTTATTCACTTAGCAAGTTTTTTATTTGAGTTAAGCCACAGATTCAGCTTGTTGAGATATGCTGCATATTCTTCTGTAAGGACAAGTGTACTGGTATCAACATTTAAGCATATTAATACGTATCACAATAGGTTGGCTAGAAAATAATCTATAGGCACAATATCTAACAAGAAACCTGAGCATCTTTTAAGCTACCCAAGTGTCTGGCAAAAGCCTTATGACTGCAAACGGTTAAAAACATCAAGCATTAAGATCTGCATTTTAAGTACTGGATTCTTTCTGAAATAAGGGGGAACGTTTTATTCTAGTTATGTAAATGATAACTAGTTCTCTTCCCACTCAGAATGGGAAAGGGGAACAGGGCTCATCAAAAATAAATAAAGCCTTCGGAAATTTCATGAGAGTGCAAGACAGTCAAGAAGGCCAGATATGAAATGGCACAGATGCTACAACTTCATTTCTAGTGATGTTAAAAATATATTGCCTTTGCAAAAGCAGTGACGTGATGACAGAAACATTCTCCCTCCAGCATGTACCATATTCAGTTCTATAATCCATATCATTGCCTCTTCCACAAGAGATGCTCAGCAGCTTTTCCCCCCAGAGGGTACTCAAGGGTACGCAGTACAGGCACCTCTTTTTGTTGTTGTTAAAAAGTGTGACACTTACTGTAACAACTTTAAGGTGAGTACTGGCACCTATTTGTATAGAAAAAAGCACTGCTCAGCAGTGTGCAGGGCAAAATAAGCAGTTGTGTTCCTCAACAACACTCTCACATAGACAGAGTCAATAAGCAATAATTGAATAATTCATTTTCTATACTGCTTAATATATTAAAAAGATCTCTAAGAAGTGTACAAAAAACTGAAGCAACAACAGACAACTTTTTTAAAAATTACAAAAACAGGAAGTTATATATAAAATGTTACATTAATACAAATCATATCAATTCATTTTCCTTCTGACACAACCTCCCTCTCAGCCTCTGTTTGGACGCAGTGTCCAAACAAACTCCCACCTCATACACAAAAGAGAGTTCCTGGAAACAGTAGGAATCACTCTTGTCTCTCACTTTTTATGGGCAGGCCCAAGGTGGATGATACTTCCTCAAGATGCCCACAGCAGTGTCCCATTCAGCTGGGGAGCAAATACCTAAATCAATTAGAAGTGTCACACACTGAGGAAAGCTACCATTCTTGCTTCACCGCTGTACATAGTATGGTTATCATTGGTGTAGTAATTGTTTGGTCTAATATTACCACACATAGTACAAGGTTTCAGCTTTCTTATAAAGTTTTTTTGCCTTTCAGAGCAGAGCACGATGACTGTGTTTTCATCAGCAAGTGCCCTGGCCATACAACCTTCAATTCCATGCATACAGAGACTGGATAACAGGAGCCTCAGGTAATCTGATTCAGATCAGTCTCCATAGCAACTCAGTCTCTTGTCCCTAGATCACAGCCCATTGGAACTATTTATAGAGCAATTGCAATCTCCCCGCCCCCTACACACCATGCACACACAAATCTCTCAGCACCACCCACATTACAAACAAGATTCACTTGGGCACAATAGCTGCCTTCAGCTGGCAATTAAACATCACGTTCCCAGTATCAGGAGGTGCATATGACAGTGTGACATTTCCACTATGCACTTCAACTTGCAAGTCACAAGAGCTTCCCCCCTCTCCCCGTGGAGGATAGAAATCAGATTAATTATCTCTTATTGTGAACTAGGCTACTTTTACTGAGCTCAACTGGGGGGGGGGGGGGAATCTCCATGCATCACAGAACTAGTAGAATAGAATGAAGGGGAAAAATTGGTCAAGAAAATCTGGCTCATGACTGCAGTAAGCCTGAATGCCTGTCCTAAGTAAATACATATTTTTTCCTCAAAGAACCTAGAAGCAGGAGGAAGAATATGAGAGGCAGGGGAAGATTGGAGGTCTGGAGACTGTAGGCCAGTGAGCAAAGGGGTCAGACAATTGCCACATCTATAGTCCAGAACAAAAGTAGCCAAGATACAGTAATGCCCCTGGCTCCCTTAGCCCAAGTCATTGGATTACAATTCTCATTAACCCAGTCAGCATGGTCAATGGTCAGGGATGATGGAAGTTTTAATTCAACATCTGGAAGACGTCACATTGGTTATCCTTGTTTTAGAGTCCTAGCAGAGTGGCTATTCTTTTAACAATTGCATAAAGATGAAGCTGTGTCAATTTTGGCTTCTACTGTCACTGCAGCATTGTGACCTGATAGGCCTTAAAGGACCAACAAGGGCTAAGAAGCAGAGGAGGATGGATGCTGATTGAACGAGCCAGCTACTTCCTTGGCCGCAAGCTTCTAATATAGAATACATAGAGCAAAACAATCTTGCCAAATACTGAAAGACAGTCAGTAAAGAATCTGACCTTCAAATTCTTTGAGCTGACTGCACCAAAAACAACAACCATGCAGCCAAAGGAGAACAACTGAAATTTTCCGTAATCAAAAATGGCTTTTCTTTATGCATCAGTGCCAAGAAGCACAGTTCACGTCTTCTTAAACGAACAGCTATATAATCCAAAATTCAATCATGGGGTAATCTCATGTTTAAATATTATGTTAACTTGACACCTACTACTTGGATGATAATTTTGTTCATTCCTCATTTTAAAGTGAACTGACTCAATTCCCACCTCCTGGACATACACAGACCAGAACACAATTATCCTTCAGATTTCACACTTCTCAAAAATTTATGATCCAGTTCTTAACTCAAAGAAATGCACTAAGTGTTTTGGAAGATGGTCTTTGGGACCATATCAGACACCACATCACATCTAGTCACTTTGGACTCCACTCTGGACCTTTTATTGATCCCTCTGAAACAAAGGAGGCAGGTAGTATATAAAGATTTAGTAATACTGCTACTCATGATAGCCATATGTATTGTCAAAAAGGTCCATTGAATCCCATTATGTGGTTGACATTCAAGACAGACTCGAGTATTGCTCCATTTGGTTGTAACTAGTTAGTGTTGCAACTAGCTAGTGTTAAAACTAGCTGATATTTAAGCATCCAAGAAATGCTCTTTTTCACCATTTTATGTTACCTGAAATACAAGATAAAACTCACAAGCCAATATTATTCTCTAGGATTGACTGTAGGAGCATAAAGTATATTTAAATTTCCTTCCCCCAATGTGCTCTGATAGTTACAATAAAGGTATCAACTTTTCTGGTTTCTCGCAGCAATGAATGACCAGATTAAAAAGTCATTCTGCCTCCTGTGCAGCCACATAAACTTTGTGTGTAAACAGCAGGCAGCTTAGCTGTCAGCCGAGATCTAAATTCAGGGAGGTAGCCTTGTTGGTCTGATGCAGTCGAAATAAATAAAAAAAATTGTCCAGTAGCACCTTAGAGACCAACTAAGTTTGTACTGGGTATAAGCTTTCATGTGCATGCAGACTTCTTCAGCCAAGATCTAAGTTTTATCTGATAACAGTGCAGGAAGATTAGAACTGATCCAGAATTGATAGCTTAAGCACTTGCCAACAGAATTATTCCCTGTTAAAGCATTACAAATTTTGCCACACAACCAATAAATAAAAAGCAGTCAACAGCATAGTAGAATGCCAATTTAGTGGCTGTTTGACTCTTGTTTATTCTTTCTTCCAGGATGGAAATCCTCGTGGATAAAGCAGCAAGAATCATTTATGCTGTATGGGAAGCTAGTAAGTTTTCCTAAATTAATTCCACACTTAATAAAATAACTTTGTAAGGAATAGAATTAACAGGATCTCCAACAAATGTCAAACTATATAAAATTACTCAACTGGGCAGGATTATATAAAATATTCATTTGCTTCTTTTACCCACTTTTGCCTCATTTTCTCCAGTAGTATTTCCTTTAAATATTATCTAAGAATAAAGAATACTCCACAAATACTTGTTCTCCAACAGTTAAAGTTCTAATGATAAATAAGCAAAAAGAATGTTAGGATGCATATACAGCACCACATTAGCTACCTGCAATTAATTTAACATGATGCTCATAGCATCATTGCATTAATTCACAATCACAATTAGACAGAAGATGAATGGTGGAATTGTGGCTCAGCAAGAGGTTTTTTTAATATAATGGTTATGGAACCCTGAGGAGCTGCAGCCTCACATTCCTAAAGGGAGGTGCAGACCCCCAACATATGCAGGCAGGGTTCATCTAGACAGGCCAACTTATTAGCTGAGATTCCTGAATTGCGCGGAGGTTGGACTCGATGAGCCCTTGGGCTCTTCTAAGTCTACAGTTCTATGATTCTGGCTGTCTGGTTAAGCACAGAAAATAGTAGAAGGGCAGAGGAAAACAACACAGTTGGGGAGTGGGGTTGTTGTTCAAGCTCCCCACCCCCCAGTCACAGCAGGGTCAAATATTTATTGTGTTGGTCCACAGACCATAGCAGAATAAAACAAGACACCAAGACTTCCATAAAAGTACAGGCGTCATCATTGTAATGGTGATGGACTCTACTTCATCGGAGGTTTTTAAACAGAGAGTTTGGATGGCCATCTGTCAAGGATTCCTTAGCTGTGATTCCTGAATTGCAGGAATCTCTGGGCTAGATTACCCTTGTGGGTCCTTTCCAAATCTACAGTTCTATGATTCTATGATTGTTCCATGTCAATCACACATGCTATGATTCTATTATTGCTCCATGCAGTGAACTGCAATAATTTGTTTGGGCTTTGCTGCAGGAATCTTAAGTGAAACACTGGCCATTATCATAGACAGAATACTAAGTGAAAGATCAGGATACTAATATTGCACATTTCACTGAGTCATCCTACTAAATACACATGGCTAATTTCATGGCTATGTTCTACCTTCACCATCAAAGGCTCTGAGTACCAATTGCTGGGAATCACAAATGGGAAGGTTTTGTTTTTTAAGTGGGAAGAGTATTGTTGTAATTTAAGTCTTCCTTGAGGGCTTCCCATAGGTACCTGGATGACCCCATGATAACAGGATGATGCACTAGTATGCACACTTTTTAAAAAAATGTATATAGACTCCAAAATTTCTATGCAATATGACAATGGAAAAATAGTTTGAAATCATATCAAATTTATTACCTATTTTTGCTCACTTGTCCACTCCCTGAATTTTTACTTTTCCTTATTCTATTGAACATTTTAGATTGCCCTCATAAGCTCATACAGTACATCTAATGTATTAGTGTCATTGTCAAGATTAAAGTTCCTGCATTTCAAGTACATTCAGGTTCTCTCCATTTGTTACATTTCTATTCAAAACCATCTGAATATTTCATTAGCATGCGATTTGCTGCCAACATTAAAGAATTATGAAAGATGTTAAGGAGTATGAAGGCAACATATTTTCCTCTAATTTCCTTGCTATCTATTACTTTGTTTCCATAAATGTTGAAAAATACGCAATTAAGATTCTTTAGGAACATGTTCAAGGTTAAGTTGTCATAACACATTGCCAGTATTTCTTCTCACAGAGTGGATATGTCTGCACAGAATTTTATGTAAGAGAACTAAAATGATTCATCTACTGTGTGCTATAGAAATTGTTAGTTATATAACTGCATGCAGCATGTGCACAAAATATATAGTCTGACATTTTATTGTACATTTATCTTGTATCTAATAATGAAGAAGTAACAGCTCTAGATACCCTAAAATGACTGTGTCTAAAAAATTTGGTCATGGACCCAATCAGAAAGGAGGTGAATCTTGACATAAACTTAAGTGGTGCCCAGGATCTGATGCTAGATGTTAAGTTAAATCAATTTGTAACAGTTTCCATACACCTATCAAATTCAACATATGTGAAAGTAAACATCTGCCAATAAAGTTCAGCAGTCACATTTGACTTCAAAAGAGGAAATTTCTATTTAAATGATGAGATTGGTAGAACCAAATAATCACAGAATTGTAGAGTTGGAAGAAACCCTGAGGAACATCTGGTCCAACCCCCCCTGCAATGCAGGAATATGCCGCTGTCCCGTGCAGGAAACAAACCTGCAACCCTGGTATTATCAGCACCACACTCTAACCAACTGAGCTAAGGCCTATATAGTTATATGTCTAATACAGGTATAACAAGGAAAGAAGGGAATTGTTTATGCATAAAGTTTTATCCTGCTTTTTCATGTCTTTCTAAATATCCAAAGCATATTGCATAAAATATATAAGCACACTCATAACATTATTATGATTATTATATTTCTTTATATCCTACCTTTTCCCCCAACAAGGACTTAAGGTAACTTACAGCTAAAATAGAATAAATAGCAATCACTAAAAATAAAAACAAAAACATTTAGTGTGTGTGTGTGTGTGAGAGAGAGAGAGAGAGAGAGAGAGATTAAAACATATAGATCATTACAAAAGTATTACAGTACCAGACCTTTCCTTAAAAACAATCAGTTCCCCAAAGCCTGTTGGAACAAGAAATTATTCACCTGCCAGCAAAAGGCCAACAAAGAGGAACCAGTCTAATTTCTCTAGGAAGAGTGTTTCAAAGTCTGGAAGCAGCCACTGAGAAGGCCCATCCAAAAGAAAAATCACACTATAAATTGTTTCAAAATCTCATTTGTAATGAGGATGCAAGCTATTTCATAAAACCCTGAAAAAATAGAAAGGTCTTAATATTTTCCCCTAAATGTTAAGCTGAAAGGAGAGTTCAAAACTAAGACACCATGACTGAAAAGGACCAACTCTATTCCCTTACAGATTCCATCCAATGATTCGGTGAAAAGTACGTAGAATGTGGCCTGTCCATAGATGGCAGAATAAAAAAGACTAGTGTCTTCAACATGGCCCATTAGAGTAATAGTAACCAGCACAATTAGTTAATACAGTACTGGTACTATATGCTCTCTCTACTACTGTTTCCCTTATCCTTGAAAGGAATTGAGCTGCTGCATTCTACACAAGCTGAAGCTCTGAAGACTTTTCAACAGCAGCTTTATACACAATTCACCGCAAAAATAAATTACAAATGCATTAATCACGTGAGCCCTAGGCTGCTTCCATGTTGAGCAGCTACCATGAAACAGCTATACTTTGTTCACTCACTTTATGTACGACACCTACATTACACAGTAAACAAAATATCCTCCTCCCATGCTTTCCCTGTTCAGCTTCTGCTACCCACCCCTCAAAAATGTATTATGTTTTAAAAGTTGCACAATTTTCTGAGGTGTAGCTGACCCATGGCACAGCCATTCTAGCATAACTGGCTGGTAATGGCCAGCATATAATGTGTTCTAGCCGTTTTCTTCTTTATAGTCTGTATCTCCTCATTAGGAATTCTCACTATCTCGTCAACCCTTCTCTTCCAAATAGCATTACCTTTACAGTCGTACCTTGGTTGTTGAACAGAATGTGTTCTGGAAGTCCGTTTGACGTTTGGAACGTTCGGATACCAAGGCACAGAAGCCGTGCCGGACATTCGGCTTCCAAGGTAAAGTTCACAAACTGGAACACCTACTACTGGGTTTGCAGCGTTCGAGTTCCTAGTTGTTCGTGAACTAAGCTGTTCAAAAACCAAGGTACGACTGTATTGCAGTGAGGTGGGTAGAACTGATCTGGAGAGGAGTATTTAACCCTTTCCCACATATACTATCACATCACTGAAAATTCTCCCCCCCCACACACACACATTTGGAACTAGAGACAAGGAACTGATCACTTGGCTATGTAATTTGTATCCCAGAAGTATGAATGCAGCTTAAAGCAAAACAACAAAAACTGGGTGTAGATATATCATCTGTGTTTGAAACACAGCAGCCAGTGTTGTGAGATGGCACTGTGGAGCTGCCCTGACTCCAGAATCACTGTAGTTTACCTGGAAGGGGCTGGGCAGCAATGAGTTCAGGGCTATGCAGATGCCCCTGTAAGAGTGCCAAATTGGCTTCACCAGTACAGATTTTGTAATGCGGACTTTGTAGTTATCTGCCAATTTGTTGGCCTGCATTTATGTAAGCACTGAAGCTGCATAGAAATAATTTATAAACTACACCTGATCTTAGCCAAAAGGCTGAGAAGCAATCTTCATTTTTTTCATTTGGCAAGTATGTATGTGAATTCTTTAGTTTAAGCAAATGCCTACTTGCACAGAAAATACTGTACAGTGGAACCTCGGGTTATGTACCGTCCTCCTTACAAACGCTAACAAGCTCCGCTAACCCGGAAGTAGATGCTCCTGGTAGCAAACTTTGCCCCAGGATGCGAACAGAAGTCGCGCGGCAGTAGCAGGAGGCCCCATTAGCAAAAGTGCACCTCAGTCTAAGAACGGCTGCGGGTTAAGAACGGACCTCCGGAATGAACTACATTCGTAAACGGAGGTACCACTGTAATTGTTTTGTGCCTTCTCCTGCTGGGTCTGATGTTACATATGATTTAGTGTTTTGCTTTTTTCATTATTTTGCTTTATTTTAAAGTAATTTTTGTCATAGGTTATAATAATAATATATTATTTATACCCCGCCCAAATATTAATAAAAACAGCAAACAAGAAGAAATTTTATAAAAGCAGCTGAATACCAAAAATATTTAATAAAAGTATGATGGGGGTGACTGTTTTATGTACAAATATACATAGCATTTTTCTTCAAAGTACTGGGAATCAAGAGATAAGCCTATTCAAACTTGTAACCAAAGGGAAAAGGGAAAATACTATGTAAAACAGATAAAACATCACTTTTTAATTACATCTCTGAGTAGACGAATCAATCATAATACATTAGAGTTATTTTCTCAGTTTTGCCTTGCTATTCTGACATTTCCCCACTGAAGAAGAAAAAACATGCCTATAGTAGGAACTTAACATATGTGAGAAAGTTTATTTAATTAGAAACCCGCAAAGACACAACCAGGAACTGTTTACATGAGTCAAAACCATACCATTTTGAATATATGCAAATGTTGCAAATAAATATTAGTAAAGTACAAAACAGTTTGGAAATGTCCAAGCATACCCCATACTTGGGATTAATGGCAGCCATGTGTACGCCAAGCTTGTTTATCCTTTTACTGTTTATGCTTGCCTGTCTCTCTACCCCATGGCTCTACAGAAATCATATTTTAGATACTGTGACAGACATTTTCTACCTGATTTGCAAGGTAGGTTTGTGCATTTCTCTATGTGATTTATCTAAGCTTTGTGCAATTCCTCATGACATTAATATAACATATGTACATAGAATATAACCTATAAAACATACATATGATGAAAACAACTGCCAGCTGGACTAGGGAAATAAATTAATGCCAACAAACTTTTTTAGCTGGAGTGGGTGGGGAGATAGGTTTCCTGATACAGAATGGTAGTTGCTGTATAAATGGCATAATGGCATAATGTTGGCTCTATCAAAATAAATTATTCATTTTGAATTATAATATGTATTACACTGCTTATTGTAATGAGGTATTGATAGGTAGTTTTACGGTTGCATTGCAAGCCACATTTTGGGATGCATTTATGTGGGAAACTGGCATACAAACTGAACTAATAAGAATGGTGTTAGTGCTGGGCTCCAGTGCTAGTCATTAATTCTTGCTGGCAGAATTCAGGTTTTTATTTTGTCCTTCTATACCTTAAATTACTCTCAGTCCAATGCTCTAGCAAGGGCATCTATAGGAACTTTCTCAACAACTGTCCTACAGCCATAGAACTTCTCTTCGAGACTCACAAAAGCCTAAGGATCCTAGATTATTTTCACATAGCACACTAAAAGGTGTACTTGAGGTTTTCAAGTATTATTTCTTCCACGGGAGACAAAGAACAACCATTTAAGCTTCTTGTATGAAAGTCAAATACAAATTACTTTAGGCAGTAATCCATGTTGGTTTTTAATGTTTGTTTGTAATTGGTTTAAAAGGATAAAATGAGAATTCCCCAGATGCCTAGATGCAAGATTGGGGTAAATACTCTCTTGGTGAAAGAGCTCCAGCAGATATTGAAAATGACAAAACATGCAGCAAAGCAAAGCAGTAATCTCCACTGAATTCAATAAAGCTTGCTTCCCAGTAGACATGTTGAGGATTGTGCTGTTTTTGACACATGTTTTTGACACATGACCGAAGTCTCAGAATATTTTTACATACTACAGGGCCTCTTGGTGAACTATTTTACATACACAATAAACACTTAATACAAATTTTAAAAACTGAACATTTTAACCAGTGTTGTATTTTGCATTTGTGTTACAATTACAAAAACTACCAAGGCTCACATGTGAAAATGTTTTTAAGCCAGGAGGGGGTAGAGTTTTGTCTGCTCTGGCCTGTCTTTCACAAATGCTGTCATTCACTTTATGTCAAGTAGACAGATGGGACAGAAATCTAAATAAATATGCTTTAAAGATCTCAGCAACATTAGCAAGCAAATCCTTGGCAGAATTTCCTATCAACATTCCCATCATGTTTAATATACAGCCTAAATGTATTTGTTTTCAAGAACACACAAACATTTTATCATACAAAAGGAGACACTTGATGGGGGTGCATTATTCTGGTCAGAATTATTGAGAGGCTATAAGTGAATGGCTCCATCAGATATGGATAACTAAAGACAATAACTATTCACTGTACATCAGAAACACATAAATAACATGCTGTGTAAGGGGGGAAATGCCAGCTAGATGGTTCTGATGAGTTCCTTGCTTCTGCAAAGAAACCATGAAGAATGGACAGTTTCTGCCACCTCCAAGGAATCACACCTAGTGATGATCAGATCCTAACAGATAAATGGTATTCTTAAATTAATTTTGATCCTATTTTATATTGTTTTGATTGATCTACAGTATGCTACTTTTATTGTGTATTTCTTTTGTAATATGTGCTAATGTTGTTCACCACTGTGGGGTGCTTTGGGCCCAAAAGCATTGCAGAAATGATCACCAGGAAAATGAAATCTATCTGAGGAGCTCATGTGTACAGAATAGATGCTACTCTATTAGTTGAACTTACAATGTGTCACCACACAACCCTTCATTCTTTAAAGCACACATTCTCCTCTTTCAGATTGTTTCAACACTGGGAGGCCAGCTGCTTCAAAAACCACAGTCCCTTAATAGATGCTGTAATTTTCCAGCTGGCCAAACTCGACCCCCAAAAATGCAAGTCAGAAGCAAGCAAGATCGATCTCCCAACACCTTATTTTGCAAGGCACAGACAGCAAAGACAGACTCTTCATTTCCGTGTGGAATGTAAGCCGACCCCCGCGGCCTTGGGGACGACATACGACCCCTCCGCGGGTGTTGTTGGGCCGAAGAATATCTCTGCTGAGTTGGTCACAGCAACGAGAGCCGCAAACTGCATTTTATCTCTTCCCTCTATCTCTCGCTCTCGTGACCTTGGACAAGCATCCACCCGGAGCGAGTCCAGAAGAGCAGCTGCAACCGTATCGCATCCCCCAAGGACAGGAGAGATGGATCCACAGAGCAAGGACGGGGCATCTTCGAGTTGCAAGCTCAGCCCAGTGGAGGGATGAGAGGGGGGCGTAAGCCACACAAATCACACCAACATCAGGCAGTCGCCCTCCTAAACCCATCTATACGCACATAACACACACATACTCTGTGTGTGTGTGTGTGTGTGTGTGTGTACACACACACACACACACACACACAGTACCTCGGGTTAAGTACTTAATTCGTTCTGGAGGTCCGTTCATAACTTGAAACTGTTCTTAACCTGAAGCACCACTTTAGCTAATGGGGCCTCCTGCTGCTGCCGCACCGCTGGAGCACGATTTCTGTTCTCATCCTGAAGCAAAGTTCTTAACCCGAGGTACTATTTCTGGGTTAGCGGAGTCTGTAACCTGAAGCGTTTGTAACCTGAAGCGTATGTAACCCGAGGTACCACTATACACTGCTCCAGTACCTGCCCTCCTAAATCCATTTATACGCACATAAACACACTCAGGCACAGTACCTGCTGCATCCCGCTAATGCCCTAAGCTTTATCCCTTTATCCCTCCCTGCCCCCCCCGGCAGCTCCCCTCCCCCCTCCCCATGCGGCTGCGCCTCATCCAGCGCCTGCCAATACTTCTCCCCCGACACACACACCACCTTCTCTGCGTCAGCCGTCGGCACCCCCCACCCGAACTCCTTTCCGTTCCGAGCCCCCCACTCGTGCCTGCTGCCCTCCAACACCCACGCACTCCTCCGTCCTCCCCTCCCAGCCCACGCGAGCTCCGCGCGCCCACCTGCTCTCCACCGAGCAGCCCCTCAGCCCAGGCGCCCCTGGCTGCGTATCCCGCCGCCGTCACCTCAGCCGGCAGGTCCGGTTCTCTCTTCGCCGCCGCCACCCCGACGCAAGCGAGCGCGCCTCCTCTGCCTTCCCCACAAACCCTCGCCGCCTCTCAGCCCCGCATATGTCACAGACAGGAGGCCGGGCGGCGCCCCATTATCCGCTTCCCAGCCGTTAGCGCGAGGCCTGCTTGCCTTTACCTGTCAGACGAGGCCGCCTCCTCCTCTTCCTCGCGCACCGCGCAGCTCAGCTCAGCCCCAGCCTAAAAGCCGCCTGGCTCCAGTTCCGCATCAACAGCCCGGGGAGGAGCGAACCAACAAGCCGGAGGAGGGCGGGGAGCGGGAGGTGGGAGAGCCAAACCATTCAGCCGCTCGCAGGGGGAGGGCGGGGCGGAACGCAATGAGGGAAAGCGGCGCGAGAACCGAAAGCGGCGGGAAGAGGCGCTGCGGAGTCGCTCGCTGCTGAGGGCCTTGAGAGCGCCGTGGCCCCCGGCCGGGCCCTGCAGGAGGGGGTCGAAAAGCGGGCCGGAGCCGCGTTAAGCGACAAACTCCCCACCCCCACGCCACTGTGTGGGACAAGGGCTGTTGAAAGAGGCGTTATAATGAGCACGAGCAGAGCAACCAAAGAACCATTTCAATCCAAAGGAGATGCCACATGTTCTCCTCCCCACAAAAAGCAAAAACCCGCTTCCCAAAGATGCGCACATTTAACAACGGTCGTTTACTAACAGCGATTTTAATTTTAGATTTTAATTTTTTGCATAAACATTAGCATTTTGCAAACAGTCAAAAATACAGAATTAAACGTAAAGGATATTGCAACAGCAAAGTTATATATAAAAAAACAGAGTTTACAAATTGTTACAAGTGCTTTATAGAGTGAGTGAAGGCCAGTGGTAAGAGACCAACCTCAAGTGCAAAACAGACACAAGGCCGACACCATAGGTATGGCACTTGCTACAGTCAACAATCACATTGGTTCATGGGCCCAGGCTCTTAGGATGGTTGCAGGGCAAGCAATTTAAATCCCAACAAAGGAAGCACATACTACTGCAGTGCCAGGGAATCGCAGATTTAATTCCCGGCATCAATTTGTTTCTTCTAGCAAACAGAAGGATGGGTGTTTTTCTTCAAGTAAGTTAATCCTCTATGCAAACTTAGGTATGCTTAAGCACATTGATTGGGTGTGCCTAACTCTGCATAGGACCAGGCTGAAAATATTCAACTATTTATAACGGGTATCAACCTTAAAGAAAAGTCCTTAGATAAAAACTTGACATGTTCAAAGACGAGAAGGAAGGATTATAAACAAACACCTCAAAATAGATTCAGGCCTCTTTCTTTTCTCAGCGTAAACTTGGATCACACATGCAAACTTATTTCCTGAAGATATCTTATGGCAGCAGAGGAAAAGATTGTTTTGTAAGACAAATTTGGAGTGAAGAACCAGGTTGGAGGGGAGAAAGTTCTTAACTCTTTGAATACCTGCCATTTTTTGCTGCAACCACATGGGGTCCAAAGACATACGTAATTTACCCTTATAAACATTATGTCTGGAACTCTATAGAGGAAATGGCTGGTAGGGAGGGGAGTTGCAGCTGAAAATCAGTGGGAAGGATAAGGGTTAAGCACCACCAATTCTGTTCCAAATTGCCTGTTTCAAAGTGTCTATTCTCTTACAAAAATAGACATCTGTACCCACATTACACAGATACCCAAGTAATGTTTGATACTATTACAACATACATACACACCCACTGTAAGATCATACAGATAGCTCAAAATACAAGGACAGGGAACATTCTTGATCCCTGGAGTCCAGGCATAGAGACAGCTTCCCATGCAGATCTTTCCTGTCCACATGACTGAAGGAGTAGTACAAGACATGACAGAACATACAGCTGACATCCCGAGCTAACCACACAAATCTCTTAGATTTGTGTCCTTGGAATGTTCCTCTGATCCACCTGGCACAATATGCATTCCACGCAAGCCAAAAAATAATGAACTAGACATGTTCATATAGACACAACCTTCTACGAAATCATTTGTCATGTTTTCATGTTTATGAAACCCAAAAGGAATACAGGTGGAACAAATGGTATCCACACAGAAACAGTATGGCAAGGAACAGCACTGATCTCCACTATGCCAAGACCATGTCTGACTGTGGGCAAGAGGGTTGATAGTTATAAAGCAAGCATGCTGCTCAGTGCAGATTCTACAGGTAAGATGTGTCCCATGTTGAAGCTGTGCTAATCTGCAAGTTCACAAACTTTATAAGGGCCACTTCACAGATTGCTCATTGAGACTGCAGTCCTATGTGTAATCAACTGAATGCAAGACACACTGAACTAAGCAGGACTTACGGTACTTTTTAGTATCTGTATACAGGATGGGGTTGCACAAATGGATGTTGTGTGTACATGTGATGTACACCTTCACATTAGAAGCAGCTGCATAGCAGGGCTTGGTTACTGGGCATGGCTCCCTGTGCATTTTTGATATACACATGAATGGCCCTAAAATACCAGTGGTGGTATTGGGGGGGCACATAGGAGTTGGGAAAAGAAACATCACTGAGTTTTCTATGATACAGCTACCCTTCCAACCTTCAGAGCCCCTTTGAAAAAGTCAACAAAATTGCATTATGGTTACAGGTTTCTGAGGGGGGGAAATCCGTCAAGAACCAAAAACTACTCGAGATTGCCAGAAACATCTATGAATGAGAAAATGTATTTAGAATATTCAGTCCAGACAACTCCCAGTAAACTAAACAAACTGGATACATAATGGGGGCGTGCCTCTGAAACCCTGAGGGGGGTGGGGGGTGTATGACAGGTCCCTGAAATTAAACACAGGATAAGTGCCTGAAGAAGGAGAGCCACTGGAGAAATTATTAGGGTGGGTTCGTCATCTCTACTACGTTGAGGTGTTTCAGTTGTTCCATTTCTGGAAGGCATTAAAATCAAAGACTCAAGCATTAACTGGTCCATCTCAATTGCCTTCTGCATTGTTTCAGAACAAAGAAACCACAAGGCCATAGCCCTCTGCACTGAGCTCCAGTCTTTTTGAGAGGGGAGGACAGCTTCTTGTTAGCAACAGTCAAGGATGGGGTTGCTTCAGCTAGCTGGTGCACGGGGACAGTGCGGTCATTCATTGACATCCCAGATCTCTGAAAGAAGGGGTGGCAGCTTCTTGTCCTGTAGCCGAAGAGCAAACACCTGTTCAGAATGGACGCTACTTAGAGTCCGAAGACTGACCAGTTTCATTAACATCCGTGGGAACATTAGATGATCCTGCAAGGTCATATGCAAAAGGACAATGATATCAGTCAGAGCCAAAATTCTGCTTCACTCTCAGCTTCTCATCAGCAAAGCAGGACTAATAATGACTTGCTCCCATGGTAATGAGACTGCAAGGCATTTTAGATATCAGGGTAATTAATAACGTTAAATCTAAGCCTATGCCGATCAGTTCAATTGTAAAATGTCTCGGCAACCTCATGGATTGCAATGCACTGTGCCAAGCTCCTTGCTCAGAACAAATTATGCAAATCATGGACACTTGCATGAATTGTTTTGCACTCTTTGCCTAATGAATTTAAACCTTAACATTTGGGGGGGGGTTGGGGGGAATGGTACCATCAAGAACTGGGGAGTTAAATGACAAAGCAAAAATCAAAGGACTACAGGGCAGAAAGCTGAGAATATAGAACTAGGAGCAATTATATTGTGTACTAGGAGGCTTGGACAAGAAGCAGTATTCTGTTCTGTGCGCTAAAAATCCTGTTCAATACTTGTTTTAGCTTCCAGACCTTCAAGCAGCACCTTTCAATCAATTCTCTCCCCCCCATCCCCCTGCAACTACAGTTCAGAATCAAAACTGTATTATCTCCCAAAACAAGTGTCTAACTTGTGAGCCTTCCAGATATTGTTGGATGCCCATGAGCCCATGTCAGCATGGTCAATAGCCAGGAATGATGGGAATTGCAGTCCAGCAACATCTGGAAGGCCACTCCACCCCTGGCCTAAAAGACAGCTGGACAGCTCCACATAGGGAAGGTTCCCCAAGATCTTGAGGAGCTGTTGACAGTGCTAGCAAACGTAACTGACTATAGTTCCATATAAACAGGAGGCAGATAGAGGTTGTACAAGGCTGCATAATGTATATAGGATTGCCCATCTCTACGGGAGTCTAAGCTGTCACAGAATGTGCGGTAGCTGCATCTCCTAATCTACAGTTCCTTTAGGTCATCTTCATTTTCCGCACATGTAAAGATTAACTTGTTATAGAAAGCAGAAGCATATGGTGGCTGAAAAGGCAGAGGGCCTTCTTGGCAGTGGAGCCTGCCCTGTGGAGTACCCTCCCATCAGATGTCAAGGAAATAAATAACTATCTGACTTTTAGAAGACATCTGAAGGCAGCCCTGTTTAGGGAAGTTTTTAATGTTTGATGTTTTATTGTGTTTTTAGTGTTCTGTTCAGAGTCGCCCAGAGTGGCTGAGGAAACCCAACCAGATGGGCGGGGTATAAATATTATTGATGATGATGATTACTGTGACAATGGAGCTGAAAGCATCTCCACTAAATATTTGCTTTCTCTCCTCAAGCTCTTGAAGAAAGGAGCACTCTTTGAGTAAGCCCCTATTAGATCTGTAATGTTTGCCCCTTCTCTGTTTTTTAAAAATAAATATTAGATAGCAGGAAAGGAACCAAAGTTCAATAGCAGAACTACATACAGAAAGTCACAGGTGTAATGCTTGGCATCTCCAGATAAAAGGATTTCAGCTAACAGGGCTGGGAAAGATGTTTGCCTGTGAGCTTGCAGAGCAGCTGCCAGTCCGAGTAGGCAGTATTATTACTACACCAGTGTAGTGCAGTGGTTAAGAGCAGTGGACTCATAATCTGGTGAACCGGGTTTGCATCCCTGCTCCTCCACGTGCAGCTGCTGGGTGACCTTGGGCTAGTCACACTTCTCTGAAGTCTCTCAGCCCCACGCACCTGACAAAGTGTTCGTTGTGGGGGAGGAAGGGAAAGGAGAATGTTAGCCGCTTTGAGACTCCTTAAGGGGAGTGAAAGGCGGGATATCAAATCCAAACTCTTCTTCTTATTATTATTATTACTGAATTAGACAAACCAATGGTCTGATTCAGGATAAGATAGATTCCTATGCAAACAGAATCATTTGGACATGCAGTTCAAAAGACCAATCAATACAACTTAAAAAAACCCAAGTACTTTAATCTCAATATTATTCTGCACACATATTTTTGGCAATACAGAATGACTCAGAGCTCAGCCAGACACTTACGTTTGGTCTGTGGATGCAAATGTAAGAATGAAGGGCTTCTACGTAGGTATGCTGCAACCTTTCCACCAGGGTCTGGTCTTGAACGTTTGGCCGGTCTGCCAATAAGCAAGACAAAAGGTTCATAGGTAGCTGAATGCAGACTAGTCAGACTGAGGCTAAAATCCAAATACCCAAATCCACCAAGCCCCTTCCCAAAGTCTGGCTCCACAACTGTCCATGCGCCCTACAGCTTAGACATGCACAGGTTCCTGTCACGTGACCCATTCTCTCACACCTGCTGGGTTTTATTCATGTTCATTAAGAACAAGTATTTAACTCCCACCAGTGTCAATGGAAGAAGCAAATGTTGTGAGCTAGGCTGCCTCTACCTTATAAGGTTATTGTTGTTGTAGCAGCAAGTTTCATTTCATCGTAACAAAACTAAAATATCTATAGAAAATAAAACCCATGAGCTGAAAAGATTGAGATAATATATATGAAGGACTTTGAACATTCTGAAGTTCAATGAAACATAGAGAGGCGGGCTCTGACCCTCCAGATATTTTTGGATCATAAATCTCATCAGTTTTTACTATTGACCATGGGGCTATGGGGTTGAAGGGAAATGTAGTTTGGCACCATCTGCAGGGCCAAAGGTTGCCTAACCCTGCTTTAAATTATGTTTAACAATGAGGAAAACTGCTGAGCTTTGGCTAGATTTTTTTTTAATTACTTGCAGCAATACTTTTCTCTGTATCAAAGCATCCAGAAAACAAAACAGGAGAAGCAATTTCACTGTGACATCCTCACCCAACTCATATATTTCCATACACTTTCACACAACTGGGGCTTAGGTGTTTGGGTCTTGGGGGTGGGCACAGAATCAATGGGCCAAATTCTGTAACTCCAAAAAGTGAACCAAAGCTAAGCCACTTCACGCATCCATGTCAAGACGACTTACTTCCCTGCCCCCACGACGATATAGGACAAGAGTCACCAGCATAGGTCCCTCCAAATGCTGTTGGACTACAACTCCCATCAGCCCCAGCCAGTGATCAGCAGCTATGCGAGTTATAATTCAACAATATCTGGAAGCTACTGCACTGCATACCAAAGAAATAGGAATATTCCCAAGCCATAAAGTGATTACTATGTCTTCCACATTCCCTATTTTTCATCAGAGGCTTTATGAGCATCTTTTACTTCTCAACCCTCTTTTAGGAACAGATGTATAGTCCCCATGAGAACAATTATATTAAGTGGGTTGTTTTTCTATCATATTGTCACAGTGGACTCTTTCGTGAGTTACTTCTGCTCTTGGAGACTCAGGAGGTTGACAAGATTTATATATGTCAAGACTTCCACCTGGTTCTCGGTATGTTTCAAAGACCAATGATCCAGAACATTAATTTACAGCACAAATTATCCTTCATTAGAATCTTATTCTATGCTATATCTATGTGTGTTTCTTCGTAAGAAAATGGTATTAAGCTCCCACATACAAACTCTTATTTTTTTGATTCAGCAACATGAGCTCCCAAGTTTATTACCTGCAGAAAAAATGCTGATAGCAATTAAAAGTGCATATTCAGCATCATTGAGTTGCAGTTCATTCATTCCCTTTGAAAATCCAAAGATGGGATTGATGAACTCAAATTGAAGGCCTGGGGGGAAAAGACAGCAAGCAGGAAGTTAAAAGTCAACATTGCTTTAATGTAATGCAAAACATTTTTTTAAAAAAATTGAAGGCATTTTGAATCTTAATGGTGCTCTATTCTTTCCCATGTTTTTGGCCAGTAGTTGCTACCTTATATTCATGGCACTGTGACACTAGTTCCAATTAGAATAACTGTAAAAGCTAGCCAGTCCTGCTTAATTTTAATGAGTTTTAGTAGAGTCATAGAATCGTAGGGTTGGAAGGGACCCAAGAGTCATGTAGTCTAACCCCCAAGTTGTTCTCCATCCCATTTGAAACCATATCAGACCCCGCTTCGCTTTGCAAATGTGCTAACAGTTTTATTGCTGTACCACTTGGAGTCCTAACTTTTGTATTTTAATGTTTGTATGTTTTAAAGTACAGTTGTATTTTTTTATTGATTTTCTTGTTTTATCTTCTTGTAAATTGCTTTGAGGTTTTTAACAATCAAGTGGGACATAAATGTTAATAAATAAATAAATAAGCGAAACGGAGCCCTTTCAGCCTAAAAAAATATATATTTTCAAGTACAAGAGAAATCAAACCCCACTGGAATCACTTGCGAATTCCAAAAGCAGAACAGAATGAACCATAGTGGAAATTTCCATATTAAAAGGTGCAGCTGAGAGTAAAAATGCCAAGTTCAATCACTTAGAGCCTAACTTCTTTTGGAGCAGAGTCTGGACTTTGTTTTTTTCAGCACTAAAAAAAGATCTCCTTGATACTCTAAACTGTGTTTAGCTCACCAGCTTTGGCAAAGTCATCCCGATTATAACTCAAGTCCTTCAAAAAAGTGATGCATTCTGTTTCTGGATTGTAGCGCCGAGATGTCTCCAACAGCATCACCTTAAATGTAGAAAACAGAAGTCATTAAATGTCTGGCAATAAACTAGCAGGACACATCCCTGCACCAATAGCCCTCAGTAAGATAGTACACAGTGGCATGGATCCAATTAAGTGCTCACAGAAGGGAATTTTCAGACCTGCTCCTTTTCTTACTATGTCAAGATTTGTGGCCTGCAAGGGCAGGCAAAAGTCAGGTCCAGTTAAGTAGGTCAAATTACAACAAGGCAGGTCAGGTTACAGTAAATTGGGTCTGGTTAAGTAGGTCAGGTCAAAGTCAGTCAGCTCAAGACAAATCAATTTATTACTAATTTGGTCATGGTAATGGTAAAGGTAAAGGTACCCCTGCCCGTACGGGCCAGTCATGTCCGACTCTAGGGTTGTGCGCCCATCTCACTTAAGAGGCTGGGGGCCAGCGCTGTCCGGAGACACTTCCGGGTCACGTGGCCAGCGTGACAAAGCTGCATCTGGCGAGCCAGCGCAGCACACGGAAACGCCGTTTACCTTCCCGCCAGTAAGCGGTCCCTATTTATCTACTTGCACCCGGAGTGCTTTCGAACTGCTAGGTTGGCAGGCACTGGGACTGAGCAACGGGAGCGCACCCTGTCGCGGGGATTCGAACCGCCGACCTTTCGATCGGCAAGTCCTAGGCACTGAGGCTTTTACCCACAGCGCCACCCGCGTCCCTTCTTGGTCATGGTAGGTTCCAGTAAACAGCAACCAGGACCATGGACAGCTCCAAATGAGCTGATGTAGAAGAGTATTGTCTCAGCAAAGAACCAGGTGTCACATGAAGACTTTAAAATGCTCCTGAGCATTTTAAAAATGTTTATTATCAAAATTACAATTTGGTGAGCAATTCCTACATTTGATTAATCAAATTTACTCACTGTTTTATGCCATTGTTACAGGAAATGGGTATGACACCAAACCCATCCACCTCAATAGGAACACCTGCCAAAGTGGTCCCCTGTAGCTGCCTCTTCTTGCAGTGGCAATCGAGGTGCCTGCCATTCAATTGGGGGCAGATGCCAGTAGCGTAGCTAGGCATGGGTGGGGTGGGGGCCGTAGGGCACAACGAGGGTTTGTTGGGCGGTACGGGAGTCTGTAGGGTGGCACATTGGCTGGGCACATTCTGCCCTGCCCTGACAAGCTTTCACCAGCCAGGTGTCACCAGTGTTTATGACTGCAGTGACAGCTGCCATTCCTTCTGATGAGAGCGGTAGGGTGCAGGTCTTACTTCTATTGTAGATGTCTTCAGAAGAGCAATCTGATCTTCCCTGGTGAGCTCCAGGAAACCTGGCAACTGCTTTGCAAAGTCCACAATCTCCTGTACAGAAATGATTGCCAGCTCCGTAAAATGAGCAAAACGCTGCTGTCGTGCTTCGCGGTGAAGAGGATCTGAAATCTGAGGCCACGGCTGAAGTTTTCGTGGGAAAGCCATGGGGAGAAAAGGAAGAAAGAGTCTGATAAAGGTTGGAAGGGAAAAGCAAAAAGTCTCCTGAAATGAATGAGAAATATCCTACTTCTTCTAAATCATCTCATATCTTTTATATAGACCCAATCCAAACAGCCCCACTATTCTTTCCAGTTCAGCAGTCTATGGCTAGTTCTTCCAGAACCCCAAAAGCCACATGATCCATGGTCAGCACCTTAAGTCCACAATTCCATTGGGCATCAGCATTCTGACCCCATCGGCTCTAAGGTGAAAACAAGCTCCTCCCAGGGTCTACAAACTTGGGCCTTAATGCCTGGGATATGCAGGACCCTTTGGGATCCATGAGAATCATAGAGTTGGAAAGGATCCAAGAGTCATCTAGTCCAACCCTCTGCAATTCAGGAATCAATGAGAAGTACAGTCGTACCTCGGAGGTAAAACAGAATCCATTCTGGAAGTCTGTTCGACTTCCAAAATGGTTGACTTCCAAAGCGCGGCTTCTGATTGGCTGCAGGAAGCTCCTGCAGCCAATTGGAAGCCATGGAAGCCCTGTCGGACGTTCGGCTTCCAAAAGAACATTCAAAAACCGGAATGTATCAGAAAATGACACCATCCCTGTTGAGTATGGGATATCCCCACCCCCACCCCACCCCTACATAAAATTTGATGAACGTGCCAACTTAGGTTATTCAAAGAGGAGCTTTACTGAAGGTAGGCGAGGTCTGTTTTCTCCCTCTTGTTCAGAGCCCCACCTAAACTGTGCTTTTACCGTCACTTTGAGCCTGTCTGTGAAGGAGCGCCGATTACACTGCTGCTGAGCTGCCACAAGCTTTTCTATCATGTCAAGCTGCTCCGGTGTCATTTTAGGAGGGGTGTTTGGGGGGGATAATGAGCTCTGGCGCACAACTACCATCCGAGACTGATCGTCTTCCTGCTTCTTCAACTTCTTCAGCTGGATTTGTTCTTCAGAGAGAACACCTAAAAGTGCAGCACAGAAAGGGAGCAGTGAGGGGACAGCTGGTTATACGAAGTACACAATCACTAAACTAGTGAAAGCTTTGCTGCAGGATGGAAGCAAAGTGTCTCAACATTTATTATTTCCTAGGTGGCAACTCCACATTTGGGATTGGCATCCACCTCATCAGCTTGCCCTGTACTGACAAACTCACCTTTTATTCATATGGCTCCTATACAAGCAGCATATTCACATTTCATGCACCAACAAAAGATTACGCAGGGCAAAATCAGGTCTCCTGAGACTTTCTGCTCGCTCCTCCTCACCCCTTTAAATACAACTTTCTAGATCTCATGGCTGTGAAAGATTCCCCCCCCCCCATTGTGTATGTACAGCTGCCTAAAGGCATTTAAAGGCTACACTTAATGTGCCCTTCATATATCTATCCCTCTTCATATTTCCTTGCAATTACCTGCTCATCCCCTCACCCTGCTTGAGATTGCCCATCTTTTAACTTGCCCAATGGACCTAACTTAGTTCTGTTTGTTTTCATTGGTCTCTGAATAAAACTTGGTTGAATACCACCCTCTGAACTCAGTGAAAATTGGAATATTATATTTTCAACTTAAGCAAATATTATTGTACAATTTCACACTTTTTCTGAGCATACACCAGATTCTATTAACATATAGTCACTGATTTTTTTTTATGCATAAGATGGAATATTGCAATAAGGAGGACCTTATTGCTCCTACATATTCTCTGGCCTCACATCCCTGCTCTTGTCACCTACATTGCTCTCGCATGCCTGCCTCGTGGCATTTGCGCAACCGGCACTCCTGACACTTTCGCCGCATGTACATGTCCATCTCACACCTGCCGCCATTCTTGCAAACATACTGGGCGCCCTTGATGACACTGCGTCGGAAAAAGCCCTTGCAGCCTTCGCAGCTGAGGACATTGTAGTGGAAGCCCGAGGCCTTGTCACCACACACTCTGCACACCTCGTTGCCAAGCATCTTGGGGGCTGGCCCCTTCTTCCGTTTCAGAGGAGGCATTTCTGTAAACACAGAGAAGGATGAAAGGGGTGGGGAAAGAGAGGCTGTAAGATTTCATCCAGAAAACAAAGGAAGACCATGCCTCGTAAGGTAAATTATAGCAGTGCTTCCACGCAAAAGGCTGAGCACAGATGAACCTCAAACTCCACATCTCAGTCCAATAAAAGCACATAAGGGCCTAGGCCGAAAGAGGGTGCAGATTCTTCCTCCTCTAGTTTAGCAAAATCTTTCTCACATGGTTCTAGAACTATGGGGTTAAACTAATATTTCTCAGAGTCAATTCAAACAATATAACATAACAATTAAAAAAGATGTGTAATATCTCCATGAACGTCCGCCTTGTCTAGCGTCCATTCCGGTGAATTTCTGCGGCAAACCCAGAAGTGCCGGAACGGGTTACTTCCGGGATTGCTGCTCGTGCATGCGCAGAAGCGCTAAATCGTGCTTCGCGCATGCGCAAAAGCACAAACTGCTCCATGCACATGCGCAGACGCGGCACTTTGCCTTGTGTCCTTTTCAGCTAGCGGCTGGGGCTCCGGAACAGATCCCAGTCGCAAAACAAGGTACAACTGTATAAGCATGCAAACAAACCCTGTGACAAGAAGCGTCCTGAACTTCCTCTTTCAGGAATACAGGACTTGCCAGAACCTTACTGTTAATGCCATCCAGTCTTAAGGCTCTGAGGGTCCCTGAGCTAAGTGTGGAGTGTGAGGAAGGGCAAAATAGGTTGGAATTTTACACTAACTACACTTTACCCTAAAAGGTTTGCTCTCCTAACATGGTTCAGAGGTTTTTTCTGTGGGCCAGTCACCAGAGGGCAGCATTGTTCCTTCCTCCTTAGCTGAAGTCAGCTATAGCTTTTATGAATGGCTGAGAAATACATTGGGTGGGATTCACCTAAGGAATCCTGTCAGCAGAAGCCTTGAGCAAGGACTTCCGCTTGCACAAAATACCCCCCTTCCTGCCCTGTCTGCCCCAAAATTGGCTGGGAATGGGGTCAGGAGAACCCCCAGAAGAGTGTGTGAGGAAAGGCAGAAGAGAAGAAGAAGAGTTTGGATTTGATATGCCGTTTTATCACTACCCTAAGGAGTCTCAAAGCAGCTAACAATCTCCTTTCCCTTCCTCCCCCACAACAAACACTCTGTGAGGTGAGTGGGGCTGAGAGACTTCAGAGAAGTGTGACTGGCCCAAGGTCACCCAGCAGCTGCATGTGGAGGAGCGGAGACGCAAAGCCGGTTCACCAGATTACGAGTCCACTGCTCTTAACCACTACACCACACTGGCTCCAGACAAGGAGACAAGGGCTTGTTCCATCTAGGAAGCTGAAATGTTTGTGCAGAAGAAACGCTCATAATAGTGTAGCGTTGAATTGCACCCATTGCTTCCTATGCAGCACACATTTTGTTGTTGTTCCTCTGGGCAAACAGTTAGTGCAGGCTTTTGAAACAACAAAAAAGAAGTAAATGGGGAACAAGCATATCTCCAGCTTCTCTCTCTTTCTCCCTCCCACAGTTCCCCTATCACTTTCTCCAACCTAGACACAAAGAGCGTATTTACTCAAGAGTAGGCCCTATTCACGGCTAAACTTTTCTCTCCATCATTTACTTCCTGCAGGGAGTTGTGCACTTAAAACAAAAATTGCGAGGAAGCATTTAAAGAAATGACACACACACACTTTCAACCTGAGGTGGTACAGTGCAGATTAATTCCACTACTTCTGTCTGTCACCCTGTTTGGTGTAATATATAAATTTCAAGTCTAAACTCTGCTAAAAGCATTTGCACTGAGTGGCTTTAACAAGGGTCTGGGTCTCACCTATGTGCTCAGGTGGGATCTCTGAGCCATGGAAAAGTGCAAACCCTTTCTCCTCCATGCCAAAAGCACATGCCTTCTTCCCATGATTCTGTGCCACGAGCTGCGTAGGACCCATGATGGTTGCCCTTGTGGGGCTCCTCATGTCCTTCTTGTCTCTAAAGCATGATTAAGGCGAAGCTTAAGACATTTGAATCCAGTGTTACAATATCCTCACAAAATGGAGAAGGCCCTGGAGGAAAGTGGAAGCAGAAGAAAAGAAAAACACAATTACTAAGAGATACCAGCCAGAAATTTTTACACTGTTCCTGTGCAACAGTACCAGCCAAGACTGCCACCCACTCTAATAGCTGTTCCTTCACAATTGCCATCTCTCCGCTTTCAAATAGGAGGCATCTGATTTAAAAGGTGATTTGCCTCCTTTGACATCTGATTTCTCAAATTACATTTTTGTTCTGTTCAGTTTGATTATTTTACATATTATTGAGTGGCATAATTTATATTCCACTTTCCACTGGAAATATAGTGCTCAAGGCAGCTAACAATAAATTCTCTTTAAAAAACAACAACAATACTAGAACAATAAGAAACTGGTCAGAACGAAAAGAGACACTAAAGCAGGAGATTAAAACAGTGTAAATCAATGCTGCTAATAAAAAGACCATCCAAGGAGGGCAAATTTAACCAGATGGTATAAAGTGAAAAAGCAAAGGGGTCAGGCAAGCTTCCAGTGTATGACAGTTTCATGGAGGCTTCTGAAACAGCAAGTAAGGTGAATAACTGAAGAACAGAGTTTGTTAGACAAAGACAGCAAGATGTCTTATCTCCCTGCAAAGTAGTTAAAATAAGCCTTGATGGGCACAGAATGTTAAATAAAATCATTGTTTCGAGTCCAGTTCTGTCCAGTGAAGCAAACTGGCCTTCTGGTGATTAACTGAGTCTCAAGAGGCACTGACCCCTGTGTGCTTGCTGCAGAGCTCCAATGTGAAAAGTTTTTTGTGGATCATTTAACCAAAATGTCCCTATTTTAAAGAAAAGCCTCCCAGATTGTAAAAAAAATATTATTATTATTATTACAGTCAAACCTTGAAACTCAAGCGGCTCCGTTGCCGAATGTTTCAGTTCCCAAACTCCGAAAACCTGGAAGTGGGTGTTCCAGTTTTCGAACATTCCTCGGAACTCGAACGTCCGACACGGCTTCCACTTGAGTGAAAGCTCTTGCAACCAATTGGAAGCCGTGCCTCGGAACTCAAATATTTTGGAACTTGAATGGTCTTCCGGAACGGATTACTTTCAAGTTCCGAGGTTTGACTGTATTATATTCAGTGCTATTTTTCTAGAAAAAGAGATGCCGGAACCCACCATGAATTTCCCCCTCATTCTCTTAGAATTCCAGCTGAAAAAAAAGCCCTCATTATATTTATTTGTATTCCTACACAAATTAAAACACAGGGGGGAAATCCAAAAAGCTAAAAACATATAAAAGATAATGGTTTAAAAGTCATTAAACTCTAATAGAATTAAAACAATGTTAATAAAACAAATCTATTAAAATACAGATAATAAAACCAGGATGGCACTATTAAAGCCCTTCCCTTTAAAAACAGTCAGTTCCCAAAGTCCTGTTGGAATAAAATATAGGTACTAGATATATTAAAATAGGGAAAGATTTTAATTTCTGCACCTAAAAATCTGAACCACATAATTTGGTCTTCTGCTGGCATCAGCACAGAAATTAAGCAACTTTGGGGCAAACTAATATGTTCCAGTAAACATGAAGAAGGGCCAGACAACTGGAGCCAAAGAGAAGGGCAAAGACGCTTGCCTAGGGAGATTTCAAAACTGACATGTCATCAATCAACCAAGAAGGCCAAGTCAAACAGTCAAAGAGAAACTCACTGCTAAATTGTCATTTTAACCCACAAGGGCAGTTTTTGGCACCATGAGGGCTTCAAGTCCTTGACTGACTTGGGAAAGATGTAAAAAGTCTCTGAGGCTGTAGATAGTCCACTGCATTTTCACAGCCCCGAACACAGGTTGAAAGAGGGATTCTTGCCCAAATGATGTGGTTAGCCTGGCTTATGGCAGCAGACCTGACATTTCTGACCTCCATTTTAAAAGTGTCCAAATTCCATTTTGAGTGCTAATAAATCTCATTTGGTTTATTTCCCTGTCTGTAAGCCAGTCCAGGGGACGCGGGTGGCGCTGTGGGTAAAACCTCAGCGCCTAGGGCTTGCCGATCACATGGTCGGCGGTTCGAATCCCCGCGGCGGGGTGAGCTCCCGTCTTCGGTCCCAGCTCCTGCCCACCTAGCAGTTTGAAAGCACCCCTAAGTGCAAGTAGATAAATAGGTACCGCTTTATAGCGGGAAGGTAAACGGCGTTTCCGTGTGCTGCGCTGGTGCCAGTTCGCCAGAGCAGCTTTGTCACGCTGGCCACGTGACCCGGAAATGTCTCCGGAGAGCGCTGGCCCCCGGCCTCTTAAGTGAGATGGGCGCACAACCCTAGAGTCGGACACGACTGGCCCGTACGGGCAGGGGTACCTTTACTTTAAGCCAGTCCAGTCCGATTCACTTTCCTGCCTAGTTCATAGCTGCTCAATCAACCTCAAATGCCTGTCAATACTGTACTTTGGAGAGCAATGGCCAAATGACTTCCTCTGTGAGAGGTAAATTAAAATTCTTCCCTTTGGGGTCCCTTCTGCTGATCTAAACACCTGAGAGGATCTGCACAATTCCTTATGTCTGAAGAAGTGACTAAGAAGCAGCTGCAGCCTTCTTAAAGGATACACTGGGTCTGCGATTGGACTAACCTAGAATGCCTTTTTGCTGTGTACAATTCCAAGGAACAGTGCTTTTTTAAAGGAGATACTCAAGTGTATGCAGTACCGGCACCTCTTTTTGTTGTTGTTAAAAAGTGTGACACTTACTGTAACAACTTCATGGTGAGTACTGGCACCTAGAAAAAAAGCACTGGGTACAGCACTGAAATATTTTGCAAAATGCTGCATTCTCATTTTACCTTTGTGGATCCACAAGCAGTTGCAGTTTGTTCGTGCGTATCTAGGTTTGCCAGCCCCAAATTTCCAAAATTTGGAGTGCTCTGCAGCTGTCGTATCTGAAACAAGAGGTATTTGTTATTTCATTTGGAAGGCACTGTTGTAAAATAAGAAAAAAAATCAAGTTTTATCTAGCACCCCACTTCCCCTGTGTTCCATGCACTTGTAGCATGACACTTCTTCAGCGCAGAGATGTGTGGCATGGTGCTGGCAGATCTAACGTACAGCCTGACAGTGAGGCCGTGATGGGCAATAGACAGATACAAAACCTGCGCAATGTTCTTGCTGGTTCAGAAACAGAGTACACAGAAAATCCAGCTCACAGAGATGAGAAGGCAATGCAAAAATAATAATAAATTGCTATATTGCTGGAGCAGCTTTGCTTAGCCTGGTGGCCTTCAGATGTTTTGGACTATAACTCCCATCAGTCCTAGTCAGCACAGTCATGGAGGTTGGGGCTGATGGGAATTGTAGTCCAAAATGCCTGGAGGGTACCAGCTTGTGTAAGGTTGTTCTTGAGTTATAGGATCCATATTACAGACCCCTTTTCATATGTTTATCTGTAAAACAATGACAGTTAGACTAGTCTAACATACACTGAAAATGAAAATATACAATTAATTTTAAAATTTAAAGCATTCAGAACAGAGACCAACACCTAACTAAAACGTTTTACTGTTTACTTTGCCTGAAATGTGCAATTCTCAGAGTCAAATCAAATGAACGGTAAGGATTTGTTTTGCTTTTTTAGGCTGGCCACTAATGGGTTTAAAATCAGCACATCTGGATATAGAACAGCCCTTAAGTATGATTCTTTTATTCTGAATTATCAATAACTTTGTCAACAACAACAGCATACACCCTATTGTAGGGGTCAAAAAGCTTGTAGAAGATTCAAACCATTTTCATCTTATCAATATCTATCTGCCTAACCAAGACAAATCAGGATCTCTCAAGTCTCTCACTTGGGCGCAGATCTCAGATGGCAGCAGTTGGCTCATCCTACAGGAGAATTGCCAGGTCCTACCAAGAGATGCAACCTGTCACACTGAGAACAATAGAATAAGAACACTAATGCTCCCCACCCTGCTGTTGAGAATTCCACCAGCTTTTTGCTAAAAAATATTATTGGAATCCAGTTAAAATATGTAAAGCTCAATGTACATTTGCAGCAATCAGATTTAATTTAATTACATTTACTGCAGTTCAGTAATGTTGCATTAAGAGTACCTGTAAACTGGAAAGTTGGTGACCACTGCCTTGCCAAGTTGTTGACAGTGCCAGCCCCAGAGGCAAAATGTACAGAATGTTATAAAGCCTTCCTCTCCAAAGTGCAACTAGAAGGAACAGCATAGCCCCACGGGGAAGTAAATGTAGGTGAAAGGCTGAGGGAAGCATATATCCCTTAGTCTGTGGTCACATTTGTGTCTCAGATCAGGCGCCAAGTACTTCCAAGTTATGTTGGCACCAGCCCCAACCCCGCCTAGAAACAGCGGAACAACTCAGAGAGCAAAAGTCCTAAGTACAGCAAATTTTGTCGCTTCAGGAACATGGTGCTACCAAAACAACCCAAGATGTTTCATCCTGTGGCCACCATCCACACCCCTAGCCACTTAATGACTCCCCTTCCCTTCAGATTATGTTCGCGAGTGGCTAACCTGTGGCTCCTCAAATGTTGCTGGACTACAGCTCCCATCATGCTTGTCCATGGTCCCTGCTAGCTGGGGGTGAACAGAGTTGGCTCTATTCCTTCATTATTCCATTTCAGTACGGGCTTGGGATTTGTTCTCATAGCCAATTCTCTTAAGGGCCAAATGACAAGTTAACAAGCAGCTGTATATAATCTCAAGACTACAGTCTTGAGCAGAGCATCAGCTTTGTTTGTTGTGTTGTGTTTATTGTTTATGACTACTGTTGGCAGTTATGTAATTTTTTATATGTTGTTAAGCCGCCTTGAGCATGGTTTTAACTTTGGAAAGGTGGCATACAAATAAAATGATTGATGACTGATTGATTGATTGATTGATTGATTGATAAGCTGTTCATTCCCTTTGGGCTGTTCCCCATGCCATAAATTTGCCTCCCAGC